TCTAACCCTAACTCTAACCTACTCTAACCCTAACTCTAACCCTAACTCTAACCCTAACTCTAACCCTAACTCTAACCCTAACCCTCTAACCCTAACTCTAACTCTAACCCTAACTCTAACCCGAAAACGTTGTCAGGACTGGGCTTGACTTTAGTTGATTTTGGTATTTTTATTTGTATTGTGTTGGTTGATTTTGGTTGATGTGAGGGGTAGGTTTAGGCGAAAACCTCGTCAGGACTGGGCTTGGTTTTGGGTGATTTTTGGTATTTTTTTGGTATTGCATGGCTTGATTTTGGTTGATGTGAGGGGCAGGGTTAGGCGAAAATGTTGTTCAGACTTGGTTCATTTTGGATGATTTCTGCTATTTTTTTGGTATTGTGTTGGTTGATTTTGCCTGAGTTATTGCTGTTGTATTGCTTGTCTTGCTGGGGTATTGTATTGTGGTGTATTGTAGTGTGTTGCTAAGCTATCTAACCGAGAAGCGAGACACCGAGAGAATACGTTTTTATACGAGACGACGAGAGAGCTAACGGGTGGGTGGGTGGGGACGGTCTAACATATGATTGCCCTGCTTATCCTTATCCTTATCCTTGACTATTGTATTGTTATCGTAAGTTATCATATCGTAGTCTATCGCGTTTCTTATCCTTGACTTGCTTATCGTATCGTAGTCTTGACTGTTGTGATCCTTATCCTTGTCTTTTGCTTGTTTTCTTGATTTTTTGCTATCGTAGTCTTGACTATCGTATTCCTTATCCTTATCCTTATGGCCCGGGTCGAATCCTCGTTCAGACTTTGCTTGATTTTGCTTGATTTTTGCATTTTTATCGGAGTAGTTCCCACGGTTGAGTTGCTTTGTTGAACCCTTCGATTTCGAGTATTTTGCTTATAATTCATTAGGATCTTATCCTATTGATGTCATTAGACTATGGATAGACTCCCCTTGACGAGGGCTACGACATTGGTTTTCATCAATTAGTTGATCAGGTATTAGCTTACATAATGTCTTTGTCTTGTCATGGAGTCGAGCCTCCGATGGAACTGTTCCAGTGGAGATCATTGTTGTTGACACCCTGGTACTCTGTGACCCTCCAGTGGAACGGTTCCAGTGGAGATCATTGTTGTCGATACTCTGGTACTCTGTGACCCTCCAGTGGAACGGTTCCAGTGGAGATCATTGTTGTCGACACCCTGGTACTCTGTGACCCTCCAGTGGAACGGTTCCAGTGGAGATCATTGTTGTCGATACCCTGGTACTCTGTGACCCTCCAGTGGAACGGTTCCAGTGGAGATCATTGTTGTCGATACCCTGGTACTCTGTGACCCTCCAGTGGAACGGTTCCAGTAGAGATCATTGTTGTCGATACCCTGGTACTCTGTGACCCTCCAGTGGAACAGTTCCAGTGGAGGATTATATTTGTGAAATGTCTTGAAACGACCCCTTCTTAACCACGACCCATATAGAAAAGTGCTATATAATTAACGTCTCTGCAACTCTGAATGTGCACAGTGACTATCGCAGAACACTGGCAGTTGTCCGAATCACCAAGGTTGGTTTTTGTTAGTCTTTTAATCTTTTGTGTTCACTGGACAATCTAGAATTAGTGCTGTCAGTGAGAATATGTGCAGATTGCCAAGCTGTTCTTCCAACCAGCTGCTTTGACAGTACATCAATAAGAAGGCATCGACAAGAATCAGGAAGATTGCCAAAGCTGGTATCATACATCTCTCCAACCAATTCCACCAGCCACTTGGACAATCTGTCAACAAAAAACCAGCCACTTGGACAATCCATCAATGAGAAGCACTGGTATTTGCTATTCTTCCAACAGTGTACACTTACTAACTGAACCTCAATCTAGTTTACATTGTTGCAATGTCTGGGCGCATTCCACATACTCAACCACCCTGATGAGACCATAGTGCACTCCAACTCCCATGTGGAAGTTGTTTGAGGTAGTTCAAGACTACTGCTGGGTGAATGAAACACCATATTTCAGCACATCCCATCATACCAATACTGCCTCTGCAGAACCACCAACATCCTCCAGAACCTCATCCATCAAGCCCACAGCCTTCTCATGACAAAGAATGCACTGGCCATGATGCCGAGATGGACATCAATGAGGGACCTGTGGACAACAATGATATGAACATTGATATAGATGAGCATCCACACCAACCATCCTCCCAGCTGAACAATGCAGAATTCATTGGGCCTGGAGATCACCTGTATTGAAATTATCATGTGGATCTTGATGGTAAGTTCATTTACTACTGGCTGATACTCTCCAAGTCCGAATTGTGTGCTGAATGCCAGCACAGGCAGACCATGTGATGCAGATGGTGTATTCCTCCTCCCTGGTGCTCCACCCCCACCTCCCAAGAATATAGTGACTGATGACTGGACACCTTTTCACAACCGTTCAGAATTTGAAACTGCAGAGTTCTTGTATACATGAAATCAGATGGCAGCTGGTCAAATTGACCACTTACTGGATTTATGGGCATCTACCCTCACAAAGCACAATGACAAACCACCATTTGGAGATCACCATGATCTCTACAACATCATTGATAGTTCACCCTTCAGGGATGTGAAATGGCAAAATTTTATGGTCACTTATGATGGTGAGAGACTCACAGATGATATCAAGCCCTGGATGGACGACAAATACAAAGTCTGGTTTCACGACCCACATGAAGTCGTGTGCAATATGCTTGCAAATCCAACATATTCTAGTGAGATAGACTATTGCCCATACCGAGAATATTCAACCAAGGGCAACAAGCGGCAATGGAAAGATTTTATGTCTGGTGACTGGGTGTGGGATCAAGCTGTAAGTGCTTTTTGTCTTGATGTCTGATAATGATGGCTCAATCTGTGTCTAGGATGAGATAGTGAAAGACCCAAGCACACTGGGGTCCACATTTGTCCCTGTCATCCTTGGCAGTGACAAAACAACCATTTCAGTCAGGATGGGGAATAATGAATACTACCCACTCTATGCTTCCATCGGGAACATTCACAACAGTATTCATCGAGCCCATCATAATGGTGTGGCAGTGATCGGGTTCCTTGCCATGCTAAAAAGTTTGTCATCACACAAACTTGGTGGTCTACAACTAATTTACTAATCATGCAGCTACAAATGAACACACTGAAGAGCCAGCATTCTGACAATTTCGTCAACAACTATTCCACTCATCACTTTCAAAAATCCTCAACTCACTCAAACCAGGCATGACAACTCCCAAAGTCATGCGATTTGGAGATGGTCACTACCAGTGGGTTATATATGAACTAGGGCCCTGCATAGTGGATTATGAGGAGCAGGTACTGTTAGCATGTATCATCCAAAACTGGTGTCCCAAGTACTTTTTTTTTTAATCTAATATGTGTCTTCACTAATGTTGTTTTCCAGATGTATGGCAAATCACAATAATCTTGACAAAGACGTGTTATGTCATTTGTGTGACCATACTGAGGCCCTTATTGAAGAAGCTCTGAATCTTGATGGTGATCTGTGGGATGATTTTGGAATAGTTGAGCAACTCGTAGTATGTCAGCATGCTCATCTTGGTGTCATTTTTATCAATAAATGTGTCAACAGCCATTTACAAATGACTTTCCCTGAGCCAATATCTATCAAATGATCTCTCTGGACATCCTCCACCAGCTTATAAAAGGAACCTTCAAGGACCATCTTGTGGCATGGGTTGAGAAATACCTCAGACACACGCACTGCAAATGAAAGGCAGAGAAAATCATGGATGACATTGATCGCAGGTAAGCTCAACTGAATTTAGATTATACAATTACTCATTGCCTTAGAATTGCTGCTGTCACCTCATTTTCAGGCTTACAGCGATTTCCTCAAGGATGTGGCTTCAAGCAATGGACGGGAGATGATTCTAAAGCTCTGATGAAGGTGAGTCCTCGTTTTTTTGTCATGCTATCACCATATTGATTCATTAGGTTTACTTGCCCACCATTGAGGGTCATGTACCTACAGAAGTTGTGTGCGCCTTTCACACACTTCTAGACTTTGCTTACTTAGTCCATCCTGATATAATCACAGAAGACTCTCTACTTGAGATCAAAGACATGCTTGCACGCTTTCACCATTATTGTGAAATCTTCAAGATGACAGGTGTCATTTCTACCTTCTCCCGGCCTCGCCAACATTCACTATACACTATATAGCTATATATTATATATATCTTGACACATTTTTCTGCCATTATGGATGTCTCATATGATGCAGTACATCACTGGGATTCCATTGCACCAACATTTAAGCAATTTGGTGGTCAGGAACATGAGTTATGATCATTTTACTGTTGACACATTCATACCACTGAATAGCTATATTAGGAGAGAAAAACTTTATCAAGACACCCAGATATGTCAGAGATGGCTCTATATTTGCTTTAGTAATGTATATACATGATTTTGAAGTGATTTGAAATATTTTCATATCATACCTCATAATGGAGGAGGAGAAGGGCCACAACCTCACAAAAAATTCCTGGTGTTTCAGCACTTGGTCCATCATCTTCTGCAGCCTTGAAAATGGTGGGGAGAAGTTTCCTTGGATGTTGGAGGCAGTCTTGGGTTCATGGTATCAGACCACCCTCTGACCACCACATGCATCTAGTCTATCACTTTATAAAAAATTATATAGGATTTTTGTAAGTGGGTAAGGGTGAGGAACAGTGTTTCTACCCTTTTTTACAAACAGAGTCACAAATATCTGCCATCCTACATGTGCCAACTACATCACCTGCGCCCATCTAGAGTCAACACCAGATGGGCAAACTATAACTGATTCACCACAGTGCCACATCTGGAATCAACACCAGATGTGCACATTATATAGGATTTTCATAAGTGGGTAAGGGTGAACATATGGTTTTGTTATGCCATACCCTCCTGAAACTCCACCAACGCAACTGTTCCAACCACTACTGGAACAGTTCCAAGGGCTACATCTGCTTATGTAATCAACTTAATCAATCAACTTAATTGATGAAAATCAATGTTGTAGCCCTCATCAAGGGGAGTCTATCCATAGTCTAATGACATCAATAGGATAAGATCCTAATGAATTATAAGCAAAATACTCGAAATCGAAGGGTTCAAGAAAGCAATTCAACCATGGGAACTACTCCAATAAAAATGCAAAAATCAAGCAAAATCAAGCAAAGTCAAGCAAAGTCTGAATGAGGATTTGACCTGGGCCATAAGGAAAAGGATAAGGAATACAATAGTTGAGACTATGATAGCAAAAAATCAAGAAAACAAGGAAAAGACAAGGATAAGGATCATGATAGTCAAGACTATGACATGACAAGCAAGTCAAGGATAAGAAACACGATACCATACGATAGTCAAGACAAGGATAAGAAATGCGATAGACTACAATATGATAACTTATGATAACAATATGATAGTCAAGGATAAGGATAAGGATAAGCAGGGCAATCATATGTTAGATCGCCCCCACCCACCCCCCTGTTAGCTCTCTTGTTGTCTTGAATAAAAATGTATTCTCTTGGTGTCTCAGTTCTCAGTACCTTAGCTTAGCAAGACACTACAATACACCACAATAGTCAAGACAAGGATAAGGAATACAATACCCCACAATACAATACAACAGTAATAAGTCAAGTAAAATCAAGTAATATAATAGCAAAAATCACACAAAATCAACCCATGTCTGAATGAGTTTTTCACCTAAACCTACGCTTCAGATCAAGCAAAATCAACCAACACAATACAAAAAAATACCAAAAATCAAGCAAAGTCAAGACCAGTCCTGATGAGGTTTTTGCCTTTGCTTACCCTTCAGATCAAGCCAAATCAACCAACACAATACCAAAAAAATACCAAAAATCAAGCAAAGTCAAGCCCAGTTCTGACAAGGTTTTCACCTAAACCTATGCCTCAGATCAAGCAAAAATCAAGCAAAGTCAAGCCCAGTCCAAACAAGATTTTTGCCTAAACCTACACCTCAAGATCAAGCAAAGTCAAGCCCAGTCCGGATGAGGTTTTCACCTTCACTTATGCTTCAGATCAAGCGACATAATAGCAAGAAAATACCAAAAATCAAGCAAAGTCAAGCAAAGTCTGAACAAGGTTTTCACCTCAGCCTACGCATCAGATCAAGGAAAAATCAAGCAAAATTGCACCCACACATCGCCCCAGACAAGGATAAGGATCAGCAAAAAAATAGTCAAGACCACAATAGCAAAAAATAGCAAAAGACAAGGATAAGAAATGCCATACCATAGACTACGATAACCAAGTAACCAAGTCAAGTCAAGGATAACAAACACCATAGACCACCATACCATACAATAGCAATACATTATAATATCACACAATACAGTACTATACAATACAATACAATATGATTGCATACAATAACAATACAATAGTCAAGGATAAGGATAACAGGGCTTGCCATACATCAGATTCTTTAGATTCCCCTGCCTGCCCACCCCTTAGAGTCGTTAGTCATTATGTTTAGGTTTAGCTGTTATAAAACCACCCCCCACCTGTTAGAGGCTTAGTTAGCTTTCTCGTTGTCTCAGATAAAAATGTATTCTCTTGGTGTCTCAGTTCTTGGTACTATACAATAGTCAAGACAAGGATCAGGAATACCATACAATACAATACCAATAAAACAGCCAAAATAATGCAACACCAGAGTCATAAAATAGCAAAAATCAAGCAAAATCAAGCCCAGTCTGAACAAGGTTTCGTCCTACCCATATACCAATGGCTCAATGGTCCATAAAGCCACTTTGCCAAGTTCCATTTGTTTTGTCCCATTCCTTCCACATTTTATTAGCACATCTTTATCTCATCTTGTAGCCCTTGAAAATCTCAACCTCCCGCGAAAAAGACTGGTTCCTTAATGTTGAGTAATGGTTGAGTAATCATTGACTCAAAGGTACCATCACCTTCTTAATAACTCACACCCACTGGACCGCCTTCTTCCACCTGTCCCTCCTCACCACGATCCCTTGAGGACTCAACACATCCTAGGCTGCGAAAGTTGTAGCCTATGATGTTCCCACACCAAGAATTTTGCCCAACAGATCAGTACTTGCTGAGTTATGCCCTCATCTCTGTCCTTCTTGGTCTTCAAGGAGGCTGGGATGTGTTCCACTCATAACTTTTTTTGCTCACACCTCCTAACCTCAACCTTTTGTCATCGTGCTCTACAGACCCACAGCTCACTCCCGCTCCACTTTTTTTATCTCCCAGGTCAAAACTGCTCGACCCATAACCGGTTACTTCAGTCTGGGTGGCTTAGAGGGGGAGGGGGAGGTAATCCACCCACATCTTTTTTCTATAGCAACTCCTGATCTCCATCTCTTGTCATCCTACTCTATAGACATACAGCTCGCTCCCGCACCACTTTTTTTGCCTCCTGGTGTAGAGACTCGCACCTCTGTATGCCTGTAGAGCCCTATATTGCAATGTATCTGCATACAGTTCACAGCACGAACTTGCAGCATCATTCCCTATATCATTCCTTCACTCAGCCTATACATGCGCGATCTTCCCACGCATCATGCGCGCTACTCTCCTGTGATGCATTCCTACATGCATCCCATGCGCTGTAGAGACCCCGTCCTCTACAGCCGTATAATAGGCATATTTTCGTGTTTTGGCCTTTGTGCTGAAGCCCCCAATAAGCGCAATACATGCGCAGTATTTGTGATGACGCGTGCTTCGAACGTGCTACGAGCGCACTTTCGCGTCCTCATCGCCAACCATCTGCATGTCCTGTCCTCGTCCTCCAAGGTCCATTGGTGCGTGTTCTATCTATTTTTACTTCAGACACATATCACAGAGTTACATATGGTATGCAATTACACATTGCCTCACTATTTTTACTGCAGTTACATCACTTACGATATTTACTGCTACCTATTCGCTTCCAAAGCCTGGGAATGCACTTATGAGGCATTACATGTCTCTGAGTAAATTTTAGTTACTGGGTTCCCTTCCACTAGTATCCTGATAGCAGCAGATAGTAGAATTGACTACCACCTTTGTCAATTTTCACACTTGAACTGAAAAAGGGATCATTTAGTCTCGATCATCTCCCACCAATCCAAGAAAAATATCAGTACCGCTCGCCTTGAGGTCTAGAGCCTAGCCATGAAGTGCGCATCTTCGTGTACCTATTGCATCCAGCGCACTTTGGCGCCTATCGTCGCATTCCATACTCTCGTGCTCCACCAGGCCCTCTGTCGAGAGCTAGTTCTTGGCATTTCCCCTCAATTCTTTAGAGGAATCCTTTCTCAGTGGCAATCCCCTTGGGTTGAGTTTGACTCGCATCCAGGGGAGCTCTGAAGGGTTCTTATCTTTAGTTTCCCCCCCCCCCCATCCGAATTCCTCGCCTTCAGCGCTTCATCGCCCATCATCCAGGAGCATCCATCCATTGTCCAGCAAGTCCTACTGGTATGTCTTTGCATTTACTCTTATCATGACACCATATTCCATCATGGACCCTTACTTACATATACCTTCTTCGTTCCTGCGCCTTACTCACATCGGCTCCGCATCGTGGGAACGTGCTTAGTTGCCTTTTGCATGATAGCATTCACATTTTTTATCAGTTAGTTAAGTACCACTTAGTTGCCAGTTAGTATCCCTTAGCATCCCTCAGCATAGTGCATGCTTTTTGAGCCATAGTCAGTAGCATTTTTGACAATCACACTTGATCATCATCGCATTTGTTGTTCTCTCACCCATTAGTATCAGTCATCATCTTCCCCTAGTCCCCATTGCATTCCTAGCCCTTTGCGCACTTTTGCCTATTAGCACACGACTTTCCCACGCTTCGTGCATCCTACTACTCTCTGTGCATGCCTTTGCCTCCGCACGCACGACTTTCCCACGCTTCGCAAGACCTGTGGATGTGTTGCACTTGCTTCCCCTTGGGTCGAACACACTTGCCTTTGCAAAGTATAGCAGCCTAGGCAGAGCTGAGATGACCACACATATACTCTGACTTAGCATCCCTTGTAGTGCCATAGCTTAGTAGTTGATTCCTTCACTGGGTCAAAACTTTGGGACTTATGCCTTAAACTTCGGTCTGGGTGCCTTAGAGCAGGAGGAGGAGAAGGTCTGCCCATAACTTTTTTTGGCTCACACCTCCTGACCTCTGGCTTTTATCATTGTAATCTATAGACTCACAGCTTGCTCCCACACTACCCATTTCATCTCCCGCACACAAACTTCTCGACTTATTCCCCAACATGTCAGCCTCCTCCAAAGTTAGGCATCAGGCTTGGATAGATCCTCAGGACTTTGTCATATTCCACCTCGTTAGTATTAATTTATTTGGGTTCTAACTATTCATCATATTCAACCTCGGTCACTCAATGTTAGGCGTCAGATTAGTTAGTTAGTTAGGATTAGGGCATATTCTGCCTTGGTCCTTCATTGTTAGTTAGTTAGGGTTGGTTAGTGTTAGGATAGTTAGGCTCAGCATCAGCTTCTCTAACCTGCTCCTCAACTTGCACAATCCACTAATGCCCAGATTAACCTTGGTCATTAGAACATACCCTTCCATCTACACACTTCCCACACCAAATTCTCCTTCAAGCCTTTTGTGGCTTCCAAGACTTCTATGACATTTGCAAATCTTGGCAATCCCCTTGTAATACCATCATGCAATTCTATGACGATGCTGGACCAACATCTACCCAAATCTATCTTGTGTCGTTCACATGGTCTGTGCGTGCATTCCCTGACAACATTCTTGATTCACATGTCCCATACCATTCATGTTCCTTGGTACAACAGTTTAGTTCACTTGCCCAGCTTCAATTTGACCTGTTGTCTTATTCCTTGGAACTTTGGTGTCTTATACATTCACACCTCCTATTCTCTCCCAACCAACTTCTCCACTCACTACATACTTCAACACTTCACATTCATACTAGTCTCAACCATGTCTCTCATTTTCACAACCTTCCTCATAAACATTTTTTCATTCATATCAACTACTTGCATCTTTCCTGTGAAATCATCATAATGTCATAATAACATCTAATAACTTGTGGCATGCCCCATGCAACATCAATGCTCACTGCAAACCCCTCAACACCTAAGACTTCTGTTGCCATCTATCCCTATTCAGCCACCTTATTGTATCTACTATACAGTTCCTTGCACACACCATCACAAGCCACTGATCATTATGCAACTACAATACTCTTTGCACCCATCTTGTTCTACCTTTACCTCTTGAGAGCATTGTTCAATCACCCGATATTTTTCAGTTTTATTAGTCACAAGTACTGACTCGTACCTAGACTCTATTTCAGCTTCATACAACTTCCAATGCCTGACTCAGCCCTCACCAGGGCAACTGAGAGGTCCTCTAGGAAACACACTCATGTCTAAATTAGGGAAATAGCATTTACAGCTGATTTTTGTCACACCTCACGTTCAGAACATTCAAGTTCAGGGCCCTATTACACCTTCCTTATTAATGTTCCCTTGGGATTTTGCTGGCAATCATTTACTCCACGTATATGTTAAATCATTCATACAACAAACTCTACTTTTATGTAGTTGTCTAACTCTCAATACATATTACAACCATTGCTCCAATGTGCACTTTTTTCATATGACATAGTTGGACATGTGACTTGGAACTTTGGAAGCCTTTGAGCATCAATTGTTGGACACGTGACTTTGCAGACTTTCAGGACATTAGTGTTTAACATTTAACTTTGATGATGTAGTCAGACATGTAACTTTGATGACATCGTTGGACAGGTGACTTCAAACCTCGAACACTTTCAGGACATATTCAGACACATGACTTTGAGGACCTCTGCAACATGGTCATGTGATATGTACTGTCCCAAATGCAACTACTGTCATCTCTGCCACATCGTTTTTTTTATTTACATCATTATCTATGTTCGGTCAAATTTCCATTGATGTCTGGACTGTCCTGTGGTGGTAAGCTGTGCCTAGGTGCGCTCCCAGGGCTCGGAAGCGAATAGGGAGCGCTCTAAGTATGTAAATGATGTAAGGACAGGGTCCATGACAAAATAATGTATGGTACGATGCTAAATATGAGAATAAATGAAAAGGGATGCACCAGGGGACTGGTTGGACAATGGATGGATGTGCTGGGACACTGCACAACAATGTGCGACTGAGCGCAGGAAGAGTGTGCTAAGCGCGTGCATGGGAATCCATCGTGCCTCTGGCGCATTTCATGGGAAAGTCATAGCTAGTGAGTTGCACACTATACCAATTGTTGTGAGTCGTAATATGGGTGATCTACGCCTGGAGGAATCTCATTCCCTACAGCATCCAACTGTCCAGTACCCCACCTCTGGCCAAAAACCAAAACAAAACAGAAGACTCATCAAACTAAGTACCACAGCAATGTCACTGTTATGTGGGAAGGCCACTGTTTTCCAGGGGTTGTATCCAGAACTTCTCAAGGGCAACTCCATTGTCCATGCAGGTTGCTGTCACATACTCATGTTGACTTGCACCTCTTTGAAAGCCTCATGAAACAAATTGTGCACCCTGGCCCCACAGATGAAGTTGCATTACCTGATCACAAATCCCCCCTAGCTAATGATGTTGCAATGGATTTGGCTGATGAGGGTTACTGTAAGTCAGCTGTCACAACACACTTAACACAACTCATGCATGCCTCTCCACATTAGACACACTTGGCAAGCTCGAGTCTGATGAGGGCACTGATGGTGGTGCAACAGAACACAAGGACAATGACAATGAACTATCCCATGGTCTGTGCTCATCCAACGAGACACTACCTAACGCCCAGCATTTGTCATCCAACAACACCTCTCCAGCCACCAATCTCCCAACCACTTCCATACATGGAGCTGTTCACGCTCGTGTGCACATACTGCTCGAAGTAACTTCCACACATGGCAACACATTTTCTCTCACACATTCATTCAAAGGTGACACACTCCTCAATGTCAACCACTCTACCCCTGAATCCAAAGCAAAGATTGATCAAACAGACAATGAGCGCTTTGAAGCTGACAGTGACCTGAATGCCGATCAATCAGACAAAGATCAATCAGACGCAGATGATGATGGCAAGCTGATGACATCCATGGACCTTGATTCACCACCCAATCTCACTGAACTGCTTGCCCACATTGTTCAATGCAGCATTCATGTTGATCCTGTTTTCCATCTGACTATTTGCCTGAACTGTGCCATTGCCATCCCATGGCACAAAATGTGGGGCCATTGTCACAGGCATCATAAACAGGCATATATTCTGCCCAAAAATCATTTTAACACCATCCTTCAACAATTAGAAGGTCATACACCAAATCATATCCCAAATGCCCCAGTATTCGCCATTGACAGCATGAAAATCATCCCAGGTCTTTTCAAATGCATTGTGTCAGGCTGCACAAGCCACACTCTATTTAAAACCAAAAAACACCTTCACAGTCATTGTGTGCAGGAACACAACAGTATTCCGTTGTCACATTGCCCGCACCATTGAACCATCAGTCACCAGATTGGGATGTTTAGAGGAGATTTGCGAGATTTCGAGGTTGACCCGCTTCCCCTTGGATCCAAAACAGATGCCCTAAGAGAAGTTAAGGCTTTCATCACTGAACGTGGTCTCCATGCAAAAGAAACTACTTACCACTGCCCATTGAATCAGAGACCCAGGGGTCCCCTTCTTGCTCAAACTAACTGGGAACACTGTATCAAGAACATAGACCTCAAGAGCCTCAGGCAAACTGTGTCTAACCCTGATGGCAAGCCAGACTTTCTGTACCTCATTGAGGTCATGCAACAATATTACCAGAACATCACAGCCAACCTCGGTCATCTGTTGGCCCTTACTCTTCGCACACTGTTGTCCACTAGTCCATCAGGTGAATTGGAGAAAGCGCCATTTTGACACCCCCAGGAAGATCCAACTCTTGAAAAATATGGCGCCTTCCTTGCCAAATTCATCATCTTCCTCATTCGTCATCTCTACCGCCCCATTGAAAACTTTGACATTCCTTTACATCTGCAACATAGCACCGACCTCACCACACTTCATGCCCATTTGCGAACCACAATCTCCAAATTCTCCCCAGCCATCGACTTACTTTCTATCAACTTAGTACACAAAGTTATATTTTCCCTCCTCACTCACGTCAGTTCAGAGTTCTTGAAAAATGAGATGAAGGACCTATTCACTCTATTCCTCATCACATATCACCTCTCTGACAATTTCGGCAATACCAATTGTGTATGCCAAGTACCCCCCACAATCAGCAAGGCCCAGTGGTGCTTCAGGGCAATGGCTGGCATGGAGATTTATATGAAAATGGGGCAATTCAACAACAACTCATTCGAGTATGTATTCACTGTCTCTGTTATGAACTTGGATAGACTGTCATTCCAATAAAGGAATCAAGGATCAAGGTCGATCAAGGACTAAGCCTTATCGAGTCAATGCCCCCCTCAGGAGCAATCGTCTAGACTCCTGCAGGATCTAGAGTTCAAATGGGACAAATGGCTAGCCTCCTTCCCAAGGAGCTAGAGTTCAAGTATCAGAGAGAACCAAGTAGATTCAAGTTAGAGAAAATACAAGTGGTAACTAGAGTTTATATACGTAAAGGAATCATGCACAGACCAAGCTGGGCAAAGGGTAACTAGTACTAAGAATGGAAGGTTCATGGGAAACAAGGTATGAGTCAGAGATAAGAGAAGTCATGAGGAAACAGCACAGTTAAAAGGAAGCATTTAATAGTACAGCCATTAGGCATCCACAGTGATGGTGAGAAAAAGAATAGGGGTACTGTAACAATCATATTGTCTTGCATTGTTTTGTATGCTGGTCTATTGTGTTTGTTATCCTTGACTTGACTTGGCAGTTGTAGTGTGTGGTGTGGTGTTTCTTATCCTTGTCCTTGGCTTTTGCTGTCATAGTCTTGACTATTGTATTGCTCATCCTCATCCTTGTCTGGGTTGTGTCATTTTTGTGCTATTGTGTTGCTTGATTTGAGGCATGGGGTGAGGTGAAAACCTTGTTCAGACTTGGGTTGACTTTGCTTGATTTTCGCTATTTTTGTGCTATTGTGTTGCTTGATCTGATGCATAGGCTGAGGCAAAAACCTCATTCAGACTTTGCTTGACTTTGCTTGATTTTTGCTATTTTCTTGCTATTGTGTTGCTTGATTTTGCTTGATCTGAAGTGTAAGGGAAGGCAAAAACCTTGTCAGGACTGGGCTTGACTTTACTTGATTTTTGGTATTTTTTGTGTATTGTGTTGCTTGATTTTGGTTGATTTTGGTTGATGTGAGGCATAGGTTTAGGCAAAAACCTCATCAGAACTGGGCTTGGTTTTGTGTGATTTTTGCTATTTTTTGCTATTGCATGGCTTGATTTTGCTTGATGTGAGGTGCAGGGTTAGGTGAAAATGTTGTTCAGACTTGGGTTCATTTTGCATGATTTCTGCTATTCTTTTGGTATTGTGTTGCTTGATTTTGCCTGACTTATTGCTGTTGTATTGCTTGTCTTGCTGGGGTATTGTATTGTGGTGTATTGTAGTGTCTTGCTAAGCTATCTAATGGAGAAGTGAGACACCAAGAGAGCTAATGGGTGGGTGGGTGGGGGTGGTCTAACATATGATTGCCCTGCTTATTCTTATCCTTATCCTTGACTATTGTATTGTTATTGTAAGTTATTGTGTTGTATGTTATTGTATGGTATCATATCATAGTCTGTCATATTGTAGTCTATCATGTTTCTTATCCTTGTCTTGACTATCATATGGTATCATGTTTCTTATCCTTGACTTCCTTATCATAGTCTTGACTATCGCATTTCTTATCCTTGACTTGCTTGTCATGTCATAGTCTTGACTATCATGATCCTTATCCTTGTCTTTTCCTTGTTTTCTTGATTTTTTGCTATCATAGTCTCAACTATTGTATTCCTTATCCTTTTCCTTATGGCCCAGGTCAAATCCTCATTCAGACTTTGCTTGATTTTGCTTGATTTTTGCATTTTTATTGGAGTAGTTCCCATGGTTGAATTGCTTTCTTGAACCCTTCGATTTCGAGTATTTTGCTTATAATTCATTAGGATCTTATCCTATTGATGTCATTAGACTATGGATAGACTCCCCTTGATGAGGGCTACAACATTGGTTTTCATCAATTAGTTGATCAGGTATTAGCTTACATAATGTCTTTGTCTTGTCATGGAGTCAAGCCTCCAATGGAACCATTCCAGTGGAGGATCATATTTGTGAAATGTCTTGAAATGACCCCTTCTTAACCATGACCCATATAGAAAAGTGCTATATAATAATCTCACACTATTGAGACAGAAAGAGGGAAAACTCCTGCACTTCAAATCTCATGAATCTCATGGTTTGAGACAAGAAAGAAGAGGGAAAAAACTTGTTGATTATGTGAGAATTGTTACAACCATGTATGCCCCTATTCATTTTCCCTTTCTTACTGTGTATTATATCATGAGCCGCATGATGCTGCCGCTAGACTTATCTCTGACTCATGCCTTGTATTACATCACAACTGCTGTTGCCATTGCTAGATGACCTATTCTTACTATCGCTTATGCATCTCTTATCTCTGACTCATTCTGCTTCCATGCCTGCCCTAAAGTACAGTAGTTCACTATAAATAGTTCTCCTGTATGCTTTAGTTCTTTACTTTAATCTTACTAGGTTTTACCTGGAATATCCTTCACTTGAGACCTCCAATCTCTTGCTGTCTGAATTGTACTTTAAGTTGGAAGCACTCCTTCTGATTTAGCTTACATTGAACACTTGACTTATTGTCTTGTGTAGAATCTCAGCAGAGATCCTGACTCTTATTGAGTTGTCTGTCATTAGAACTATCCTAGTTCATAACAAGAATGGAGTCCTTATATACATTTTAGAAACCATCCTTACTAAGCAATGACTCATCACTGGATTGGTAAGAATATGCTTACAAACCAAGCCTTTTGGTGTGCTAAATCAGCTGCTTACTAAAGTACATGAGTAAAATATTACAAAGCACTGTGGGATTGGTGAGTTTAACTACCAAAATCACCATCTCATCAGATCCTACCTCATGCCCCTGTTGAAACCATGTTGGTGATAGATTTATGCATCCAGGAGCTATGGCAATATTTTCTGAGCTTTGTTTGAACCACTCTTGATTAGTTTGCCAACTGCTATCAACCTTTACACTTTTTTCAAGGTTTGGACTGAGCAAATTTGGCACAGGTTACATTGAGAATTGTGGTGAGTATGCTGACCAACTTTGTACCCTCATGGCCAGGAGGACACCTCTCAAGCAACTTCTCCTCTCTCTCTTCATTATGCCCAGTGTCCTTCAAGGAGATCAATTTGCTATATCTTGCAATATTGGTCTGCATTTGAACTGTGATGAACGAATTTGAATGATCAAATGGACTCTCTGAATCTGCAGGAAGACCCACTGGTATTTTTATATGCCTTTATGAGGCAATCCACCAATTGATCACAAGCCATCACCAGATCAGTGTCTAGGTTAGGAGCAGGTATAACTGGGTCTCCTCCTGTCTTCTCTGCATTGAATTTCTGTTGGGTATATTCACATGCCTCATGAGTGACAGTCAGGGCCCAAGTGCACCAGAAGGCTATTTCAATATCAGAAGTGGAAGAAACATTCATGATGGAGTTGATCTTGGGAAATCAGATGCTGAATGCTGGATGTCCAGACTTTGGTGTTAAAGGGGGTGGAGATAGTGAGGATCAAATATGATTGGAAGTGTGCTGGATATCAGATATTTGATTGTTGAGACCTGGGGCTTGCAACTCAGTACATGATGCTCACTTCACTCTAATTTTGATAGTCGGAACTTGGCATTTGGCACTTGGTAGTCAGTACTACATGTTTGTGTCTGTACTGGGTGCTCAATTTTCTGGCACTTATGACCTTGATCTTTAGATGACTTTGAACCATTACCTCCTCTGATTTGTATGATATACAACTACCTCAGCTCTGTCATGTCTACAATTATCATTCACCTGGGCCCACCCATCTATATCATATAACAACCTCAGCCCATCCATCAACATGATATACATCTGGGCCCACCCATCTATATTATATAACAGCCTCAGCCCACCTGTGTATGTGATAACAAGTACCCTTGGCATACCCATCTATCTGATACACATCTACCTTGGTACATGCATCTACATAATATCCAACTATCTCAGCCCATCCATCTATAGAATATTCATGTCCATCAGCCCACTCATCTACTCTACATATTCCCCACCCACCTCCATCAGGAATAATATCGCCCTCAGCCCATGGTTTGTATTCTACATAAAGTACGAGGCACAAGCACGTGCGTAGAATGAGGTCTATGCAAGAGCCGAGTAAGGTTAAACATCTTCATTCTTTTCACTACCACCAACTTGGTGCAAGTGCTCGTAGGCCAACAATCGTTCAAGTGATCCCTACTTGAACAATACATTCTACAAAATCAAATAGATCCTTTTCTGCTATCTACGTTATGAATAGACTTCATGCTGACCCACACTTGGACCAGTGTCCTGACTTTGCTTCTGTGGAATTTCTCACGGTACGCGCCCCTCTCCTGAGCCCCACTATCAACGACACACAGGCTGCAGCTCTCCTCCAAACATTCTGGATAGCAACCAATGCTGCCCTTAAACTTCAGTGGCAACAGCAGCTTGCTGCAGACAAACTCATTGCAGCAGAGCGTAGGCGCCTACTCATCGAAGAAGATGCCCAATGTCTATTGGCACAGCAAATCAATGACACTGCCATAGCTGCTGAAGAGAAGAAAAAGAATTGCATCCATCACATTCCCATTCCAGACCGACCTCGCCCGCAATGCAATGCTGCCAAATCTGTCCTCATATCAGACTTCGCTCTTTGCAAACTCGACAAAGCTCAGTTTGTCGAGCTGTACTACTGGATGAATCGTGGTTTAGCAGCGGCACACCTCAATTATTGTACCCTAGACGACGACAGCCTCATGCCCACAGCTGGAGCAGACAGTTCCACCACTTGGACCTCTGCAAGTGCTTCTTGGCCCACAGCAGGTGTAATTGCCGATCACCTGCTGTCCACAGTAGACTTTTCAAGAGCCGTGCCATGTTTCATCACCTCCTTACAAGAACGAGGTTGGGTCAACTCATGCATAGTGATGTTGGCCAACTTCTTCATGGCCCTCATGGTCCATCCCTACTGGTCCTCAGATGATGTTTTTGAACAGTGCGCCATTCTCACCTACCAGGAAGAACAACGTCGGGCTTGGCATCAAGCCATACCCCTCCCAGATGGCGCCTGGAACATCTCCATTCTAGACGAAAAGGAACTCACACGTCTTTTTGACTGGAGTTACCATGAAGAACGCGATTGTCGCGATCTTGTCCATGATACCAAGGTATGTTCCTTGTCGCCTTCTCCCAAATACAATAGCTCATCAGTCATCATCTCTTCCCTCTCGTGTCATTTCGCCACACCACCTACCATATCTTTTGCATTGCGTATCGGTTTCCTCTCCCTTGCATCCTGTGTCTTGCATCCTGCATTATGCATCCTGCGGCCTGCCTCATGCCTATTGGCACATATCCTTGTTGTCTGCGTCACATGTACCTTTAGCATGCACCCTGCACTCACAATCCCAGCCTGTTTGATGACACCTCCATGAGTTGCTCCAAGCACAATGGTCATCCCTCCCTCCCAGCCATGTCTGATAGGAAGCACTCTGGCTCCTCCAGACAACATTCTGCCTCCCCAGCAACACATGGCAAGGGATCTGCCCAAAACACCAAACCCTCCCCACCTACATTGGGTTTTTCTGATGGTGCACACAGTCAGCGCTCCTCCACTGTGTGCGCCATTTGTCTTGGGCATCACAGTCACCCCTTCGTCGAGTGTTCAGCAGAACGCATCTGGGACCACTCTCATGCAACAGTTGCCAAACGCGTCAATTGCCAGCTCCTTGTGTGCAGCAATGACAAGCCCCTTTGTCTCAACTGGCAAAGGGGTCGAGGTTGTTCTACACAGTCCCACAACGAGTGTCACTTGTGTGCGGGTTGTCTCTCCTCCTCTCATGGTGCTCAGTACTACCCTCAAATACAGGCAGTTGCACCCCATTTGCCTGTATAATGCAAATGTTTGGGAGGCCCAACTTCGTCAACATGGCCTGCTCGCCCAATACCCCAATATTCCCGCTGGTTTTCAGTTTGGTTTCAATCTGCATCTTCCACCACTATTCACCTCTCAGTCCCCTCCAAATCATCCGTCTCTTCATCTATACCAACATGCCTTCAACAACATTCTCCAGCACAAACTCAATTTGGGTTGCTACATTGGACCGTTCACTCAGCCCAACTTACTGTCTCTCCTTGGCCCCTTCCAATTGTCTCCACTATCTGTCATTCCAAAATCAGGGCGCCCAGGGAAATTCTGCATCATTCAAAACTTCTCCTTCCCCCACTCACCTTCACCTCGTCACCCCCAACCTTCCATCAACTCGTTGGTGGATTCTGACAATTTCCACTGTACCTGGGGTACCTTCGACACTGTCTGTTCCATCCTTCAACATCTACTGCCTGGCTCACAAGCCGCTACATGTGACGTGGCAGAGGCCTATCGAACTGTTCCCCTCCACCCTTCACAATGGCCCACCACCGTCATTCAACTGGACGATGACTTGCTCTACACAGACACCTGCACCTTGTTCGGCATGGGCCCATCTGCAGGAGCATATGGCCATGTTGCAGATGCAGGTGTCGACCTCCTCTGTGCTGCTGGACTGGGTCCCATCCTCAAGTGGGTGGACGATCACCTCTTCTTCCGCATCAAGTGGAAATACCTCTGCGAGTACAATGAGTACTGTCTCTCCCTCTCCAAACAGCTATCCACCTGTGGTAAGCATCAAAATGGCGGCCGTCTCTGGTTTGAAGGGGACACCTTCCCAGATGGCTCTTATGAAGTCTTTGCAGAAGACTGTTGGTTTCCCCTGTGAGATTTTCATGCTGCATCTCCATGATCAGGTGAGGACTCCCTTTTCACCTCGAATTTTCAGGACATCAATGGCACATCCACAGTCCTGCACATCCCCTGGGAGCTATCAAAGGACTCCGTGTTTGCCTTCATCGTGCTCTTCATCAGCCTCCTTTGGAACCTGCCCAATCTCACCATTGAGTTGGGCAAGGGAAAACATGAGAAATACCTGGCTGCCCTTCATGCATGGTCCACAATGGAAACCCATGTCCTGGCGGAGGTCCAGAAGCTCTATGGTAAGTTACTCCACACTTGTCTTGTCCTTCCAGTGGGGAGAGCTTACCTCACCTCACTGGAAGCCATGCTTGGAGTCTGCAGTAGTCGCCCTTTCGTGCCATACCACTCCGTCCAACATCTTCACAGCAACTTGGCTTGGTGGTCTGCATGACTCTCCAAACCCTTGCTCCATCCCATCCCACAATGTTTCTCCATCATCAACGCCCATGCCTACTCCGACACAAGTTCCAGTGTCGGCATCACAGTTATCGTCAATGGGTTTTGGCGAGCTTGGTCCTTGTTACCCAGATGGCGAACTCTCAATGGTGCCAAAGACATCAGCTGGGCCGAAGCTGTCGGTTTCAAATTCCTGGTCCTATATGTCCTTCACCTTAAGCAAGGCTCATCCCACTCACACTTTCGAGTCCACTGCGACAATCTCGGTGTTGTGGAGGGCTGGAAGAATGGGAGGAGCCGCAATTGGGCAACCAACTCAGTCTTTCGCTGTATCCACGCCTTACTCGATGCTCAGCCTCTTCCAACCTCCTTCCACATCTCCTACATGCCAAGCCACGAGAATCCCGCCGATGGCCCATCTTGAGGTGTCTTCCCTCCCCAACATCTCCTCCTCCCTCCCATCCAATTACCTGGTGATCTCTCCTGCTTTCTCACTGATGGCATCGTCCACCGCAGCAACAATAGACCTTGTGACTCTGTCACCAGAGACAATGGGGCTGGGCGTCCTAGCCCATTGGATGACAGGCCAGAGGACTGGCACTTTGAGGACCAGCTCCTCAAGTTTCACGACAGCTGGTGCGACTAGCCTGTCCAAATTCTCGTTGCCTCAACCAATCCTACCTTGAAACCACTCTCCCGCCTACCCTCATCCTTATTGCATCGGTCTTGTCCCCTTACCTTCCACCTCTCGCCCTCACTGTCTCACATGCGATCGTCTCTGCCTTTGGACGCCCAGCATGCATCGTTCGTGTATCGACAACAATGGCTTCCAAGTCGCCATCTCCAATGCAGATCTGGATTGTATTCTGGTCATCATTGTGCACGCTCATGCACCCACAACCTGAGAATCATATGGCTCAGGGTTGCTGGCATTCCACGTATTCTGTGATGATCGCAAGATTGCAGATGTCCAACACACTCCTGCATCCTCCGTGCTCTTGCTAGCGTTCATTGCCACATGTGCAGGCTTGTACTCAGGAAAAACTCTAGAGAACTATGTGTATGGGGTGTGTGCTTGGCATCTCCTCCATGGTATGCCATGGGTTATTGACCAAGCCCAGATCTCCGCACTAGAAGGTGCCATTCGCCTCGCACCCCCTGTGTCCAAGCATGCAAAATACTATCCCTTCACCGTCGACATTCTATCATGTATACACTCTGCCCTTGACTTGTCCTTACCGCTTGATGCTGCCTTTTTCGCCTGCCTGACTACCACTTTCTTCACCCTCGCACGCTTGGGGGAATTCATGGTCAGATCACTGAAAACCTTTGATCCCGCAGTTCACATCAAAGTCAGCAACATCAAATTCAACCAGGATCACAATGGATTCCGCATTACTGTGTTTCGTCTGCCATGGACAAAGACGTCCACAACAGGCAAAGATCTTTACTGCACTGAACAGTCTGGAGTAGTAGACCCACTAGAGGCCCTCCTGACTCACCTCAGAGTGAACAAACCTACTCCATCTTCCGCCCTCTTCAGCTGGTGTCACTCATCAGGTCTCCGACCTCTCACGCGCTCTGTATTCCTCCATCAACTGGAGTCAGTAACCACGGGTATGGAAAACGGCCTGCTGAAAGGACATGGGATCTGCATTGGTGGAACGACAGAGTACTTACTACGCAGGGTGCCATTCGACACCGTAAAAGTGATTGGGCACTGGAGCAGTGATGCCTTCACACTCTACCTCAGAAAGCACACCATCATCATGGCCCCTTATCTTCAAGATTCACCAGTGCTCGAGCCATTCATGCACTATGCGATTCCACAGACCTAATATGTGAGTTTCGCATCCTCTCCTTAAAATTGGGGGCAAGCACACACTAGCTGTGTCGTTCAGCTCCTAACTCTAGGGAATCACTGCTCATACTTGCCCTTAGGTTCGAAGGCCTGTTTCAGTCGATAAAACCTTGCTAGGTTTTCTGCCCAATCATGTAACGCTACTAGTATTTGCGTTAGCGTATTGAGATGTTTGAAGCAGTCAACAATAAAAATATTTATCTTACACTGCCTTGTCTGAATAAGCCTCGAAGATCAAATGCATAGACTGCTGGTCTGTCCCATACAGGATATTATGTACACCAGTTAGGGATCAGCATGGGTTACCCACAGGTATATCAGTGGGTTTTGAGTATTCTGAGGCATAGTCCTTCATTCTGGCTTGAAAACAAAAAAGAATTCATGCAAAACAGACCAGGATTGGGTGAGATATGGCTGGAATTGTCACAAATTGGTTGACTCTCTCTGAAAGATTCAGATGTGGAGGAATAAACTTTGCAGGGTTTTGCTTAAAACTTGTTCCAGCCATATCTCACCCAATCCTGGTCTGTTTTGTATGAATTCTTTTTTGTTTTCAAGCCAGAATGAAGGACTATGCAAACCCTCCAATATACCCATGGGTAACCCATGCTGATCCCTAATGTCAGTTCACTCATATAATATGAAGATAGGTCACTGTAGTATGTGCTCCCACTTACCCTTCCCAGAAAACACCCTTGTCAACATGATCTTAATGAACCTATCACTGCCACATGCTTGAGATCCATTTGGGAAACTCATGCTCCCAGGGCAAAGTCACTACACCTGAATTGGGACTCAGATGAAGAAGATGAATGTAAGAATGTGTAATGAGAAGTTCAAATGAAATGGGTCACTTTTACCCCTCCTCCAGCAGCTCTTGTCAAATACAGATGGATGAGTTAGACAAATTGACAAACAAGATGCATGGACTCGATATTGGGGATGCCACCTATTCTTGTGCTTTTTCTGTGGAGGACCAGATGTCATGCACTCCTGCTCAATTGCAGGAGACAATTTATGAGCAAAATGAATCATTTGCAATGGTCAATACTTTGCTTTTCCTGACAGGTTGCGCATATGGTGACTCGGGAATGAGACATTTAAACAGGTCATCAATGCTAGATATGCATGGCCCATGACTCCTGCAACCAGATCTAACACCATTCCCATTGATAATGCATGCCAAGAACCTTTGCAACAAACTCCCACTAACATTTCCTCCTCCACCTTTATATCTGAACTGCTCATGACCATCAATGTACATTCCTTTTATTGCCTTCCTATACCTCTAATCCATCTTATGCAGCCAACACTGACCTGTCTGAATGGTAATGCCAGTCTTCGAGCCTAGGTACTGTTTCGTCTCTGTAGCTGCCATAGTATCTGCAATGCCTTGGAGACAGAGATACATATGTGTGCAAGGTCCTCATCTTCAAGAATGGAGGTTCCTATTTGGCTATATCTATGGAGGGGCAGTGTCCAGAATTGCATGTAGTCCATAACCCATCTGCATAAATTTCAGGCATGATCAACCCCTCTTCTAACTGCTTTCGCTACAAGCTTGGAGCATTTCATCTGACCAAATCTGAGCTCTGGATCAATATACAGACTGATGAGAGCAATCATACTGGCAACATGAGCACAGATAAACATGTCGAGGTTATTTTTCCCATGCCTCACTATCAATTCAGCCTTGGCTCTTTGCAAAACTGGGAGATCTCGATGATCCAGAATTTTGAATGTGGCTGGGAACTTGGATTCAGCATCTGAATCAGCTGCAACATTAGTTTGTGGATCTGTGACTCGTTCAGCCTGAGATGGCAGGTGGGTCTGGACAATCTCCAGATCTGCAACATATCTGGTTCCTTGCACCATTTGTAATCTGATGGAAAATCATTCAGCATATTCCAATTTTGCATCTGTTATTTCTTACCTGCATTCTGTCTTCCTGTTTGTAGCTCTCAGGTTCTGCATTCTTTTGGAAGAATGACACTATGGATGGGAATCCAGCAGCCTCCATTTTCTTTCCCTTGAGTCTCTGCCTCCATTTTGTCCAGTGTGATAGACACTTACTTTCTGAGTCTGGTACAGAAACCCTCGTGGGTCAAATAGCAGCTAGGCATGGCACTCCAGATCCAACATATTGGCTGGGTACTTTACCAAGTATCCAGCCAAGTTGTGTCACTCACACTGGTCTGAATTTCCTAGGTAGACTGATTTTCTCATTGTGGTTTCTTGTCTTTGCCTAAAGGCAAGAAGGTCTTGACCATGTGCTTGGGTGATCCTACAGTGACTTGCAAAACCATTACAATGTGTGGTATCCTTGTAGTATACACGATATAGTGCCTGTAGGCATGGAAACCATGCTTTATGCTGGTGAGCGAAAATATAGTACTGTTTCCTGGCTACATACTGCTGGCACTTTGATTGTGTGATTTGGATCACAAGGTATTGAGATATGACCATTTTAAGATGGAGATACCATTGTAACAGTTTTGCAACTGTTGATATAGATGGTAGGATCTCAGTCAAATAAAAGGATAGTTATTGTTATTTGTTAATACAAATAAAGATATACATAAAAACATGATATCTGAGTTTGAAATTAGTCCCACACTTCATTATTCTCAACCATCACCACCATGAGATCTCTCTCTGCCACTCAAATGAACACCATTCTCTTCCAGCTTGATGCTGGTCATTCTATTCGCTCTATTGCCTCCAAAACTGGTTTCAGCACTGCTACCATCTCCAGACTTCATTCCAAAGAGCATTCTTCCTCGCAAAAGTCCATTAGTGGTTGTCCAACTAAGCTTTCCTCTGCTAATATTAGTCATGCTATTCATCTTATCTCTACACAGAAGGCAGAAACTGCTGTCCAAGTGACCAAATCTCTTTCAAACATTATCAACCAGCCTCTCCATCCAAGTACCACTTGTTGCTACCTTAAAAAGCTGGAATGAAGGCTGTAGTCAAGTCCAAACACCCTCTACTTTCTACCAAACACCCCAAAGCACACTTAGACTTTGCCTATGCTCACAGAGATTGGACTTTGGAGGACTGGAAGTTGGTTATAGGTACAAGGAACTGTCAAATTTGGTGGAGGTTCCTTGATGATGTGGGGTTGTATGACCTGGAAGGGAGTTGGCTATGCTGCTAAGATTGATGGTAGAATTGATGGGGATCTTTACCTTCAAATTTTGAAGGATGAGCTTCAGAATTCCCTGGAGTTTTATGATCCTAATCCTTCTGATGTCATCTTTCAGCAAGACAATGACCCTAAGCACACCTGCAAAAAGGTCAGGGAGTGGTTAGATGACTAGGAATTTAGGACTATGATATGGCCTGCACAATCTCCTGACCTTAACCCCTTAGAACATCTCTGGGTTCATCTCAAAAGAAGGCTTGCAGAGTATGAGCACCCTCCTAAGGGAATGGAGGAGTTATGGAGAAGGATTGAGGAAGAATGGAATAAGATATTAGCAGAGGTGTGTCAGGGATTGATTGAAAGCATGCCTAGGAGGATTCAAGCAGTGATTAGAGCAAAAGGAGGTTATACCAAGTACTAATATTTCTCAAATACCCTGATCATTACAATAGTTGCAAAACTGTCACAATGGTATCTCCACCTTAAAATGGTCATATCTTCAGGCCTTGTGATCCAAATCACATAATCCAAGTGCTAGTATGTAGCCAGGAAGCAGTACTATATTTCTTCTCACTGCCACAAAGCATGGTTACCATGCCTGAGATTTGTGAGCCAATGTCCTGGTAGACTTTGCTTCACATTTTTAGTGGATCATGTAGGATTTTATATATCACATGACATGGCCAAATTCAGGACGTCGAATTTATGTTCCCTCATCAGTCTGCGTCTGAAGACTATTCGAGGTGTTTCTAAAAGTTGAAATAACGTGACAGGAAATAAACATTATTTGATTTTTTTTTTCGCAACACATTGTAGTCAAAGGTATCTGGAATGCATTCTTGCATGCTAATAGGCTCTAATGTGCAGCATGTTTGTGAAATAACCTGTATGCAGAGGTGATACAAAATGTGGCTGGATCTGGATGTCGTCTGCCACTATCAGCAGTCCCAGAGCACCACCGTGGGGCAGGGTCATTGTTACTCTGCACTATCTCGGGTAGCCAATGGTCACCCCCAGCAGCGACCAGCAACTCCCAATTGTTTTTCTCAGTGGCTTTGTCGTGCATGGTATGGAGTTCATACCATGACATATGCAAGAAGAAGTATAGAAGGAGATGATTAGGAGAGTGTGTGAGGATATATCTCTCACTCACAAGCTTAGTCATCTGTTTCCCATTAACTTGCATTTATAGTTTCAGCCACTTGATTACATCAGTGAACCACTCAGATATGTTTGCAAGCACGACATGTGACTGGTGATATTCTGATTTGTAAGGATTTTTCCATGACTTATCATGTTTTGTCATGCAGCACACCAAAAGGCTTGGTTTGTAAGCATATTCTTGCCAATCCAGTGATGAGTCATTGCTTAGTAAGGATGGTTTCTAAAATGTATATAAGGACATGATCAATAAGTTTTTCCCTCTTCACCGTGAGATTCATAAGATTTGAAGTGCAGGAGTTCTCCCTCTTTCTGTCTCAACAGTGTGAGATTACAAAGGAAGTGAAGGCCTCGAGATTGCATCAGAAAACCATCGTATTAGTGAGTTTCCATTAACCTGACGAAATACCCTACTCCTTCACTTCTCAAGAAGTGATCGAGCAGAGAAGTAATTCATTACCCTTCGGCCACCCACAAACAACGCGTCATCAACCGAGAAGTAGAAAATCCGTTGACCGTGAACTCGAGGAGCCAGCACCTCAGTCTTGACCTCGACTCAATATAAGACCCTCAAGTAAGAAGACAGCGTTAACGTCACACTACCTTTTCACCATTGCCATTATTGTGGCTTCACACGCCATGGCAGTCCTAGAGTGCTACTGCGGGGGGGCAGGGTCGAATTTCCATGCAAAGCAATATGCCATGCACTGGATTGAAATTCAACTCTTAGCATGGCAGTCTTGGACTGCACTGCCATAGTGGGGCAGGGTCGTTTTATTTTATTTAACTCGCCTCCTTTGCACCATGGCAGTCTCAGAGTCCCATGGCTGCATGGGAGCAGGGTCGATTTTGTATGCAAAGCAATATGCCACACGGTCGTTTGAAATCCATCTCTCAGGTTTACTTGCTGCAGCAGTCTTGGACTGCCGCCATGGGGGCAGGGCCTTTTCGTCACAGAAGCAGGTGGATGCTCATTTCATTCATCTCAACTGGCTTTGCACCACGGCAGTCCCAGACCACCACCATGTGGGGGGGGAAGGGTCATTTTTTTCGTGCTCTCATTCATGTTTGGCTTCATGTGCCACGGCATTCTTGGACTGCCACACATGGTGGGCCAGGGTCGTTTTTACAACAGAAGTGGGGGGGGACATTCATTTTATCTCATCCACGGCAGTCCCAGAGCGCCGCCGCGACTGGGGGTCATTTTTTCAATGAGCGCCCATTCGAGAGGCATGGGGGTGGAAGTGGCAGTCTGGCGGATTTCGACCTTCATGCCATGTGGGTGACAGTCTCAGACAGTCAGAAAGGGAGTCAGTCCGAGAAGGGCCAAGGGGAAGATGGACAGCCCCCCCCCCCATGGGCAGCCGTCCTGGAAGGCCGCAAGCTGGTGTTTCCTCCCCTGGAGCATGGGGGAACCAAAATCTGAGGGGCCATGGGGAAGATGGACGGCCCCCCCACAGGCGGCCATCCTGGAAGGCCGCGAGCCGGGGGTTTCCTCGTGGGAGCGTGGGAACTGAAACCCTGGTGGGAAGGGGGGCCGTGGGAAAAAGGGACGGCCCTCCATTGGCGGCCGTCCTGGAAGGCCACGAAGCCGTATTTTCTCCAAGGGGGGGGGGGGACCTGCGGGCGGCCGTCCAGGAAGGCCGCGAGGGACCGTTGGGAGACGAAAAAAAAAACCTGAAGGGGGAAGGCCGTTCCCACGCCTGAGGGCCGCCTGGAGGGTGCTCATACCAGGTTACAAATGTGCCCTTAGAATGATGTTAAACAGTGCACAAGAAAAGGCCATCAGTTCGTCCAAAGTCATTGACATCCGGGAGTTGTAGAAAAGCTCGTCATCACCCATCGTCGAGAGAGATTGAGCATAAAGCTCGGTGAGCAGTAGTAGATGTGGCCACGCTGACGCCAGCGAGGGGTCTTGATCATGATCAGTATGATTCACTGCGGGAGGTATAAAGACGAACCCATCAAAGATGACATATTTTCATCTTTCCCGAGTGGAGAGTTCCGTACATAGTCGCGGTAAATCTCATGCACAAGTCCACCCCCTCCATATAGCAGCAGCGTACTGAGTATTTTGTCCTTCCGAGTAGGCCATACGGTGCACAAGTTAACATGCCATGATACAAGATCGGGAAGTGCGCCACGATCATGCTGAGCTGCCTTGAGCAAGGCATTCAAGTGCGAAGGACTCGGAATTCCGAATCACTAGTGTCTGCCCAAGACATTGCGGGGGCGCGGGCATCAGATGCTGATGGTGGATCGAGCGCGTGCACAGGGAGGATGCTCAGTGAAGCAGTCATGAGCTGGAGATATGTTTTCAAAGACGAAAGAGGCAGAATCGCGTATCTTGGGGAGGTAAAAGCATACAGGTTGGCTATGAGATGCACACAAGATTGGAGAGGGATTGTGGAGACAAGGTCAGCAATAGAAGTCGACAAGAGTGACAATGAAGATAGAGGAAGTTTTTCGGAAAGGGCTGTGAGTGACGAGATCGGGATTCGATTTGAAAGAAGAGGGATTATGGATGACGAACGACTGAAAACACTGCAAAAATGCCTCTGATGAGCGTTGTAATGTGTTGAGCGGGCGATGAGTCCCACAAAGAAAGGTAGGGTTGGGGCATTCTTTGTCTCCGGCCCCTGTGGATGATATAAAAGATATAGCCTGGAGCTCCTACTTGACACGATTGCTGTTGTTATTGGCTTGAGAGGCGAGGGATGCAGCACGTGGCTCAGTGTAATAGAGTGGTGCACTCTGGGTGTCAGGTTAGTCATTGTGGGTGATGATGTCGAGAGGAGACATTCAGAAGCTCCGACAACTTCGCTGATGCTGATATCATCGATGAAGCGGAAATCTTTAAGATTTCGCCCGCGTCGAATGTAGGCTCGAGTACTAATCCTGGATTTTCCTTGGACAGATCAAAGACAAGTGAAGCTAGCTGGTGTTTTGAATTTTATGGTGCCCACTGAAAGCACAGCGTCGGGAGTCAATGCTGCAACAAATGAGTCACATTGCCGAGAGGCTTGCAGTCAAAGATATGATCTGATAATCGATGTACATACCCCTCAACGCTCCGTGACTGCATTGAAGAGGCTAATGCGGACCTTGGGTCGAATACTAGATGCATCGACAACGACTTCCTGGATCACCGCTCACTGGTACGTATCTTGAGTCTGGTGATAGGATCGATTTGATGTAGGGTTTCTTCGTTACTTCCTCTTTGTCGTGGAAAGTCTTGGCAGAATTGTCCTCCTTCGTACCGAACAAGGGGAGCTCGGCGAGCTGAATATCACTTGTCCCAAACAAGTACGAGTATTTCTAATAGCCATAATCTCACAGCGACAGAAGTAAGACTCGCTAAAATATCCGACTCATTATGATAAGAAGCGGGTTTAGCAACTTTGCTCCCCCTGCCAAAGTCTACAACACACACGAAAAACCCACCAGGTTAGAGTTACTGAATACAGGAATGCCAGGTGGAAGCATATGTACTGGGCTACTGGGCATGAGTGAGTTGCGCGCGTCTGCGATGGCTTTGAGGATACCGCAGACGATGGCGGTTGCGGTTGCGTTCACGTACCTGAGGGGAGTGACTTGTGGGAGGACGGACATGGGTTCTGACTAGCGCAGTGTTAGGGGACATATAGAGGTCTCCATAGAGCGATTCAAGAGAGAAGAAAATGGTTCATTAAATGCCGGTGTCGCCAATGTAAATATCTGTTTGTTGGGGGTCACGTTGAGTTGGAGTATATAAATTGGATATGAATGACGCACCAGAGTCAATGAAGAGAACACGTTCAGACCGGTAGGGATGATAAAAGCACGATTGCACTGGCGCATGTGGAAGCCTGTGTCAGTCTGTGGTAAGAATGCATATCCCTAACGCACTGCTTAGCTGGTAGAGTCAATCAGAGTTGAAGTGGGACGTACCATCATGTTTGTCTCGATGACTGGGTTGATACAGATATTCCCCGCTGCTGAAACTGCTACCACCCTGGGCCTCGACAGTCGGCGGAATGGCGGCAAAGAATGCAGCTAGATACATGACGAATATGAGCATAGCGTTGTAAATCCAATTGAATGGAAATTTGGCCGAGTCTGTGTGCTGTGCCACGAGACCTGTCAAGTCCAAAATTACATATGCATGTACCCCTTAGAAATCTCCTCAGGTCAAAGGCCTTCAAATCGAAATACTAGGCTTGCAGTCGTTGTAGTGAGCGTCGAACTCTGAATCAGTCGTCATACTGCTGATCAGATATTACAGTAGCACTGTTTGGTCAGCATCCGACTTGTTAGCGCTGTTATTAATTTATTACTTAGCTGCAGGCCTCGTGAAAACCTGTTACTTGTTCAGGCGGTTACAGGCTATAATTGCCTCGTGTATCCCAGGATTATTGCTTCTAGTCCACGCACCGGAACTTTTGTCAGGAAGCCATAATCCCAGTCCCCATTCAACTCATCACCGCAGGCTTTCAAAGCATGTCCTCCAATAAAGGCGGCCCCAATTCCTACAACAACGGCGCTCCTCCCAAGTGAGATCACTATAGTTTTTGCGCGGGAAGGACGCTAGAAGACTCATGGATGGGCCACACCAGATACCTCAACGATTTTAGCAAAGCGCTTGCGAGCGAAGTTCGCATCTTGCTGGCAGAGGTAGGAAAGCTTAGGGATGAGCGCAGACAGCTTCAATTGTACGCATCCGCCTTTATCTGCTCAATGTGCGCAGCTGATTGCCAACGCGAACAGCGAAATTGCCGAGCTTATGGCCGTTAAATCCAAACACGGCGCAGGAGGTGAATATTCTCCTGATTGGAGGCCACCTGTGAGTGCTATGAGATCTTGAGGCATCACCGAACCCTGATATCTTGTAGCCTCAGGACCCGCCTCCGCCTCCACCCCCTGCAGCTTCGCCTCCTCCAGAAGAAGGCTTAACTGGCCCCGCCCGCCCAGCCTGGAGGGTCGTCCACAAACCACAAAGACGAGAAAAGCCGGCTCCCAAGAGTCTGCCTGCTCCGGCTCCCGTTCCTGCGATCGAGCCTCCAAAGCCAAATCTGCCCGCATGGGCGCAATGGAGGCGTATGTGTTATCTCGCTTCTGATTCATATCTCATGATTGAACCAATCTGCATGTTTCAGCAAATCCTGCGCACGCACCGGCACCGATGCCTGCGCCTGTTTCGCCTAGGCCTGTGACGCCGGCTGCACGTCCCGGTCTTTTCGGTACGTCAATGTGTCCCATGATTAGGCCATGTTAACTTTTCGTTGTCTTCAATTCCAGGTCCACCAACTCCCCCACCAAAGTAGAAGAAATCAAACAATTATAGAACCCATCCATCTATATCAACCGGTGTTTATATCCTTCATCTACTGTTACCATCTTGCATGCTCTTGGAAGTCTACCTGTCATCGTTATCTCTGAATTGTATGATGTCCACTGGAGTGTGTACGCAATTTATTTATATATCTTGACTACCACACAATTAATGATCTAAGTTGCCTATTCCTACTGCGTGATATATTCCGATTGTGAAACTAAACACGAGGCCAATGAAGTTGGAGGTAACTTTAGTTGATAGCACACATTACGAAAAGAGTGGAAAAGAGATACTGCGAGAGTTGCGTGTCGTGCAGGGGTAGATGACGGTAGCCTGCAGATGTGACGTCAATACCTGAGAGCCACGCCACAGCCCTGAAAATACTGACCCATCGCCAAACTTCCGAGGCTAACGCAATATACGGCAATCGGCTCTTCATCGTTGTCGCCATCCCTGCGCACCGCGAAGCGCACAAAGATCAAATCAAACATGTCGCCAACACAGTCGAATGGAAGGCTCAGTGCCTCCTGCCAAACAGGGTTGAAGCCATTGTTCTTGACTGAATTGGTGCGTCTGGATAGCAGTCGGCCAGTAGAACCAGTTGAGGAAGGTGGAGGGGTTGCAGGAGAAGAGGATGAATGGTGATGCGAGGCGTGAGGCCAGTCGGGAATGTGGATGGAAACTTCAACGTATGGGTCTACCATGGACTTATCCATGATCTCGTGCCCGAGGGAGTCTTTCGGACGAGGTAGCTGTTGAGCGGAGATGACCTATGAAAGCATAAAAGTTGCTCGCATCAAGTACAGCGAGGAAAATACATACCACTATGTCAAGCGAATGTTGAGTATAACGAGATAGCAACTCCTTGTCATGTGTACGGAGGGCCAGGGGCTTTAAGACGTAGCCCGCTCGTCCGTTTCGCTGGAACATGGCATGGTTGATCATGTAACCCAGATCTTGACACCAATCAGCACCAAATAACGATAACCAATCTTAGAAATGTACCGAACGTCTGCCAGTTAATAGCCACGAGCTGCGCGCCAGCAGTCCAATAGCGATGAGGCAAGTAATTAGACGAGTTCACCCTTGAGCCTTTTGGATACAGTCGAACTAGATGTGTCCTATTGTGCTTGATAAGATCTACCGTTCCTTGCTTCATCACCTTGTTAGCCGTCTTCTCTGACAGAGAGAACATGTGTTCTGGTGCGTAGTGCTCTTTCTTGTTAATACCTCGGCACTTGACACCAACGGTGTATACAAGGAGGCTCGCGACAGCGATCGACATCTTAACTTTGCTGACGTCGCGAAATTCCGGTCGAGCAGGGGGCTCAGACGTCGCTATAGAGGTCACAGTTGGCACAGTAAGAGCAGCTACGCCAGACATGTTGTGGGAATGTCCACTGCGAACACGATCAAATAGACCGCGGGCCTTCTTTAACTCGTCCTTTACCTCTATCGCATCTATGAGCTACGAAAAAAGTAGACTTGCTGCGCGTATCTCACCGTTGATAGCGTCCATTTCAAAGACCTTTGGCCTTATCCGTTCGTCCCTGATGTCTTGAACAACATCTGAGTCTGTGGATGTTTCGGTAGAAGAGGAGTCCATGTCGATGCTGACTTCTTTCGTACGAATAGATTCGTTCTCTGAGACATAGAGGTTCTTTGCCTGGAGGTGGCGGTGTTGTAAACACGAGGATCCACCCATATGAAAAACAAAATCCACCTTCAATAGCACCTTCCCTTTCAAATGCTCCGGACTTGGGAGAACTTCTAGCGTTGGGCGTCCTTCCAGAGGTGCACTGATAAGTGCATTTTGGAATACATCGCGCATGACCTCTACCATCATCTCCTGTTGCAGCACCGAACAGTGGATTTCGGCAGATATGATGATGGGGTATGGAGACGTAACGAAAGCGTACTTTGCGATGGCTTCGCACACTTCTCTCACTGGAACTTTAGAAGTGAATGTCTTTCCATGAAATATCATCGGCCCACTATCACCATCGTAAACGTCAACTGTGACAAACGTAGACGAAATGAGTCAAAGAAACTCCAGAAAAGATTGCACTTACTCTCGACGCTACGGCAACTGTGCAGAAGAGCCCGGATGTAACCCTCGATTGTACTAGAACCAACGAGTTGGTTGCCGATAAGATATGTATTGTGCGAGGAAGAGATAAGATACTCCGAAAGTGGACGCGTCATATCGTGCCACACTTTGCCTTGCTGCTCTATGAAAGCTGAATTGTCGGAAGACAAAAGAAATGAGGTAAAACCATCAAGTGACATGACCAGTTTGGGAGACCGAGAAGATGCAGAAAGTTTGTGAGTTACATAGGCCACTGATACGTCGATGGGAGCTGTGAGTGCCTGTGAGATCACAGTATCGGACGGGGGAGAAGTAGACAATGGAGGAGAAAATAATCTTGCGGGCGGAGATGCGGGTCCCTCGGGCGAGGGTGGGGAATGTGGTGGGCTGGCATCCGATGAACCATCCGGTTTCTTAGCGTAATGCGCGAACAGTTCTAAGAGTTCCTGGCGGGACAGTGTAGACTGAATGATAATCAGTTTCGCAAAAATGGATCAAACCGAAGAACATGCCTTCTGAGTATTACGCATGAAATGCTCAAAGACGCTAAAATCAAATTGCCCGTCGTTGCTGTAGCATAGTCTCTTGTACAACAGGGTGACATCTGGGCGCGCCTTGAGCAGTTTGACGAAGCGCTGAAAGCCAGAGAAGTCAAGAAAACTTTGGCACTTCGTGTCTGCTTGCTGTGCAGTTGTGAGCTTTTTTGTGCGAGAAAAATGAAAATTTCCACCTTGAACAGTCGCTTTAGTTCCTCTGTCGAAGTATTAACATTAAGGCGTCTGCAGAGCTTCTCCACTTCATCAAAGCGCAACTTCTGGTCGCTCGACTCATCCGATGCCGTCCAGTACTGCTTCTCCCAGATCGCACGTCTGATCTCCTCATTCCCAAGACCCGTCATAAGTTCTTGGCGTATTGCATAAAGCTTCCTCAGTGTGATGTCCCACATGCGGAATACATCCTTAGTTGAAGAGATCAGGTGAAGGGTTTTATAGGCGCCATTGAGAATGTAGATGATGGTAATCCATCTATCTTCATAATCCTGCGCAAGTTGGAATTGTTGGCGATAATAGCGGGCGTCAGATGAGAAGCGAAGCTCCTTGATATTCTCGATAGGAACTGCAATGGTTCGGTATGTCAACAGCCCAGAGGAGAGTCGCAGGTCAAAGTACATACTGATACGCAGTTTCTTGGATTGCCATATGATCTGACCTTGATCAGGATCGAGTTTAAATATATAGCTCTTCTGTTTTCCAGGAGATATTTTTGTCATATGTACTCCTTCTCTTAGCAGTAGAGGAACCGTTCCGTCGGCCATGGATGACTTTTCAGCGATGCGTTGTGCGGATGGTGCGATATCAGAGCCCGTTGTGCCTGGTAAATTGGGCACGGCAAGCGTCGTCGTCGATTGCTCTTCTGATGACAAGATTGTGCTAGGCGTACTCATTGAGTCACAAAGAGGAAGACAATGATCGTCCTTCCTATTACGGCGAGCATCTTGACTCCTCGATCGAATAGACTTGACAATTGGAGCCGTTTTCGCCTTGAGAAAACCTATCATAGAATCTCTTAGCGTCCCATTCCCATCATCCAAGTGTTTCGTGTGTAAGGCCATTCCCCTGTCTGAAGACGGGTCCGGTGCGAAAATTTGTAGTGCTTCCTGCGCAGCTAGCGTGGGTATGCCAGTACTTGTCAACAAGCCTTTGGCACGTTCCAGGATGTGTCTCGGAGTTGCTATCTGCCTCTCTATAGCACGTATGGGTCTACTGTGGTCGCCCATGGTTGTCCAAGGTCAGAGTGACGCTTTGACGAGAATGTGGAACCCACAGTCGTTGTGCATGTGTGATATATCTGGTAGAGTCGTAATAGAAGTTACAAGCCTTGGCGGTCGGAGACGGTGTACTGCGCACTGCCTATTGATGGATTTCGAGAGGAATGGAAGTCCAACCCCGGATAGAATTTCATCGCGCCCGTGTGGCACGTTTGCAACGCTGGCAGCACGAGGGAGGGTACAAATTTAGTAATAAACAAATCTATGTCTATATATACAAAGTTATAATTATGGTTAGTTCAAGTTCCTGTGGTTGAATCATGTACTTCTATCAAGTCAGTTGTGAGGAGTGTAGGATTGTGAAGAGACGATGATAAGAAAGTTACAGTAAGAGACGAAATAACTAGGGCTACACGTGCACGAGTGTTAAGTATGCTGTGTTGGGTGTGAATTGTGAGAAGACATGCAGTGATGACCAACAAGTCAAGTCCACGACTCCGCTTAACGAAAGTCAACAATGACCTCAGCCAACCAAACGTCATCATGGACGTTCCAAAGGGCTGAAAGCATGAGGCGATTAAAACCGATTCCACCATTTCCGAAGCGCCAACTGGCGCCATGCTGTGCAGGGGGGTAACCTTGCAGTTCCTGTAGAAATGCTGTGAGTGTGAACGCGACCGGAACCGGAGAAAGGACGAACCTCAATGAAGCGCGCAAATGCATGCGCAACTTGGACGGCGAGTTGCCCGCGGGTGAGAGGACCAGCCGGAGTGTGAATATCAAGGGGGTGACTGCGATCAAGATGCTCATACCCCGGCCACTATAAAGTAAAGATAGAGATCAGGCAACAGGTAAGAATACATGGCATGAGTTAATTTACCAAGATCTTGAGATTGACTCTGCGAAAGCCAAGAGATCCACTCATTTGAGCACCGACGCCATCATTCGCACCGACGAGCATACGTTCCAGTGCACCTCCTGAACGAGCCAGCAGTTCACACATAGGAACGCCAAGGCCATGTGAGGGAGCCCCATGAAGCTCAAAAGTGATAGCAGGACAAGGAGGTGAACGACGAGATGTCGGCATCTTTGATAATGGCGCCTGAGGCAGGCGTCGGTGGGTGGGCGGCATAGTTTGAGAAAAGGGAGGTTGATATGCGGAGCAGGCACCAGCAAGAGCAGTGTATGATGAGCGAATGCTGCTGGGAACGGGGGGATGAAGAGGGTTCATGTAAGACATCGTAAAAAGTTATGCGTGTACAGGGAAAGAAAGATTATTAGACTGAGTACTTGGTGACGACAGAACATGTAAAACTAACCTTCATTTTATACCATCGTATGTCAAAGAGCGACACAAACTCGTATGGGTGGCTCGAGCCAACACCGTCAAAGGTACGTAGTCAAAGCGATTGCTGCAGATTGTGTAAACCAAAAGAAGTGTACACATCTTTGTGGAAGGTTGCCTTACGGATGATGTTTTGTGCGTCATCTTGTCCGCGAACTCTTTGACTTACGCTTTGATGCGAGTCCTTTCATAAATCTCTGCTTTGAAGATATCGATAAGCGCCTCCTATTAATTGCTTTGAGCGTAGTATGTGACGTGAAGAGGATAAGTTGACACGAGGCAGTCTCTCAGAAGATAGTCGGAGGTCTTCTGTGAATTCCCACAGTGGTTACTATGATACTTACACCCTCGATAAGATCACAATCGCGACTCAAATATACGATCTAGAGGACTTGGGAGTTGGGATACATCAATCACTACGTCGTACAACTACATCATCGACTTCAACAATACAATCATTCTGAAGCTTTCTTCTTCTTCTCTTCAATGATCACAACATTGTCCGCAGGCACGCCCTTCAATGGACCAGCTCCACCTTCCATAAGCTCCAAAACATCGTCTGATACATCTCCCTGTACTACGATCTCATCCTGTCCCTGGGCGTTCTTGGTGACGGATGCCCCAGTAGCGAACTTCTGAGCAAGGAATTTAGCAGCTTTCTTCAAGTCAATGTCTACATGTAATTAATTTCATTTAGTGGGTTACCCTCGAAGCGATAGACATACCAAATGCCTCAAGGCCATGGATAGCTGTAACGTGTTTCCGCTTGTTACGCTCGATGCGTTTAATCGATACTTGCGACGCCTGGAGGAATTTTAGTGATGAATGTGTAATCCAGGTAGCTTAAGAACGTACCATCTTTTTCTTAAGCGCAGCATCCGCCTTTGCCTCAGCCTTTGCCTCCTTTTTTGCAGTATCCTTCTCAAGTTTTGCCTGCGCCTCCAAGCTGAGGGTACCAATCTTTGACTGGAGAGCCTCTTTAAGATCATCGAGATCAGTAGAGACTAGTGCTGAGATGGAATGCTTACCATCTGAGTAGTACTTTTCAAAGAGCTGAGGGCGTGCTCCCTGGAGCCATTCCTTGCATCTCGTCAAGCTGGAGCCAAATTCACAATATTCAGGAGGAAATGTGCAGACTAAGAAATCGACGGACATCAGCAACACGGGTTAAATAGTGAAAATCGTGTTTACTTTGGCAGTACAGGACCTCTATCGGACGAACAGCCTGGGGCTCTTGTTGGTCTGAGGAAGACATGATATTGGTGGACACGTGACTTATAGGCCATGACGATCTAACCCCACTAGCTAGGCTGCACGAACCTAGTACTTCAGTCCTTCCGCATATACTATCGACTGTGCCTTGTGATTTATGGCACTATTAGTATATAGCTTTCCAGCCTTCAAAAGAAATTTCTTGGTGACAAAGTTCTTCCTTCAGATTTTTCCGTCTCGAAATGTTTGTGACATTGCTTATGTAAAGGCGCTAAAAGTGATTAACACAGCGCTTGACACTAAACAACAGTGTTCCTAACAGAAGAACACGAACATGATTATCAAAGCGATATAGGAATGGACAGGATTAGAAGACACAAAGCTCATCACTCCAGACACACGTCATCGGAATGATCGGATGGAGTTTCGTCAGATGAACTCGTGCCGCAGCGGTGCTATTAGCATCAGAATCTACTTGGGACTGGGTGGATAACAGGGATACGCTCGGATGTAACCCCGACGCATCTAAGCGCTGACGCTCTAGTCCCTTCAATTTGATTTCGCCGAGAGGGACAACAACCCTCTGCAGTCTCCGGATCGCCTCGTAGCCTGAGTTGGTTGATACATCGAGTGTGTACCAATATCGAACAGGCCCACATAAATTTCGTAGACAACGTCGGCGCTGCGCACAATTTGTCCACCAAACGCGCCTGCACAAACACAGGCGTCTGCCCAGATACTACAGACAGCGCCTTGTCCTTTTTGCCAAGCGCTAAAATCGGGCATGAGTGTCACCAGAGATCCACTCTTCCCAGTGGTGTCAACGATTCCGTTTGTAATTCCATTCACATTTGTCCGAGAAGTACGAACACGCCGTTGGCCAGTCTTTTCGGGAACACCGTGGGTGGAAGCAGCCATGAGATCTAACCCAAGAACAGGAAGATGAAGAAGCCGAGAAATGTTGGCAAGCACCCTGCCGTCTTCATTCTCTTCGCATCATCCATGGTTGTTCTGCTTGAAATCCAATGTTTGGTTTGCGAAGAGGTCGGCTCTGATCGAGGAACTTTGAGTCACGATTGAGATTGCTGCAGAAATCATCTGTACATGTTCTAGATGTTAATACATACCAATTTGTACTATTGACTCAACGATTGCTGTACCTTGACGAGTGGCAGAGGGTGGAATACACGGTAGTCTGGTTGATGCTGTGTTAAGAGTATACAAATGGCGGATATGGAGAAATTCGCCATTACGCAGGTGTGGCAGCATTCTCGATTGTGATGGACCACGAATGTTTGACTTCGGAACTTTACCGAAATGAATACCTTGTAGGTGAGGCGGCCGTAGTACTATAGCATAGTGTTCAAAACCCAGCCTGAGTGAGGCCTTCTCGCACTACAGACGTCCTTAACCGGTCTTAGCCAAGTGGTAAGCGTGACAGGACGGAAATCTGCTGCAGGTTCGAAATCGACTCAACAATATTTTTACTTTTATCACGTTTTGAACATTCACTTATGGATGTGAGGGTTGTTTGCCTCTATTGAATTGTAAAGCTGCTGACTAAGCACCTGCACGACTTCATACCTACCTAGTTTGCTAATGTTGAAATTTAAACGTCTTACTGACGCCCATCGCCTAATACACGACCAGCGTCCAACTCAAGGTGATCTATAAAGAAGTCAAACACCCGCATTATTTCCTTATAATATGAGGAGATTTCATTCTATTTTCGAGTCCCGAGTCGGATAGATCATAGTTTATTGGGACTCCTGGGAGGCTGTCTATTATTTTTTGACTCGGGATACCAAGGGTCTTACTGACAAAGATACATCGTAAATATAACAGTACGACGTATTGTCCGAGGATTCCAGAGCTATGGACGTCCTTCGGGCGACCAAGGAGGGTTGTTAGTCTCAATGCCGCCGACACCACCTTCGTAGACGCCTTCAATGGAGAGCTGCAAAGTTGGAGTGACAACTGTCGGTTCCATAGCCCACAGCGCGACAGCAACAGTACTATACGGAAGTCAATAATCATCTTACGGTCACACCAAGGGTCGTACTTTGTGCCATTGTAGTCCAGAATACCTTGCTGGACAGGGAACTGATACTGGGGCCTGTACTTTGCTATCAGCCCAGTTCATATAACAAATTGAAACAGGCGTACCCAAGGTTGGACACCCTCTTACCCATCATCCATCCGTTGACGTATAACTGAGATCGATACGGCTGAGAGGTGTTGTCAAACACGAAGGACATTGGAACATCAAATCCATCTGGGATGCTTAAGTTGAATGTCGTAATAAAGAACCCAACACCGGCGGCGGCGTTGGGCAGACCCTCAGAGAGAGATCTCAGCGCCCAAGAAGAAGTATCAAACTCAGGTAAGTGCCAGCCCATGCGTTCACCATAGAGACCTCCTTCATTCAGCACCCCGCGTACCTTGTCGAGATAACTGTGTCGTTATGAGCTGACGAGGTGGTCATGCCGGAAAAAGGAAAACGCACTTGGTGTATCCGCCAATTTTACCCTGAACCTTCCATTCACCGAACTCTCCAGTATTGAGCATGAAGCCACGGATACCACGAGGAGATTTCTCTTCGTCGATAACAGCTAAAATCGTCATCAACGTCAGAATCGCTTCGGTCTGAGTTCAACACGTGGCTTACAGCCCGACTCATTGAGGCCCATATTATCCTAGATCTATCATCGGTGACAGCAATGGCCTAGAACATGAGAACCCACCTGAAGGATAGTGATGACGTTCTCTTGCCCGTAGAGCAAAGATCCTGGAGGGAAGTAGAACTTATCATCCGTTTCTTCCAGAATATTTTGGTCGTTTGTGGAGCTATGTAGTTGGGGTTAGTAACACCCTCAGATCGTATCCATGATGATGATTTACTTTCCGTAGGACGTGTTCAAGAACACGTCGTTCACCCAAACAGTGGCGGCGAAAGCTAATTGACGTAATCAGCATTCAGACATCTCTTATTCCCTTTAGACCCACCTTCGCCGCCATTGATGGAGAGATTGACAGATTGTGTGTTTTCCGTGGCATTGAAGTGCCCGCGCCAAAGTACGATGTTCTCGCAGCTGTTGGTCAATGAGCTATAATAAAGGACGCAGACCAGTCGATGACTGACTATTCATAATCACAGCCATAGAGAACCCTCCCGTCCCCGTAGTAAGGCTTGAAGGGCATGTTCGTGGTGGTATGGTCAGCAAGAGTCCAGTTGGCATCAGAGAACCCGCTGCGGATTTCCGGCAAACTGTCTGCATATCTCCAGTTTGTAAGTGCGGGTGGAGCAAAGCCAAGCACCGTGGATGAGGGCTTTAGTTGTGCTACAAAGCCTCCTTGGATGGTCAAATTTGAGACTGCAGCAACATCAAGTGAGATAGGAATTCCGTTCCATGTAACGGTCTTCACGTCATCAGGCGCAATGACTGTAAGTTGAACGCTGTCATTCAAGTCGCCACGAAGGGCGAGCGTCGATTCGGTGATTGTAGCATTGCGAACTAAATAAGGACCTCCAACCAGGATGGAGGTATTCGTGCCGAACTGCCAATAGTTGGCAAACTCGACAGAATCATCGGCAGAGATTTCGGGCGACCAAAAGGTTCCAGCGGTGTCGGTATCACTATAGAGGACAAGCTGCTCATTGGAATCCCAAATCGTGATGAGCCCTTGAATGCCTGGGAGGAAAGTGACGGAAGTGACGCCATTAGAGGATACCGAAGAAACTCCTGTCCCTTGTATGCGAGGTGTACCATTCAATGTCAGAGCAGCCTCTGACTCAGATGTGGGATCGCCGTAGAGGAACAGTATATCCCTCCCACCAATCTGGCCTGCAAAAAGAACCTGCGCTGTGGAGTAGAGAACCTTCGATGACAAGCCAAATGAGTAATCAGTGATGATAATTTTTGATTGTCTGCCCTCAAGTGTGATTCCTGATGTAAAACGGGGGACCTCAAAGCTACCAGCAGAAGTGGTGACATTCAGCTTGAAGGTGGTTACATCCCTAACGGAATTGTAAAGACAGGTTAACGTGATGGCATAATATGAGCTCACGTTGTTGTGGAATTTCCTTGTCTTGCAATATAGAACGACGCGGCTGAGTCGGGGTTCCTTAACAGAGTTACAAAGGCAGCCGGATTGGAGACGAAAACCATGCCACCAGTACTGTTTCCAACCCAGTCCGTCTTATAGAAATCTGGGGAGCTTCGCAAGAAGAGACCTTGACGTTTAAGTTCCGGATACTTGACAGTCAGCTCCCTGTTCTCTGCAATGGCACTCCCATAATCGTATGAAGCTGTGAGTCGATGAGCTAGCAGTTTCACTGTTGGAGGGATAGAGCCTCACTGTAAACTCCGGGGAAAGGAAGGGCACCCCATGAAGTTCCTCTGTAAGCGTGTTGAGCTTTACACCAAGTACAAGAATGAAAGGCTTGCCCGTATAGCATGTAGTAGTTGATTAGTTTTGCGTTGGATGCCCAAAGATTAAGGTTGAAGACATTCTCGAAATTGGCTCCTGTGAGTATGCGGCATTGATCGTAACCTAACAGGAAGGTCATGTCAAGGCGCAACCAAGGCGTAGACTAATGATTTACCTGGTGCCGTTGGACCCCAAGCATCGAAAGAACCACCCTGGAACTCTGGGAAATACCAAGGTTGGCCAGGATCAACAACTGGATACTGACTTAGTATTAGAAGTAAGAGGTACTAGTATAAATCACATACACTCATGATAGCTATAATAGTTCGTGACGACCGGGCTCCAGATGTCTGGATTGGAACAGTCAAACCCTTGTGGGTAGGAATCCAAACTTGAGGACAATAATTGTGTCAACACGAGTCCAAGTGTCATATGAATGGACTTGCCCGTAGATATTCACGGCACCCTACATGTCATGGAACTCAATATAACATTCATCTGGAAATCATTCAGCTTACCGTTCCATTGATCCACGCTTGATTTTCTCCCGGGTCGTTAGCGGTCAACGGGACAACAATACTAGAGTTCAAATAGACAGTTTCCAGCTCGTGAAAGTATTCTGCATGCATGGCTGGTTCCTGGGAGTATTCGTTGTCTTTATGTCGCAATTAAGCTTGATTCAATCATATGGGTACGCCAAATGTGAGGGCTACTGACCGACTTGGATTGCTAAGAATGAAGTGACTATCAGACAAGTTAATGTAAAACGTGATCAAGGCCAGCTTGCCTATTACCGGTCCGCCTTGGGTCACTTGGTAAGGAGCAGTTTCAATAATGACACCTTGCACGTAGTCCTGCCAAGCTGCATGCCAGTCCGTCGCATTCGTCCGCAGTTCGCCTGCAACTTCTGATGTTATCCAGTGTGCAATACCTCCTGCAGTTGTCTCCGCGTTGATATAAGGCCCTGATCCTCATTAGCATTAACCCCTTCAAAATACAAAAGATCATACCTGGACGGAGAACAATCCATATGCCAGTCTGTCTCGCAGCCTCATAAAGGGGCTCCAAAGCGCGGTAATCATTGAAGTCGACAACGCCAGGAGAGGGATTGATCAGAGCCATGTGGGTATAAACACTGATGGCGTTAAATCCAGCAGCCTTCACTTTCTGCAGGATATCAAGCCATAGTCCAGGTACAGGTAGTCGAAATGTGTGAAACTCTCCTGAACTGAGTGCACAACGAAAATGTATCAAATGTGATTTGAGTGTTCGTCGAGTACTCACTGTATGAAAACGCGCTGCCCTTTGATAATTAGACTGTACTTATCCCACAGGACATCATTCGTACGTCCATTTCCAGTGACGCCCATGCCTGCCGGCATATTTACTTCTGGTTCTGCCCTCGAGAAATCAAGATGAGACGCCGGGGAGAAGATATTCGAGCGCCTAACTGGCAACACCAGAACGCACAGAACCGAGAGAATTACAACGAGGACCCATGACAGTCCACGATATTTGGGGGACCTAGACGATGCAGGACTACTGAGGGGTAGCATGTCTGACTGCAGCAACTTGGGATCCACTGCCTCAAGTGTTGCTCTCCCATTCTTAGCGCTCTCAAGCGCATTTATACCGCGCTCCGAGTCTTGAGGTAGGGTCATGTTGCCAGCATCCTCGGATATTTTGAGCCGCATGACCTGCAACCTATCACACGCGAAGCTGTATGTCGCGGTCCGCTGTGCTACGCGTTACGGGAGAATGTTACAGCCCGGATGAACTGAATTCCGAAGGTGCAGGAAGTTTGTCAGTTCCGAGTCATATGACATAGACTCTAACTATGCATACCTCGAGTTACAGCAGCACTGATGGGCCAAAACTTGGCGGTGAATCAAATGATATGATGACGGCCGTCCTTAGGCTTGTGTCCCACAACGAGTCGAAGTGAGTGGAAGAAAGGGTGTACGTTATGGTTCATTAGTCAATTTCCGCATGGTCATTCTCACCAATATATGTCGCTGAAAAGACTTTGACAATTGGACTTCGTGAGACCTCGGAAGTCTCACCGTACTTAAATCGGCGAAATACAGTAACAGGTGTTCTGCAGGGAGTTCAACGGACCGCCTCAATTCTCCCTTATACGTGCCGAAATATCGGACGAGGCTGAGCGCTGATCGATATGCACGGTGCTCGGTGATGAAGTCAAGGTCTACACAATATATATACTTCTATGGACTTTTATGGCCATGGCTAAAGTTAGTGACCCCTCCGGAGGAGATTTTCCTGATTGTGACACATCCTATTCAGGATTGCCCAGTCAAATTATCGAATATAGAGATATTGCCTAGAGGCTGGAGCAGAAGTTCTCCGATTTAATGGGACCAGGGTAAGATCGTCTTGGGATCAAAAATGTGCAAATGAGCCTCGAGGTCAGATGGGGGACTGGTCAGCTTCGTTTACAACACCTGATTCATGTCATGTAGGTGAAATAGTCCTACGTACAAAAGTCATGGTTGCACAATGAACAATGAATCATATACGTGATAATTCAACCTAGATGAATGAGCACATCCAAGCTTTAAAGACGTCCTGTAAGATGGGCCAGCCTTTGAGGATCCCTTCTTCTTCGAACCTCAGAGTTCTTAATTTCGTCGCCGTAGTAGCCGCCGGTGTATTCTGCATCGCTTCGCAGGACTGGGAATGATACACCTTGCGCTTTGGAACGCAAGATGCTCGATCGAGTCCTATGTATCTAATCATCAACTTGACTGTGCACGCTCGAACAAGGCATTTACCTGCAAGTGCTTGGGTCTCCGATCTGGAGGGAAAGTTCATGATGCCATTGTGTAGTTGCGACCTGTAGCACATATACACCTACCATTAGTCGTTGGATCTGAGCATGGAAACTTCCCTAACTTATATCAGCTAGGATCCCTGATCTCGAATAAGGCGTAATGGCGATAAAGACACTAAGAACATTCCGGCGATCCAGAGCCACGACATAAAATCCCCGATTTTGGAATCATAGGTGAGTAATTTACCTGTGTCAAGCCTATGTGTACTTCTCTGCAGTGGACCAGACAGCTTACCACGCCACAAGCACTGAACTAAACTTTCCAATCAGAGATAACGCAACCAGAAAAGTACCTCATACACCAGAGTACGCCTGGCCACTTCCTCTGATTTATATCAGAGAGAATTGACTTATTGTACGACTGCATGATGTCCTCGCTCCTGTGATACTGGTATGAGAGATCGACCATTGTGTTTGAATGCGTTTCTGAACGCCAGAATAGAAACTTTTCCAAGTGGATTATCTACACAGCAGGATTGCAAACTGGATGTGTGTTAAGAGGAGGTGACAATATGCAAGAGGGAAACTCACCATGGGGAAGGTAATTTAATAGTGCCATAGCGTCGACGTCGCAGTTTCGCCGAGTAAATTATAAGTGATGGTCTGAGATCCGCGCTTCGCGTTCTATTATGTAATTATTCAAATAATCGTTAATCAAATCTTTGAACTCCGAACATGATCTTTGCAAGAAATTGATCTCCATCGTGCACATCACTCACGATGCCTCCCTCAGCGTCAAAGCAGAAGAGGCTCGCAGAAAAGGCCGCAAAACAATCCGCAAAGCAGAATGGCACAACGTCGACATCTACACCCAACGACTCTATGCCAGGCAGCATGTCTCATACCCCACTCACCAGCTTTTCTGCCGCTAACAGCACGGATGACTTGACATCCATGGCCAAGCTCCAGATCGCCACTGATAGGTGTGTATCATGTTTATTGTGATGGAGGATCCTGATCCGGCTATAGGAGTGCAGCAGGAGTGCTTGTATCAGACGTGAAAGGCAGAGATATTAAAATCGATTCCTATACGTTATCATTCCATGGTCGTCTGCTCATCGAAGGTGCAGAAATTTCCCTCAACTACGGGCAGCGCTATGGCCTATTGGGTGAGAATGGGTCTGGAAAGGTATATTTTATACTCTTTCCGCAGTCTTACCATCTTATACTTTCCCCCCAGTCTACCTTCCTCCAATCCATCGCGGAGCGCGACATTGAAATCCCACCACACATTGACATCTACCTCGTCAGTGGCGAGGCAGAACCATCCGATGTCAACTGCCGTTGACTTCATCGTGGCCTCCGCTCGCGAAAAGGTCGCTAAACTCGAAAAGCGCATCGAAGATCTCAGCATCGCAGATGATGTCGATGACGCCGCCCTAGAGGCTGCCTACGAGGAACTTGAGGAGATGGATCCAAATACATTTGAGACCAAGGCTGGCAGTATCCTCCATGGTCTTGGCTTCAGCCAGGCTATGATGGCCCGTCCTACAAAAGATATGAGTGGTGGTTGGCGCATGCGCGTTGCCCTTGCGCGTGCACTCTTTGTTAAGCCACATCTGCTCCTTCTTGATGAGCCGACGAACCATTTGGATCTCGGCGCTGTCGTTTGGCTTGAAGCATACTTGTCGACATACAACCATATTCTCGTTATCACCTCTCATTCGCAAGATTTCATGGACTCGGTCTGTACTAACGTCATGGATTTGACGATGAAGAAGAAGCTCGTCTACTACACTGGTAACTACACCACCTACGTACGCACTAGGCAGGAGAACGAGGTGAATCAGATGAAGGCATACCACAAGCAGCAAGAGGAAATAGCTCACATTAAAAAGTACGTCTAACTCTCCTTCGCAATTCACCATTGATTGAACGGTATCAGGTTCATCGCTTCCGCCGGTACATACGCCAACCTCGTCAAGCAGGCCAAGTCGAAACAAAAAATCATCGACAAGATGGAGGCAGCGGGACTCGTCGAAAAAGTCGAGACACCTCGGCCGCTGCGCTTTCACTTCGAGGATATTCGCAAACTTCCTCCTCCCATCATTGCATTCGACGAAGTCGCCTTCTCATACTCGGGCAAGCCTGAAGATTACTTGTACAAAAAATTGTCATTCGGTATAGAGTGTGTCTTTTCTTCCTATCTTAATTCTTGTCCGGCTGACTCGTATGTAGTATGGACTCTCGTGTAGCCATCCTCGGTGCAAACGGTGCCGGAAAATCGACACTCCTCAACCTCGTAACTGGTGTCCTACAACCCTCTCAAGGCACTGTTTCCAAGCACGCTGCGCTCAAACTCGCCAAGTACAGTCAGCACAGCGCAGATCAGCTACCATACGACAAAAGTCCGATCGAGTACTTCCAATCACTCTTCCACGATAAGTACCCCGAGAAGGACGCTATGGCGTGGAGACAGCAACTCGGCCGTTTTGGCTTGAGCGGTGCGCACCAGACGAGCGTCATTAGCAATTTGTCGGACGGGTTGAGAAACCGGTAAGCAGTCTCACATAAATGGTGATGTCAGACTCACAGACGTTCAGAGTGGTATTCGCACAGCTCGCGATGGAACATCCTCATATCCTGCTTCTTGGTTTGTTCTTTTTACACTCGCTTTCTGACAATCCGCTAATCAGCAGCGAGACAGATGAGCCGACGAACCATTTGGATATGGCTTCCATCGACGCACTCGCCCTTGCAATCAAGGACTTTGAAGGTGGCGTGGTGATCGTGTCACACGACTTCCGTTTGATCAGCCAAGTTGCTGAGGAGCTTTGGGAAGTCGCTGATAAGACGATTCGCAATCTAACGAAGGAGGATATCAGCATTGTTGACTACAAGAGGAACCTTGTGAAGCACAGTACGGTTTCACTCCACCCCCTCATCTGATCGTGTGCTGATCGTCGTGCAGGTGAGGCTCAATTGGAAAAGGCCAAGCTCATCAGCAAGACTGCCACTAAAGGCAAGACATAGCGAGTCTCCCAATCCCGTTTCATGTGTACATCCAAGCATATGTACATACCGTACACTGCGCCCCTTACATGGGCCACACACATGTCTTGCCATTGTAGCCACACCTTTTTTCATTTGATCGTTGCACAACTAGCTGGATCTTGCATCTGTATGTTTGTCATGTCCAAGGCCACGTTTTCGCTTTTAGATGTTTTATTGACGACCGTCCCTACTTACTGAGATCGGGCCCTAGACCTAGCAAGGGAGCTCACGTTTAATGTAGCCAGTGTTTAGCCATGATTAGATTGTTTGCTGTCTGTAGTTGAATCGTACAAAGACCCGTGCCAATAAATGTGTCATAGATTCTGGGCCCTGATGCTAGCACCGCCATGCATACAGCCACCCGAGTGGATGCAGTCTAGCTACTATCTGGACCTTCCGAGACCGACGCACTTTAATGTGCAATATGACCCATGACACTGTAGGATCAACTTCAAGCCGATTTGGGTAAATCGGAGTTCGAAATTGAACTTGAAGAGCTGCAGTCACCGACGCCAACAAGTTGGAATGAATCATTAATCATTCTTGATGTCATAACTTTTGATATTCTCGACCAGGATTACAGCTGTGCGATGCAACAGCCCCAAGTTATGGCCCAGCGCTGCCTTACAACATTTCTGTTGTATGCCACTCATGCTCCCGCCATCGTCAAGAAACTCGACATTGCTCGTTCTTGTTTCGTCTCTGGACCTAAATGCATTCCTCCTTGTTTCCATCAGATTGTGGAAATTTTATCATGCACCGTTGACCTGGCATCTCATTTTACGAACGTTGTCGGACGTCTGGGTGCATCACGTTAGGTTCATCAAAGTGTACCCTGTTGACGATGGCGCTGATCAGTGCTGTATTTGATTTAAAGACACGCTGCTCAAGCCAGGATCTGCCGCCCCTACGCAAAACCTTTAGACGACTGCATCCTCCACGCTATGAAGCATGCAATATGTCTAGTTTGGTTGCCGCTGTTATTCTCCGCAAGTGGAATAACCGCTCTGCAAGCCCCGTACGACCCCCTGAATTTGTCCTGTTGGGTAAAAAGTGGCCCTCCGCCTCGAAATGGGTTTCGTTGAACGTATCCCGGGAAGGATGATTTGAAAATCTGCAACCTTGGGCTGCTCTATGCTACTCCTCCTATGCTCTGTTCGACTACGAAGAGTGCCAGACAGTCCTTATTGGGTATGACAACGATACGATGGTAAGTCGAGCATTCTTCCTAAACACCAGAACATTGTCGATCCCTCTCAAAACCAGCAGGGAAGTGTCCCGGCGGCTCTGCTGCAGGAGGCGTGCGGCTACGGGAGTGGGTGTCCCCTGAACTGTAGCAACCCCCAGATAATTCGCGATCAGGTGTGTCACCAGGGTACTACGCCTCCTTATAGCGTCGTAATCAGCAATGCAAGTGACGCGAGTATCGCGCTTGGTGTTGCGGGGAGTTATCAGAATGAAGGCGACGTTTTCGAGGTGAACTGGCAGCAAGGTCTATTCTGATTGTTGGCTGCTATCTGCCGCTTCCGAATACAAGCTTGTACAGTGTTCTTTAGGTACAAACCTGTCTTCCAAATGTACGACCCTGGAAACTGTGAGTCGGCACTTGTAAGACAACGCAGACAACACTGCACGTTTAGTCTTTACTACTAACAAGGTTGGTATCTTTCTTCAACGTCTCTTGGTAGAGGCATTGAACGGTGACTTCATAGGGTATGACCAATCTCAAGGTATATCGATGTTACGCTGAAGACTTTCACGTCGATCCATAAGTTACAAGGACCGTTAAGATGGAGCAGTTGCTTTGGTACAACAGTGACACAACAGACTTGAATCCAATTCTTGTTGCAAGTCAAACTATTACTGACTGACCGATGCTACATTATATGGATTCGAAAGGGGTGTGATGGACCAAAGCGAGGTCAACTGTAACTACCTACTGGTGATGGTGGAGATGATGCTATAGCTAAAAACCAAGCGGGATGTCTTTAAGGCTTATCATATCCTCGTAATGAACAGGTTACTGTGCGGAGTGCTCTGTCTGCGTTGCCTCACCTCGTGTACGGCTAACCGTCTCTCGCGACTGGACTCGCTCTTTCTTCTCAGGCACCATGTCGACAGACGGCGCGGTTGACTCCACGCCTTCCATAGAGGCAGGTTGCGAAGATGCGATTGGGTCCGTATCCACATTGGCAGGTGGCGATGGCGTGTGCTGAAGTCCCAATCTCTTTGATCTAGCGGAAGGATTAAGGAAGCCACACTTCGGGCATACGTATTCTGGCAGATACATCAGTATGTCAAAGCGAACAAGTTTGTGCGATCTCACGGGTGTCCTCCCAGACGCTCTCCTTAACGAGCCCATTGTGTGAGAAGCATTTCTGGCAAATCAATGCATAGCGCGAGGCAGCCACGCTCATTGATGATTCCTCGTCGCCCAGAATGGCATCGGCAAGTTTGTCATACCATTGCTTACGGGTCGGCTGAATAGGCTGTGGCGTTGCTGCAAAATGCGTCAGTGTCAAATTATCCATAGACACGTAAATAAGTACGCGAAAGCTGTAGAGGTAGATTCCTTTGTTGGACGACAGGTGTTTGCAGGTGTGCCTGTGGGGTTGTGGGCAGTGGTGTACGGGGCTGTGAAAGAGGCTGCAGACGGCGTATCGGGGTGCTGGGATCAGCGTATTTCTCAAGCAGGCTCCGTGTCGAGTCATAGTTGGTCTTTTTCTTAATTTCTTCAACTTTGGCTCGCTGCTTTTGAGTGACAGCTCTGAGAGTTTTCTCTGTCGTACTTTCATTGGGTGGTGAAAGAATTTGTTTCTGAGAAGCTCACCTTCGCGTCCGCCTTTCCATGAATACCATATCTGCATCATTCTCCGTGTAAATAATATTCTGAAGTGACACATGGATGTGGTGGGAATGTATTCAAGTGGATGGTGGCACGTACATTACAGGTCCCACTAGGACTGCTACTTTCGCTAGTAGCGAGTCATGCCACGACGCAGGAAGTATACGCGCATACCACAAGTATACGAATGAAATCCATAGAGAGAGCGTTCCAAGCGTGAACTGGAGTGTCGTCCGCCGTTCACGGAGTCGGATCTCTGCTAGACGTGTCTGCCGTCGTGCAACATCTGCTGCAAGTGCGGAGAGAACTTCTTCGTAGTTCTCTGACCCACCCTAGTGGAGAATCTTAGAACAAAACTACAGAAAAAGTACTGATGGGCCTTACCTTTGAGAACCAGCGGGTTACAAGGGACATGACGGGTAGGAAGAAGCAGAGTAAGTGCACAACACGTCAGTTGAACAAATTGGGCTCATTATGACACGCTCTGCACAGCCACATCATTCACTGTTTGTGATGTACTACTACTACTTGCTAACCGTACCCGACCGTCAATACACTGTTGCGTGCAGATTCAGACGTAAGTCTGACGTGCTCACATGCGACGGGGATCAGAAGTTAGTCAACTTGCCGGTGGTCCGGATTGTTTTCACAGCCAGAAACTCATCACCGGCTGTCTATTGCTCGTTCACTCCCAGAGTCCAGGCTCTTGTTGAAGACCAGTGTCGAACTGTCATCTCCATTATGTGACGGAGGCCACGGCGGCGAGCCATGAGCATTATGGACTCAGGAACATGAACCTATACGATTTCCCTCCACGATTGTTTAGATCATGTCCAACTGACTCGGATGCGTGCCCACTGGTGAGCTGCAACTCAGGGCCACAGGAGAGGTCACCGCTTGTTGGTCTTGGATAAATGATTTTGTTCCACAGCACTAATGTTTCATCTCGAACGTTTTGGCCAGGTCTATGACAACAAAGAACTTGAGGGATGATTCATCGACCCTTACGCCAGACACCTTTCATTCGACTGTAAGTTGCTGGAAGTTTCTTGAATGGCCGTCCGAGACTCGATTTTGGACGTGCTCCCCTAGATCTAGTCTCCCCTAGCTAGCCATATAGAAGGAAGACAGTCGTTCCTTCTACCCCCGTGCTCTCAAAGTTGCGGGCCAGTACAACAGACAGTCTAATTAGTGCAACCTAAGATACTCGCATCACTCACAACTGCGATGGCGCTGCAGTCGTAGCTGATAAGACCACTCAGTCCCGAGTCGTTGATAGAATATGCGGTCAGTGATTTTATATGGTACCCACCGCCGTGGCATTGGTGCCGAGTCGCAGCGGTAACTTGCGGGCAGTAACAATTCGCAAAAAAAACAGCGGAAGCTATCAGAAATTGAGACAGCATTGGATGGTGAGGAAGCCTGGGTGGAGGTTGCTGTCGACTCTCGAATCTCGAGCCAATTGTTTTATCACCGCACAAATTTGTAGATGTTCGTGTTTGACCCCCATTAGATTAATAATGTGGTGCAAATGACACAGCGAAGCAAACTGACGAATTTTTGTTATGGTTACGTTCTTTGACTGGACACTGAACCGAATAGCAGATAGGTTGTTTGAACTTCGAGAGTGCGCCACGATCACGCGAAACATCTTGTTCCCAATTATGAAGCAGAAGTCTGTCATGTGGATGATCAAAGGACGTGGAAAGCTCCTAAATGCATACGGGTTAGTGACTTGATCGGCAGACACCAAGACTCGTGCGCACCTGTTCCTACAGTCAGACATACATAGTGATACACCAAGGATGTCGGAAAACTGTAGAAGCTTAAAAGGTAAACACACATATTCTTATTATTACACAGCTGGGTCTTGCCACAGTGAGTTGGGGCGCTGAGACGCAATGCCCAGGGATGCCGGGTGGAGTGTCTGAATCGCACATGTAGATTTTGGTATCACCTCCGTCGTGTAAACCAGTTCGGGTAAGCTGTGTGAGAGAATGAGTTCTGACCCATTCAATCTACCATTCTTGACTGTGAGGGGAAGACTAAGGGAGTGTGGACTTAGCGTTACAAGTACCAAGGTCGTATAATAGTATTAGAGGCTATTATTACTTACTGGGTGTCGGTTTCATCGGGAGAAACTTTGCTCGCTACAATATTGTTGTTTTGGAAAGTTTCAGGGACCTCGCAATATGAGATGCTCAGGTAGGAAGGAAAGAGTGAATGTGGGACGTGTAGTAAACCTTAGTATTAATCATGGTACCGTCACGTCACGTGAACAAAATTGAGCCTTGTTTCCCCTCGGCAGCCATGATGCGAGCCTCACTGCATGAACCTGAATGTCGAATGATGCAAGGACTCCTAGGGCTTCAATGATCCAGATCCTGTTCAAGTCGTGGGACTGAAGCTTGTTGGTGTGCCCTTCTTGTTGATACATCGATGCATACTTAAATCGTCTCGGCCGGTTGATCGGAAGTACTACCAGATTGCGCGAGTCTCAGTGGACGTGTCCGAAGCCCCTCTTTGTGTGGTATATATATGGGTGTCCACGCACGGATCAACTAAGGATCACAACTTGATAGCAGTTCGTTTCAGGGGTAGTTATCCCAATGTCTTCCTCCACCCCACCCCACCCTACAGACGATTCAGATTCACAGTGTGCCAACTCCGACAACTTCGTTCATTGTGACGGTCTTTTTTTAACGATCCTACTGGGGGTACTTTTTTTCCCGTTCTACGCAGCGATTTTGTTGTATGCTCTCTACAGGATCGTTTTATGTGTGCGTGGTGCACTCTGTGCTATATGTGGTGCGCCCTCCGGCAGAGCTTTGAACGTACAGCTACAATCCATGGAGGACGACGGGATACATGAAGGAGGTGGAACGCCAATCCCTCTAGTGTTCTGCGGGACTTGGATGAGACCACCAACCCAAGAAGCCGCAAGCGTGGATCAGTCTGAATGGTCAAGTATTCAGGTGTGTGTTGAGCTGAGGTTCTGTCACTCGTAACGTCTGATAATATCTGATAGCCTATATCGGTGTCTGTCAGCTCTCAGGTTGCATGTAAATCCGCGCTCGGAATGGGCACGTTTGAATCTGCGGTATCTGCTGATACTTCTACACGGCCCTTTCCCGATGACTCCAAGTCTTCTTCGCTGGTTCAGAATTCCCCAGAAGTCGCAACGGTCGCCGTGATGATCCAGATGCCTTCTCCCGTTCTCCGGTGTTGTAAGGATAGAGAGGGCTTTTCAAATAACCCCGCTGGACCAGATCATGCCCTGTCAGGGTATCACATTGGCGTAGCACAGGTTCAGTGCGTGGACACTCGATGTTGACATGGTCTGCGTTTTCTTTTTTGCTGCTAGTCTCGGCACACGGGTGCAGCCGCTCTGTGGACGGCTTGTGGTGGCTCTGAGGTCCAGATGTGTTCGAATTTTCATCTGTGTACTGTAGCAGTATGTCCTTTGCGAAAGAAGTGTTATCGGATCCCGTAAACAAGCATGGACAGTGTACAATCGACTGTGTTACAAGATGGCAGCCTGAAAATTATATCTACTGCCAGCCCAATACTATTAACTCGCAGAACGTGTAACGACCCGGGTCTTACACAAAGTATTTTACTACCTCGAAGGATGGGACAACGGTAACCTAGAATATTCATTATTCACTATTCCTATTGCAATGGAACGAGCAAGGGTAACGTATTCTGCTCGCTGCTTTACATGACTGCCAAAAATCATAGTTCCAGGGGACGCTTTGACCGTACCAACAGTACCTTCATTACTTGGCGAGGCCATGTGATACGGTGACTGTAACCGCGGTAAACTTCAAGCACGCACGAATGTGGGAGTGATAGAGCATCGAGTGGGACAGATAAGGGTGTGTGATCGTGGTGTCTGCTCGAAGAGGGAGTATAACAAATCCGTAAGGATTGAATTTTGCGATACGTGAGTTGTTGTTATGCTTGTGTTCGCTGGAATTCAGCGCAGAATGTTAATGAGGAGAGGTCGGGGCATAGCCGGAGTGCTTGAAGGACCACAAACGGTTCGAATACTAGAGCAATCTCGACATCTGTCAGGTGGGCCCATATTGAGCCGAAAGAATAGCGCGGGAGGTCGAAGGATTGTAGTATTGCTGCGAGCCTGCGCGTGGTTAATGGCAGTTGCGACATAGATTCTCAAATAGTTGGTACAAGTATTATTCAAGATTCATATGGTCAGCTCCCGAAGCGCTGGGAGGTCTGTCAGCAAAGTTCGGGTTTCTCGGTGAAATGGATAAAAAAGGTAGAGAGAGACGAAATTGTTTTCATGTAAAGGTGGAGAAAGTTTCGAAGAATGGGAGAATGATTGTCGGAGCATTTTGCTAACAAGAGTGGGAGTCCACGCAACTGCTTGAGCCACGAGTCGCAGCAAAAAGCTGCCCGCTGCCAGTCTCTGTCATCGACTTCCAAGTGCAATCTGCTAGGTGCTGATCCCGTTCATCTTTTGCTGATGATGATTGTTTATACCACGTGTCACGCTTTCCAAGCCTAAGATCTCATGCGACGTTGTTTCAACTGCTGCTGGCACCCGGTGATGATATCAATAACGCTCTGGCCCTCGAGTTCGGTGATAGGCTGGTCGGTATTGGGGTATCGGGGGTCTTCGAGGTCCGGAATCTGGTCATCATCAATAACATGGTGTCCATGATATTGAAATACACAAACGATCACTTACGAGCGCGCGAGCTGAAGCGAGTGGTTAAGTCTTTAAGATTATCAGGTACGAGTGTCCATCAAACTATACTTGTAATATTTTGCAGTCCATAGATGATATCTGAGAACGGCGAAGGATTGGCTATTGAACACGGGGTTTCAAGGTGCGGAATCTGGTTGTCGTCGATAACGTGGCGTCCAGGATATCGGAATACACATACGATAACTTGTGAGCGCGAGCTTGATATTATCAGGCAAAAATGTCCATAAGATTGAGTACTCAGACTTAGGATGTTTTGTGGCACATTAACGATGATATCTGATTGTGAGTGTACTGTGGGAAGAGGTCTTATATAAATTAACGCGGGTTAGATATCACATTGGTCGATCTTTCTTCGACATCTCATGACTTCACTGAGCATAATTTCTTCCGGAATCAACCCGTACCGGCCGTACCCTCGACCAACATGTCAACACTCAAATGAACCACCGACTGCAAAGAGTCTCCTACTTTCCCGACTGAAATTCGGATTGGATGTAGTGCAAAGGCCGAGCAATTTCCTGCAGCTGCATTCAAGTCCTCTTCCTGTTATCTACTAGAGTCGTCATCCCTACTAACTAGTCATCGGAGATGTTCCAAGGGGGATAAGTCCATTGTCGCACTAGGTTCATCTGGTATGTCCGCGCCCATTATTCTCCTTACGTCTTTCGTATTGCTTTTGCTTCGCTTGTCCCAGGTCTCAACATTTAAACCCGTGTGTGCTGTGTGCAACCGAAGCCGCATGATCCCGCAATATCCAAACACACCTCCACTCTCGGATGACTTTATTCCTTACTCTATGATTGTCCCATGCTCTCAAAAACCTGCTACCCAATCACCTTTCACCTTTCTAACACGTCGTTCGCTCGAATCACCCCAGACTCGAGTGCAATGCTACGTATGCATACAATAGACGATGGATCGACTGTATGCTCCATATCATACTCGAAGAAGTATCTCTAGTATCTCTGCAAATCGATTGACTGAAACAAGATCATCGTATTGAAGAGCTACAAGGATTGAATTGATTAACTGCAACTCGGAGGAATGGGAAAGGTTGGAGACTCACCCCTCTCGACATTGCTGCCAGCGTGTTCCACGTGCCATGTGACTCAAATCAAGCTCAATACATCCTCTCCCAATCACTAATGCAATGCGAGAATTATATCTAAATGCCTCTCGTGAAGCGGGTGGTACCCAGAATAAGAGCCGACGATTTGGTCCTAACACCCATCCATCGAGTCCCAGCAAAAACGTGCGGTCGTCATGGGGGGTGCCTGCGAGTAGCTCAGCAGTGTCGCACAGTGCATGAGTCGAGTTTGATGAGAAGGAAATGAAATCATCGGTTGCAGTGTCGGGTGTGGGGACAGCCACAGTTGGATGTGGGATGCAACCGCCGTGCTGGGAGGATGCTGAAGAGTCTTCTTCGGCGTGGTCCTGCAATGACTTCCCAATTGCTGCATACCAGACCCGGACAGTCCCATCATCTGAACACGAAATGATACGAGTCCCCTCCCGCGAGAAAGAAACTGAGTTGACCGACTCAGTGTGTCCGTGCAAGGGTTGCCTGATTGGCTGCCCGGTCACTGCATTCCACAGCCGGACAGTCTTATCGTCCGAACCAGAAACGATGCGAGTCCCATCCAGCGAGAACGAGACTGAGCGGACCCAGTCAGTATGCCCATCCAAGGGCTTACCAACTGGCTGCCCCGTTACTGCATCCCAAAGCCGGACAGTATTATCCGCAGAACCAGTCGCAATGCGATTTCCATTCGGCGAGAACGAGACTGAGTGTACTGGCTCAGTGTGCCCCTTCAAGGGATCACCAACTGGCTGTACCGTTCCTGCGTCCCACAGCCAGATAGTCTTATCATCCGAACCAGAAACGATGCGAGTCCCATTCAGCGAGAACGAGACCGAGTTGACGCAATCAGTGTGCCCCTCCAAGGGCTCACCAACTGGCTGCCCCGTTGCTGTATCCCAAACCCGGACAGTGTTATCTGCAGAACCAGTCACAATGCGATTTCCATTCAGCGAGAACGCGACTGATCTGACCCAACCAGTGTGTCCCTCCAAGGGCTCACCGACTGGCTGCCCCGTCTTCACATCCCACAACCGAACATACTTATCGCCTGAACCAGATACGATGCGAGTCCCATCCGGAGAGAACGAGACTGAGAGAACCATGCGAGTGTGCCCTAGCAAGGGCTCACCGATTGGCTGCCCTGTCGCTGCATCCAACAGCCGGACAGTGCCATCCTCCCAACCAGTCGCGAAGCGGGTCCCATCCGGCAATAGCGAGACCGAGGTAATGGAGTTGGTGAGCCCTTGCAAGGGTTCACCAACTGGCTGCCCTGTAGATGCATCCCACAGTCGGACAGTATGATCCGCAGAACCAGTCGCGATGCGAGTCCCATCAGCAGAGAACGAGACTGAGAGAACCCAAAAAGTGTGCCCCAGCAAGGGTTCACCGACTGGCTGCCGTGTTACTGTATCCCACAGCCGGACAATCCCATCATCCGAACCTGTCACGATGCGACTTCCATCCGGCGAGAACGAAACTGACCTAACATAATCAGTGTGCTCCAGCAAGGGCTCACCAACTGGCTGCCCTGTAGATGCATCCCACAGTCGGACAGTCTTATCCGAAGAACCAGAAACGATGCGAGTTTCATCCAGCAAGAACGACACTGAATTAACCCGATCAGTGTGCCCCCGTAAGGGTTCACCAACTGGCTGCCCCGTTGCTGCATCCCAAAGTCGGACAGTGTTATCCGCAGAACTACTCGCAATGCGATTTCCATTCGGCGAGAACGCAACTGATTTAACCGACTTGGTATGCCCCAATAAAGGATCACCAATAGGCTGCCACGTCGCTATATCCCACAACCGGATAGTGTGATCTGCCGAGCCAGACACAATACGTGTCCCATCCGGCGAGAATGAGACTGAAGTAACAAAAGAAGTGTGCCCCAGCAAGGGTTCGCCTACTGGCTGCCCCGTTGCTGCATCCCACAATCGCACAGTGCGATCACCCGATCCAGTCACAATGCGAGTCCCATCCGGCGAGAACGAGGCTGAGTTGACCCACCCAGTGTGCCCGCTGATCACCGTCTGAACAGCCGTCCAGTTGATATCACGTCCAGATGCCACACAAAGAGAGTTAGGAAACCGTGCAGAAAACGTTCTGGATAGTACGGAGTTGACGGGCGAGAATGGCAGTGCTGATACATAGAGATGAGGTGTACTGTGCAAGATGAGGCCGCCGAAGATTTGGATAAATCTCTGCACGTCCATTGCAGCGGATGAAGCACCTTCGAATCTGGTATGGCCCTGTGATTGTGATTGTGCGTGAGTGAGCATGCAATCTGACGCTTAATAACCATGTGCTCACCTTCAACCACTTGGCAATAAGTGGAAGGGCAGGGACTGCGCCGCTGAGCGCATTTATAAGGCCGAGTACCTCAAGCCAGAAGAACAGTCGCTCATGGTCGAAGAATGACATGATTTCTTTGGCGAGTTCTGAATCGAAGTCGGTGGCTTTTACATGGACAGGCCAGAATTGGCAGGCATAGGATAGATGTGGGGGGATGCATTTTTTTACTCGTTCCTGCAGCTCGGGATCTTCGGAGTTGGGGAGATAAGACGATTTTAAATCGCAGATATTGAAGGAAAGTTCACTTTCCATCACTCGAAGTGATGCGAAAGCAAGGTTTCGTTGTATCTTCAACACGTCAACGAAGAACTCTCCACTGCATTTAGGGTCTGTAAGGAAATCGCGGAAGGATGAATGAAGGGGTCGAATTGCGGTAGAAGAGTTGGTGGTGCCGCTGAGAGGGATCCCATATGTTCTACTATGACCTCCACTTTGTAACGCTCGCCTTCATCTAGAAAATGGCTCCGCATGGCATTCAGGGAATTCAAAGGGAGGGGTTCAGCTGTGCCAAGAATTTGTCCCATCACGGAACGAAACGTCGCTAGCCGTGTTTGCTGAAACTCGGGATTTGTATGTCTGTCCTTTCGCATGATCTCCGTCAGAATGAAGTCATACATATCGTACAACAGGTGCTCCCGTTCGACAGGATCGCGAGACACCATAACATTGTAGGATTGATTGGAAGATAAGCCAGCAGGGGGTTCTTCGATTGATTCGCAAGCAAGACGTGCCCACTCGAAAAGACCATCAGCTTTCCTGGCGAGCGCTGTAAACTCTTTGCTCCCAAAATCCGAAAGTCCTTCCAGCTTCTTCGACACGTAAGCGTAGATATCACGTTCCGCGACTTCTGGTGGAATGTCATCCATGGAAATCCTTCGAATGTGTTGAGCGCCTGCAAACGCATTCTGAATGTCGCGAAGCGAGCGAGAAGTGACGATAAACCGGAAGTTAGCTGGGAGTTCAGTAATTCGTCGAACACCTAGTTTGCCCGCAAGAATGCGGAGAATGCGGAGCCGTGTCTCGACTCCGCCGCTCTCGTCCAGTGCGTCTATCACGATAACGATAGGTCTTACAGTTGACCCTGGGGGCCTCCCAAGTGGTTTCATGAGAAGTTCATCCCACTGTTGGACAATATCTGCTGTAGTCTTGAGCGAATTGGTATCTTTAACTATCTCTGCCAGTGCTCGTCTCATTTCCGGATCACGGTCGGCCAGGTCGCGCGCGATCGTAGAAAATATCTTCTCATGACGACGGTCGGCAGCTCGCTGGTGATCAAAGCAGTAACATGAACCGAGCCCTCCCACATCGTTGAACCAGTTAGCAATTGTGTGGGCAATGGCCGACTTGCCCTTGCCTGCAGGGCCAGATAGCCAGAGAACACGCTGAACATCGTCTCCGGTGCTGTTGACCCAGTCTGTGATCTCGGATATGATTTCCGTGCGCGTCCCTGGTAGGCATTGTTTCCCAGTATCTCGTCCCGCGCCATCCGCATACGTCATACCGCTTAGATCTAGCGTTTCGCCTAGAGACGTATGAATAGATATCGAGTCAGAAGCACGTACAAACCCTTACCTGTGCGATGGACATAGATGGCTACATCGCGGATAACTTGCTTCTGGAAGTTGTCCATTAACTTATCCAACATTCCACCGTACCCTCGAATTGCATCATCTGTTTCCCGGCCTATGTTTTTTCCGGCTCTACTCCCTACAATAATAGAAGAACATTGAGACTGAAAAGCGCAGTGACTCGCAAAGACTCACAAAAGTTCTTGGTCTCCGAATAATCTCTGATAAAATTGGCGCATTCAAGGCTCTGCTCAGAAATCTGTCCAAGGATAGTGTGCATCGACGAAATCTGGTGAAGCCTCTTGTTTTCTGTAATGAAGGTGTAAACGTCACCCAACTTCTGGAGAAGGCCGACTATCGCTGTATCGCGATCTGCTTGAGCAAGAATTACCTGCGCGAATAATAACTGAGAAAAAAGATACGAATGAGAGCAAAACCAAACATACTTTTGCGGCCCAAGACAACACGCTCAGTGCCATTTTTGCGTATGGATGTACCTGCAGAACAGGTTCGGTTCGGTTCCGATCGAGAGACATGGACCATACCTCCGCAAGCGTACCGATAATACTGTCGAATATCCTGAGGGGTTGAAGATATGTATCCTGGAAATTGTATGCAGCCTCGAGATCTGCTGGTGCATTTTGGGCGATGGACGCTGCAGATGTCACATGTCCCGAAGGCGACCTTATGAGCTTCTACAGCCTCTTTGGCTGTCTGAAGTGCCGATTGGGGATCAGCGCCTTATTCCGGACCAGAGGGAGCACCCTGAACCTGCGCGACCACAAGAATTTAGAGAGAGAGCAGAAACTAAAAGGTGACCCACCTTGATATTCGGAATCGACGAGGCACCTTCACAATCAACGTTCGGAAGAACAGGATCGCGGCCGCGGGAATCCTTCGAGTGCTTTTGTACGATCACATGAGCCTTGTTCCAGGAAACTCGGGATCTTGTTGACTCACAGAAATCTTTTTAGTCGCATTCTTAACCTTTCCTAGAAACTGACGGATTCTGCCAGTGACGTCTGCCCTGGATGAAGGATGGCATCAGTGTTAATGTTTCGAAGACAAATGAGAAGTGGTCCTCATTAGCGACATACCGAACTTTCACTAGCGGTTGCTTCACTGGATGCACGGTGTTCGAGAGGTGGATCTTGCCTTGAGTTCCTTGATTGGTTGTGTTCACTCATTATTTGAAATAGTTGATGTTGAGAAATAGAATCAGACTGAGTGAAGTAGGGTGCGATAAGTAGTTAGAGGAAGGTCCCCGCATCAGCGTTTAGATAAGTCATTCTCGCAAGCGCCACTAGGCAATATTTGCTGCTGTATTGACTGGGCGCCTCGGAACTCCGGGAAGTGCAAGGAAGTCGAAGCCTCGAAGGAACGACTATCTTCATATTCCTATACCGTCTGCCTCGAGACTATGAAAAACGCTGTGCTGATCGCGGGCGCGCCGGTGAGTGATGCATGCACGCAAGACTTGCCAGAAGCCTTTGAGTGGCATTAAAACTCGAGGTCGAGAAAACTCATATCTGCAGTGCAACTAACAGCCCAGTCTAGTTTGTCGTCTAACCAATCATCGGAGATGTTCCAAGCAGGATGAGCCCATTGTTGTACTACATTCGTCTGGTATGTCCGCGCCCAGTATTCTCCTTAACTCAGTCATTTTTTTCATTTCCATGAAGTTCGTTCTTCAATTTTTGCATGTTCTTCTACGTCCATGCGCACGTCGCATATCGCATGCATCATTCTCATGGTACTCGTGTTGTTACCATACACATGCTACACCGTACACAATGAACCACGCTCCTTCCTATTGACCCAGTTCTCTCGACATTTACATGTAAACCCGCGTGTGTTGTGCGCAACCGAAGCCAAACGAACCTGCAATATCCAAACATGCTCCCCGCGGAACTGCTGCTGCAATCTCCTGTTTGTTCAATCCACATTGGGAGGTGCCTTATACACCCTTGTATCCATTTGTTTCACTCGACGCCATTCGGATAACCTTTTTCGTTGCACAATGATCGATGCCCTCAAAAATCTGTTACCCAGTCACCTTTCTACCCTGTCGAACACGACGTTCGCTCAAACTACTCCAAATTCGAATGCAATGCTATATATACATACTATAGATGATGAATCATGTAACTGTATACTCTATCGTACTTGTTGAAGCGTCTCTGGTATCCCCGCAAATCAATTTTCTGGAACAAGATCCTGATAAGAGCTACAATGATTGAATTTATTACTGCGAGGAACGAAAAACATTAGAGACTCACTCCTTGCGGCAGAGCTGCCAGCGTGTCCCATGTACCATGGAGCTCAAATCAAGCTCAACACATCCTGACCCAATCACTAATGCAGTTCGAGGATGATATATAAATGCCTTTCGTGAAGCGGGTGGTACCCAGAACGGGAGCCGACGATTTGGTTTCAACACCCATCCATCATCTCCCAGTAAAAACGTGGGGTCATCATGGTGGGTGCTTGTGAGTGGTTTAGCAGTGTCGCGCAGTGCCGCATGTGTCGAATTTGATGAGAAGGGAATGAAGTCATTGTCCATAGTGCTGAGCGTGGGGATAGCTGTTGTTGGATGTGAGATGCAACTGCCATGCGGGGAGGATGCTGAAGAGTCTTCTTCGGCGTGGTCCTGCAATGATTTCCCAATCGCTGAATACCAGACCCGGACAGGACCAGCCTCCTGCGAAAAAGAAATGATGCGAGTCCTATCCCGCGAGAAAGAAACTGCTTGGACCGACTCAGTGTACCCCCGCAAGGGCAGACCAATTGGCTGCCTCGTCGCTGTCTCCCACAGCCGGGCAGTCTTATCGTACGAACCAGAAACGATGCGAGTCCCATCCGGCGAGAATGAGACTGAGTTAACCGACTGAGTGTGTCCCTCTAAGGGCTCACCGACTGGCTGCCTTGTCGCTACATCCCATAGCCAGATAGTTTTATCGTTTGAACTTGTCACGATGCGAGTGCCATCCGGAGAGAACGAGACAGACCTAATCCAAAAACTGTGCCCCGCAAGGGCTCACCGACTGGCTCACTCGTTGCTGCATCCCACACCCGGACAGTGTAATCCCGTGATCCAGTCACAATGCGAGTTCCATCCGGCGAGAACGATACTAAAGTAACCCAACTAGTGTGCCCCAGCAAGGGCTCACCCACTAACTGCCCCGGCCCTGCATCTCACAGCCGGACAGTCTCGTCGTGTGAACCAGAAGCGATGCGCGTTCCATCCGGCGAGAACGAGACTGAGAAAATTGTACCAGTGTGCCCGCGGAAAGGTCCACCCGCCAACCGCCCCGTCCCTGCATCCAACAGCCGGACAGTGCCATCCTCAGAACCCGTCGCGATGCGGGTGTCATCCGGCGATAGTGAGAATGAGAAAATTGAATTAATGAGCTCTCGCAAGGGCTGATCAACTGGCTGCCCTGTAGCTGCATCCCACAGCCGGACTGTCTCATCGTTCAAGCCAGACACGACGCGAATTCCGTTAGACGAGAACGAGACTGAGTTGACCGACGAAGTGTGCCCCAGTAAGGGCTGGCCTACCGGTTTCCCTGTTGCTGCATCCCAAAGCCGCACAGTGCAATCATCCGATCCAATCGCAATGCGAGTCCCATCCGGCGAGAACGAGACTGAGTTGACCCACCCAGTGTGCCCGCCGATTACAGTCCGAACAGCCGTCCAGTTGATATCACGTCCAGATGCCACACGAAGAGAGTTAGGAAACCCTGCAGAAAATGTTCTGGATAGTGCAGAGTTGACGGGCGAGAACGGCAGTACTGATACCTAGAGATGAGGTGTGCTGTGCAAGATGAGGCTGCCGAAGACTTGGATACATCTCTGCACGTCCACTGCAGCGCATGAGGCACCTTCGTATCCGGTACCACTCTGCGATTGCGATTGCGATTGCGATTGCGATTGCGCATGAGTGAGCATGTAATCTGAGGCATAATAACCATGTGCTCACCTTCAACCACTTGGCAATAAGCAGAAGGGCGGGGACTACGCCGCTGAGCGCATTGATAAGGCCTAGTACCTCAAGCCAGAACAACAGTCGTTCATGGTCGAAGAATGTTTTAATTTCTTTGGCGAGGTCCGGATCGAAGTGAGTTATTTGCACGTGGACAGGCCAGAATCAGCAGGCATAGGATAGATGTGGGGAGATGCACTTTTCAACTCGTCCTCGCAGCTCTGGATCTTCGGAATTAGGGATATACGATGATTTTAAATTGCAGATATTGAAGGAATGTCCATGTTCCACCACTTGAGGTGATACCAAAGCAAGATCTCGTTGTACCTTCGACACATTAACAAGGAAATCGCGGAAGGGCGCATGAAGAGGTCGGATCGGGGTGGATGACTCGGTGGTGCCGCTGAGGAGGGATCCCATATGTCCTATCACAATCTCCACTTCGTAACGCTCGCTTTCATCTGAAAATCGGCTTCGCATGGCGTTCAGGGAATCCATAGGTAGAGGTTCAACCGTGCCAAGTATTTGCCCCATCACGGAACGAAACTTCACTAGTGCTTCCTCATACTCTTCACCCTCGAATTTATCTCTTCGCATAATGTCTGTCAGATAGGCCGATATATATCATACAGCAGATTTTCCGCTTCCCAGTATCGCGATTTACGATAGCATTGAAACGAGAAATTGGATGTATGCCAACAGGGGTTTTCTTGACGTGTTCGCAGGCAAGACGGGCCCATTCAAAAAGCCCATCCGCTTTCTTAGCGAGAGCTGTAAACACACTGTTTCCAAAATCTGACACCCCTTCCAGCTCCCTCGATACGTAAGTGTGGATGTCGCGTTCTGTGATGGTTAATGGGATGTCGTCCATGGACATCCGCCGAATATGCTGAGCACCTGAAGGCTCATCGTCGATGTCGCGGATGGGGCGGGAGGTCACAATGATCTGGAAATTGGCTGGGAGTTCGGTGATTCGTTGCGCGCCTAGTTTGCCCGCAAGAATGCGGAGAATGCGGAGCCGTGCCTCGCCTGAACCAGTTAGCAATCGTGTGGGCGATGGCCGACTTGCCCTTGCCTGCAGGGCCAGATAGCCAGAGAACACGCTGAACATCGTCTCCGGTGCTGTTGACCCAGTCCATGATCTCGGATATGATTTCCGTGCGCATCCCTGGCAGGCATTGTTTCCCAGTATCTAGTCCCGCGCCTTCTGCATACGTCATACCGCTGAGGTCCAGTGTGTCACCTGACGATGTATGAATAACCTTACCTATACGGTGGATGAATACCTCTACATCGCGAGTAACTTGGTCCCGGAAGCTTCGCATGAGCGCATCCAACACATTGATGTACTGTTAAATCGTATTTTCTGTTTCCGAGATAACATTTTTCCCGAGTCTCTTCCCTATAACAGTAGAGAATTGATAATGAGTGAATGAGCAAAGCACAATAATTCATGGGCTCACAGAAGTTTTTGGTTGCAGAGTAATCTTTAATGAACTGGGAGCACTCGAGAGTCTGCTGAACTATTCGTCCGACAATACTCTGCATCGACGGAATTCCGCTCAGGATCTTGTCTTGCATCATGAAATCGTAGACTTGACTTAACTTCTCGAGAAGTCAGAGTATCGCTTGGTCACGATCTGCTTAAGCGAGGACCATCTGCATGGATGACGGCTGAGTAGGAGATAACTGGAGTAAAACAATACGTACTTCAGATGCATAAGACAAGTAGGCCCAGCACCACCTTTGCGTAAGGGTGTACCTATGCAAAAGGATTAGTTCAGTTCTGGCCGAGAGAATTAGCCCATACATCAGCGAGCGGCTCAATAACACTATCGAATATCCTGAGGGGTTGAAGATATGTGTCCCCGACATTAAATGCAGCCTCGAGATCCACTGGTGTATCTTGGGCGGTGGATACTGCAGATCTCACACGTGTCGAAAGTGGCTTCATGAGCTTTGCGGCCTGTGTGGCGTTCCGAAGTGCAGATTGGGGATCAGTGCCTTGTTCCACACCAGAAGAAGAATCCTGAACCTGTGTAACCAGTAGAAGTTAGATAGATAGAGCAGAACCTGAAATGTGACCTACCTCGATATTCAGAATCGATGAGGCACCTTCACGATCGACGTTTGGGGGAACAGGGTCGCGGCTGCGTGAATCCTTCAAATTTGAGCGCTCGTGTACGATATTAGCCTCATCCCAGTACACAGTATTGGTTTCGACTCACAGAAATCTTTTTGATTACACCATTCGTAAGCTTCCCCGAAACCGACAGATTTTGCCACGGGGTCGGCCCTAGACAAAGGATGCGTTGACGAGAGTCAGCGTTTCGGGTACAATTTCATGAACATCAGCCAGTGACAGCTACGTACCAGGCCGTTCAGCAGCGTTTGTTTTGTTGGATGTCTCAATGTCTGGAGGAGGAACTGACCTCAAGTCCCTCAACTAATTGTCGTCGTTCATGGTGAATAGTTGAGGTCGATGATCAGTCTGAGCGAGTAGGGTGCGACAAGAAGTTAGAGAAAGGGTGGATCCCATGTCGTTTAAATGCATACCCTTGACCGCAACCTGAGGCAATATTTGCTGCTGTATTGACTTCAGCCACTAAGCATTAAGTGGGGCAACACGGAACTTGGGGAAGTCGAAGGAACGACTTGATGAAAGATTTGTGGTAGTACAGAAGTCGACTCATGGACCAGTGCTTGAGGTCGAGAATATTCAACAGCATTAAAACTTAGAAGCTGTTAAAACTGAATGGTGAGTCAATTCAGCCAATCGAGCTGGGGACCTAACTGACGGATAATACGATCAAATTACGATCATAGACTCATAGTAGTAGTATTTGCCGCTACTCGAGCCAACGACTGGCCCGCCATACGGCCCTGTCTGCTGTTGTTAAAGGACTACAAGCTTGATCCTACTGCGACAAATGGCATGAGGAGTATGTAGTGGAGCTGTATAGTGTGATGGGCTTCAGCGGGGGACAAGTGGAAATTGATCGATTGAACAGCCATATCGACACGATACCGTTGCAGACTATTTCAGGTCATGATCGAGTTGTCAATGGACCCGCAGCTTGCCGCTTGAGCTTGAATTTCGAACTTTGTGCTCACACGCATTGACGAAAGCTATACTCTATGAATACTACAAGCGAATAGGCACTTGCTCGCTTCCGTCACCGTCTGCGTCGCATCATGCCGTGGACTGGGCGCTGTTAATATACCTTTGAGCACTGACCATGACGCTGACAAGTCTTCCACATGATGCTTTGTATCGTGTCCTATGCTTTCTTTCTGTCCGCGAAATCATCTGCCTTCGACTGGTGAGAAATTCTTGCTCATCGTTTGCTTATCATATCCCTTCACATTGAACATACTTGTAATGATTGATATAGGTGTGCAAAGACCTTCGCGACTTGACATTCCACACGGCTATATGGCATGATGCGTATAAACATGCAAAACTGCCTCGTCCTCTCGGACCACTTGACTCTCAGTCTCGCGAGTTCCTAGAAAACACCCTCGTCAAAAGCACTCAAGTTGGCGTGAAGTGGAACAAGCAAGCTCTAACGATAACTTCTAAGGCGACTTGGTTTGAACCCGAGTGGTCAGCCTTGCAAGGAGACCATTGGGAAGTGGTAACTGGCTTATGGCTCGTCATCCCGCACATCAGCGGCCCCGACATCCTGTGCTACGATCTGGAGCGCGGGCTGCGCCACGTCGTATATCACGCCAATGGCGCTCAGATACTGTCGTTCAAAAGTGCGACTTCTGAGGCAGCAGACGGAGGATGTATCATGCACGCTATCGTCATGGAAAGCTCTCGCAGCAGCCCGTCGTTCTCACAGTTAGTTGCCTCCAACAATCACATCCAAACGTTGAACATTTTTTGGTAGTAAACTGCTTTCCATTCGTTTCTCTTCTGATGGTCCATCGTTGGAATCCTCCATGGTAATTCCTGGCGATGTAATCGGAATGGGAATGTCGCAGCTATCTGCTGGGAAGCGCTTGCTATGCATGAGCGATCATCTGACTGGTACTTTGAATTTAGCAGTGGATACCCGCACCCGCATCCTGTACTGCTTTCCGCCACCGAGCTCTATTATTGTATGTATGAAATACTTCGACATCGTACACATCCCTCATCATGAAATATAGGACCCTAATTTCGCCACAACTTGTACCCAAGAGACATACCTGAAGCGTCTCATTGCCACTGAAACCCACATTCTTGCGATGTTTACCCCTATCACTATTGTCAGCCAGCTCGACGAGGGAGGAAACTGTCGTGCGATCATTCAGGCGTTCGCTCTCCCATCAGCGGGAATTGCTCCGCATCCTCACCTACTCTTCAACTCACCCATGAAGGCCATTGTTATCTCGATATCGAACGTGTTTCGCTTTTATGCGACTCCATGACCAACGCAGTCACAGGGCAAACCCAAATTAAATTCCTTACCCATTGCATGAGACTTAACCTGACGAAGTACTTTGCTCACCGAGTAACGTTATCCCCTCCTCTGCCAGGGGAGAAATTAGGGAATATATCCCTCTCCACCGAGCAGCTTTTCTCTGTACCAGGTTATGCTAACACCATGAAGTTTACCACGTCATTTGACGGGCACGCGCGTGGCATCTGCGTACTTCATAACGAAAGGGATGGAACAGAATTCTATGGATTTACCATCGACGCTAGCAGTATGGATAAGCCCTGTTCGGGCATTGTTGGACCAGGGGTCGATATCAAAGAGGTTGAAGCGAAAGAGTCGTTTCCCTCGTCTTTGAGGATGACATGGAATGTGAAACTCGCATTCGACGGCTACTTGGGTAGAATCTGTTACAGGAAACGAGGTCAGGCAGGAAGGAATGTACTCGCTATAGTAGATTTGGCTTAGAGGTCATTAGACAGTCTAGACGTGCACGGTCGACTGATGCTGATTGGATATTTAACGTTCTGAAGGATAGATTGTGACGTATCGTATACGCTTCAGATCTTGCTTAGTGGCAGATAGCAGATCCTAGCTTGGCGACAGTGTGTATGGTGTAAGGAACTCGCTGCGCATATGCCGCATCCCAGGTACAGGCAGTTCACACCATAGCGTGATTATGTCGTGGACAAATAAAGCTCTCCCAGTTACTCGACACCACAGGCATCGGATAAACACAAAGTATCCATCGACGCTATCATACTCAAACCTTTCCAGTAGCAGCAGCAGCGTTCTTTTTTTGCTCCTTCAGTTTCTCAATCCGCTGCAAAAGTCAATCAGCATGAGCCACCACACCTCCAAACAAATAAAGAAAACACTCACCAACCGTCTCTCCTCCTTTCTCCTTGCCATCTCGGCCGCCTTCTCCTCCTTAGACATCCCAGCCATACTAGTCGGCGGTGTGTTATCAGTAGTATTTGGGAGAGGTCGAGGAGATGATACTGGCGTTGATCGAGCGCTTGAAGCGGGTGAGAATGCCGGTGCAAGAGTGGAAGGCACGATGGATCTGCGGGGTTGTGGGGAGAGCGTGCGTGAGATCTGGGAGGGATGTGATGTCTTCCATGGATCAGGCGAGCGACTTGTAGGTCGAGATGAAGATGCCATCGCACCCCATTCATCAGGAACTGTATCACATAAATCGGTAAGGAAATCATCAATAAGTACGTGATACATACTTGGAGAACTAGCCCGCAGCGAAATTCCGAATCCTAGACCATCGGTTGCACTCGCAAGCTTTAATTCCGCAGTAGGTGGAGCGCTCTCGAACGCACCTACAGGAAAAACAATCTCAGTTTGGATCCGGTGATATCTTTAAAAGTCAAGGAACATACTCCAATCTCCCTCATCAGCATTGATATCGATCAAATCGTCATTCCACAAATGACTACCCCCTTGCCCTGCCTCGTTAGCAACCTCTTCAGCGAGCTGCGCAGCAAGCGTAGAAGCCGGGGCTTTATTTCCGCCCAGTTGTAGGCCTTTGCTTCTTGATGTATTTGCAGAGGGAGAAGCAGATGACACAGGTAGAGAACTGGTGCGCCCATTGATGTTTGGCGTCAATATTGATGCGTCTACAGTACTCGAGATCGTTGTCTGCATATCCGCAGGGGCAAGCTGAGCGGTAGATCTTTGTAAGGTATCAATTTTAGGCAAGACAGATCAAACGTGCCTTTTTGCCAAGGGACGAAACAGCCCACCCTGTGAGAGCTGCTGCTGCGCCCGTCGCTGAGTTCACAAGGCCAGCCTGGGTGTATGCACCCGGAAGCCTCGTGTTTAGATCTTCCCCGCCATCTTCTGTAGATGCTGTCTCCGGCTATGAAAAAAGGTGTATGTAAGCAATACAAACTGGCATATGTGCTGTAGACCTACCATAGTCGAAGCATGAGTCTCTAAACGCTTGATAAAAAGCTCGACCGCCTTGAACGCCTGGTCACGAACCAACCTGTACATTTGGAGCCATCAACATACATCAAAGTAGTAGAACAAGAGCTGCAGACTCACTTTTCTTTATCCAGCGTAGCACCTACAACAGCTGAAACGACTTTACTAGCCACGTCGTCGATCTCGAAGCACTCCGCGGTTGCCATGAACGCCATAACGCCCGCCACCCGAGCGTGGACGAACGAATCCTTGAGCGCCATACTGAACGCGGGAACGAGAACTTTTCGTTTGGTGTTATACCCTAGCGAAGGGCCCAGCCGGCCGATAAGAATACACGTGTTGGTGCGGATGGAGGCTTCTGGGTCTGATTGGAGGCGGGCGAGGTGGCGGAGGAGTTCGTTGTTGAGAATGCGATCGGATAGCTGTATGAATCATTCTTAACGACATTGTTTATACCTGAAAGTCAACACACCTTGGGAGAAAGTAGGACGATAGCGCGGACAGTAGCTTCTCGTATGACAGCGACTGTGTCAGTGAAACCAGTTTGCTGCGCGGATGAGAATAAAATGAGTTGCCCTGCAAGAATGGACGAAACATGGATCATACCAGGTGTGGCCAAATCCTATCGACAACTGTTTTCTTATCCAGTTTCTCAGCGAAGTCGGGGAGATTGTCGAGAAGCGCGATACGCGTACCACGGTCGGCACTCGCAAAGAGTTTGACCAGGGGTGCTACAACAGCTGAGCCATAGTCGTCGGGTGCGACGTTCTTTCCAAATTGGAGGACGAGAGGGACGATGGTTGCTGCTGAGGCACCGCCGAACTCGAGTGCGGAGGCAAGGCATGGGAGGATGCGGTAAGAGATGAATTCGGGAGGAAATGAAGATGCGGATTCCTTTAGCGTCCTACCCATTCAAGTTACTGAGTAGTTGATGGGTGCGTTTGAGAATCAACACGTACCGCAGTAATGATGCCTTTTCAGATTCACTGCTCAGGGTGAATCCGTCCAGTCCAGCGCAGACCTTGACAAGCCGGTTACGTACGAAAAATCCATGTCCTTCTCCATCCGACTCTGCCATACCAATATCTAGTAGGTTCTTGGGTGACATTCGTAATTTTGCATTCGGGTTAAGGAGCTTTTTGAAGGAAGGAAAGACGGATGAGGGTATGGCGCCTCTGGAAGAAACTTGAGGTGGTGGATGGGGAGGCTGAGCAGTCGGTGGAGGAGGGTGGGTAGGATTGAAGACGGCATGTAGAAGCAGACCGAGAGCGTATCCGTCCGCAGCTGATACTGGTACGCTGTGCATACATTAGAAAGGCGGCTGCATGATGTTGTGAGTGTCGAAAACTGAAAACTCACTCTTTGAGGGCAGACCAACCCTCTTTCTTGACTTCTGGGGGTGCGCATGCCATTGCGTCTGGCATGAGGCCGCCCATGGTCTACAAGGGAATGGTTACTGAGAACTTGGAAGCGCACAAGAGACTTTAGAAAAGGACGCACATATATAACAGAAAGATCATCTTTTGGATTGCTCAACACCTCGAAGCCCCCCAGCTTCCACTCTCCTGAAGGAGTGATAAAGATGGCATTTGGACGAACATTACCATGGGTGGATGAAGCAGAATCGTTCAGAAATGCAAGAGCAACCTGGCGCAGAATGTCAGTAAGGTCTTAAGGTAGACGAGATAGGCAATCCTGACTGAAATTCGGTGTAGTCCCCAAATAAGCCAGTCCTCTCGCTCGCGTGGAACATTGGAGGATGATTGGGATAGCGCGAGAGGTAGAGGTCGAACCCTTTCGGTCATGATGCAAATGGCTGAGTCGGATTCTACTACATCGATGAATCTAAGTACATCAGGATGTCGTATGGTGCGCAGCTTGCGGAGGGAGTTGCGGGCAAGGGGTATGGTGGACTTGTTGAGAGGGTGGGTCAGATCATACTCGAAAACCGAGACCGGGCTACCATCCTCCTGCCTTGTAGATTAGCCTAAACACGACTCGGACTCGTGATGTGAGAACTGGAAACCTACCCGTTTGGTAGCATCATACAAGGTCCAGAATGTCTCGCAGGAATAAACCTTGGCACCCAGCGAGAACGGTAGATTTAGCCCTGATTTCTGGACTAGAGTCGACACCGCAGCAGAGCCGAAGCTGCGAAGATAGTCCATAAAGCCCTCGAGTTATACGAACTAGTCGAGTGCGAATGACAGAAAGAAAGCGTCTACCGCTGCGCCGCAGGCACTAAGCAGGTGACTGCTACTGACGCAAACATTGATTTTGACACGTATAATACACAATCACTCTTCCGTGAAACCGCGTACTTTGAATTAGTAGTGGTGCTACGAGTAGTGTGTACAGGAAACAACGTATATGATATCTGTTCTGTAATCACTGATTTTGTAATATCCGCTTCAGAGGTTCAAGAGGCCCATGAAGGTCCGATACGCCGATAATACGCTCGAAACCGTCATGTTGTACCCACCCTTGCTGACACGTGTACGCAGTGGCACAGTAGAAAGGTTTCATCTCATCTCAAATGAAGTGTGGGGTCCATTGGCAGAATGGAGGGGTCAATTGGATTGAGGTCGTCGCAGATGTAGATGAGTGAGGCCCGATATTTCTGGAAAAGGGCGGGAATAGTATACGTAGGGCCAGAGACGCGACACGACATCAAGAATATGCATGTCGAAGTAGACGCAGTTAGGATTGCTTCGACGCATCAGCTTGCAGCTCGTCGAGCGGAACACGAACAAGCCGTTCTCCAGTAAGCGGTAGGGTGTCGTCACTGGGATCTGACAAGTGCTGTTCCCGGCTGTTTACTGCAGAATAATCAGATCGCTAGCTAATACAGTCGGGACTTTGCTCACAAAACAAACTCAAACTTTGGAACATCAGAGGCCACTGTTCGAGCACCTGACCGTGTACTGTTCGAGAAATTAATGATAGACGAGGATCAAGACTAAAGGAAGAAACCTTGGCCAGCATCAGCCATAACCTCGCAATCATCCGCAAGACCTTCGATGCGTTTGAGGAAAAGAGCACTAGCACGTTCAAGGGCAGCAACGGCCTCAAACTCTTTCTTTTTCTCCTGCAAGCGTGACGTTGCTGCTGCATTGTTGGCCTGCGATGCTAGGGATGCAGTATGTGAAATACGACTAGGAGCAACGGACTGACGCATGGTTTCTATTTGCAAAGGAAGTGATTATTGACGACGATGAGCTTACAGCGTTCGTCGTCGTGGGCAACGATGTCAAGACATTAATTTACAAGTCCGGCGCAGTTTGCCGAACATTACATAATGACATTGATTGATACGTATATGTACGCGCACGACTCGGATGTAAACAAGACACTTTGTGCATGCACATCAGCGGATGGCATCATGATGTACATGAACAAAGTGTCTTGTTTACGTTCATCCGTTGATTCAGTTCAAACTTCAAGCTGAGCTTCAGACTACGCTTGATTGTCTCCTGCATTATCTGACACTTCTCGAATATAATGACGTCCTCGTTCTGATTCTAACTCCGAGTCAGTTCATCGTTTAGGTCGTCGTGATGAAGGCTGCAGACGGCCAATTGGAGTCCCTTTGTTTCTGTCGTCGTACAAAACTTGATCTGTTTGATCCCGTTGAGTTTGTCATTGCTCCGATGACTTCTTGTCCACTCCCTTGTTCTGCCTCACACCGTCTCTTGTGGTTTCGAAGGCTTGCCTCATACCCGACCTGCGAGTCCAATTCCCTCTATTTCCAGTGGCCCCGCTTGACGTTTCGCCACTCTTCCAGGATACCCTGTCATCGTACGATAACAGGACGTCTGCTTGGAGACCAGCTCGTGAGGACTAAGACGGTATTGGATGTGCTTGGTCGGGGTCCGTGACGTGCTCTCGCGAAATAGAGTTGGTATTTTGGACAAGGTAGTGAGAGATTCACTCGGTACACAACGCCGAGAAGCGGTCACATAGATACGGGCTCGAAGGCCAACAGCGATGGTATTGGAGAAAATAATCGTCATTTTCAACCAGGTGATGTCACTACCTTTTCGGCGGTTAGTCAACGCCTTTTCCCCCATACACATATCTGACATTATGCAATATGGGTAACAGTGAATGTCTCAAGTCCAAACTCTACGTGTGCTTGCGTACGTGAGGGCTACGACCAACAAACCGCTTTCTCGAAGTCAATGTCGGCCACCGAATGCGTTGCCGTCTGAAGTAACACGTCGCCATTGCCTGTGCGTTGGGTGTGGGCGGTTGTTCAAACTTCGAACGACGCAGAACTCACTTTCTCCAACTTCTTCTCGTACCCCGTTTCGCTTAGACGTATCCACGAGTGACAACCTCAACTATTTTCAATGAGCAAAGACAATCAATCGAGGGATTTGAGGCCGGTTTCTGTTACAGAAGCGCAAATCCAGCGAAGTAATCGCTAGTGGAAGCTCGGTACGTTGCTCATGAGGATCACTTGAAACGCTGATTCTGACGCGTGCTTCGTCCAGGGCCGACCCCGTGGCAAGATTCGTTGGTTTCTGGGGAAGTTTGAGAATGGTGACCGAGAATACTTCTGTGAGTCGACAAAGATGCATAATTAGTATCCTAGAATAAGGCTGAGATCGTCCAACAGTGCTCGAAGGTGCGATCCTCTTCTCACGAACGTCGGTCATGAAGGTGACTTATCGACTCCGAGTAACCAGGTGGGTCTGGCGTGGAAAATGGTGTTAATCCCTAATCGGCATGTTTGGCTGCCAGAGAAGCTACAGAGTGCATGAATCCACCCTATGACATGTGTTGCGCCTACAGCCCAAGATGCACCAGCGAATCTCGAGCCTGCATGACTTCCAGGATCATATCTTCGACCCCTGGGGATAATTGACTCTGTTGTTACGAAGATCGCTGATGTATGCGCCCTTGCTCTCGACATAGGACGCGTTGAACCTGATCTGAGCACATGGATAACACTGGCGAGATTGCCGCGATGGGTGACCTCCCAGCCTTCTCTACCACTCGCGTTTAATCAATGCGGCGTGTAAACCCGACAGAGCTATCCCTAGGTACTGTTGTACTTCAGTGCATGCATGGAGGTTTCTAAATGACACGACTTCGCATAGGACGTACATGTGTATTTCCCAATAACCAACTGTACTGTGCATATGGCCCGACGCCCGACGATCTTGGCGTCACTGTGACCATGTTTCTGCCTGTCGATGATGTTTGTGTACACTGTATCCTATGAGTCCATGGGTGGATCGCTAGTTGTATCGTTTTGTTAACCTCAACCTCAAATTTAGCCGTGGGCGATTACTTATTGAATTTGATACTCCGACCAGCTGAGAGCCTGAGGCCTTTGGATCCGGAGCTCTATGTGGCCACTTATTGCATTTGAAGTCTAACTCAATGTGTCTGCTCCGACTACATATATCGTCGATCACGCGTTCAACTACCTATTTCAGATGAACACTCATGCGTTCATGTGGGGGTCCTCACTTTCTTCTCACCACTGTTCTGTTTCTTGACCAACTTTTCCGCTTTGGTACTCATTGGATGCATGGTAAACAAGCGTTCGTTGAAGTAAAATGAACGTGTTCGATGCCGCACCGGCGACGCGGGTTTAATACGCATTTGTTACTAGACATGTTCTGGTGAACAAGGTTCGAACGTTTGAGTTTCGGCCGCCTCTCGGGTAAGTTATATTTTTGTCCAAGAGCTCGTGATTATGCACCGGTCACTGACCTGTTGATCGAGGTGGCGCGCGCCAATCACAGGGAAGGCCCTGTTTCTGTCCTTTTGGGGAGGTTTACAGCAAGTCATGGGGATCGACGTAACCCACCTTGGAATGGAGCGCTTTGTTCAAAACATTCAACATCGTACAAGTGCTCTCCAGAATGTCGGTGGCGTCGAGTACAGTGCGGCGGCGAACTGCACGAACGTGCTGGTTTGCTATTGGTTCGGGTCTGGAATAGCAGAGAGCCTCACGAGCTCCAGGCGCTCTTTAATTTGGAACCGCTAATCTCACACACAATATGTAGCAGCAGCCCGGAGGTTCACTGAAACGTGTATTGCGCATTCATAAGGGCGTCGCATACAGCTCTTTGCTCGACATATCGAAACTGGCTCGTACGGCGAAAACTAGCCTTCCCTCGTCGTGTTTTCGAGCATGCTGCAAAATCGCTTTGCTATCTGCTTGCCCTTTTGTCATGGCTAAGCATATTCGCCATGGCTCAGACTGTGGCATCTCAGGCATACACACCTGTTGCTGCGCGATGTCCTGCAGGTTTCAACCTAGTGCGGATGGCTGGTACTCCTGGGAATCAGACCCTCAGCTCATCTGAGGCCTCCTATGTCCAAAATCGCAAGACCAGTGTCCTTCCGCAGGCCTGGAAAACTTATCTCTCAAATGTCTTATCCACCAATCCTTATCTCCCTGATTACGTGTCAAGCATTCTGTCGGGAGATAGCTCCGAGATCCCGACTCTAGGCATTGCAACGAGCGGAGGAGGGTATAGGGCTGCAATCTTTGGTGCAGGAGTGTTGAACGCACTAGATGCGCGGAATTCGTCTTCCGATGCCGCTGGAACAGGCGGGTTGCTCCAGGCAGCAACCTATCTGTCGGGATTGTCAGGCGGATCGTGGTTTGTCACGTCCCTTGCCCAAGCCAATTTCCCCACCATCCAAGATCTCATCTTTGGACCTGCTAGTCCCCCAGTGTCTGACAATTCGTGGGGAGGATGGAATGCTGCCTATGATCTTGCAACGCCAAGCACGAACCTCTCCACGGATTCGGAATATTATATGGATCTTGCGGAGGAGTTGCTTGGAAAGTACGAAGCCGGTTATGTAGTGACATTTGCGGACTATTGGGGACGTACGCTAGCCAGACATTTCGCCAATGGCACTTTCTCGTCTAATTTCTATGACGAGTCGTACACCCATGGAGCTGGTGTATTATGGTCTGCTGTTGCAAATACGTGAGTTCGCTCTCATCCTGTTCACTCCGTTGGCTGATCCTGGTTAAAGGACCTCCTTTGCGTCCTATTCAATACCATTCCCAATTGTGGTCGCAGACCTTCAAGCTCCGGGTCAGAACTCATCTGAGATCATTGCTGAAGACTTCATCCCCTTAAACAATCCTCTATTTGAGTTCAATGTTTGTGAGTTAAGGGACACGGTCTTTTGTTCCTGAGCCCTGAACGCATCTGAACAGTTGAAACGGGTTCTTTCGACCCGCAGCTTTCTGCATTCGCGCCCACCAAATATCTGGGAACGACAAATAACAGTATCTGTGTCACCAACTATGATCAATCTGTGCTTGTCGCTGGATCATCTTCTGAACTATTCAATGAGGCTAATTTCACTGTGGGTTCCGTTCCGATGTTGTCTATGCACGCCTGAACTAGCTGGCAGAATACCTTCAATTCGAGTTATGGGCCCATTTTATCTCTTTTGGCGAGTCTTATGCCTGAACCCGACGTTGAATATGACGTTGCTTCTTGGCCAAACCCATTCTATGGTGTGGCGCCGGACAGTTTTATTGATTCGGCCCAAACGAACCTGAATATGGTGGACGGCGGTGAGGACGGTGAAGTTATCCCCCTGCAACCTCTCCTGGTGAAGGCACGTGCCGTCGATGTCATTTTCGCTATTGATGCAGTAAGCAGTTTCCCTAAGAATGTGACGATCTTCAGCTGATCTTTAACTCAGACCGATGATGTCGACGACTTCGCGGATGGTAGCTCTTTGATTGTGAGCATACACGGTTATTGAATAACTTTCGCATCTGAATCCTTACTAGGCCACACAAAATCGTACTTCGCTTTACCCTTCCGCTTACTCATTCCCTCCCGTTCCCACTTCTATGGGAGAATACACCGCACAAAACCTGACTACGCGCCCGACATTCTTTGGATGCAATACGACCAGTTTGAACGCAAGCACCCCGCTTCTCATATACCTTGCTAATGGTGGCCCACCCTACAATGGCGAAGCTCCCATTACCAATACCTCAACGGATCAAACTTCCTATTCGTCGTCAGAGATCCAGGCAATGCTTAGCCAGACCTTTGTTATCGCGACTCAGGGGTATCCAACAATCGGAGCAACGGAAGATCCAAATTGGCCGTCGTGTCTCGCATGCGCCGTCGTCGACCGTGCAAGGGAGCGAGCAGGGGTGGAAAGAAGTGGTATCTGCACTTCCTGCATGAACAGGTACTGCTGGGATGGAAGCACCCTCACAACTACTGCACCCTACAGCGTATAGGCCACGCATTTGGATAGCTGGGCGCCTTCGGGGTGGCGTCGGTTATTATGGCCATGCTGATGATGTGAAGTCAATTTGTGCAGACGGACACAGTTTGAGTTTTCGTTGTCAGAGCTGATTTATTGTTGATGCTTTTGGTATCTGTTGGCTGTTAGCGAATTGGACTCGATTACTGGCATGACGTTTGCTTTTGCTGGTTTTGGGGATGCGGCGGTGTCGGGCCCTACTAATCGATTCTGATTCAGCGATGGCGGATCCACGTCACAAGCGTCAGATACGACGACCACTAGCAAGAATTTCAAACGTGCGGCTACTAAGTAAACCTACGGTGTTGATACTGACAGAAGCACGAAGCCGAGCTGTCATTGTCAGCCAAGGATAGGTAGAACCTGACATGCATGCAGACGAATTTGATCCTCCAACCCACTGAAAGGCCTGCTGTCCTCAGTTGTCATTATAAGATGAACTACTTGCACTTTCTTGAGCGAACATGATCCGGGGCTGCGGCTTTTGCCAAGTAAGTTCCAACTTTGTCGAGACGGAAAAGGCAACCACGTGTTATTTAGAAACTCCGCGAACCTATGCGAGCGTCGATAGATGGCAAAGTTGAGTACTGAGCGTTGCGTATCGGCCTTACCCGCTCGTCCTCGTGCTACTGTCTCTTCCAACCTCTCGTTATATGGCGCAAGCGATGCTTCCTGGACTAAGGACGATGCAAATTTCTCCAGATGGATAGATTGACTCAGATGAATCCCAGAATTAAAACAGTTGTCCTCGGAATCTGCCCGAGTCCTCATGGCAAACAAATCGCTGACGTTTAACGGCGTACATTCAACGGTCTGGTTTACTCCTCCGATACGGTGTCGTCTGCATCTTGCTGTTGCCATTTGATACGTGATGGCATTCTGCTGATGTCGGATATTTCCTGTTCTGCCAACCTGATCATTTGATTGTTCACCATTGTAGTGGCGCCTGCTATGATAGCCCGAAGAATGATGCATGGCGGTCTACTCCCCCAAGGCGATTCTATCACTTACTAGAGAAGTTGCCATTTACTATGATCGTCAGGTCCCTCCACAGTCCTCGTTTCTTGTCGAGCTATGAGGTCTTCCGAGTCGTTGGTCTTGGCTGCGTGTACTGGCACGTATTATCGTCTTGAATCTGTTCCCAGCGCGACTGTTACTAATGAAAAATCCGTTTCATAGGCAAAGCGAGTGTCACGGAGGCGAGGGAGCCGGAAGAGGAATATGGTATCCCGGAAGTAGATTACCTGCGAGTCCATTTTAGGATGGAGGAATTGACGTCCAACCGCCATCGGCGACATTCCATTGACCACTAGTGTGACCGCGATTTGGATATGTTTTTGTCACGCTTTATAGATGGTATATATACCAGCTACGTTCTGAATTCCTCATAGGCGTCCTCTCCTTTCTTTCCCCCTCTGTCACTTGTGCCCGCCGACGACGCAGGCCTCTTTTTTGTTGTCTTTGTCGGATTTTTCATTTGCTACACCCACCATGGACTTCATCGCTACCGCTGCGTTCCCAATCTCAGTTTCTTGGATAACCCACAACATCGCTCTCGCCGCTCTTTCTCTTTCTCTGGTCTACGTTGTCTCTCGCGCTATATACAACCTCTTCCTTTCCCCGCTCAGCTCGATACCCGGTCCTTGGTTTGCCGCCGTCTCTAACTTTTGGATCACAACACATGTCTTGCGCCTCCAACAATGTAAGACCAATCACCGCCTGTTCGAGAAGTATGGCCCTGTCGTTCGAATCGGTCCAAACAAGGTCATATTCAAAGATCTGACGTCCATGAGAAGCATCTACTCAGTCCACAAATTTGACAAGAGCACCTTCTACAAGAGTCTTTTAACGTGCGTTTATCTTGTATTTGATACGATTTTAGCTTATCAGTCTCATTTAGTAATGAGAACGATCATGCGTGAGTGCACATTGCAATCTGTTAAGCGCGCATATATGCTGATTTTCTGACCAGTATGACGACATTGGACCATGCGGGACATGTTGCTCGACGAAAGGGCTATGCTCCTCACTATATCCCCGCCAATCTCGTTCTTTTTCAGCCTGAAGCGCATGATTATACCCTCGAGCTTGTTTCGGTATGCCCCTAGAAATTAACATGACATTTCCCTTTTAATGCGCCTATTCCAGGTTCTAGAACATATCGGGGGCAAACATTCTTTGGATTGTCTTGCATTGTTCCGCCATTATATGGTTGACGTTATTATTGCGTCTTCTCATGGTTACCGACAGGGTGCTCTCAGTAAATGGATTGCAGGTGTGGAGGATTCTATGGCCACTGCGATCGCAGATTTCCCAAAGCGAGGCATTATCGTAAGGCGATCGACCTTGCATCAAAATTAGACTGACAGGGGTTGCAGAGAAGCGCGGTGCCCCCTTGGGTGTGGGATTTGATCTGCCGTATTCCCAACAACCGGTGGCGTCAGATGTGCGATTCTGATAAGATTATGGGCGAGGTTGTTCCCTCTCTATGCCTTCAGTGCGGACAATGAAGCTGATTCTCGTCTCTTCTCAAGTTCGTTGGTGCTCGCGTGTACGAGATGCGAGCAGAGTTAAATGCAGGAAAACTTGGTGAATCTGAGAAGATTCCGATGTTGCGACGCCTTCTCCAGTACAAGTATTCCTCTGAACAGGCCATGCCCGACCACGATATCATTTCAGAAATGATGGGACATATGTATGCGTCTAACTCTCGTTCGACTGCCTGTAGTGCGAGCTAAATTGATACTCCTAGGATCGCAGGGTCTGATACTACATCAAACTCGTTGTCCTACTTCTTTTGGGAGCTTAGCCGCAGGCAAGATATCATGATGAAACTGCAGGCCGAACTGGACCAAGCGATGCCTGATCCGCATGCTATCCCTGATATCGCTCTCTTGCAGAAGCTTCCTTACCTGAACGCTTTCGTGAAAGAAGGTCGGGGTGCGCTTCGCTGTAATTTACATCTTTCTCATTACACATGTTATAGGTCTTCGGCTGTACAGCGCCGCACCAAGTCCTCTCGAACGCGTCGTTCCATCTTCCACATCCAAAAATGGTGCCATTAATGAAGCTTTTGATCTTATGGGTTACGCACTTCCTCCTGGTACCATCGTTGCTACCCAAGGCTGGTCTATGCACCGTGATGCATCCATCTTCCCTTCTCCGAAGACCTTCCTTCCTGAGCGCTGGCTCGAGAGACCTGGGAACGCTGAACATCTTTTCAAGATGGCACAATTCCTCATGCCATTCGGAACAGGCTCGCGCGTCTGCGGAGGCCAGAATTTGGCGCAGATGATGTTGAGGATCGCGGTGGCCACTGTAGCGAGGAACTTTGATGTTGTGGCTCCTCCTGAGACCAACGAGCGAAGTATGGAAATCAAGGACTCCTTTGTAATTGACTCTCTTTGTGATCACTGTCCGAGGACTTGACTTATGTGCCTTTTTCTGCAGGTCATCTTTCCTGCTTCGATGGAATGCAAACTGACATTCGTCCCACGAGCTCACTGAGCTCCCTGGCGATTCATCTACCATCACTACGACCCACCACGAGCGTACACGCCTCATAATTTCTCCCCATTCTCATCTCCTATTCCTACTTTAGTGATTAGAGCTCTTATAATCGGCTAATATTCCTCAACGTGGGCTGGCTACCCTGCGAAACCCTCGTCGAACTTGCTTTCGTTGTAGTAGTGTGGACATACTCTTGGTTTTCGCGATGCTATGCAATCGTATTACTATGGTATTCTATTCGGCTGGCCCTATGTATGTAGGTCAATACCCACTTTGTGTCCCTAGTTTTGGTATCTGATATAGACTGACGTTCGGACGTCATATCTAACCTCGTTGATGGAATGGTATGATATAAGACGACGGGACCACCCCAGACTCGAATACATCCAATTTTGGGGACTCTTGGATCATTTAATGCACAGCTCGCCGCTTTACATCGGGAATAGGCGATAGCTCGAGGTGATGGGAGATCATACTAGCTCAGTTAAATTCCTTGGCCAGGTTTAGTGCCTGACATTCCGGCCGAATATTGTCTCTAAACTACCATCTGTATCGTCCACTTAGAACCGACTGACTCGGAGAGGAGCCCGTTAATGGTCGTTCCACTCCCGTATCCAATATCGAGCTACATCATAATTAATCCTCGAGAATTCCTTTAAGATGCTGCATCAAGGTCGCATACAAACGGCTTACGTTCCCAACGCCAAGCCCGTTTGTCAGAACGTCAAGGCCAAGGCCAACTTGTCCGCGTACAAACCGGATTGGAATGATGAACAGGTGATTTTACTACGCGTTGCAAGGAATGTCTTCCTGTTGCTGTCTGATTCCTGAAGCTGTGTTTTCTGTGCTCTCGGGAGTGCCGGTATCACTTCTGCAGCCTAATCGGGTCGTTGAAATGCCGAAGCTCTTCTTGAGCGCTATACTAGTACTGAAGTGCTCCCTAAGATCCTACAATTTCTGTTCAATCTCACCACTCGACACACAAGACAAGGCGACACGAGACTCTTCGCTGTAATATCGATCTAGGTAGTGTGGTTCTACTCCATTGGTCTGAAATTCGTTACGAGAAACAAGCCAAACAGCTCTGAGACGCCTCGAGTTGGTAATCTTTCTTGATGAGCGATACGGAAAAAGATGCAGTGCTTTCGGACGAGGCTCCAGTAGATGATGATGTTGCATCTAAGACCTTGACTAGTGTTTGGAAGAGGTTCCTTGTTAGGTCCGGCGACGCGTCTGTTGAGAATGAAACGAAGAGGGCGATGCAGAGCAGACACCTGATGATGATTGGTGAGTATTCGCTTAGGCGCTCTTGATTTCGATGGTCGATGATGTCATGTACTTAAAACCTTTTCTGGAATCTGCGCAGCGATCGGAGGGACCATTGGGACGGGTATTTTCTTGAGCGCTGGATCTGTGAGTGTCGCTTTGTTCTCATATGAGCGCGTCCTTTGTAACCGCTTTGATTCTTTCGCCAAGGCTATCGCTCTGGCTGGGCCAGGAAGTGCTCTGCTCTCGTATTTTGTTGTCGGGATGTTTGTGTACAGCGTTGTGATCAGTTTGTATGTTTCTAATATCACATCGTTATGTTCGAACTGAACGAAACAAATTGGAGGGGCGAAATGTCTGCTATGTTCCCCGTATCAGGTGCTTTCTCTGTCTTTGGTAGTAGATTCGTCTCTCCTGCGCTAGGATTTACGTTAGGTACCTTACTTCTACCTTGATCTCTCCTCGTGCTGACTGGAGGATTTCTGACAACAGGGTGGAATTACTGGTTTCAGTGGTACTTCTGCCTCCAGGATGAATTTCAGGTTCATTGACCAGTCTGACGATATTTATTCAGGAGTCTTTCAATACGTGAGTATTGCTTCTATCCAGCTTCATTTTCTTTTGAAGAGGCGATCGACTTACTCGTTTGTCATGGTGGTCAGCCAGCGAGCTGACTGCTGCTGCAATCATCCTACAGGTAAGTTGGTTTATTATTGTGTCCTTGATACACCGAGAAAATTGCTGAGAGGATGTTAAATCAGTTTTGGGCGCCGCAAGTCCAGGCCTGGGAATGGGCGCTCGTCATTATTATCCCCGTTTTCTTGCTTCAACTGATTCACGTTCGAGTTTATGGTGCGTGATTGTTGAGTATGTGTGCTAGGTATCCTGATGCTGGTCTACAACAGGAGAGTCCGAGTACTGGTTTGCTCTCGTCAAGGTCCTTATGATTATAGTTTTCATCTTTGTCGGGCTCATCTACGACTGGGGCGGAGTGAAAGGTCATCCTGGACCGGTAAGCAGTGTTCGTAAGCAGTACCCTCTTCTTATCTATACTTGAAGGGTTTATCGAACTTTCGCAACGGGCAAGCTTTTATCGGTGGCTTTCAAAATTTTGCCCAGACTTTCGTCTACGCCTTTTACTCATTCGGCGGTGTTGAACTGGTGGCAATTGCTGCGGGAGAGTCCGTTCAACCGCATAAAACTGTACCTCGGGCTATCAAGGCTACTTTCCTCCGGATAGTCCTTTTCTACATTTTGACCATCCTAACAATTGGTCTTTGCATTAACTGGCAAGACCCTACCTTACTCAGCGCAGCAGACGGTGAGTGACGAATCTGGAGCGGAATTCACCGCTCATCTCTTCGATCTGCTATCAGACTCGGATGTGACAGCCTCTCCACTGACTGTGGTGTTCCAGCGGGCTGGGTTTGGCGCCGCTGCACACGTCATCAATGCTGTCCTGTTGACCGCGGTTTTATCTGCCACGAATTCGTGTTTTTACGCGAGTTCACGCATGCTTCTCTCGTTGGCTAGATCCGGTCAGGCCCCTCGCATCTTTGGCTGGGTAACCAGTCGAGGCGTTCCTGTGCCTGCACTCCTGTGAGTCCACGCTATCGTTTTATGCTCGTAGCATGCAACACTGACACATACGGGTAGCCTGGCGCTCGCAGTATCGTCCGTGACGTTCCTTACAACAATCTGGGGGGAGGGGATCGTGTTCACTTGGCTGCTTAATCTCACAGGAATATCAGCCTTACTTGTGTGGGGCTCGATAGGTTTCATCTCTCTGCGTTTTCGTGCAGCGTATCGAGCTCAGGGGCGTTCGTTGTTGGATTTGCCTTACACTCAACCTTTCTTTCCTTTGTTACCTGCTGGAGTTGTCGTGCTTGCCTTACTGATGTTCATTGCGGAAGGATATTCATCGGTCAAAGAACAGCCATTTGAAGCCAAGGTATGCGTCACCCCTCGCTGAGAAGTCCTTCATCTTACCGTGTTCACGCCAGAACGTCGTCGCCACATACGTTGGTGTTGCCCTTTACATTGTCCTATACCTCGGCTATACTGTCTATGAGCGATTTGGACTTGGAATTCGACAGCATTTCGTGCCGTTACTCGAAGTAGACTTACAAACCGATGCTGTTTGGAAACCTGGAGAAGGTGCAATGATCAGAGATAATGATGGCAAAGAAGAAGAGGGTACTGCTGTCTCGGTAACACCTGGGTGGCGAACTTGGCTATCTTACGCAGCTAAACATGTTTATTGACTACTCAATGGAAGCTATGCTTCAGGCTTTTGGCTTCGGAGCATCATTACTTCTTCCGTCCGATGAACGTCAGTCGTTGGCGCGATCAGTTGTCTTCAGTATGTTACAGGCGCTGAAGCTTCGCTTTCCAAATCGAAGTCACTCCCAGGCCATGGCCGCTGAAGCCTGGCGTAAAGGCCAGCCTCAGCATGGCCCAGGCCGTGGACATCTCCCATGTCTGGCGATGGGGTCTGAAAGCGCCACTATTGGCGTTGTCCACACCAGGCTTCCACAACAGAGGTATAAGAGACGAACGCTTTCAATGGATTTCTCCATCTCATTTTACACCATCGTTCTACCCCATTTTCACAAATCCGATGTGCAAAAGCTCATTATCCGTCACCTTCTGTTCCAATTGCAGAAGTATAGTCTCAAGGGATAAACACGTTGACATCATATGCATATGGCAGAAAAAAGTCGAGAGAGCTCAACGAAAGGGCTCAGTTGAGAATGTTGAGGAATGGAAGGCTATGTGCATGGCAAATGGAGTTGAAACGAGCGGTCCTTGGATCCATTTATGTGGCTGTGTATACTGTTGATGTAAGGGGATTTCAGTTCAACTGGATGACCTCGCACTCATAACTGCTTCGCAGATACGGCGTAGTGCAGCACTCGTGAAGGAGACAGGTGTATGTGGGTGGCGATGGTGTTTGAAACACGACAGATATTCATATTGTGAACCCAATTAGAAATACATGCGAGTCATAGGCTGACCTTGGCCCAGTTGGCGATGGTCATTGTACTTCAGATGAGAATGGTCCATATTGAAGTATACATGGTGCAATCCGGCAGTGACCACCGATGAATAAGCACAATGCACCATGCCAGTGTGGACGGTCAATGCACATTTTCTGTCCGATGACTCATGTGCACACGTCCACCGCAGGCCAGTGGATCTTGTGGCATGCACGTCTTCTCTAGGTATAAGTACAACGCGACCATCATACTACCACAAACATAACTTAAAAAACGCACTCACCCCTCAGTGCTCACCCAAACATACCTCCATCCTTGTCATGTGCGAAATCACAGAGGTCCAATACGTCTATGTTTGCCCGTGCAGGCGCATGGCTGGGCCCGTCAAATCTCAGACCTACAAATGTGAGGAGAGGATACAAGGAGAGCGAGTCTGGAGACATTGGTATGCTGCTGGGCGGCGTGGCAAGGAACCAGCAATAGAATGCACAAGCATGACTGTGCAAAAAACGCTGCCATATGGTAGACCTTGTCGGGATTGTTTTGAACGCTTTTTCCGAAGGTAGATGTCATCGAATCCGTCAAATCTTATCATCGATCCTGATCTTCTCTCAGATGAGCATGCCGTTTAGAATGTGACCCAAGTCCATTCAATTATCATTTAATATATTCATCATTCATCCTACCCCCGAGATAAATTTGAGCTGTAGCACTGGAGCAGGGTTCAAGACGGAACTTACAGATACTTGAATATATATGATCTTTTCATGGAGCCTCGTGGAGCACCGTTGCGAGTGTGCCTATCATCCTAAGATATGTAGACGCCGACGCCGAGACACCTTTTCCAACAGCCCCGACAAAGTTCGCCAACTTCCCTTTCTCGAATCCGAACTGATAATCCGACAAATACTTGGCAAGAGTCGTGTCCTTGATTCCCGTCAGCTTGCTCAGTTCGTTGCGGAACCTGAGCGAGCCAGGCTCGTACTTCTTTCCTTTGACAAGGGCCAAGTATAGTCCTACGAACGTTTGGGCGCGCCCGTTGGCAACGAGGAGCTCTGGATAAGTGAAGTACCGATACAATTTGCCGACGAAGACAATTCGTGGATGTGTGGGGTTGGCTTTGGTTTCTGGGTTAGAAAGATCGAGTCCGATGCGTGGAGAACGGAACACGGGCAAGGTCGCAAGGCTCGATGCAGGTCGCTTGCGTAAGTACATATAAACGTTCCTCGGTTGGCTCGGAGCTGAGAGGGCGGCGATGTCCCCTTGCCATTTAACAGACACAAGCTCACTGATGTTCGAGGCACTGCATACGCGCAAAATCTCATCGACGAGGAGTGAGGGCCCTGAGATGACCTTTTGGTCATGAAATCGACGTACGGTGCGCAGAAGAGCACCACCTCGCAATATTCCTGATGTAATGCGAGGCTCCACGTTAGAAGACGTTTGCATGTACACGGGACCACCAAATGTCAAATCAAGGCCTTTACGTGTGCCGCCCCGATAACCTCCTGCTACAGTAGCAGTAAGATTGGCTTGCGATGAGTTTGAGCGTTTCGGTGCACGATGAAAATACCTGTGAGAGCCAACTTGAACGATTTCTTATACGACAACTCAAGAGTAAATTCTCACCACTGCCCGCTGCGCTCTTGCTCCGCACTTCCATGAGTGAATGGATCCTCGTGACAGCCTGACTTCTGGAGGTAAAATTCTAGTTCGAGGATTTCATAGTCCGTCTGAGAGCTGCCATGAGTGACTGAAAGATAATATTTGGACAGTAAAGCGTTTGATATCGAGTCAAAGCGAGCGGATATGTCATCCTGAGAGCATGAAGAAGTTAGGTCAAGCAAAGAGTTGATAGTATCTCCATGAGTGACAGGCAATACCGGACATATTGAAGCGTTTGAACGAAGATCTGCGAGTTCAATATCCTCGCTTTCGATATCTTTTTCAACAGCACTGCCAATTGTAACAGAAGCTGAAGGTCGATCACTCTGCCTTGTAATTTTTTTCCGGTGAATTGGGATCTGCTCTAAAATTAATTAAAATGATGTGAGGACTGGTGATAGCGCGTGTGTTAAATTTCGCGCTGACCGTCATCCTGAGGACCTTGGTCCTCCCTCGTTCGCTTCAAGCTGCCATTTACCATCAATACTACTTCCTCTAGCAAAAGCCCGCCAATGAGACGTCCTACAGGTCAGTGAAATCAAGTCTTCAAAGACAAGTATGTATGCACAAAGCACTGGGACTGTCAACGTTGTGGTTGAAGAACGCGCAAGTTGCATGAACAACAGTGATGTACTATGTATGTAATTGTAAAAATTTCAAATTCATCAAGCTTAGCGCGTCCCACTAGCACTTGGCACTAGTGCAGGACTTTCGTCAGAACATATCTCTTTTGTTAAACTCAAAAGGGATCGTCCTGCTTTGCGGTATCTCTCCCACTCGCCACATTCGTCGTCCGGATAACATTACTCTTTGCAATTTGGCTCCACGAACATGCCTACGCCAAAATACTTTGCCTCACCAATATCCTGACTCATTCAATACCAACTCATATAATGCGGCCACGACCAGCCCGAGCTCGTCACCGATCCTGCTTGAATGCATTTGGACAAGCCTCAATACCTAGAGACCTCAGCATAAGCCCTCCTTCCCATTCTGCGTCGAGTACATCGAGCACCGTTCCGAGGTGAGCGCTTGAGCATCGCTGTGCGTCGAGCCATGCATCCTAATACCTCTCTATACTTGGCAGCTCGTTCCTCTCCATCAAGACTCCCCAATAACCAGGACAGCTTCCCCAAGCGCAGCAAGATCCCCGTCCAACGGCGACTTGCAGAGGTCGTTCGATCAGAGAAAATCCAACATTAAAACTGGCGATATTTATATTGCGAACCTCGCCTATTGGTTTTTCAGCCATAAGCGGATCTACCTTTGTAGCGTCGAATACCAAACCAAGTTTCCTGAGATCGGTGCAGGTTGATAGTAAGGTCACAAGACCCCGAAAAGTGATTTTGGGTGGTGTCTGCCAGAAACCCCTGCTCCCTAGATAAAGGCACTCGAGGCATGGCCAATGGAGCTAAGGACGTCATCATCGAGCAACGAGATACAACATGTCGAAATATCAACCTCTTTCAGACCGGAGAAACGCATGAGGGGAGTGAAGGTGTGGAGGGTGCGTGCGTTGTCGGTGTCATTAACACGTGTGAATACGTCTGGCGGGGTGCGCTCCAGAACATCGCAAAGTAGATGGTCCTCCAACATGCCCGGGCCATATGCAGTGGCCGCCGCGGATTCAGCACAGGCAAAAACGGGCTGCAGCTGCCTGCATGGAACAACCTACCTCGCTACCAAACTGGCGCTCAAAGTCGCATTGAACGAGCAGATGACTGGTTTATCCGGGTAAGAGGTACAAAATTGCGATCTGATGAGAGGGAAAGGTCCAGCGAAGTCGATACACAATTCTTGAAGTCCGACCAGATGAGATAACCAGGAAAAGTGTTGCTTTCCGCAGATGCGTGAGCCCACAGATAGCGAGCTGGATGACTTGAGACATTGTGTAGTCCAAGAAATGAGACTTCGACGACTTCCAGTCGTGGTGAATGCCTGCTGAGACCTGATAGCACCGAAGACATGATGTTCGTCCAAAAATCTTCTGTCGGTGACAACAGATACAGATGGATGAGGTTAGCTAGAGCATGGTTAAGGTGGTAGACACTTAATCTGTGTGCCCGCAGAAGTGCTTTAGCACGCCGCTTACTAATCGCCTTGAACTTTTGCACGAACCATCCTTCGAACTATGTACAACACCTTATACTTGTCACAATATTATGCTGTTGAATCTGCACAAATATTATTTGTGTCGCCCCGAAACAAAAATGTGTGACCACTGAGAAAATGTGTGTCCCCCCGAAAAAATGTGTGCCCCCCCAAAAAAAAAATAGTGTCGCCCCCAGGATAGTGTAGTGGTAACTTGGTCCCTGTTGCGTTGCTGTGCAGGATTTAGCCAGGAAGCTCTGCTGTTCAACTCCCCCATTGCCACAATTAATTATGTCATGTTATTCACTGTAGAGGTTATCCTAATCATTTGTTGCTCATTTTCATTACATTTATGTTTTTTTTGATTTTCTGACATAAAATCCTGGCTTCTATGCAACAACCTATCATCACACCCACAGTTTCTACTGGAAATATGTTACAGGGAGCTGAAATACAAAGTGACTGCTCTTATGACCCCCTCGATAATCCTCTCCTTGACCTCAAGCCCATCTAATTCTATCATCACATCAACCATAGCTTGTCTGCATGCAATATTCATACCATCAGGTAATGGGGCCTCAATGATGAGTTGGAGGGTCTGTGCCAGTGGGAGTGGGTTTGTTGGGTGGAGGATCACATGAGCTACTTTCTTCCACCAGAATCCTGACCATGCCTCCTTGCACCAGCTATGTAAGTGAGTCAAGCAGCTGAAAGATGGTGAAACAAGGAGTGAGGGTGGGTAAACTGCCAATGCTTGTCATTTTTGCTCTATCACCTCTTTTGCCTGAGTGATAATTGTATATACTTTGAACCCCATCTGAGCAGCCTCAGTATTGGTAGTGTTCACAAGTGACAGTAATATGATCTTGTGGATTGCTGGAGCAATCCACTGGGGTATGGAATATAACTGAGCAAGTTCTAGTCTGTGAGTAGGCTGCAGGGTGAGGTTTTCCAGCCCATCAATAGTGAACTTGATGCTATTGCTTATCATCCACAGGTGCAAAACCTTAAGGATAGCAACATCTCCTGGTTGCCATCTACAACAAACCAAACTTGCATGAGTCATGGGTATCCACCATAATACTTTGCACTCCTACTTGAAGCAGAACAATGTTAGCTACAAGTATAGCTTAATCTTGGATGCTGACCTGGATCATGCTGTTTGGGAGTTTCGTCAGATGAAACCAAATTCTGGAGTTTGCTATCTTACTGGCCATCTATGACAGCTGGGCTTGTGGATACAGCAGCAGCATATTACTGCCTCTATCCACTGTGTTGATCCCTTAGGAACTGTCCTCCAACAATGCACTATGATTCAACAGTGACAGTACAAGGTTTCATGGCTGAATGCTCTGTGGCACATGGATGGTCACCATAAGCTGATTCATTGGGGTATCATAATCCATGGTATCATTGATGGGTATTGCCGCACAGTAGGCTATTATTCTTCACTAGCCACCCATATCTGATAGATATTGACTTTTATATGGTTGCCATTCATCCCAGCACAAGCAATAGTGCATCCACAGTGCTTGGGGTGTTTTTGAATGCAGTCGCTCTCTATGGTACACCTTCAAGAGTACGAGGTGATAGAGGCAGAGAAAACAAGAAGGTATCAGTTTATATGATCATGACTAGAGGGCCTAACCATGCAAGCTTTATGTGGGGATCATAAGTAACCACACTTTAATTGCTTACATTAGTTGTTCTAAAATCTGCTGCTTGCTAGATCAACTCACAACAGCAGGATTGAATGATCCTGGGTTGAGGTCAGCACTCAATTTGCTCGCATGTGGCATGCATTTTTCTACCGGCTCAAGAGGCTTCATGGACTCAATGTATCTAATGCCCAGCATCTTTGGCTATTACATGAGCTGTTCCTCGGACAGATCGAGTCTGACTGCGACACATTTCAAGCTGAATGGAATGTACACCCTATCTCTGGAGAAGGACATGATCAGAGCCCGAATGTATGTCATCTAATAGCTCAGACACAGCCAGCTAAATAAATTGATTTTGATTTTGTATCTATCAGGATATGAGGCTTATGGGCCAGCTCAAGCATGGACTATATGCTGACAATTGTGAAGGAGTCCATCCTGATATCATCAGACAATATTATGGAACTGCAGGAAGGCCTATTCATTGTGCACCCCATCAAACTGGAGCAGGTCACCCCTCAGATGAGGTATACTCAGCTTCTGGATCTACTGATGGAGAATCGGATGGTGAAGAATCAGAAGAGGAATGGGAAGATATTAATGATGCAGAGGACATTGGTACAGAAGATCTACAAGAGCTTCCCCAGCTTATTGCTGCAGATCATGATGCCCATTTTCACCATAAGCCTGTCTGTGTCCCGAAACATGCCAGTCCTTTTTGCTCTGCTACTCTTTATGACACCTTTCATCAAGCCCTTGATCAAGTATGAGAGGCAGAGCATATCCCAGATGGATTTGGTATCCTTCCACATGAATGGGATGATGACGAGTATCCTTCACATGAAATAATTCAATCAGGACAACAAGGGACCAAAGAACTACAAATTCCCTTACCTGACTTTATTTGGTGACCTAGGGCAATCCAGTGGTGTCGAGCACTCAATATTATGATCAGGCTTTTGGAGCTTGCTGGTACTGATGTTGAATCAGATAGTGACACAGATAGTACTACTGCTAGTGTTGGTGATCATGACGATTCTGATGGCTAATTACAATTACAATATCTAGACTATCAATATAAGAGTGATCAGTCTGAATTGACAATGTTAAGTTTAAAGTGACTATGCAATTATATGACATGAGCAGCCACAGATCACATGATGGGCAATGTGGTTGAATTCGATTATGACCACTTTCATACTACTACAATCTACAATTCACTTTCTTTTTTTCAAATACTTCTGTCCTGTCTCTACCAGTCACTCCTTCACTACTCTTTGTTTTTTTCAATTCTGTCATATGGCTCTCAAGCATAAGCAACAAGCCAGCAGCTCTTGTAAAACTTCATCTGGTTCCAATTTGCATCCTTCTACCTTGGAGTCTAAGCAAATGGAAACCTCTAGAAAATCAAGCTTGACACTAGCAGTTAACTCTACTCTGCAGGAATTGCTCAGAGGTTCAGCTGGATCTTCAACTGCCTATAGAAAGGCCAATAGCAAGGCCAACCAAGGTTTAAAGTCTGCTTCTCAATCACACAGCAGGTCTAAGGCCCAGATGGTCCCCAAAGTAAGTGCCAGCATGTTTGAAAAGGAGTTGTTGCTTATGCCATGGACTTGGAATACTTGTTTACTAGTCAAAGTCAGCTCGTCCTCTTGACTTCCAGTTTATAGCTGGTGAAATCATTTTCATTCCTTGTGGGACAAAACAGGTAAGTAGTTGATATTGCGACTACTATTGGCTGAGATTACTGATTCTAACCTTGTTAGCCTAAGAAGACCTCGCATTCATACATCCCCCTTCTGACACCTGTTCTTCACAATCCTCAAATGCCAACTCTGGTGGAAGTCCAGACTCTTGAAGTCATGAGACTAGTGATCACAGATCATATTGATGGTATTGTCATCAGCAAGAACTGGTCTTTCATGCTCTTTGACCTCGAGCTTCGCAAATTTTTCCCATGACTCTTCCTTTATCTCGATGCCTTGCCAAAGTTGCCTAATCCAGATTACAAGGAGCACCAAGATGAGATCTTTCAATATCTGCCCCAATACTATCTTTGTGTCAAGGAGAAGCAAAGAATCATAATCCCTCCTGGTATCCAATTCCCTGATGGATCATTGGTGGCACGAAATGCAAGGACAAATAAGAGAGGTGGATTTCGAGAAAATGTGGTCATTCTAGGTCAGTCCTTAGTTCATTTGCTTCACACAGACTACTGATAGCTTATTTCTTAGCCACTCGCCAGAGCATCCCAACATCAGTGTTACAAGGATGGGTGAAATCAAAAGGGAAGGATAAGATGCCCTCTCTCCCATCTAGATCGGCATCTCATTGTTACAGTGCCCCACTCTTTTTCCCATCATCACTGTGGACTCCTATATGGCTGTACTTCTAACACTTCCTTTTCACTGTGCTGTTTCCTCATGGTCTCCCTTATCTCTGACTCATACCTTGTTTTCCCATGAACCTTCCTTTCCTAGTAGTTGTTACCCTTTGCCCAGCATGGTCTGTGCACAATTCCTTTATGTATATAAACTCTAGTTACCACTTGTATTTTCTCTAACTTGAATCTACTCAGTTCTCTCTGATAACTTGAACTCTAGATCCTGCGGGAGTCTAGACAATCGCTCCTGAGGGAGGCATTGACTTGATAAGGCTTAGTCCTTGATTGACCTTGATCTTGATTCCTTTATTGGAACGATGCTCTATCTGAGTTCATAACACTCATGATCTCACCGAGTCTGAGAGCATATCTGATGACTCAGATGACAACTCCTCATCCAAGTCAAGCTTATCCAAGCCCCCCAAAAAAAGCAAATATTGTCAAGGTACAGTCTGTTGGTCTTGTTTGTTGATTGTCAATAGACTCATGATGAACATCAGTATTAACAGGAACTGACGATGAGATCCTGCCAGCATCAGACTCTGAAAACTTATCCAAATCAGCCACTATAGTTGACTTAACTGCAAGTGATGATGAATACCCTGATAACTTCTTCAGTTCCTTCAAGCTAGACAATCATGAGGTTGTAGCTGAGCCAGAGGTAGCAGTGGAGGCTGACCTTGCCCCTTTCGAGCCTTTTGAGTCACCTGGGCCTGTCTCGACACCCCCATCACAGACTGGTGAAATTTTTGTGACACCAACCTTACAGGCCTCTGGGTCTTTTGTTATTGATCCCAGTCTCAATAACCCATGGGAAGGAAATCATCTCTTTGATTTCTAGGTCCTATCATTTAATTTGTAATTATTTTGCACCTATATTGTCCAAGTCATACCCAACTTCCTATTGCAAACTGACACTACAGATTTATCCCTCCTTTTAAATGCACTTTTCTATTGTGGTTTATATTCTGTTAATCGTACATAGTAACTGTCTCTTACTACAATCTTTTTAATTGATTTATTTCGTGTAAGTCCAAGTGGAAATGAGCCTTACCATGATAAAAAAACATACATAAATTGTCAGAATCATACTTTGTTTTGGGGGGAGACATAATATAATTTTGGGGCGACACATTTGTCTCGGGGCGACACAATTTTTTTCGGGGGGACACACATTTTCTCGGTGGTCACACATTTTTGTTTTGGGGCGACACAAATAATATTTGTGCAGATTCAACAGCATACAATATAGCCCATATGGCACCGCGTCTTAACAGTCCTTTGTTTATAAATACAGAAATTCTTTCTCTTTTCGATGCCATTTACTTTTGACCCGCCAAAAACCTATTTACCCCACTGCGGTTGGCAACCTCGTCTAAAGACGGGGCTACGCGAGTACTTACTGTCACCAGCCGCACCGTGACACGTTTGGGTGTCAGGCTTCTAGCCTAAACGTTGTCAAATTTGGTGGTCCTTGATTAGAATGAGCATGAAGCCGGGAGCATACACTGTACACGGATACGGTAGTGACCGTACATTCAGAGTATGGAATGCATGAGGGTAGGCGTATTCTTCCATTTTCACCACGCAACTTTATTTATCCAAGGTACAGCAGCTTCATATTCTGAAAGACCGTGCCCTCAATGCGGATTTTGTACTTTGCATTGGACCAGATTACACCAGAATGTGTCCAGTCGTTGGACGAGTAAGGTACGCTTTCAACTGCGCGAGGTCACTGTCCTTAGATTCTTAATTAGTACAACCATCAGCTCGAGCACTTAGCCTCAAACGACACACTGTGCTGGTGCTACAAATGGCAGGGAGCTACTGATATCAAACTCAGATGACCACACACGTTTCTATTTACATCGTCGATGCAGGACTGTGAGGGAGGAATATTAAGCCCTTGGTCCGTCTGACTCACTTTGTCGCCCGATGATCGGTAGGCAGTCAGCGTTGAGTGGGATAGCGCAATGCGACTGTGGGATTACTTGGGCACGTTGGATGATTATTGCATGTCTGAAGGTAATTAATTAATTGTTACCTCACAGGCGCTGTGGAAGTTTGTAGCTCACTCTGTGGACATGTTGCCCCATCTACAGACTTGCATCAACTGCAGATCTGCGAATGCTGGCGAGCACCAGCAAGGATGCGAGTGTCAAGATATTCATTTTGATGGACAGGCCGTTGCATCAGATTTAGGACAACGCACAAAATCAAGTTTGACCTTCCTGGTCACACGAATGAACTGTGTGGATCTTGTTGGTGGAGTTATGAGTGGAGGCTGTGAGGATGAGTCGTCACACCGTTTTCATATATTTTGGTGCTGACACTACTTTGCAGATCGAAGAATGGGTTACCATACTGTAATTTCAGGAGGGTTGTCCTCACTTCCGGGTACGTCGAACCGATTGGCTAATCCTATTAGTGTAATATCGCCATGCGGCGCATTAAAGTTACACTAGTGAGGGAACTCAAACAAATACGTATCTGCGAGGACCGGTGTCGACCCCTGCATTCGCGCGCGTTCAAGGATCCAAGAGCGACTGACCAGGACTTGCTACTTATGAGACAAATACGCTGTGTTGATGTCAAGGTATATTACGTACTTTGAACAGTTGCTTGCAAATGACAGCGCCCCAGGGTCAAACCGTTGTGGTCAGAATTGTTTTGCTGATAGATCATCCAGTCATGATCCAGTACGTATTTGTCCCACTACCAGAACTAGTACATTTCGGACAGTCCTAATTTGAAACGCGGATTTCTCTTCATACCGAAACTAGCCCCTGAACACCATTACTCTTCGCTTTTCGGTTCCACAAACATGCCAGCGCCAAAATACCTTGCCTCACCACTGATCTCGGCCTCATTACCAAGGTGCACCCCGTTTGGCAATGAAAGCTGCAGAATCGCAGAGGCCCGCGGAAGATAGAACGAAGCGTCCTTGAAAACTCTGGCTCTCAGCCGCGTCGAGAACCACTCGCAGGTAATTCCTGGAACTCTACTATTAAGTCTGATATATGTGTCACAACTTTTGAGCTGACCATCTCCACATTAGCGACATGCTGATAATTTAATTAGTGGTGGCCCATCAAGAACACTGAACTCGCCGCTCCTTGATGATCACGGTGAACATGTCAGCTGGCCGAGGGGGGGTACACGGATCATTCCGTAAATGAAAAATTGTAACGGGGGGCTGTGTGGGGTATCGTAGTAGACAAAAAATCAAGCAGTGGACTCCCACCGAATTAATACGAGGGCGCTCCAATTATTCGATTTGCTTAAAGATACGTGATACATTTCCTCGGGAAGGCGGAGGAGAGAAGGAATAAACGATGACAAACGACTTGTTAATTTAGGGACATGATCCTCGGACGTCCTGACGATGATGATATAAATGATTCATATTGAAATGCAATGGTGAAAATAATGGCAGTGGGTATACAGACCTTCTAGTCAGTTGATTACTCGACGTTAGTAATTGAGTGCTACAACAGATATCATGCTCGATGAGAATAAACAAGAAAAACAGTCTGAGCGACATAAAATCATGCAGTCGTTTGAGTACCCACATACACAAGCGGAGGGAACGTGATGAGCATCTACGAGGTCCTTCTCGACCCACCCGCATTCGCAGCCGTATTCACACCCGTCCGAGGATCGATTAGTACTGACTCGTTACTCGACAAATACGCAGGGTCATTGTACACGCCTGGGTCATAGTGCGCAAACGATTGGCGCGAACTACTTGACGCATTTGATCGTTGTTTGTGGGACGAATGCGAAATCTCGCCGCCACCTGGCTGTAGAGATCGCGGGCGGGCGCCAGGCGTCATTCCTGCCATCTGGCTTAGACTCTGCCGGCGTTCATGCATAGACGAACGGTCTCCGTGCTGGACCGAGCCATTCGGTGTCGGTTCCCTGGAAATAGGCGGTGCGGGGTAGGAGAAACCAGAAGGGACTGGGGAGGGCACGTAAGACTGAGGGGTCTGTGACTGCCTGCCTTCCGGCTGGGCGGGTGCGTAAAGCGGATTACGTTGCGAGGGCGCTTCCCTCCCACTCATATGCGGAATGACAGGGCCCCCTGGGGGCGGTGCGCCACTGTTCCCGGCGAGACCAGTTGGCAGCTGTCCTATGTCATACATGGACCCTACCAACGACGTAGGCGCTGAAACGGGAGTGTTAGGGACTGTAGGAACAAGTGAGGTGCGTTGCGAAACAGGCACAGGCACAGGGAGCGGGTGATTGGCGTGATCGGGACTGAGTAGTCCAGATACGGACGCACGTCTTGACGGAGCGTCAGAGGGAGGGCGGGACTGTCAAGGCTTAGCTTTAGCGTTTATCTAGAGCAGGTTAATGACACTCACTGGGGGTTGGATGGTTATTTCTGGGACAGAGCTGTCTGATGACACGTCTCTTCGGTGTTCATATCTAACCGACTCCCGTTGACTAGGAGTGGATACTGCCCTTGAATGTCGGTTATGCCGAGTGTTAGCGTCATCCCAATTTGAAGGTGAGAGCGGGTTGGGCGTTGTCACGTTCGTGGGGCGAGAACGGGGGGAACTATTAGAACTTTGCATGCGAGTCTGCGGCCCTCGTCAACCCAAAGTGCGCTCCACGAAGTATAAAAGCAAACCTTGTCTGCGCCATACCGACGCCACTCCTCGGCCTCGGATGAGTTAGACCGTCTCAGTTCATTAGCAACCCTCTGCTTTGATAGGTCTCTCCGTGAGTGCCTGGTAGCTTCACTGTCTGCGTCTCTTTCGCTGCGTCTTTCGTTGCGATGGTGATGGTGTCCCACGTCAGATCCAGTCACGGTTTCATAATCGGCTGTTACGCTTGCATCTTCATGGATGATACTCAGACCGTTGCGCTCTCGACGTTTGTCGCGACTCGTTACATTGGGCAGGCCGATAATATCGAGCGCTGATATGGTGGAGGATTGAGACATAGACATCTTCGTTGACGCTTGTGACTCCGGAGAGGCACGTCGAGGGTAGTCGAACGTGCTGACAGAATCTGAGGACGGACCAGCGACAGGTTGTAACGGTGATGGCGATGGGATATTGCGGGTAAATTCATGTGGGGGAGGAAGAGAGATACGATGGTCCTTGCCCAGGGTTGGTACGTAGCCATCCGGTGGGATTTGGAACTCTGAGTGTTGAACACCAGGAGCAGAGTTTTGCACTGAGACCGGTTTGGTTGAGGGTGACCGAGCTGAAGAGCGATCTGACATGGGCCAAGGTTGGGGATGTGAACGCGAACGAGAGGATTGACTGGTAACGGAGGGGTCTGTCCTGGACCGCGGGTGTTCAACCATGACAGGCATTACTATGGGGTCGGAAACGCGCGGGACGCTCATTCGACTTGCAGAATCAGATTCGGAATCACGACGAGAACGAGAGTCACGACGACCACTGAGTGAAGTTGAGACAGGTGATGAGACACGGAGGACTTCTGGCGCGGTTCGGCTCTCTGGCATGGGTGTGACTGGTGCAGGCTGAGGCAGAACTACAGAAGCTACGTCTGCTTCTTCCTGCGAGTCGAGCAGCCTGTCGAGGGTAGCGGCAGCGGCCTCTCGCATTTGAGACCGACCGTCATCAATACCAATGACGCGCCCTTCTCGGTAACCCATATTACGACCCCGGCGAATGCCTTCTTCATACCCAAGTCTACGACCCTCTTCCCTCGCGAGCTCAATCAACCGTTCTTCATTCAATTTTCGAGCCTTTGAGCGCGCGTCAGCGGCCGCAGCCTCTGCGTCATCCCTCTGGGCCTCAATAACTCCAAGAACGTCTTGGGCTCTAAGAATTTCTCTCTGCGCATTGTCGAGTTGCAGCTTGTAGAGCCTCAGTTCCTCCTGCGCCCGAGCTGCCTCCTGCTGGGCAGTAACGCGAGCCTCGTTGATAGACCTCGTCCGTTCCAAAGTCTCTGCGAGTTGCACTTCTGCTTCTTCAGCACGGCGACTTTCAGCGTCCAACCTGTCCAATGCAGTATAGAGCACTTTGCGAGTCTGCTTCGCCTCGTACTCCTCGTTTACCAGGAGTCGTAAGAGGTCGCGAGCACTCGCGGTTGCGTGAACACGCTCCCGCTCGCGACGGAATTTGTCATTGGGAGAGTCGTGAACACGGCGTGGCCTGGTTAGCTCTGCGTTCTCATAGGGAGGCGATAGCAGCGCAGTTCGAGGTGAAAGAGACGCTAGATCAGATTCAGGGGTATCAGATCTTTACTATGCTCAGTACTTTGCTTTACCACAAACAGAAAAATGGCTTACAGCGGCGTGCCGCCCTGGAAAGCCCAAGGTTCTGTCATGACTTTGGAAATGCAAATAGTAATTCGGTCAGAACCAGCCATATGAAAAGAAGAAACATACCACTATAACTAAGTATACAATTGAGCGAATGAAAGAAATAAAGAGATAACTGATTGAATATTTAGCGTTGGTGGTTAGAAGGAATGGACAGAGAACATATTCCTTGTGAACGTCCAAGAGTCTGTGAAGTAGTTGCGCCAGATCGACACCGAGCGCTCAATATGTCAGAAAGTCACACTTTGCCAAATAAATCTATGATTACGTATGCATGTCACACTGTATATGTATTCCGCCACTTGAACCTTATTTGTGCATATCATCCTCAAGACACAAAACATCCCACCCGGCCTAAAAACCCATCACCAGGCATGAGCTCGTATGTTTTCCAGCATGCTGATACCTGATTCAGTCGTTTCTGACTACCACATAGTAAGCTATCAGTGGCAAGCGTGCGGGGCTCCGTCAAGGACCTCCTGGCTGAAGCCAATGGCGAGAAAAGACGTAACTTTGTGGAGACCATCGAACTTCAGATCGGTCTTAAGAACTACGATACTCAAAAGGACAAGCGTTTCTCTGGTACCGTCAAGTGCGTACGGTCTCCCGAGTATGACAGGTCGTGATTGATCATATCACAGACTGCCTAATGTCCCCCGCCCGCGCATGTCCATCTGTATTCTTGCTGATGCGGCGGACATAGATCGCGCCAAGCAAATTGAGCTAGAGTACAAGTCGGTAGACGACCTAAAAAAGTGAGCAAGGCTAAGCCTCCGCTCTGTTCTGATATCATTTCTGATTTAATTTCGCTAGACTCAACAAGAATAAGAAGCTTGTCAAGAAACTCGCCAAGAAGTATGATGCATTCTTGGCCTCTGAAGCCTTGATCAAGCAGATCCCTCGTCTTCTTGGGCCCGGTCTCTCTAAAGGTGAAATCGATTAGTGTTCATCCAGGAGATTTCTCATGCCTTTAACTTCATTAACTAGCTGGGAAGTTCCCTACTCCTATCTCTCACTCTGAGGATTTAGCGAACAAACTCAATGAAGTCCGATCAACGATTAAGTTCCAGCTGAAGAAGGTCCTTTGCTTGGGCGTTGCCGTTGGACATGTCCAAATGACTGACGACCAGGTCCTTGCGAACGTCATGATGAGTATGAATTTTACCGTCATGCGACCATAGCTGTCTCTCACGCTGTCGCAGGTATTAATTTTCTCGTTTCCCTCCTCAAAAAGAACTGGCAAAATGTCCAGTCGTTGCATATCAAGAGCACGATGGGCAAACCCGTTCGTCTATTCTAAGCTGTCATGGGTTGCTAGGGTGCATAGTGTTAGATCTTGGTGAGAGCCGATCTGGCATCGTAATGCAAAACAAGAAGCCCCGCACGCTTTTACCAACGGCTTTAGAGGTGGGGAAGCCGATTGGGAGCTGATACGATGCCACGATCTTGAGCTTTCTTCCTGTTTCTCTCATCAGTTTCGTCCTCGCGCAGACATAGCCTTCGTAGGACTTACATGTACCTGTTGCTAATATCATGATATACACAAGCTACGTATGATGCCAAACGTTGTGGTTGCGAGGGTAGTATCGTTGCTTTTGTTAACGTCACAGTGGAAGGCGTTCGTAGTCGATGGTGCTAGCTGGCTGTGCTTGCCGTCATGCGATTTTTTTGCTGGCCGAAGCCTTGATTACGCCATTCAAGAACCCGGCAATACGTTTTCGGTCACTGCCCCGACTTTGCATTCCCCGGGTCATCATGATGGCCAAGTGACTCTATTGCCCTGAAGATCAAGGGCATAGCCTTCTGGTAACCCGATCGCGCGCCTCCCGCCCTTCCCAACTATTGGCTCCATATATAATTGAATTCAGCTTCCGTGGAAGAATGTTCAACGAGTTTTAGCGCCTCGGGCAATGCCTGACTTTGCTCCCAAATGGGTATCTCACTCGAAACCTTATCCCATCGTTGCGCGACGTCAACGAAAGTTTAGATGATAATCGCCATATATATTTGGGGTACGAAGGGAATTTTTTCACGTACGTTTTCACGGTGAACTGCCAGAAGCAAAGTTCTTATCTGTCAGAAGGATGGTTGGGGCTAAGTCGGTCTTTTCGAAGCGTCGTGTCTCGATCAGATAAGGAACTACGGCAACACTATTATATGTTTGTCCGGAGATTTGCCAGAAGACAGCTGGCTCAGCGTCATTGGGTTCAGTGAGTGCAAGTTGTGCTGCGGTGAGTCACTGCTGTAGAATAGAATATAATCTGTTATCATGAACACTACCATTACTCAAGCGCTGCCAAGGAATCTACGTCAAGTTATACATCCATCAGATAGTGAGTGAATTCATAAAATGGTTAATGTGTCCAAGACTTTGTCTCTGACGGGACTCTCCAAGACTTTTTTCTCAAGCCACGGGCTACTCTGATAGTCAGACGCTATCAAGAAAAGTAGCCGTCATGTTTAAGTTTCGGCATGTACGAAACCGCTATTTTTTTTTCTGGATGACAAGTCAAACATTGACACCAGGTTGTTTTTGGTTAAACGTTTGATCAGTATAAGGAATTTCAATCATATGAGGTATGTATGTCACGTTCTGTTATGAGAGACCTCTTTTTGTGTCGTTTGTTGACCAGGTCCCGTAACGGCTCCGCTCTACAACGGTCGGAAATGGTCTCGTAAGCCCCTGGATCGGTCCCTTGAACGCCGTCTAGTATCATTTCGTCGTTCAATGTGCCAATCCGCATCAGGGAGTTGAGCTAACATCGTTTCATTTTATCTTTACTTAGTGCACTGCAAGGCGATGCAACAACTTCGCCTGGCCCCCTGTCATGCCATTCGTTGAGAATGCCATCACAATTTGTCTTTGCGTGGGTATAGATCATGTACATAACCGTTGTTCCAGATCCCTACTAGGCTGCGACGTGATTGAGGACAGGCCGGTGGTATTTGGCGCGTCCGCAAGTATCCCCGAACCGTTAAAACGGAATGATTTCCGTCATACGACTGTCTTGAGACATATACGAGCGCGAGGCACGGTGGACCTTAAGAGAGTTAACTCCTTCAGGGTTGCTCTCATCTTATGCTTACTTAACGGTCGCGGATCTGGTAAGTGACGTTGGTGTGGTCTTCTGACTTCTGACATGCGTGATCCACCCGGAAGCTGCACGGGACGTCGTTGACCGACATGGTGACTGATGGGCCGAGCATATGATCAATTGAGCTAGCTTCTTTGTCACTGGCAGTATGTCTTGTGTATTCATCCAAGGTATATGATAGAGTTCGGCGCCTGTCACGGTTATCAGAGAAAGGCAGTCGACTTGTGGCGTTCGACAGAGATGTAACTCAGTGTGAGAGAATTTCAGTGACGATCACCCAACCTATCGACGACTAACTGCTTTTGCTACTGAATTATGTCAATGATGGCCTTCCTGGCTGGAACGGAAGAAGACGGAACACCAATGTTTTAGGGATCAGCGAGTTTTGAATGAATGGGACGGCGACCTGGCTCATTGACAAGTTGTTATGGATTTAAGCTGACTTGCAAACTTTCCGTGACACTTTGTGGAGATGAGCGGAGTGGGATTAACTCAAATTCCCTGCTAAGCCAATTGACGGGGATGGGCTAGGAAATGAATAGACATACTATAGTATCCATGACGAGGGTGCAAGCTGGCAACCCGAGCGACTTTCGCTCATCCAAAAGATGGCTTCTGTGCGCAGTGTTGAGCCGATTACCGTGTGTTGAATGACGAGAAGGGCTTGCTTGCCAGCTTCTCGCGAACATTGGTTGATCGCGATCGAAACCGTAAATGGATGGTCTGGACGGTCCCGAAAAGAGCATTTTCATAACGGTGCCTGGGGACAGGAAATTGAATTGCGTGAAGCGGTTTTTTTGTGCGTAAAGATACGACTGGAGAATGAAAAGATGCTGACGGGGAGTATGCGGGATTGAAATGTTGCCGATTGGGGGACACGAAACTTGTCTCACGTGGGCGAGGAAGAAATGTCAGGCCAGGCGCCTATTCCACGGTCTTACTATCAGATCTGGCAGAACTCAACCTTACATGAAAGTAGCTCAGGCATGCAAGCATCGAGGACAATCCAGTGCAAGTGGTAGTATATCTTATAGAAGCTGTTTAGATATTAATGGGACGGTGATCATGGTAGCGCTGAGGTGGTTCTGAGTGTGAAGAAATCAAGCCTCGTGAACCCGGAAGTTTTGACCAAAACTGCATCCGCTCCGAAATTAATATTCTGTTTTTGGTACGCTTCCGGAAGAAACGGCAAGTGATTATCAACAACTGTATGTTACGAAATGACAATTCCAAAGTCTAAACGTAGCCCTCAATTGAAATAAAATTGAGGTTCTCCTTGGATTCTATCAATATAACAAATATAAGACATTTATTTGGTGCGACCGCACTTATTTACGTATTTTCCTCTTGGGCGTCACTGCCTCGACACTTCTTCTCCTCAAAAGCCTGTTCTCCAGTTCCTCCGCAATCCGTACATTCCTATCCTCCGTTTCCTCTGCAGCTCTGCAAAATACTGCTTTATCCACATGCCCCGTCATACTTCAACAAAGCATGATTCCACTAGTTCTCAGATCTATTCTACTCAATACTCTTCTGTACAGTATCTATCTGATTCTAGTCAGTCTGCAGGTCATTCGCCGCAGTCTCCAACAGCACCCTCTTCCCTTTCTCAGTCCTCCCAATCTTCTGGGACGGCTAATGGAAAGAAAAAGCACGTCTGTTCGACGTGCGACCGTGGCTTTACTACCAGTGGCCACCTTGCACGACACCTTCGCGTTCACACAGGTGAACGCAATCACAAGTGTCCCTTTCCTGGGTGCGAAACACGTTGTTCTAGGCAAGACAACTTACAGCAACAGTGAGTACATCTTCTATTCTTTATCGCCGGCCGCTATGTCTATTCTCGTTGTACTATCGGCGCCGCCACACAGCAATTACACAATTTTGATTATTGAACAACTTATCGCCATGATCTATTCAACATATGTTATCGCCGCGATTCATGGCCACCAACTGAGCTTCGTTTTCTTCTTTTTTTTCTACAGTTACCGCATTCATCTCTCTCCTGGCTCACGACGGAGCTCAAGCTCCGCAACGCGTGCTGCGATTGCCCGTGCCGTGGGCATCAGCGGTTCTGGCACAAAAAATAGCCGGACCGCATCCTCATTGATTTCCTCTGAACGCAATTCGTCGGACACTCCCTCTCCTCCACCGGCACTCGAACATGCAATCCCCCCAGCGCCCGACTCACCCCCACCTTTAGTGCAAGCATTTTCTGTACCGCCATATTCCGATAGCATGCATTCTGGAAGTGTATCCAGTAGATCGCCAACACCCCCCGAGAACTCCTTCCCATCAATGATCGGTCAACATTCCCAGTCAATGTCCAACGGTCAAGTCGCATCGCACTCGTCGCCAATCCAGTCGCATTACAGTGACAGCACGCCAAGCTATGATGAGTCCTCGCAAGCTAATTACGGCTACGTCTCAGCGGCTGTTTCGCAGCCTTCCAGTGGCCATGCTGTGCATGACCACTCATACGACTATTCTCAGGCATACGGAGAGAAGCCATCCATGTCGCGTATTCATTCTTCCTCGCTTCATCAATCACCCATGGAAAATGTTCATGATGGCTCTCCGCAGTCATCCGCCCACCTTTCGTCTGTATCATCTCGTCTCTCGATTTCACACATCTCGCATCCACACTCTTATCCTACACACTACCAGGCAGTCAGCACGCCATCACCGGAATCTCCGCACTCTGTCTCTCCGCACTCTCAGCTATCTTCGCCCAACTACTCGACCTACCGGGATGACTCGCACGAGGTTGCCTCATACCAAAATGGTTCTGGGATATTGGATCCTGTCTCCGATCATTCAAGCATATCCGGTAGCTATATGAACACACAAAACAATGTCGTTCATGGATCATATAGTCACACTCTCATGTCGCATCATTCGAGTATACCAAGATATGACTCGCCGCCACCAGTCCTAGCGCCGATTCAGGACGAGAGGGTGCTTCGCGGGGATATTCGGATCCCTCAAATGCACCATTCAATAACACCGCCCGCCTCGCTGTCATACATGCATCATTCCCAAGTGCAGAGTTCATATCCTTATCATGCTCCGCACGTCGGTTTGGGCCAAGGCGCTTGGAAGGCGGATAACGCTCTGCGAGCGCGCCCCTCAACGGGCTATGTATAACACCGAGACCCCCTTGTTTCACGTTTGCTGTTGTGAATCTCGTATTTTATAGCTGTCTCGTAACGGATTTTTTCCCCCGTCGATGTCTCTGTTTTGTGTACGGATTACTATCGTGCATTTCCTGTCATCTTTACAGCAGTTGTTACGCTGCTTGGTACTACATCGCTACTGCACACATACCATATACCTGCGTATCTAGCCTGCATATACATACTTTGTACATTATGTTGTTCATAAGAATTGCATCGTGGATTCCGAGCCGATCTGACGTGGCAGTACTACGGCAGTACTGTGCCTTGATGTGACGTTATTTCCACGGTGCACACGTACTACAACTTGTTGTCGAAGGCATCCGAGTCGACGGTCTATCAGATAGGTTGCAATGCCCAGTGATCTCGACAGGTGAGAATTCACATTTTTTGTCACAGCTTGTTCTCAAAGTACCGCAACAACGTGTAATTGGCGATCAAAAACCGGCTTCTGTGCATTGCATTATCCAATGCGCACGAAACACGTCCGGCCACTGCGTACTTCTCGCGCGTTGATCTTACAGACAAATAGACCAGCTCACACGATGTGAACCCATATCCGAGGAACAGGTCAAACGGCTTTGCTTCAAGGCCCGTGAGATCCTAATAGAAGAAGCAAATGTTCAAGCCGTGGACTCTCCTGTGACGGTGAACGCATTCGATTCAATTCTCTCCTAGGCTAATACATATTCTGTTGTCCTGATTAAGATCTGCGGCGATATCCATGGGCAGTTCTTTGATCTCATGGAATTATTTAAGGTAGGCGGGTTTTGCCCGGAGACGAACTATCTTTTCATGGGTAAGCGTAGCGTCCTGGTGCGTTTCAATCGGTTGTCTAATGTTTAATGTCCCGTTGTCACAGGTGATTTCGTGGATCGTGGCTTCTACAGTGTCGAAACGTTTCTGCTCCTCCTGGCACTCAAAGTCCGCTATCCAGAGCGAATCACATTGATCCGGGGCAACCACGAGTCACGGCAGATCACACAGGTGTATGGGTTCTATGACGAATGTCAGAGAAAATATGGCAGCACCAACGTGTGGAGATGGTGTTGTGAGGTGTTTGACTATCTTGCGTTAGGCGCGATCGTGGACGGTAGAGTTTTTTGTGTCCATGGCGGACTCAGCCCAAACCTGCAGGCTATTGATCAGGTGTGTTTACTGCTCCGTGTTCCGCGCACGCGTTCTCAAACTCTGCCTTTAGATACGCGCTATTGATCGAAAACAGGAAGTTCCCCATGATGGTCCCATGTGTGACCTCCTTTGGTCCGATCCAGACGGTGTGTATCTCCTTAAGTCTTGCTAAGGCATGCTCTACGGCGATGTCCGCTCACAACACGTCTTTCTTTCGAATAGATATAACTGGATGGGGCCTATCTCCGCGGGGCGCTGGTTTTCTTTTCGGCGCCGATATTACCAAAACCTTTGCACACCATAACTCTATTGACCTCATCGCCCGGGCCCATCAGTTGGCCATGGAAGGATATAAGCTCATGTTTGACAACATGATAGTGACTGTGTGGAGCGCACCAAATTACTGTTATCGGTGAGTGGTGACCAAATGGGTACCCTGCATGAGTCTCGGCTTTCGTAACCTATCGTGTTTTATGACAGGTGTGGTAATATAGCTTCGATTCTCGAGCTAGATGAACGCCTTGCTCAAGAATACAAAGTTTTTCAACATGCGCCCTCGGTAAGTTCCTTGCGTTTTCATCTTCCCCAAAAGGCGACATGCGGGGATGAAATGTTGCATTTCATCCAGCGCTGTGATCTGATCATGTCATGCCACTAGGACGTACGCTCCATCCCAGCAAAACGACCTCCTGCGGACTACTTCCTTTGAATGGGAATTTTTACCTTTCTGATTAGAAGGTTGCTCTCTTGACAACAACTGCCTGCCTGTCTGCCGCGTGTCTTGGACATGCCATAAACGCGACTTTCTCATCAAACGGTACATTTAAACTACTGTCCGTTGCTTCTAGGGACCGTGTGGGCGTAGCGTGGTTGGCAGGAGGCGCAACGATGGAAGTCGACGGGGTGCCTGGCTTTATCGCAATTCCCTGTGGATCCTCGTCGATCTTTGTTGGCCAGTTAGAGACGCCCAGAACAGAAACATGACGTACAGCGCCCACCAAACTTGAAATAACGGTATAATTGCTCCGTAAGCGCTCAACTGTCTGATTCGTGTGCTTAGCGTCTTGAAATAAAGGTTTTGTGAGATCTCGGCTCACCTGACATCATGTCTCCAAGGAGTCAGGCCTACGTTGCCACCGCACGCTAGCACGCATATGTTCATGCTAGTCTTTTTTATCCTCTCCGGTATGAGTGAAATTTTTGGTGTCGAGTCTATGGTTGTCAAGTATAATTTGTAGTGCGGTTCGTCGACTCCATTTATTACTGTGAACCCCGAGTCCCCGACCGATGACGATGTTGCCTGGATGCAATGCGAGTCCTTGGTGTATCTTGCGTACAATCACCAGCGCTGTGCTGTGCCTATACTCTAAGTTGATCCCACTGTTTTCTAATCTCATTTATGTCTTGTTGCACGACTTGTGAGTAGTCACGACGCGTTATTTTCGTGGTCTGAGCATTGCATATTTCAATAAGGCGGTGACTTACATCATACTTGTGTCTTGTAAACCAGGGCTCCATTTATTACCTATCGATCAACCCCCACTGATGTCAAGCGATGTCGATATCAAAACATAAAATACTTTCGTCATCCCTTACGCTCTTTGTCTCACCTACTTCACACTTCAACGTTTTTCTGCCATTTTGTGGGCGAAAATGGCTGCCCTTGGTTCCGTGCTATCTTCTTTTGGTGAGTGGTCGTACCATTTTAACATGTAATGGGCCTTGAACCTAACCGTGTTTTCTTTAGTATTGGCTCTTGTGGTCATTGGCAGCTTGTCGCTGGATATCAAAATGTTAACTTAAACTTTGTCGCATTTGGGCTTGCAGGTGGCAGTCTCACCGTCAGGTTACGTGTGTCGTGGAGCATTCACCTCCATGATTGCATTCGATCATTTAGCTCCGTGCGTCAAACGTTGTGGAAATTTTTTTGTTGGCTGATCGTCTTCCAGTCGTCCTCTGGGTGGTATGGGTCGGTACCGCTGTTGATACCGTTGCGGGCAGGGCCCACTACTTCCCTGATGGACACATTTACACAGGTCGTAAGTCTTCGGTACCTGTGACAGACTCTTTCCACCTGTTAATCCTGATTACTAGATCCCACAACGAACCATATTTGTTATGAGATTATTGTAGCGGAGACAGCTGCATTTATCATCCTCTTTGGTACGTCCCTAGCATATGAATGATTGCCGTTTGCTAAAGCATTTTTCTTTTAGTTTTCATCTACTACGACACCCCTGTATGCGGTCATCCAAGCTATCCGTGGAAAGGGAATCTGGACGTCTCCCGTCGCTGCAGTAAGTGAGGCCTCTGGTCCCCTCCAACCCCAGCCTTGCCTGTGGCTCAGTATACTGCAGTTCCCGGCGGTCAAGCTCCATATCCTACGTATGTAGGCTATCCTCAAAGTTCTCCCTTACAGCTACAACGGCTATCCCGCTCAGTTCCTGAATCCACAGTACTACAATTACCCTTTCGGTTTGCCTGATTTAGGGAACACTCAACCACCCCCCGGCGGATATTCCCCAGCCCTATCAGGCAACGCGCCCCTCTCACCCCAGCCCAATTACGTCCCATACCCCGCCGCCAATCAGGGCCAGATCCTTCCTGCCGGCGGATATCAAGAACAGCCACACTGGGATAAATCATCCTATTCCAGTCTGAAGGAAGTGATGGTAATATTCGCGACGGAAGAAGTTTATGCATTAGTTCATGAGAAGGGGGGAAGCTCTGGTCTGTGTTTAAATATATTCCCCTTGCATGCTTTGTTCCATTTGCATAATCGATTCACCCTTGCGACAACCGCTCGTATTGATGCCGAGAGTTGTTCTTGCACACGATTTGCAACAGGTGGTTTGATGGAGTATGCTTCTTGCGTCGGTGTGTGGGTGCTGATAGGTATTCTTTGAATCCTTCAGGTAAATCTCGCATGATCGAAGTTGGGCGCCACCTTCTTATGATGGGTTGGTAACTTGCGAAGTAGCCGTTCTGCGTCGGGCTCGGAAGTCCGCCTGAGCAAGAGACGGGTGGGAGTAGAGGGCAATAGTACTGTTAGTCACCAGCAACTGACAACTAGTAAGTCAAACAGTTCGCCATATCACCTCTTCTAATTATGATGGTTGATTCTAGGATATACCTCTTGAACGAGAGCTCGGAGCATTAATACAAGGGGCCACGAGGGTGTCCTCACGTGATCCAAGACGTGCCGACTTGAAGACCGAACTAGACTATCAAAACGGTACGCTTGACTGATGTTTTGGTGTCATATTATCGCAATGCACACATTCCCATTGTGTACTTCACTGAGTCTTCCTTGGTGTAGCTCGCTTAACGACGAAGGGAGAATAGATTTTTATAGATTGATGGAGGTCATCCACAGATAAGGTAAGTGACGAAGTTTTACATGGGTTCATTGACACACTGGTAGAGCCTTGCAACCGGCGCTACAGCTGTTGCCAAAATCAAATCCTTGGAAGGCTATATTTAGCGAGATGAGATTACCCATGAAAGCGCCACAAGACTTGATAGCGTTAATTTGCAGACACGGCGGTTCGAGGGCGGCAGGCCTACTGTACTTCAGGATTGACTAGACTGCGAATCCCATCTGGTACGATGTATGTCAGAGGTAAGTTGATGATTGATTTGTGCCATGACAATCTTTACAGTCATTTTGCCAGTGAACTTTGACATTCGAATTTCGCGTAGCATGTCTGATTCAACGTTAGCGCCGTCTGCTAACATACACCTAAATTTAGCCACGCAAATCTGAATGCACCTTCAGTGATCTTTCACTTCAGCATCGCACGGAAGAGTACTGCCTCCTCATTCCAGAGATTCTAAAATACGTCTTCTCTGACATTTGTGACTCCGGCAAGGACGGTCGTTCACATGATTGGGATCGCGGCTACTCTCAACCTAATCAAGGGGTTGCGCGACGTTCTCTAGGCTCTATCCCGTGTCAGTCGTGCCTTCAAAGAGATAGCTTTGGGTGTGCTATGGATCGATCTGGAGACTTGAGAACCACTCCCCAATTGTCTTCCAGCAGACCTCTGGACCATGACAGGTGATCAGAAGCCTGCCCTCTCAGCCTCTGGTGCGCATCGTGCTAAATGCCTTCATTGTATCAAGTGTCGGCTCATACAGAGACATATTACCGCTGCGGATTGGTCAGTACATCATGTCTTCAGTGGCATCAGGTCTCAGCAGATACTTACCACGACTAGAAGTCGTGGAACTACATGCGACGTCTCCTCAAGTCAACGAGCTTGTTCTTTGCAGGCTCACGCACCTACAGGAAGTATCATTTACCTCGTTCAGTAACAATGCTTGATCTAAGTGGTCGTTGGCCTTCAAGTATTGGATATCCGGATCGCGGCACCTTTCGCTCGCGTCAACTCTCGATTTCGTACTTCTAGCCTGGACAAATTAGTTATCCACTCGTTCGATTTGGCCCTAAGCGGAAATCTGACAGAAGGCTGGACTGTTCCATGCAGACGACTGTGGCTGATATCCGAGTATCCTGAAACTGCGCTTGCCGTCGAACACCCCTGGCGATCGAGTCCTTCTCGATGATAGGCTGGAGTGTATCCTTCCAGACGCGCTCAAGAATGTCGAGCATATCGACTACGCATTCGGCCTCCACACATCCACTCTCCTCATGCACTTCTCCGATCTGCAAAAGGTCAATCTTTTGCCATTTTGTATGTCATGATGATGTACTTGGTTCCATTGACAAGTTCTGGCCACGCTCCGAGTGCCTCAGCGATCTCGGAACTACTTATTTCTAGCAGACACCGCCCAAGAACACTTCGGGGTCCTGTGGTTTGCTATCGTCTTGCCCTAATCTCAGGAAGCTCAGTTTGGTATTTGATGCCACGAGGATGGATCTGCCTACGGCTAAGAGACCAGGAGAGGGAGTTTGCAACACAAGGATCATTACCTTTTGGGTCGGGTGCTCTCTCATCGAGCGACCACTGCCAGTCGCGGTCGTGCTTTTGGTAATCTTGCCGTGCTTGAGAAAGCTCTACGTTAAGCTCGAGGAGGGTGGGTTGGACCAAGATGCGTGACAGACCAGGTGGGAAGAAGTATCCGTGTACACTGGTAGTTTTTGTGGCACCTCAGTCAGGGGGCACGAAGGTTTGCATGTGTGCGCTTAATCCAAACGCTATGTGCTTGGAGTTCAGTTGTGTTACAGAGAATGTCGACAGTCACTTGTCAAGTATCTTTCTAGGTGATTATTGTACCTCGCGCCGCTTGTTTGATATAGTGCCAAGGCTGCATACAGGATTGAGACGACCTTGTGGTAAGGCTTAGCAAGAGAGCGTCGCCGGTACATGCAGGTTGGGATACTGATGAGGATACCAACAATGCGGGGGATCATTCGTCGCATGTAATGGTTTCATCGGGTGAGCATTCGTACGCTTCCAGTACTAACGACAGCAACCATACAGCAGTATGTCAGTATCTAATATCTAAGCTAGCAGCTAGTAAGACATAGATAACCAGAAACATCGAAAAATTACTCAAACGACACCAGCGATGACTACGTAAGCGCGCTAAAGACCTAGGAGGTCTTGCATAACGGGGGGCATGGTCGGGAAGTAGGAAGGGTCATACAGGAAGGGTGCATGATGGGTGCGTAGGAATGCAAGTGGAAGCAGAACACCGAGGAAGGAAGCCTAGGTCTCGTGCTCAGGTTGGTACATGTAAATGGTAGATCATAATGTATGTGGCCTCGGTTTTACATACACTAGAATCTTAATTCTGGGACAGGCACCGATGCGATATTATCAAAGTATACTGTTCATGGACTAAGAGAGGGGTATGATCAAACCGAACAAGCATGTTAAATAGCAATATTAGAACCGAGCTATGCGCGCGCAGCACCCACGCTCGTCGAAGTCGACTGAAACCGTGCCAACACCTCGCTGAGCGCTGCAAAATCGAACACCTTCGGCTCCGTCGCAAGTGTCATAGTCGTGGTCGCAAGCGACAATGTAGCATTTTTGGTCATGGTGGTAGATTTCTTGTTTAAGGAAGGTTTACCGGCCTGCGTGCCTCCTGAGATCCATGCTTGGACAAGAGGGTTGTTGGGGGTTGGGACGTAATTGCACGCCGCAAAAAGGTCAAGATGACGGTAGAAGGTGTCTGTCGGGTTATACAGTGGAAGTTCTGGAATGATACATGCGTGAATAGGTGTGCTTGAATAGTATCCCAAGTTTAAGACTCACCAGATTCAAGAAGTACGAGTGCTTGACGTGGTGATACATGACGCGAGAACATAACTGGTTGACAGTCATGTAGAAAGTATATCAAAGGAAGAGATAAGAACGACTTACAATAGGCACAAACTACGATACAAGCTCTGAGCTCAACGCGGCACTGAACAAGCACTTGGCCTCCGCCCGTAATGGCATCGCCGATAAATTTACATGCTGTCGGAAGCTCAAGCAACAAAGCTTCGCGACCATTATTTGGAATATTAATAAAACAGTGGTTGAATAGGGGAAGATCTGGCTTTGGGAGCTGTGCAGATGAGATGGAAAGTACATGTGTCATGCCCAAGTCCAAGAGAAGTGATTCGGCAGCGTCAGAATCTCCCGGGAAGTCACTGGGGATTAAAAGGCGTAAACCGCAATGCGGTCCAGCTACATAATCGAATGTCCGCACCTACTAAGGAATAATTGATCTGGTATCACGGGTACGGTGTCGGCGATCAAGTCGAGGTATTTAGATACTTCTCGTTTTTGCCTGCGCTTCCAGGCGATATACTCGCTGTTTGTGCATGAGGGCTTATAACGGCACTCGCCGAAAGCAATCAACTGCTTCATGAATCCATAATTAGGGTGAATCTTTGGTCGACCTGCGTAGCCGAACGATCATGAGTCCAATGGAATAAGCAGGAGGTCGAATCTTACGTTTTCGTACGTATTGTATTGCTGCATGAGCAGATAGCCGTTGGGTGGACATTACTTGACATTTAAGGGAATGCGAAGAGCCAAACTGAGTGCTCCACAAAGAAAGCGAGGAACAAAGAGACGTAAACTTACGGTAAGCACAGACCATAGTGGGGCTTCTTGAGACGCCCATGGCACAATGCACTAAAACCTTTCCCCCTTGATCCAAAGCGGATTGGATGAAGCTGCATCCCCGAGGTAGATGTATAAGGAGATCTTCGTACTCTGAGTCTTGTACGGGTATAGTGAGGTGGTTGTGGTCTGTGGACGAATAGTCGGTGCAGACTGAAAGAACGTGCGTTATTCCAAGTTTCTTGCGTACATCGGTTGATAGAGCGGCAGAGAGACTGAGGTCTATGTCAAATAAGGTCATAATACTGAACAACAAGCTACATACTTTCCAATGAAAACGTTGTCAGCAATGATCGGGTCTATCGAGATTGGCACATCCGACCAAGTCATGCTTGGTGAGTAGGTGAAGAAACGAAGAGAAAGGAAAGGTGGAGTGGCTAACCAATATGCTAACGTTTATACCAGAGCCGGTGTGGCACCGGCGGAAGGGGCTGATCACAGGTTCTAATCGTTACTGGGATTCGGAGAGAGCTATCATATCGGATGTTGCCGTCAGCACATGATTCTCTTGCGTGCGAACATTGCACAAGTTCGTTCATTCACTTCACTCCTCAAGCTAGGGCTTCACAGATGGCGCGGGTGCCACTATATCACGAATAAAAAGCAATAAGTTGGGTGGGTGCTAGTTTGAATACAGGCATCAAAACTGGAATTCATAGAGCGAACGCACTGCAATCTTGGATTTGAGTCGGATCTTGTTTGATAACGATGTCATGGGCTCTCCGAGTGGCCACCTCCTGTCAGGCCTCCTCATCCATTGGTATAATTCCCTCAACATTGCCAATTGATACAATTCTCTCCACGGAGCCGAGCAGGATGCCAGTGATGTGCGCGTACTATCAGCTCGGACATTCTTCCGAGGACTTGCTTGTGATTAGAGCCTCAATGGGGCTCAACCAGCTGGCAGACTCATCTTTGGGAATGAGGCTGGGATGTCAGTGAAACGCCGTCGGTGGAGTTCAAATATACGAATAATATGAATCTGAACCAACTGCCCTTGTTAACTGCGCTTTCGGGTAGCATATTATGAGACATATTGTGTACACCCGTGTTGTTGTGTTATTTTCTATTCAACCTGATTCAAGGCCTAAAATTTCGAGGGCTATACATAGCCCAGCGGACCGGCGTGCGCCGCCAAGTTAGGTTTTTGAACCCCGCTAGGTCCTAACGTAGGCACCTTCAAACATTTGCCCGCACGACCAAGTGAAAGCTGCTGTCTTTCCAAAAGATGTCAAAGAGGCGGGTAGCTTACTACTATGATGGTGTGTTTACCATAAACTCTACTTTTTTCTCTTCCTAACCAACCAATACTACAGCCGACACCGGCTCATATACGTATGGTCTCGGTCACCCCATGAAACCGCATCGAATGCGTGTCACGCATGATCTTGTATCAGCCTATGGAATGCTCGAAAAAATGCACGTTCTGGTATGTCTTACCTCCTGAACTGTGCATGCTTCTGTTAAGGAAACAGCACATGCGTAGCGTCCCAAACGCGCTACTCCCGAAGTCATGACGGCTTTTCATACGGACGAGTACATACATTTCCTAAATCGCGTGACGCCGGAGACCGCGGAAGAGTTAACTTATCATGGCACCCGTTGTGAGTACCAGCGATTCCTCTTTGACGCATTTTGTTACCCATGAAATACCTCCACAGTTCTGATGGGCGAGGACAACCCCGCGTTTGAAGGTGTATTCGAGTTTTGTTCAATATCAGCTGGAGGGTCAATATGTATGACTATGTTTGTTTATCCGCGCGTTTTGCACTGACATTCCACAGCTGCTGCACAACGGATAGCTTCAGGAGCTGCAGATATCGCTATTAATTGGGCAGGTGGTCTCCATCACGCGAAGAAACGTGAGGCATCAGGCTTCTGTTATATTAATGACATTGTCCTCGGTATACTGGAGCTCCTGAGGACATACCCCCGCGTTTTGTACATCGATATCGACTGTCATCACGGAGATGGCGTAGAGGAAGCATTTTACACTACAGACCGCGTCATGACATGCTCATTCCACAAATTTGGGGAATACTTCCCCGGTACCGGCACTCAGGAAGATCGAGGAAGAGGAAAAGGGAGAAACTATACGGTGAATATCCCCTTGAAGGATGGAATCACGGACGAAGCTTTCAAGAGGGTGTTTGAACCGGCGAGTACTCGTCAAGTATGCGTCCACTTCAGCTAACACTCCGTCAGATTATAAATAAGATCATGGAAATTTATCGACCTGGTGCAGTCATCCTACAATGCGGAGCGGACTCTCTTGCAGGGGACAAACTCGGATGCTTCAACCTGACTATGAATGGACATGCTCACTGCGTACAGTATCTGCGCGCCTTCAACGTCCCACTTATCCTTCTTGGAGGCGGAGGATATACAGTGAAGAACGTTGCGCGGACTTGGACCTACGAGACTGCATGTGCCCTCGGCATTCAAGACGATATTGACCCCAATCTGCCATGGAATGAGTACTTTGAGTGGTTTGGCCCGCGTTACAGGCTCGAGGTGCCAGAGAACAATATGGATGACTTGAATGTACGGGATGGAAGCTTAGACAAAGTGCGCGCGACGGCGCTGCAGCAGCTCTCACAATTACCTTGTGCACCCAGTGTTGGGATGCATGAGGTACCAAGGGAAAGTCTTGGGCGGCACCTTGGGTTAGACATCGCCGAAGAAGATGCCGACGAAGACGGTGGCACTGATGATCTAGATCGTCGGCTAGCTCGTAAGTATCAACATGTCATCACAGCGCAGTAGCGTAAGCCTGACACTCTGCAGAACACTCCCGGTTCGTGTACAAATTGCAGGAGCCAGGTGGAGGCTCCGACGAATCAGATGATGAGCGGTACGACTCTGATGGATCTTCATATCGCCGACGGAAGCGCATGAGTATCCTTTCGAATCGTGTTGTCAATGTTGACTCTGACATCGGGAGGGCCCAACCACGGGGGCGACGCTTCTTCAAGAGTGCGGTGCGGTGGGACGAGACGTATGGTCGTGTCCGGTTAGGTAAGGAGCCTGTACTGGGCTCTCTGAATGGGAGTAGATTGGGAGGGATGATGGAGGCGACTGGACGGAGTACCCCAGGTGGAGATGTGACTATGGAGGATTGGGAAGATGGTACTTCTGTATGATTTAGGTGAGTGTCGTTACAGCTTTTGTTCGTACATTCGCTGTTATTAACTAGCTAATATTAAATGGGACGTTCATCTTAGAGTCTTTGCACTGGTTTTAGTGCTTGTTTGCGCTTTAGTACAGCATAAACTTTGCAAATACGTTATTTGTAGTCCCACGGGTGCCTTGCAAGTACACAACGTGCTGAAAATCTCCCCTGACGCGATCCAGTCAGATATTCAGTCTCATGCACTCATGGGGGTCCAAGGCTGCCAGCACATTGTTGAGCAATTTTCCAGTGTCGCAGTCCTAGTCTTCATGCTACTGTAGTACCTCGTGGCGTAATAAGTACATAAGTAGTAAGTCCATCGTTTTTTCAACCATCTCACTTTATCTGTTAGACTACTCTCATTCGACATGCACCGCTGTCTTCAGCTGACTGAGATCCTCGAAGTGATATTCGATCTTGTCTTCAATTCCATGAAAGTGGTTGATCGCGACTTCACAAGTGCTGTCTCATCTTCCGACGCTCACTGCCTAATATCTTCCCATCTTACTATGATCACGATCGACGCTCTATCCTCTGTCTTGCACTCACATGCCGCGCATTTCGCGACATAGCACTCAATTTCTTTTATTCTCACCTGCGCGGCATCCGGCCTCTTATTAAGTCCCTGTCTGACTCGGAATTGGTTCTCTCGGACAGTGTCCCCAGTGCTTACATCTGAAACGTTCAACTCATTAGTCCCCTATGCTGCACGCGTCAAGCTCCTCTTCATGCCATATGATCACAAGTGGACTTCATATGCATTCCTCCTTGCAAGTGCGCCCAAAGACGCCCTGATATTTCCCAACCTGCGCTCGCTTACATGGTGCGATTGGCGTGTCACCTCCATCCCAGCCCTCAGCCTCTTCCTACATACCCTCGAGACCCTCTACCTCGACATCTCAGAAGCGCCATTTCGCCAGGCCATCATCCCTTACCTCTATATCACTGCCCCTCACCTCAAAGCTCTCGAGTTTGCGGGCGATGTCCTCAGAGCCCCCTCGGAAATCGAGTTGCTGTTTCTCAGTTATCCTGAGGGTCTCACAGAATTTTCATTCACATGCTGCAATATCTCAAGTGGCTTGCTCGATGTTATTGCCGCATGGCCACGCCTCCGATGGCTCACTCTCCAACTGGGTTTCGAAAGCATCTCCACTGTACCACTTCGTGCGCCCCAGACATTTCAGGTACTCGTTCACTTGCGTATCTTGTGCGGCAATCTGGGCATTGTCACATCTTTCCTGCGCACCTTCCGAATGCTCCGGATGGATTGTGATACGTATTCCTTCGAATACCCAAACCTCAAAACAATTCAGATCGATGTACGAGAGTGCAACACAACCAGCATCTGGATTCTGGTCCGAACTCCTCAGAAGTCTCACATGTACAAAGCTAGAGCACCTCATTCTCAAAGAATGGTGTCACAGGTGTGACGGTCAGCACAGCTACTGTACATCTGCATTCTTTGATTTACATCCCCTCCTCGCGCACCCCATCGCCCTCGCAGGGCTGAGGACCCTTGTTCTCTCCCCAAACAATGCTTCGACCATCACACTCACCGACACGGACATTGTCATACTTGCTCGCACATGTCCATATCTCGCTGTCTTTGACCTAAGGGCACGCAACACGCCTATATCCCTGTATGCCTTAAGCTTCCTTGTAGGGCGCTGCCGCGAGCTGCGCCAGGTCTTGGTCTGCGTGGACGCGCGTCTGGACGCGCTTGGAAGAACGCTTCCAAAGAACGATGCCAGCAACGACCGAGTGAGTCTGCAACCCAATACGCGCCTGCTCGGACTACACATCGGGGAATCGCCTATTGCATGTGTGGGCCTTTTGCGCCCATCGACGGCGCCAGACTTGATGAGGTCTATCCCACGGTTCTTGCACACGATGGCGCCGCGGGTTGAGTGTATCATGAAGCCGTCGTTCGAGGGGAGGTATGCGCGGAGGTGGAAGATGGTGTCGACTGCTTTGTCGGTAATGGTGAAGGAGGCGAAAGATAAAGCTGAGGATGATGACGTGCTTCATGCCATGGATGTGCTGCTTTAGGGGGGTGCGCGCACGAGACGATGCTGTTTGGCTTTGGCTTTGGGGTGATCACACCAATCTGTACGTATCATTTTCGAATGCAGCTACGATTTTTTTTTGATTCCAATTTCTGTCTTTTGCAGAGACATACTCTATGTAGGACAATACGTTACAGTCTAAAGGAACCCCCAGTGTCCCCATCGCATCTCCGAGTGCACGAAAGCTACGGTGTTAATCATGTTGTGCACTCGCTCATTTTTCCTTCCGTGCGCTATTAAAGTACTTGCATCAGACGTCAACAGGTCGTTCTTCAAATTGACATTGTGGCTAAGGTGCGCTGGAAATGTACACCACACTAGACGTATTTGACGGACATACTACTTTGAAGGCTGAAAAAGCATATATCATTGCAAGTGTGGTAGCAAATATGGAGTTTCCCCACCAGCATCTGCACGGCAGCGCCAGCTCAACTACAAATAAGTTGCATTCTTTCGATTACATGCTAACTCCGAGTCGTGCATAATTGTTCAAACATTCAGCTTCACACATTTCCTCGCTGCAATGTTGCTGTGCCCTCATGCACTCCCTATACATATAAATACAAACTTCAAGTCATATTGGTGCCCGTATAGCTCAACAAGAACTGTCCAATCACTTGTTCCTGATGCAAGAAATAAATGCCGCACCAAACTACCTACTTTTGCATGTCATCTCCATCGTTGCATGTAGGGTGCCATCGCGGTCCACATAGACGGGATTCCTGCCACAACATAGTCAGTTAAATTCGACAAAGAAGAAGAGTAACATTATATGTCGTCAGTACGATTGCTCCAAACATATCATATAACGTGTAGCGAGTTAAGGAAGTTAAAGACTTACTCATGCATCACCCAATCGCCCAAATGCCACCGAAGGTAAATGGAAGCCTTACCAGCTACCTCGATATATTTCTTACGGTAATCAGGTCTGCGCGGCCGACACGGGGACAAATAATAACCCACAGGAATCGTAAATCCATCAGTACCTTTGAATGAGTCAGAGCAGATAAAGTACAAACTTACTCATCTGGCACAGCCGTCTCGGCGAACTTATTATCTGTCAGGTACAAGGATTCGCGGCCGGGTTCTCCGTCGTCTTCTATCCGAAATGAAGCTTTTGGGCGAGCCGGAAGGCTAGGCGAAGAAAGGCCAAACATGATGTGCCATTTCCAGTCAGAGCCTAAATAAAAGCAAAACCGCCATATACGTCCTGCAGGTCGCGGTGTTATCATATTAGCATGACGAAAAAGCCAAGAGACATGCGCAACATACCGCCTGCAGCAAATTCATAATTTAACTTGTGCGTGATGCGCAGGCGTTTCTGAAACATCCTGATGCGGACAGAAGCAGCGAACAGGTAGTCGTCGCCCACTCTACCAGTTTCATGCACCACAAGCTCATCTGGTGGACAACCCAAAGAGCGTCTCAAAGCATCGCTGTTGGCTGATGCGGAGAACAATAAATAAGTCAATGCACTCTCGGGGAGGCCGTCATCACCGATCACCTACCACCAATGTTTGCCAGTTTCAGCTGCGTAAACGATGCATGGTCGCTAGCTATTGTGCATGCGAGACGCAATTTGGAAGAGCAAGCGGGCGAACATTCGGGAATGAATGCAGCGAAGGCCGACAAGACCTCTCGCTGCTCGTTCACGATTGCCCAATATAGCGCTGTGTGACCCTCGATATTTGGTGTTTGTAGGAGCTTGGAGAACCTTTTAGGTGTGAGATCAGCAGCACAGACGTTTATAATTGAATTGGCGGAGGAAGGAGTGAAATTTGGGGTGAGAACGATATCACGAATACACGATAGAACCACGGTGCGTTGATGATTGATGAATAGAAAGGAAAATAAAGATGATAGCCTGAATGACTGGACAGAAGCCGAAAATGATCCAGACGGAGGTGTTGCCTCGTACGAGGGAGGTGCATTACCAGTTGACTTATTATCATCAAAACCTTCTGAAAGATTGGCAGCCATGATAGAGGGATAAGTCAAACGAAGGAGAGTCGAGATATAAGAAAGAAAACAGGGGCCTCTTACACAACCAATTTCCTTTTTGGTCATACGCCAATTAAGGTCCCCTCAGTCAACGGCGCACACCAATGTTTCTGCCAACTCGTATTGAAATCACGCAAATTGCTGCGTCGGCTCTACCACTTTTCTGATACATGAAAGCACCCTTGAAATATGTACATCACCGCATCCCAGCATCAACCTCTTCGTTCCTTTTACATGTTGAAGATCGCAGAGATGATGGCAGCTGGGCAGGTTTGATCCATCACGTCTCCCGCATCAGGTCTGTGTCTTTAACATGCACAGTGGCCCATAGAACGGACGGACACCTGATGATCAGGTCAGGTCACCTAGTGCTAGAATTGCGCTCACCAAGTACAATCTACATGGCCACTTCGCCCTCCTGTAACACCACGGCACCTCTTTCAAGGAAACAGACCACCTTCGATGACGAGAGTCGCTGTCTCCACCTAATTTGGACCTAGAAGCTGAATTGTTCAGCCAGAGCTCCTAGAAGTTGATGAGGTATCGCGCCTCCTACTAACCTCGTTGAAATGGACCCGAAATTCTGACGTGATACTATGTAGGGATGCCTTGCAATCTTCTGATCGATAACTTATCGCTTTTCGTCTAATATATGTAGACTGTAAGACAATGTCATCAGTCGCTTGGTCTGCAAAGTACTTTGTTTGTGCCTCGCTTCCTATCTTGTTCTTACGAAGGAAATTCCAGAATCATTGGCACTTTCGACCAAGCTTGGTGCCCTTCTACCATGTCTGGAGAAGAGCTCGCGAGGACTGCAACTCTGGGTCTTCCGGATGTACTTGGTCGTGGCGTATGACATCCCCCTACGAGATGGACTGTTGAGGTGCAAGCACGTTGAATTGGATGACGTCACTGGGTATATTCCACATTGGCTTGAAATTTGCAACAACACCACCGCGAATAGTATGTAAACTCGGCATTTCCGTCGCACAATTGTATCGGGGACGAAAAGAATGAAGCACTTCCTGACCTATGCATGTTGCACAGCAGTTTTACATAATTCGACTGCGGACTTGAAAGAGGGGTGATGTCACGGACTTATTTAAGGCTGGACTGCTGACCGCAACTTGAACGCTAACACAACGAATGCTCAGAACAATACAGTTACTATGTCTCAGAAAAATATCTCGCTACCCCTCGCCCTCACACCGTTCTCTTCGCACATTTACCTGTCCCTTGCATCCATCATCGGGCACACCTAAGCCCCATAGCGCAGAGAGTTACTTCAAAGATGCAGATGAAACAGCTCCACAAGACCCTACAATCCACTGCGTCGACGCTGCGTCAGAGGCAGTGCAGCGTCCTTACCAGCCACCTTCAGGACAGTGGAGTCAGGCGGGGGTCAGGACCAGCGAGTATGAATATGTTAGCAAAGACGAGCCGCATGACGTGCCCAATGAGCAAGCAAATGAGAACAAACTGAGATACGATGGCACCGAGAAACTATATCCTGAGACTAGTCATTCTGGGGAGGTCCAGAGGGTCAATCAAGGGGAGGACGCAAACCAGGACGAAAGTCCCTGAACGTAAATTCGTCTCAAAGGTATTGTTCTTTAGTTCCTTGTGCATATGGATTTTGAGCGACTTGCATCGTTATAGGATATACCGCAGTTTCGATGAATCATGATAGACGTGTGCGTGTAATGTTAGTAGTGGGATGTATTTATTACGAAGCGTTTGACGTAGTAGTTGTATGAATATCTGTAGTCGAGTGTCTTCCTCGGCGTTTATGCCATTCACAGTTACCTTTACCAATCAAGCTAAATTCAGCTGGTCAACTTGTACAGAGGTTACCTTAGGCGGTACATTCAAGGCCCCATAGGTTGAAGGACACAGCAAAGAAAGCTCAAGAAAGTATGATTACCTAGGACAACGCTTGACAAGAGACTTCATCTTTTGTACAGTAGTGTGACACTAAATGTCAAGCACATAAGTCCGGCTGTTTGGTGAAGGCACAAGCTCTGATGCAGTTCAACGCCTTTCTCCACTTGGACCTTCGTGCCTCTTGGTCGACACCCCAGGCCCATGGCTCAATCGCGATATTCATCAAGCACGGTAAGATCTGCGAAAGCGCAAGCGCGACTTGCGGTGGTTGTTCGATTGGAGAGCACCCGACGGAGAACTTCCTGATATTTGTGTTGCAAACACCTCCAGACCTCTCAGCTTGAATCGGACCTACGTTCCTGGTGTCGAATACCAAACCAAGGTGCTCGAGATTGGGGCAAGACGACAGTAAGGTGACAAGGCCCCGAAACGTAATCCTGGGTGGTGTCTGCCAGAAATGGGCTGTTCCAAGGTCAAGGCGCTCGAAGCGTAGCCATGACTTGACGATGGTGCCAAGTGCATCATCATCAAGCCATGATATACAAAACGACGGAAGGAGAACCTCCTTGAGACGTGAGAAGCGCATGAGGGGAGTGAATGTACGGAGATGGAATCCATAGTCGTCATGGTCGATGCTCTTGGGTCCGTGTATCACAAGATGCTCCAGAGGACTGTGATGTGGATGATTGTCCAGCTTGCGCAAAGCGCATTCCACGGCGAGTGCTGTTTCAGGATTGCCGTACATGAGCCACAACGTCTTGCATTGAACAACCCAGCCTTCTACGGTTTGTCCGACGGTGGTCAAAGTGGATGAGTGGATCATGACTCTGTGAAGGGACGAGCTACTAAATTGGAGGTTGCCGCCTCCGCATGGTATAGGGACAGTAATATACACTTCGTAAAGGCCGATGAGACGCGTGATATAGGACAAAGCTTTGTTGCTGCGCAAGGTTAGCCATACCCTTTGCAGATGTGGGAGCCCACAAAGAGCAAGCTCAGCGACTTCAGGAGATGTCGCATGTAGTTCAAGAACTTCTAGTCGTGGTGAATGCCTGCCGAGACCTGAAAACAATGAACACATAGTGTCCGTCCAAAGATCTGGCTTGGGTGAAGCCAGGCGAAGACAGACAAGATTGGGACCCAGGAGGTAACGCATACATAAATGGAGATCCCTAGGACATTCTCTGCAGCAAAGCGCTCGAAGGTTTGGCACTAACAGCGACCGCGAAGAAAAGCCTGCCATGGCATGGATGAAGTCGACATCTAACTAAAACCGGAGATCGTTACTGAAGAAAAGACACACCTTCTGAGCTCGTTCTTATCTGGGCCGCGCAACGTGCAGAGAACCTCGGGCTTGAAAACCCCAGACAAAAAACGATGCTGGGATGAAGATGAAGTGGTGGGTGAGTTGAAATGTGCGTCACACAGGAGGACGGCCGTTGGCCGCTGAGATAGTGGGAAGATAAAAGCGGGGTGAGCGCGACTCTTCGAAGCACTGTGGTCTTATATGCGACGCACGGATCCCAGCCCCCAGTGCTTTGCTATGAAAGAAGCACGGTGGAGGATCTTCACGTGATCGCGTTACAATGTTTTGACATTTCAATATTAATAATTCCGCGTATGTAGAGCTACCACATTCCAACCTGTTGCGTCACACAACTGTTCGAATAAAATGGCTTGATTAGATCTACAAGTTGAACATGTACAGAATAATTCAAACCGAGTCTCCCTCTACACGAAATGTCAACTGTTGACGCGAGGCTGCTTCTTATTCCAATGTCGGAAATCGATATAGCCCTCACCGCAGGCAATAACAACAGGATCTCACATTTCTCCAAATGAAATCCGTCGTGTTGCTCCTGCCGACACAGGTCTTGTTGTATGCCGCAATGTCATTCCGCGAATGTCGAATAAGATTGTACTCCGGGTGGCTGCTATTGTTCGCAATGTCGCAAAGCCGCCGTGCATTGCATGCCTCGGTCTGGTGAAATCCTGTCCGCCTGTCCTGTCCACACCTCGTGCAGTGTTCAAGACAGTTTTTTGTGACACACATTGCAATATTTATAAGATAAGATTTGAGGGATGGAAAGGATGGAGAATGCGGCGGATGGCCAAGTCTGATGCTTTTGTGTGGAGTGAGGGAATTGCTCACCATCACGCTGAATTTATACCTGAGATGCCCTTGGTGGCGGCCTAGGATGACACCCATAGGTCTCACTGGAGAAGCAACTCGATCACTTGGCAGACGTGCTAAGATGTGAAGACGCGTATACCTCCACAGGCCATCGAACGAATTCGTGGCGGATAGAATTGCAGCCGGCAAAACAGCTTGGATGGTAGGCTGCGGCACGGAATGCAACAACCTGACTATCCTTGGGTGGCGGCCAAAGACATGAAACACGGTAAAGCGTGCCCGACTGTACGTACCTGAGTCTTATGCTGTTCAAAGGAAAGATCGATAGCACGGCACGTGAGACCTTAAAGCACATAAATGCGACGGTAGTACTGACCTGGGAAGAGACCAGTTTGTTAGTGCATATGCCACTGTGGTTGTTGCAAACGTCAGTGACTAGGTGCTAACGCTAGCATCAAGCAGGCATGAACATCACCTAGTAGTTATCCTACCGCCACAAGCCCATTAGCAATGGAGGCACGGGGAAGATAATGGAAGAAGAAACTCAATGAAAGGGGAACAGTCCGCAGCAAGCCGTAAGCAGTGCTAGGATTTTTTATGGTGGTGAGTGGCGACATCCCCTTCTAAGGGTGTTCGAAAAAACATGAATGACATGCCATGAGGGAAACAATGATCACATCAAAATATCCTTCTGACGAAAAAAATGTAACTTGAAGTGTATCCCCCGCACCGTGACCGATTAGTTAGCCGATTATCTTGCAAAGAAATAGACCAAGTACTACGTACTTGTATGTTATCGGGGAGAAGATAGCTCGAACTGCCGACAAAGCAAGATGTGCGCATGCTCTGCAGCTGGAATTTGAAACGCATTCTACACCCATAGGAAGGTTTTGAAATTTGGTCCACCACAACAACAGATCAAGCCGACATAAACGGAACGTTAAACCAGCAGTAATGTACAAGACTGTGCGACCTTGATGAGGTGAACGCACTGCTTGGAACCACAGACTTGGCAGACTCGACTCAAACTCACCAAAAAAAGTTGCATGCGGACCGTGAGCATGAAATGGAGGACAGGTGTAGTTCCACATAAGGTCCACACCAGCAATGGAATAACACTGATCTGTGTTTGGCCGCCATAATGATTACCTTCAAGTTGTTCAGTACCACAGCCTGAGTGGCGGCAGCACAGCAGTACTGCCTCGGAGTCGGGAGTCGGTGCAGCGTCACGTGTGTATCAACATTTTACTTGCTGTTCGTCGACATTCAACGTTCAAGCCAGTCTGAATTGAAACTTCAAGCTTCAAGTCTACCAAGGATCAAATTTCAGAGGGCATCGAGAGGTATCAAGAAGACGTCCGATTAATCAATGAATATTCTGCAGAGAACAACGATAGTACTACGTACACGTAAGGATTCTCAAATTCTAGTCTCCGGGGGTTGCACGCTGATCCAGACCTGGATCACAAAGATACGGTATATGAAAGAACCACAGGAGCATTACCTCTACTAGTACGTTGTAGGTGTCTGATTTCAATCATAACGTGTACCACAGCAAGGTGACTGAGAAGAGGGTTATAGGACAGGAATGAGTCCAAGAGTGCGAGGATAAATCCGCAAGGCGAGTGACAACTCATTTCTCTCCTTATCCTCCACGCCATCAACATACATTGTCCAAGGCATCCCACACATCAACCAGCTAGAATTATATTAACTGACCCCCAGCAGAGCCCCAAGTCCCAACTAAAATAGCCAGTTGCTGATCGAATCGACCATAATGCCAGCGCCAGTAGCGGTGTGCGTCGTTGCGGCTATTGCAGGTGTCGCTGCTGTCATTGCTTTCCATGAGGTGATTTTCTTTCTTATGTCTATCAAAACCTTCCATTCCGTCTTCATCCGCTTCCGACAACAGCCCTCTAATATACTCTTCAGTTCGTCTTTGAACCCCACATTGCCCCCGCCATCGAGCGTTGGGCAGAGGACTTCCTCGCCAAACGTCGTGCTCGACGCAGAGGTCCTGTTCCTTTTCCATCCACCCGAGGGTCTGGACATGGAGACCCAGGGCCCAGCGGTGCTAATCCGAGGGAAAGAGCCCCTGCAGGAGAAGAAGATCCTATCGAATTACAAGGCTTCAATCTCGATGAATGGCGGAACCAGGTCTATCACACCGCCCCAGGTACGGGTATGAGGCGAAGAGTCGGAGTAATTCCCGATACAGACGAAGGGAGTATATCTAACACAATGAATGAGGTATGTCTGTCTTCCGTTTGTTATCTTACCCTTTCGAATACTGATCAAATATGAACAGTCTATCACGTCCCTCACGCACACCCCGCTCTCACCCACTCATTTCATTTCCAATGTCTCCTCCCCAATCATGGAAGCTCACTCCGTATCCACCCGCACGCCCAGCCGCGCCCACTCTCGTGCCTCTTCTCGTACCGCAAAAGATGGCGAGCGTGAGGGCAACACTTTGTTTTTCGCCCGTCTTCGCCCTCATCCTCTGCACCTCCCAGTCCGCCATTTGGACCCATCCTCCCAGATACCCCCCGCACAAGTGCTGCTTACTCTGCCCGCCCATTTTCTCCGGTTGTGCGCACGCCCGTGCATTCTCGCGTACCATCGAGCAGGCCTTCCCTGCGGCACTTGAACTCAAGCTCAAGCTCGCGCGTCGGTGTGGATATGCAGGGCAGGCGTGTAAACATTGACGTCGTTGGCGAGCACGTCAACTTCAACATCAACAGCAGCGTCAATACGAGGATGCAAGAGGGTATGAGCGCAAACACTAGTGTTGTAGATTCACTATCAGAACGTTACCCCGCACCGCCCACTCCGCCCGTCCTGCTCTCCCCGCCTTCATCACACACTACCTCCTCCCCAAGCACAGACATACTGAGCCTTGGGAGCAGCGGTAGCCAGCCCGGCTCGCCATTTGACATGGTGTCCCCGCCTGTTCGTATCGGTGAGGTGCACCTCCCCTCGCACACATCCCTCTCAGGTGCTGTGAGCTCGCTATCTCCCTTGATGAGCGAGCACGACTTTATGGCGTTTGGCGAGGCGTCGGATCTGGATGGGGCGGAAATCTTGGCTTCGCCAAGCGGAAGTACACGTTTGCATAATCCGTTTACTGATTTTGATGAGGGGAATGATTCCGACAGCGGTAGTGAAGGGAGCTGGAGACGGCTGAGTGTGACATCCCGCAGGTGATGCTCGTCTTGAGGGGGAGTTTGTCACATCATCAGAAACAGGATGGATGGTGGTGTAGTGTGCCTTGCTCCTTTTTCTCTTCCTTTTTACTATCTGATTCCCTATTTTGTCGTTAATTCGTACTCGTGTTGTTTTGTCGCTCTTTTCCTCCGTGTTGTATCTTTACCCTCATTGTGATCGTTGTGAACCCACGACAAATCATCGAACATATTTTCGACTCTTCTCCTTTGACAAATCCAACTGACTGTGTTGCTGTAGTAATGCCATCTATATCGACTGCGACGGCACCTTGCATGCAACACTGGAAATGGCACTCAAAAGTTAATGTTTGTGATATTTAGTATTGATTGGCAGCGAGAATGGCAAGAGGATCAGGATATCTAGTCTGTCCCTGCATATACAATAACTTATCTATGAACACGCTTTTCGTTACAGCTGTTTGCAAAAAGGTTGACAGTAGCGACATTTTGAGAAAAGAACAAAACAAATAAATAATAGATTAATAGCCACATACATACATCACAAATTGACCATCATGTATCGGAAAATCAGTCACGACTAGCCGCAATTAATCTTCACAAGCATTAACACCTTGCACTCGAAGACATTCTTGCTTGCGTCGGAGATTCGGAATGCACGTTCTGGCGGATCCTCAAGCTCTGGCGCGAAACGGGAGGCATACATTGCGTCAAGCGTTTGCAAGTATATGCGCGTGTTATTTAACCCTATGTGTTCATTATTTATTTGTTTTGTTCTTTCTCAAAATGTCGCTACTGTCAACCTTTTTGCAAACAGCTGTAAAAAGAATCTATTTTGCATAGTTTGAGGGGGTAGTGGACGGATGGATCCGAGTTCATCATGTCACGGTGGTCATGTACTCGAGTATATACTTGCCTTTGTTCAAGTTGTTGTCTTCCCCTCCAATCAATTCTCGATTTCACTCTTGTCGCGTGCTTGTCTTGTTCCCTCTCTCCTCGTTTGCTTCGTATCTTGCCCTCATCGTCATCATTGTAATTTGGCGGGAGGCTTTGAAAATCGAACAGATTGAATATACGAGGTCCCGTAGGGTCTCTCGTGGGTAAGTGGATTCATTGATTTGGTTGCAATCAATGTTTGATATAGTTGTATACCAGGCCAATCATGACCTTACAATCGAGGTGATGGGCTTATTACGTCGCAATTGCCAAGTCAAACACCAGTAATCAGAAATGTCACTGTTTGCCGGGTAAGCTGGCCTTGTAGTCAACTATGTCGCATCCATGAAATGAGCGGAACTCAATTCCCTTCTTGATCCGCCCTTCCTTGATTTGAAACTGAGTATGACTGTCTTAGACGTCAGTGATGAGGAGTGGGTGGGTGCTACAGTAAACAGTCTAGCTTGCTACTGACAAGGTCTAGACTCGAGCCCTATGGGGATAAATCGGCCGCTAAGCTCTTTCGTTTCGGATTAGTTCAGGGGTTCTGACATAATTATCACTGCAGTCTCTTCCAAGCTTACTGGTTACATAAATTCTTCACGAGCGCTTTCCCTGCTGCGCAGTCTCCATGAATCACCATGGCAGAGAACAAGTCATATCCGACATTACAATTGAACGAACACAGAAGGTATTTGATGATGCCACATCGAATTTAAACTCGACCTCCGCTAGAACGCTTGACAAGCGGGATCAGGCAGGTTCGTCATTGACAATCTATCTCGGTCAGTAAAGGTGGTATTCAGATTACTTTAGAGGATTGTGTCGCCCAGACCGCTCAAGAAGTTGTATCAGTGCACGATTTCTATACCCAGAATGCCACAGCCATCAAGTCAGCATCTGATGCAATGGTCGTGGATCTCTCAAAGAAGAATATGGGCGACTTTCTGGGAGAGGCAAAGAAGGTGATGGAGGCCCTGGATGTTCTGCAACAGGTTCACCCGTTTGTTGGTGGTGTGTTTACCGCTTGTCGATGTTTCCGCCTCAGCTAATAGTTGTATAAAATGCAGTGGCTATACTCGCTTTCAAGGCTGTCGTGAATCTTGAGCTAACAAGAAGGGAAAACGATCGTAGAGTTGGATTGATGTTAGCTCAAGCATCTGACATGATGACCATGCTTCTCCAGTTCGTCATCCGACGCCAGTTTTGAACGACTCTTGCTGATTCGATTCGACGGTAGACTTAAGGACACTAAAGATCCTGCCATCGTGGGACCTCACGGCAACATTCGGGGGCGATTGGATCGTGTCCTGGACGGCATCAAGCAAGATATCGAGGATTGTGGAAATGCCATTGACAAATACTACAAGTCAAAATTCATGGGTAAGTTTCCCTCATATTCTTGAGTGTTTCATATAGAAAACCACATTCGCAGTGAAATTCTTCAGATCCTCCCATTGGGCGAGCGAGTTCCTGAAAGTTTGCAACAGCTTTTCCCAGCGTACACAGGACCTCCAGCTCGCCTTAAATATCAGGACGACATTGAGAGTTGATATTGCCATTGATAAGCTAGACAAGCTGATCCGGATGCAAAGCGATCGCGAAGCGAGATTCGAGAAGGAAGTGCAGATGCGCGGTGGAAGAGAGAAATGTTTGGAAAGTGAAGAAAAACTGGTAGAGCTACTGAAAGTCGCCGAGCAACGGGAAGGGCGTCCACAGAACAAACCGCATGCTGATCCTTCTACCAAAGATGTCAACAAGCCTACTTCGAAGACCGGCCGCCTTGATGCATCGCTGCTTTACGAACTACGTGCTCCGTTACGCAATTTACTTGACGAGAATCGTGCACTCTTCATGTTCAAGCTTGATACACAGACATCCGACATTAAAGATGCCATCAAGGATTCTGAAACGCGCATTATATGGGCCTTCAACAGCAGATTTCGACGGGTCAGGGATCCGGTAAGGATGATGAAATTCAACCTTATGTGTCACTAACTTGGTCAATTTCACCAGCACCTCCGGTATATCTGGAAAGAGATGGTATGCCTTTGTGCAGGCGTGACTGAAGCGCATACTTATCATCACCAAGAAATGGACAACAAGTGTCAAGACGCCATACTTCATTGCAGAACTCAATGATTATTACGTGAACCGTTTCTCCCACCTCCGTCATGACGCTCTGCTCCTAGAAGCAGCGTCGGATACTTCATCTTTGGTACCGCGAGTCTCATCTCCAACTCCCACCGTCTCTGTCATGTCGGATTCAGAAGGAGAAGACCGCGAGCTTCCAGCAGTCGATTCTGTGTACCACGAACTTCCTGCTGTCGACCCTGCAGACAAATGGTGCTTGAAATATTTGTCCGTTTTCTACGTTCCAAGGTTATCCGAAGGCTTCGACGGCGATGCAAATGGATTGGTCAGTGTGAGGGAGGTGAATGCTTTTACGTCCGCAATCCCGTTGGGTTGGACTCTGCCGAAAGCACTTGCATACTGGGCTGCAGGCAAGGATTGTTATCATCAGGTCCAACCAGTGCTAATGTTGGTGAAGGATGGAGAGTGGATAGCCAATACTATCATGAACGAATCGAACAGGTCTTGAATAGCATGGTTTATGCGCAAGCAGATGTACTTCCAGAAAATAGGAGGTGTATAGCCACATACTTGAACTCATATGTCATCGATGGTGCGTCGCTCTGCCCACCTTTTGATGAAGGCATTTACACAGCAGACAGGTATCAAAAGGCTCGTCCGTTCTCTTGCAGAGCTTGGATCGGAGGATTCAGACTTGGATCTCACACAACTTATTGCTCAGCGTCGCAAGGCTCAAGAGGAGACATTGGCGGATAAGCTCAAGATCGTCAAGTATGAAATCGACTCCAAAGATTCTATTAAACTTTTCGGATCTGGTCGCATCGAAAATGTGGGTTGTTGACTCAGCATTTGCACTTGCGCTGAATGCTCACATGAGTCACCTTGCTTGTTCAGTTCTTGCTACCTTTACTTTACCTCGTAATCAGGAGGCATTTACAGATCATGAAACTCGCTAGCACAGTAGCTGTGGTCGAGAGAGAACTTGAGTCTGCAACTCAAACGATAGAAAATATCTTAGAAGGGGTATCTCTGCGCGTGGACCAACTGGCAGGTGTGTTTCTAAGCTATGTCATGATAAGCCATCTCCTTCCACCATTGCAGAGTCTTTGCGTCAGCAAGGCAATGATCCAAAAGCGAGATTCGCGTGGTATGCGCATGGCTTGGTACGTAGAGGCTGCAACTTTATATCGATTCCCGGTCTAATACTCCGTAATAGTACAACTTTTGGTACAGTCCAGAATTAACCACAGACGATACCGAATACTGGGAAACTCACGATTTTGGGCTTGATGACACTGAGCTGGAGATCGATTCAACAGCATTGAAGCTTGGTCCTTTCAGTCTGACAGAGGACAATGGAGCGGTAGGAAGACCTGTCAAGTTCATCGCATTTAATCCCGGTCAGCAGCCTGAAGACCCCATGGAAGAATATATCCGTTTGTGGTGCATGAATGACCTGCAGTATATGCGGAACTTTTACCCTCACGAAATCCCGCCTTACCTATCGTTGACCGACAAAGAAAGGTTCAATGTCCTGTCCCAAGAGCTACCACCCGCAGACGTCGAGCGTTGGAATTCATTAGCTGAACTCCAGGTGCGCAGACGACTGTTCGAGTGAGTCCATCTTCTATCTATCTGTCATTCTTCAAACATCTGCTTTTCCGGTGTTCAGGTGTCAGTGTGATGCATGTCATTACCTTGTCAGTGATGTCCTTCACCGTTGTATAGACTGCGAGTCCAGTGAGCGTGACGCAGACAACCCTTCCGTGCAAGACGGCTAATCTTCTTGCAGACGACTACGATGTGTGTGTAGATTGCGAATCTCAGCTGGTCTCGGATCACAAATTCCCATCCGACCACAAGTCAACGCATAACATGCTTGTTTTCCGCATGTCGCTACCTCATGGTCGCTACCGCCGAGTCCGGTGGTATGCCAGGAATTTCTTATCCACTTGCATGCCTGCTGCAGCACCGCCAGAAGCACCATTGGCTGCGCGAGAAGATGAATCCAAAACGCAGCCGGATGGACCTGAACTTCCACATCCCACAGATGCCACTCGAGCAGATGATTCTTCCGCCTTTGTCGATTTACAGGAAGGTGATGAGAAGTTAAATGGGAACCCGGGAGTAGCACTCGGGGAGATGGCTGGAACCTCAGTTGCGAATGGGGATTCCTATGCTTGTGCTGAATGCGGCGTCAAGATAAAGGGCATTTTTTATGTATGCCTTACCTGCGCAGGTTAGATTTCTGTACGTCTAATGGGGCACAAAGCTTAATACTTGTCACAGAACTCTATTCCGCAATTGCCCTATGCGGTGATTGTGCATTTCGCGATGTGTTCAACGTGGTCGCAGAGCACCACCCTTACAAACACTGGCTGGTGAAGGTTAAAGACCGGGTTCGAGATGTAGACATCGGAACATCAGACGAACCTTTGGATAATGTGGACGAGATTACTTCGCTTTCCTCACGAGTCGACAAACTGACTGCAATGGTGGAATCTCGCTTCATGGAACAGGATCTCCGCCTTAGTGCACTTGTCACACAGGTGGATCAGCTCGCCCGTAGTCTAGCTGCATTGACGGGAAAAGCACAGCTTCCCTCTGAATCCGTTACTGTTTGATTGGCTCATAAATTGGTAGACCGTTCCATTTGATTCTTGCAGCGTCTCAGCGAGCTTGTATAGGTAGATCAGCACCGACTTGCTATATGTCCTTCGTGTATGTGAAATAAATATGTTTGTTGGCTTCCCCTCATTGTGCGGACGAGTATGAAGCCGGGAAAGTGCCGTCGTACCCCAGAACCATAGGCAATCGCGCTCTCACATGCAGAACGCAAGGGCATAGTGATATGCTAGTAATCGAACGGCGATCGCTCTGCAACACCGTGACATTCCGAGGCCGAGCAGCACAATGGGGCAATCTCTTCCCCAACGGATTCATGAATAGAGCTAGCGGAGCAGCAGATCACAGCCTAGACAAAACATCTTTTTCTATGAGCGTGCTGTGAACGTGCAGGTGCTATGTACTGACCCGGGTGATGTCTCGCGCTTAAGGTAGACATATCCTTCTATCTATCTAGAAGATGATCAGACATTTAGGAAGTTCAATACATGACCGATATCGTCGGATAAAACGCCGCTATACACTGGTAACAAGCCATTCTCAAGGACACTTGGGCTCTATGCCTCCCGAAGGCAACAGGACACGAATGATATCCCTGGTAGTGTAGAGTTGCAACATGGTAACATCTTGATCAGTATGACACGCCACACCTGCAGCAGTTGCATACTACGGACTCATGTCACTCTGCTTCGTTGGACTCCAGTTATGTCTCTGTACATAGAAAGATGAGCGTGTGCTGCATTTTAGTCGATGAAAGCCGCTGTGACGAATAAGATAAACCAACCTGACCAGTTATCAGATATGACGGTCTACTCAAGCATTCCAGCTCCAGATTCCCATTACCTGACACCGTTAAGAAGACTAACGGCAAATATTTTCACCCATATGACACATCGAGCAGGGACCGGGTGTCGCGCAACTTCAAGGCGTTGTCCTATACAGAACGAACTTGGACACGAGCTCATCGACGATGAAACAAAGACAATAGTGAGAGGACACACCAGCGGCCATCCATCTTTGCCTTCGCAACGGCAACACAAACCTCCAAAGACATTCGAACATCCAACCAGCAAACTAGCAACACAAGTTCTGATATAGAGTCATACCCACCTGGGTGTCGAAGGATTGACAATCCAAATCAAAGGTTCGGCAGGTGGCTGGTATTGGGGCATGGGCAGGTGAAATGTATTAAATGGTATCGTTTTATCATGCCATTCAATGTTCAGTATTGTTGCTGGGTGCGCTATGAGAGGCATATAGTACTTTGTAAGATGTGAACGAAGGAATTGTTGAAATGTTGTACACTGTACAAAAACAACGATTACCTAAAGCGGCACAACCGGCGTGTAGGAAAATTCAAACTCCTCGCTTCTCCTGCTAAATTCCTCCGAGATCGACCAGTCCTACTGCGAGACGTGAGACTCTAGTAAGACTGGTTACAAGTCTAGTCTGAGTCCAGAACTGACGCCTGCACCAACACCGTACCCGTACTAAGCACATTATACGGGTACGCCGCGGGTACTATCAGGTACTATCATGTTGTATCAATGTCTGGACTTCATTAACGTTGAGACTTCTGACTCGTCGCACCTGGACTGTACAACAAACCTTGTACAGTGTTGAGATCTTGAGACTCAAACCAGACTCAAACACTAGGACTTCAGGTTTGACGCGGCAATTTACTACTATTTTGCTAAACTGCTTTTAACGCGTGTTATATGCACATATTCCCTCGCGAAGATCTAAAAAGAAAACCAGACATTCTCATTGTCACTTCCACTGAAAACTGCAGTATCGACCATCCCGGAGAACGACGAACCAACGTTACTCGAAGTTAAATCTCTGGTGCCCTGCGTTGAAGACGGTCTTGAAGAGGCCACCCTTACGAAGACTACTTTGTCAAGATTGAAGAAATTTTTAGGTTAATTCGGAATACCAGAAGGCCCGCAGTATCCTGAGCTATTTTATCATATCCAATGCTTTCCAACTTGAAAAACGACGGCATTGATGGTGCGGATTGGTGTAAAATTCGTACTGTGAGTCCTAAATGCATCATGAATGCGTCCTAATAGTAATATATACCCCGGTCAATCGCCACCATTCTGTAATGAATAAATGTTATAACAAGCTAAAGCTTTTTGAGTGTTATTGCCAGCCTCGCATGTAAGGTCCCATCGCAATCTACATATATATGATTGCTACAACAGCACAGTCAGTTGAATTCGTCGAAGAAGAGTGGAAAGATATGTCGCTCAGTTCCAAGACAATGATTGAGCTGAGGAAGCGAAAGACTTACTCGTATGTCACCCAATCGCCCAACAGCGAACTCCAGGCGATGAGAGCTTTGCCGTCTACATCGCCGATGTATCGTTTAGGTCTGCATAGCCAACAGGGGAATGAAGAATAGTCGCATAGGAATCATAAATGCATCAGTACCTCGGTTTTGAATGTGTCAGAGCAGATTTAAACTTACTCATCCGGCACAACTGTTTCTAAGAATTCTGTTCGCACCAGTACTTTAGGCGGTGTTTCACGACCAGGTTCCCCTTGCCTTGTATGAGTTCCTAACAGAAGTGAAGATTTTGGACAAGCCGGAAGACTAGGTGAAGAGAGACCACAGCCAACACGCCATCGCCAGCTGGTCCCCATATAAAAGCGGATCCACCATATACGTCCTGGAATGGGATGACCATACAGTGAGCATAAGGAACAAACCAAAAAAAACATGATCCTATACCTTGCGCAACAAATTCTTGTTTTAATTCTTGTGTAGCGCGCAGGCATTTTTGGGACATTCCGATATGGAAGGAAGCAACGAACTGGTGGTCATCCAGTTCTCCCCCTTCATGTACCTCGATCTCGCCTGGTGGACAGCCCAGAAATCGTCTTAAAGACTCGCTCTTGGCTGATGAGTGTGTCATACATCAATGTAACACTCTCGGATGGGCATCATAAAGGGCTTACCATCACTATTTTGGAGATTCAGCTGCGAGAATAATGCATGGTCGCTGATTTGCATGCATGCAAAATGTAGGTCAGAAGAGCATTCAGACGAAAATTTGGAAATGAATCTAGCAAACGCCGAGAATACTTCTTGCCGGTGATTCACAATTGCCCAATATAGAGCTGTGTGAGCCTCGATATTGGGTGTTTGCAGGAGGCCGGAGAGCTGAGGGGCTGTGAGAGCAGAAGCGCATGCATTGACAATTGAGTCAATAGAGGAAGGGGTGGAATTTGTGGCAGAGACAAGATCACGAATGCGAGATAGAACAATAGCACGTTTCTGCTTGCCAGCCGGTAGAAAGGATGATATAGATAGCCGTCTGGATTTGATGGACAATCCTGGGCCGGACGTAGAAGTTGTGTCGTATGAGGGAGGTGAGCCAGCAACGGACTTGCTATCCGAGTCATCGAAGGCTTTGAATTCATTATGGCGATGCAGGTGATGTGACTGGTGGCGAGAACAACAATGTGTACGTCTGGGACGTTCTCGCCATCCTCAAAGAAGCTGGCCTCGAAGACCTACTATTGGATGTGAGTTTAAGTCTCGTGACTCTTTGGTAACACAGTGCTAATCTCCTCGCAGGGCGTGGAGTTGATAGACGTACGTGGCGTATTTCTCGGCTTTTTCTATTGCTGTAAAACTTAAGGCGATTTTTCGTTGAGGTAATATAATAAGGAAATAGGGGCGTCGTGCCAAGCATCCCACAGCACCCTATTGGCACCCCAAAACAAGTTGTAGCCTACAGAACAACCACGACAATAGCAGACTATTGGTATTCCTGATAATATCAAACCCGTATACTTCAGAGTGCGTTCATTGCACAGGACTGAGTGGTCAGTGGTGTGAGGAGCGCACTACTGGTACTAGAGGCCTCCTGACGAAAGACGAGGATATAGATGAAATGCGCTGAAATACATCAGTGAACTGAGGGAATTCTGAGAAAGACATATATTACATTACAAGGACTCCCCTTCGGTCGGCTATTGTGTTTACAGTAGCAACTCAGGAGACACAGTATTAGCACAATCTTGTCCTTCGTTCGTCTCCGCAGATAGACACATCGAGTTTTCACCCTTAGCAACACTGTGCGGAATTGACGGCGAGTAAAGAAATCCGTTCGGAGGTCGAGCACGGTTCGTGCTAGCGTCAAGCCTGATGCGGGGGATATAGTGACTTTCAAATGTGGTTGAACTTCTACGAACCAACGATGCAGAGCAATCGCGCGGTTTCTGACTAATCCCTTTCTACCGTCAATGATAGGACCGATAGTCGTCCGAAATCCCCTGGTGCTGGTACCAAATGTGAACACATCTACACGAATATCTCCGATTTCCGAGGTGAACAGACCGCTCCTTACCTGCAGTAGTGATGAATCCGTCGTATCGCCAAAATTCCTATTCGTCAATCTGATACTTGCTTCCATTTCGAAGACCAACAACGCCGTGAAATGAAGCAGAAGTCGCCATGATAGTGGGGAAAGAACCGTAGATAGGAGACAGATGCAGAGCAATACAGCATGATGTAGTAGCCGCAATAGCACCTGAGCGGTTATTCGTGGTTTAATACCGTTAGATAAAGGTAGATAAAGTGGATCATCACCAGCATCATGCATCATAGGCCCTCAGTATTTCTGCTACTGGTTACCACATTGTCATATGTAGTTGACTTTTTCTAGAGGAGAGCGGAGTGCTTACATAATTGATGTTGCAAACCGCCCAGATAGTAGCGTGACACGTTACAAAAGACAGCCTGCCTCTATTTTGGCTTGTCGGTAGTCATTGATGCTAGTGAGAATTACAGCTGTGATAGGGCCACACTAACCCGAAATACTCGGGCAGCTGAGTGCGGCAGTCGCATTGATAAAATGATGGTAAGTAATCGGCTCAACGCTCTTAGCATTGGATTACGGGATAAAACACGTGTACTTATCATGAGACGCGCAAAAAGGAAGTCCATTGAGCTAGCCTCGGACCGAGTCGGCTAAAAGAGCTGCGTGATTTGAATGCAAGCTATTACCCCGTAAGCAGTGCAGCTGCGCAGGCTCGATGATATTTTGACCGGAATCCCCATCTGTCCATGTAATACTGGCAGAACTTGGGTGGAACAAAGCGGAAAGTTCATAACCTCCACGAACGTCGGGTGTTTGTCACTTCGAGGGAGGATTTCGTCTTACTAAATTCTCAATCCTATGTCGTCCTCCTGGGCCCAGCATGGTCTTAACTGCAGTGCGTGTCGTATTTTTGATGGCTCACATGTAAGCGCTTAAGCACTTGTCCATGTTGTCTCGGCTGTGATGGCGCGTGCGTGATTGTTGTATTAATTCATGAAACTTTTCACGTTTTTATCCTCGCACCATGGCAAGCTATCATAAATCTTATGGTACCCGGCTCGACTCCATTGAACCGCAAGCGATTTCGTTCGCGCACGTACAAAAGATCAAAGAAACAGGGGCATAATGTTCTGGTCACAATCAGGTATGCAGGACGACCGCTAGTGATACAAGACATGGAACAACGTAGTGAAATGACCTCTTTACATAGGTTCTTACAACACGAATAAAGCAAGCGCCACATCAAGCCTATATGAAACATTCCGTCTCAGAGCGTGTTATGAACGTGCAGATGTATGTACTAGGAGTCACTGGTCCCGCGCTAAGGCACGCCTGCCATCCGAAGCTCGGACTCGATAAATTCTTCTATTTCCTCGATAGTTGGACGACTAGGAAGTCCACGAGGTGACCAACATCTTTGAATCAAACTCCACTGTGCACTAGCGACAAACGTTTCTGGAGGACATTTTGGTTTCACGCCTGTAGAAGATAATACAAGGACACGAATGTTATCCTTGATATCGTAGTAAGGTATTGATCCTGTGAGCAGCTAGAGTCGCAATATGGTAAGCGGGAGATGCTACGAGGAGATGATGTACCATACCTGCAGGAGAATACTGCCCATTGAATAGATATCAGTCTGCTCCGTTGGAATGCATGGATTGATTTCGCCTTCCTGCACCTCAAATAACTGAGGATCAGTCCATCGCACCGCTGAGCGAACACCTCCAGATGGCTGTGCCGAAGTTGGGATTTCCGCAAGCAATGACATAACTCCGAAGTCGGATAATTGTGCTCTGCCCTGAAGGTCTACCAGGATATTATGCTAGACGATGTTAGTAAGTTATACTGCTAAGGACAGAGATCTTACTCCAGAGATATCTCCGTGCACAATAGAATGAGCATGTACTACATTTGAAATCAACGAAAGCCATTGCGACGACAATGAAAGAAAACCAACGATAGCCAAGGCCAGCTACTACCTGTTTGGCCTAAGGACGCACAAATGCAAGAATGAGAGACATCATTTCCACCGAAAAGGCTAAAGTCTTACGATATCCAACTTGCTCCGCAGTGACAAATGATGATTAGCGATGTAGCCATTCAACGACCCCTCGTTCACCCAAGGCGTGACCAGTGACGGAAAGTGCCCAAAATCGTACGCAATTCCATATAGTGGCAGAACGTTTTTGTGGTGTAATTGCAACCAACGTGTTATTTTATCCATCAGTTTCTATTTCATCCGTGAGCGAGTTTTCTTGGACACAAACGAAACAACGGACTTGACAATTCTTACTCTTCTCATCCTCATTAGAGAATGGGATTTTCAGTGACTTGACCGCAACCTAAGAAAGTTGGTCATTCGTGTTTCGAGGATTCTAATAGGCGAATCCCACTTACATAATGCTTTCGCTCGTCATGGTACCATGTTGATAGCCAAACGTCACTATACGTACCCGATAACGTTGGGTATATGTCACGACGGACTATTTGCCTCGTGAGATCAGGGGGGGAGTTGCACTGAGATTCTCCCACAGGATGCCGCTGAAAATTGGCCGGAGTGGTTGGTGTCCCCCTGGAAGAATCTAACGATGAACTCGTCGAGCTGTTCTAAAATTCAGCCAATAAACTCTGAGGGAAGTGATTTGTGTACTCAGGAACATTAAGGTTGTGACCTTTCCTCAGGACGGTCTCCGGGTCTGAGATGACTGGACTCGGAACGACGCCTTGAGGGTTGGGACACGAGCCTTCAGCAAACGACTGGAGAATCGTGTGGACTATTTCTCGGTACGACCACCGAATCAACGTCAAAGGTAACTTTACCACTAGCCCGAGGTATGCAAACAGGTCAGAAATGGCATAGCCCTGTTGAGGGGCTGGAGGGGCATGGTCCAGTGGATTGGACATGATCTCTGCCAGTGGTTGTCGAGCAAATACCAGGATGTGGGTGCTAGGAAGGAGATGCATGCTGCAATATTCATACTACAGCATGCCATAACTGCGGAAGGACTAACTTCACATCACAGTTCTTTATGACATACATTGAATTAGGGTCTCACCGCGTCTGTGTGCATTCGACGTGTGCCATGCCAAATTTGGCCTGCGAAACTTCCTGGCCATTAAGCGTCTGCGTAACAGCCCCAAAAGTCAGGCCAGATACGATGCACAACTTATTGGAGGGAATTGAATATAAGGACATCCATACTATCGCCTCATACATTCCCGGAGCGGTAAGCGGGCCCCGGACGATCCGTGTGCACGAGGTTTACTGACTCAGTCAAGACGTCCAATTGAGTAGCACTGGTAGTTCGCCATTCATTCGGGTGTTGACGCACAGGGTAAACTTTGTTCTAAAGTTTCATGTGCTAGTTCTCGCACGTGACTCGGCCTCGAGGTTCAGGCTGAGGTAGGTCTGCGGGCATAACCATTGCAATGATCGTGGAAGTCGGAAAGCAAGTCATTTGAAACAGCGTGTATGAATGCCAGACTGATTACTGGTGTGATAATTCATCGATTCAAACAAACCTTACTAGTACGCAGGACAATCTTGGTTTGATTAGTACTATGTCTGCATTTCATGACGGTATTGAAAGACTCACCCGAGCCAAGAAGTGCACCGTTTTAGTATGATGCTAAAATAATCAAGGTGAGTTTTCCGCGGGATATGGATGCACTGGCAGAAAAAACTATCCTCAACATTTTTCGGCAAAGTTACGATCAGTGAACCGATGAACAAATTATGTAAAATCTCATAGTTAACCATATATGGTCCACAATCGCCACAATCTCCGTAAATTCGGGGTTTACCTTTACCTTCATAATGAAGGAAATAACGATTTTCAAGCCGACCAGTCAAGCTGTCGTATCCTCGACATACCGCTCTATGCGTGAACTGAATTCATAAATGAACTAAAGATGTTATGGAAGCCAGTGAAGCGAACAGCGGATCCGTAATTGTCAAGCGTCAAGGTTGCCACTCGCATAGGCGTCAAACCCTTGTGCAATGCGCAATGCTACAGCGACTGAAATCATCCCCAACGTGAATGCGTGCAGTTAAATTATGGGCGCTGAGACTTTGTCATGAACCGCCAGCTCAATCTAGCTATATATGTTGCCAAGCGTTAAAGCAATTGTCCTGCGGAAAGTCTTGGTCCTTGGATAGTCACACCATTCAATGGTGCTTCCATTCCTTGCTGAATACGAAGGCAGCCTGAGTCTTAATATTAATGACTGCATCTATGGCTAAGGAACGTAGGCGCATGCATGGTCATTTGGCAGGAGCAGAATAACATTACGTCTTCCTACAATTCTCACGGCTACAATTTTAAGGACTCATCATGCTTTTACTGATGCCGTAAGGTAACTGAATGGGCCATCAGGCCATCAGGCATTGAGGACGATCAGCTGGTCGCAAGGAAGACTTGACACGTGTCGCGGCATATACTGATAGCGATAGGTTGTACTGTAGACCCTGCGAAACGTACTGCGCCTTGAGGTGCGGACTTGCGGGGGTAATTAAATTTCCCCCTTAAACTATTTGATCACAGTATGATGGTTTGCTAGATTAAGTTAAGTTTCCACCCACGACTCAGTAATGACGCTGTATTCGAACACCATTCTTAGGACTAGGGTGGAAGAAAGGCTGGCCATAGAGGAGATCGATCGATCAGTGGCAGGCAGAAAAGCGACCAGGGTACGCAAAGCGCTGGCTTCGAAAAGCTCTCAGTGGCTACCAGCGCTTGTTCCGCGAACTTAACCAGCTCCGGATAACGATAGGCTAATGCGGAGCATCAGATGCATCAGACCTCGGTAGAGTTCTTACTAGGCCACTGCGTATGGCCCAAGTATGTGTGGTATGCTGCGCACTACCAGACTTGAATTCACGAATACCGACTTGGACCCCACAGCATAGGAGGCGCTGCTTGCCGCGTACACGACAAGTACTGTTCATATCCAGTAGGTACTACCGTTGTTCGCGGAGAAGCACTGGTCAGCCGCGCGCTATACAGAACCGAGTTCTACTCGAGCCCCCCAGGGTTTCGTCTAAGCTTGTAAGCCCGTTGGCTTACCTGAGTTCCCATATTCAGCATAAATACTGTCCGCGATAACTTATCCAGCATGAGCTTTGATCATCACTGCCTTCTGGCCTAACGGTTAACTGGCGTAACGGTGGAGGGACGACAGTCTTGGCTACTTACAAACTTTAACTGTCCTTGTGATATGAGAAACCATTACTCTTCTTATGGAGTCAACACTATTGCAGTAAGACTACTTGATATCACAAGGGTCTGTTGAACTCCGCAAACCTACCAATTAAACATACGGTTGCCTACCACAGTAAATTCATTAATTTGGGCTCTGCCGCCGTGAACAGAGTGACCATCCCTCATGCTGACATGTGGTGGCAAGTTTATGCGCATGCTTTACTTCTGTGAAAATTGCAAGGATGCCCCCTGTCCAATAAATACGAGATCGTTCTCCACTTGCTGTAGCTCCTGACACTTTTCCATTTTCGAAAGATTCATCCAGTCTTCTCTTTGTTGCTGCCCAGGCATAATGTCGCAATCTGTCACGGAAGATTCAAATTCTAACAGCAAGTGGCCTTCTACCTGGTGGATTAACACTAATGACGAATGATTAGGAACCGACTGGATGACATGGCTGCGCGTTGACTTGCCGCAGTCCATCTCGCGGTCTATCTCACGGTTCACCAGTGAGGGTGCCATTTCGGCGAGTACTTGCTTGTCAATGGGCGCCTTGCAGACGTTGACCGAATTCTGTGTGCCGATAGGGCAGTGATTCTGATGAATCAAAAACTGTCTCACCTTCTGGGTCACTCGAAGATCCTTACTGCGAGGGTGATCTTCCTTCATCACTGACGCAACCTGGCCCAAAAATGTGTGTACATCCCCCTCAAAAACACACGGCTTTTTGAGCTGAGACTGAACGTCTTTAATTTCCAGAGATGTTGACCTCAAAAAATACTGCAGTGAACCTGAGGATCTCACGCATTATATTTCACGCACCCAGGATTACCCCCATACTTCTGGCGGATTCGGCAACGTCTGGAAGTGCCAATTGAGTTCCTTCTTCCGAAACGGTACCGAAGTTCGTTTATCAATTGGTTTGCTTTCAAAAGATTAGCTTAATCCTAATAGATGCCCCTGCAAAACGTCGCAGTCAAGGCTTTCAGAGTGCCATTAAGGAACTCAGAAGAAATGAACAGATTGATCAAGGTTGGTTCTCGTGCAGTTGATGTATGTAGCATCTACAATCACTCTCTATCCAGAAACTGCGTCAGGAAGTCTTTGTTTGGCAACGGCTAGAACACCCGCATATACTGTCTCTGTATGGCACTACGGACAATTTTGACAATGTCCCAGCGCTAGTATCTCCATGGATGGAAAACGGTTCTCTTCAGCAATATCTGAAAATAGTGTGGGACGAGCAATTGCGGCCCGAAATGCATCGTCTCTTTTATCTCGTGAGCACCTTTATTTATATCATATAGACGCGCCCTCAGATGAGTGGAAATACAGCTCCTCCAAGTTGTTTTAGGTCTGCAGTATCGTGAGTGAATCTGTGGCTCCGTGACCTTATTCAGACTACTTATACACGATGAATCAGTGCATCAGGAAGAAATTATACACGGGGACCTTATGCCTGTATGTCACAGTTTTCTCACCAGTCGGCCCTACTCATAAAACTTCAGTCTAATGTTCTGATCGATGAGAACGGGAACGCTCTCCTTGCAGACTTCGGCCTGTCGCGCCTGCTAGCGGACCATGAAACATCCTTCTTCGAATCTCACGGCCCAGGCGCAATTCGTTGGGCTGATCCAAAAATCATACCGCTCAATCCTGAAAATCCCGATGAAGAAGTTAGCAAGCCAAATAAAGCAAGTGACATCTATTCGTTTGGTTGCATCATGATACAGGTAACGCTGGCTCTCTTATCTATCGCAAGTGAATGATCCCAAATATCTCATTAGGTGCTATCTGGCGAGTCCCCGTACTCTCATATAGTAAACGAGCATACTGTCACTGTGGCCAAATCCAGAGGCATTCTGCCGAGACGACCGCTTGCAATCACTGATGCTCACTGGTGCTATATTGAACGATGTTTGTCACCAGACGTTGACACGCGACCTTTGGTTGGTGAAGTTTTGGAATACATTGAGGCGGAATGCGACGGACATAATTAACTTCTTGAGCTGGCTACTCCCGCCAGTGATGCGAACGAGTTGACCTCGAATACCACATTTTCTTGTGTCATTGCAGCTGCAGCACATACGTTGTATTTGTTTCGCGTGTATTTAGTCTGACATGATACGATGCCTTACTGTAGCTATACTCACTGCGTATCCTTAACGTATTCTCCCGATATTCTCTCGACATAATTGACTGCCTTTCTACCTGTACGAATAGCCTGTATGGTTCAATGTTATTGATGTCGGTGTTTTTAGCTTGCGTTTGTGTCTGATTCGCGTCCGTGCCAATTAGATATGATACAGCCGCTCCAACCTAGGACCTCCCACTCTTCTCCTCCACTTCACCCTCATCTGTTCCTCAACCCCTCATCGACCCCTCCCTCCTGATCCCCCTCGTCCTCTTCCCCTACTTTTTCTTTTCTCTCCTCTATTCCTCTTAGAGCTTCTTCTTCGACATATTACTGCCTTCCATTCTTGAAGGTGTCTGATTCCTCCAAGAATTTAACCATTGCCGTGATGCCTTTCTCCGTACCCATTATTTCGCTGAGTATGAGGTGTCGGGAAAATTCGTGTAGGTGAATGCGCTGGCGGTTGAATAAGGGGCAATAGCATAATATATGTTCGCGCGCTTGGCGACGTTCACCACAAGGGCAACTGGTGGAACAAAAGATGCATAATATTCTTTTAGGAATCCGGTCAGACCGTGCGGCACTGGATGAGACTTCCCGTAAGGTGGATATACAGTGATCACGAGGTTTCGGTGTGGGGGGAAGTCTGTTGGCGGTTACAAATCGTCCGGTCTAGGAGGCTAAGTTATGTCTCCAGTTCTCCGCCCATCTCTTTAACAAGTTTTCCTTGTTGCTTCATACGTTATGCCGATTGATTCGCGTGGGGCTCCACGCCAACTTAGAACTCCGCGACGTTGAATAGCAATTTCACAAGTGGTACTTTCGGTACCGCGCTGGATTTGCAATGACAAGCAAAGGTTCGACTCTTGAGTCAGTCATATCGACTCATCCCACCGCTTGCTGTGACGAGAGCTCTCAGGTAGTGGAGTCATTGTGACTGACCCATTATCTAGGCTCAGAATGTCACAGTCAGTCTGGCGGTTTATAAAGGGCACCCCTTCACTTAGGAGATGCCCTTGTCGTGCTCGTCTCGCCACTTGCACCACAACCCAATTAATCAGACCTAGCTCATTTATTGCTGCTATTACTACGAAGATGTCGGCAACTACCATGACTGCCCCTCTTGCCGCTGCTTCCTCCCAGAACGTCACTCTCCCCGCTATCCCTGAGCTCACCAATCCCAACTTCCTTGACGTTCTTCTTCCTGTTTCTGAGGATGCTGGCCCGATGATAGTAACCGAAAATTCTCCAGCACATTCCAATGCTATGATGGATGCGCTCCGTTCGACTGCTCACCACAAGCTCACTGAAAATTATTCGCCTGCCTTTAGTTCCACTCTTTCGACCACACTCGATGCATTCAACGGCATACGCCCCAATGTGTCTGGGTCCTCCATTGATGATTATCTTTTCAAGGCTTGGGCTGAAAACCCAGTTCTCACCCTCCGAATCATTTGGTCTCTCAGGAGCATTCATGATGGAAAAAGCGACAAGGAGCTCTTTTACATGGCGTTTGGCTGGCTCTTCGAAAACCACCCTCGCACTGCCATTTCCAATCTCCATCTTCTTGTAGAGCCTGTCTGTACTCGCCTCCGTCCTGTCAAAGGCAAAGACACCAAGAAGCGCGTGAACATGTCTCACGGCTACTGGAAGGACCTACTCAACATCCTCGCCTTGGCCACTGTTGACGAACTTTATCCTGCTCCTGCATCCTTCACTTTCCTTCACAATTATACATCTCGCGACTCTCGCCCTCAATTCAAGTCTAATGCTGAGCAAGAAGCGTGGTCGAAAGCAAGGCGTATTCAGGCCCATGGTGTGAACCACGCCCTAATTGTGGAGAAGCTACAGCAGCCAAAGTATCGTGCTCTGTATATCGCGGTTTCCAGGCTATTTGCAGATCAGCTCGTCAAAGATGTCTTGATTCTTGATAGGCTAGCCTCCCTTCCGGCAGATGCAACACAGAAGGACCGCGTATCTCTCATATTTTCGCTCTCCCTAGCGACAAAATGGGCACCATCTCCTGGGGGGTCGCACGATAGGGTTACGAATATCACCTCCGCTATCTGCATCCTCCTGCACCACGCTCAAATCACATCTTCCCTCGCACACAAAATCCCAATCCCACTCTCCCCCAGTGCCCTGGAGTTGCATGTCTTGCGTTCCTTCCTCCGTCGTCACATTCTTTCACCTTCTCGTCGTCTTAAGTCCCTCCCCGAGCCTCTCATGTCCGCTAATCGCTGATCTGAAATCGTCTACTCCCGTGTTCCGTCTGTCTGCATGGACATCAATAAGGAACATTTCTTCAATCATGATCCTGACCGCTTTGTTTCTTACCTGACAGATGTGGAATCAGGAAAGAGGCAGATCAGTGGTGCAACGCTCCTCCCACATGAACTTGTCATGCAGGCCGTAGCATGCGTGCGCTCTTCGCCAGTGAAAGGGAAGCTGTCCCTGCAAAATGCCATCGGGGAGCATAAGCGTAAGCTTGCGGAGACACAAGCACGTGTAGCGGAGGCACAGTGGGCAACGCTCCTCGAGCGTCTGCGCGAGGCTGGAGAGCTAGACAACTGCATTGCCGTCTGTGACGTCTCAGCGTCCATGGGCGGTATCTATGATTGCCGCGCTGGAGCACGCGGGTCTTCTGTACTTCCCATTTGGCCTGCTATTTCCCTCAGCCTCATCTTGGCGCGTCTTGCGAAGCCGCCTTTCAAGGACGCGTTCATCACTTTTTCCGCGAATCCGCAGATGGTCGTGCTTGATCCTGAAGGTACCATTTCACTCGGTGAAACGGTGATGAAGATGTTGCTTTCTGAGTGGGCCATGAACACGAACTTCAACGCCGTCTTTCTCGACCTCATTCTCCCGCTCGCCAAGAAGCACGCCGTGCCTCAGGACCAGATGATCCAGCGGATTTTCGTGTTCACGGATATGCAGTTCGATGCGTCTCAGCAAACTTCTCAGTTCGGGAGGACTGCACCGAATGCGGCGGAGTGGGACACGAATCATGATGTCATTGAGAAGGCGTACAAGGAAGCAGGATACGAGATGCCAGAGATCGTGTACTGGAACCTGTCCAGTGCGGATGATTACCCAGGTATCACCGTTCCTGTGACCGGCGATCGGAAGGGTGTTGCGCTGCTGAGCGGGTACTCGCCGTCGTTGTTGAAGGTGTTCATGGGTGAGGAGGAGTGGGAGGAAGTGGTTCAGCATGGAGATGAAGTGACTCAGGTGAAGGCGAAGAAAACATTTACTCCTGTGGAGTTCATGGAGATGGCTTTGGGGAGGAAGAGTTTCGATGGACTTGTTGTCGTTGATTGAGGCATTGGTTTCGTTAACATATATCACTAGCATCTTTCACCACTCATCTACATTATTTGTATCATATTCAATGCACGCATTTCTCATCCAAACGTTGATCTGAGCTTACAATTGTTGATAACAAATCGATCGCAAAGCCGCCGTTATGTGATCACCTGCTCATGGGAGATTCCACTCTTTAAACCAGCAATAGGATTCAATAAGCACCGGTATCGATCGGCGCATCCTCAAGATCTCACATGGAGCTAGGGCCACCGTTGCTGGCCGATATTACCGAGATTCATCAGAAAGTTGAGCAGGAATTAGACCTCGTGTTATACTCAAGGTTTGTGACAGGTTCGTGATACAAAATTCTAACATACACAATAAATAAATCGTTATGAAGTAGCTTCAAAAGGAAGCGACAAGCACTCCGGCGACACCCTCCATGATACCGAGCGCTAATTATGACTGCAATCATCAATGTACATGTGATAGAGAGCTATTCGCTGTTCCGTTGAGTACCACTCCATTGAATGAATAGATAACAACGCCAGTGATGAAGCCTGCGACAGAGTAGGCTAGGAATACAAGTGGGAGAGATAAGAAGACACTTCGGCGCTAAGAGGAGAGTGATGTCAGTATAGGATCATCACGCAGGTGATAAAAACATACAGTGAGAAGTACAAATCCTTCGGAGCCCGACGTAGGCGCCCCATGCGCCATTTCCGCCTTGTGACGTATGATGGAAATGAACGAGGTGATCATACTTAATACCGAGCACATGATGGCGACTAGGCCTGACATGCGTGCGATACCACTCAGACCAGGTAATGTCATGAGTGTCACAGAAGCACTGAGGATGACAGCGGCCTAGATCGTATTAAATACCTGACACGCAGATTGAGGAATAAGCTCACCACCAGGCATGCACAAGCACCAGCAAGGAATAAAGGACCACCAGAATTAGACACAATATTGCCCTCTAGGTCAAGATGGCCGCCATAGTCTGACCGATCAACGAGAAAGAAAGGAATACCCAGGCAGAGAATGCCAGTAAGGATATCGGCAATCATGCGACCTACAGGCACGCGTCGTTTGGGACGCTGCATGACAGGGACATCGCGGGGAAGAGGTTTGTGTGGTCGGAAGTTCGTTTGACGCCAGTGAGCTGTAAGTGTTACATAATCAAGGGGTATTCAACATCATTTGAGTACTACATACCGACGCGAAGCAAAATACGGGCAATCATCCGTGTATGCGTCGTAGTTGACCGCATGTTGGGGTCTGCACAATGGATTAATTGAGTCGTCACTTGAGAAAGTAGGCGATAACAAACCATTAAGATGACCTAACAACTTGTGACATTCTTCTTGGGTGAAGGGAGGGGGAATCGGCTGAGGATGTGCCAATAATGGGTCTGTGTAAGACCAATGAAGAGCATCCAAAGCTTCCTGCCGAGCGCTTGGCGGCAATGAAATATGCGCGGGGTGAGTCTCCACAAATGACCAGTATCTAAACTCGTCATCAAGTCCTGCGTATTCCAGATGAGTAAGTGAGCTCTATATGAAAATGCATCACTGACTGTCATCTTCCCCAGAGAAGATAATTCCGTCGACACTAGGTATTCCGCTCGAGACCCTGCGGATCCGATGGTCTACCCAACTGATAACTGGTCCTCCAGCCATCTTCTGTCTCCTCCAACCTCTCTTCACGACGGGACCTTCTCTGGCCCACATTTCACATCCTTCAGGGGCGCTACCGGCTGTTTCCACAACCGACATAACCGCATCCAGCTTGGACAAGTTGCGAAGGTCAACGTCGGTCGTAGCTTGAATACGCGGATTCACGAAGTATTTGCCACCGTGAGGTAACGCCTGCTCTATCCATCCACGGCTAGCATATGGTCTGGACACTGACCCATATGAATAAGTATGTGCGGAACCATTGCCTTCGAGGCGAGCGGGCTGGGCTCGCTGTGGAGTGGGATGGCTGACACCAAAGGTATGCGAATGATAAGATTCTGGTGATGGGCTGGGTTGTGAGAACGTGGTCACGATGGGAGGCGTAGACGGGCGACCTGGGCGAGTGATCAAGGGCCGACGCTCGCTGCAAGGTTAGGTTAGATGTAGGACCTCGTGGAAACACCGATCTGGACAAACTTCGTTTCTATGGGTATGTCTCTGCTCTGGAAGTACCCAGTACTGGCCCCGTCACTCGAAGTGTAGCCTGAAGAGACTTGCCGAACAGAACTGTCAAGAATTAAGATACGGCGAGGAACATTAACGCACAACTCACTGGGTAAGCATGACTTCATGCAGGGCAGGCAGTGGTACCGCCACTGGTTCAACAGGAGCTATCATGCTATCATCCCGTGGTGATCGAGGGTCAAAAACACTAACAAGACTATGACTTTAAAGGTAATGCAGAGAACACAGCACATACTCATGAACAATGGGCGACGAAATTTCAGCAGGCTGTTGAGGGGGATAGATATGGTGGCTTGGAGCGCGATCTGCGAACGGGTCCTCCGAAGGCATTCTGAAGTGTTCATCAGACCATTATCAAAGGAACAAGTAGGAAGAACGCACGTCAGGCTCGCCTTGCTTTGGTTGAATTCACTGCTCGGATTACTCCAGGTGTATGTGGTACCGACGATCTCCCGCTCGCGGGGCTGGAGGGTTGAGCTTGGCTTCCGGCTCGGTTGTCGCTGGGCCATCACCTGCGCAGATGATATGGATGAACCCCGAGGACGGGAAGTGGTTTTCGCTACTTTGGGTGCCGCTGGACGATTGGCAAGTGGGTCGAATTCGAGGGAAGGGGCTGGTGCTGGTGCTGGTGCTGGTGCTGGTTGAGGTGGAGGCGAGGTTGAGATATGGTCTGCCCAGACGTTTGCTCCTTCATCTACATGCTCATCCAGCGGAGACGATGTGCGGGGAACCGCAAGGTCAAAGTAACCTGTAGTTGTGGCAGGGCCAGGTGTCTGTGCAGGGGGAGTCCGTACAGGGGGTGTCTGTGCAGGGGGAGTCCGTGGTGCAGAGGATGGAACATGAGAAATCTCCGGTGGAGATGCTAGAGGCGTTGAAGCTCGTGTACGAGACGGTGCTGGTGCCGCAGTAGGCACAGGTGCTGATGAGGAAGCAGGTATCTGGGGTGCTGTTGAAGGATCATCTGCCACCTTTCCTGCTGGAGGAGGTGTAGCAGCTGAAACTGGAGGTGTGGGTTTACGAGCTGGGGCAGATGGAGGTGTAGGTTCACGGGCCGGAGCCGATGGAGGTGTGGGTTCACGGGCTGGTGGGGGTGGAGTAGAAGGGGGTGGAGTAGGCGTTGGGGCAGCATCAGAAGCCTTTGTTGAGGCCGGAGGAGCAGATACTTGAGTGCGCTCTGCGGGTGGGGCGGGAGACATCTCCTCTGGTTCAGCTGTGAACACGGGGGCAAGAGCTTCCTCTTTCGCGGGCTCGGGCGAATTGACCACGACGGAGGGAATTACGAAAGCGGGCTCAGCTTTGGGCGCTTTAGCAGCTTTACGTGACTCTTCAGGCGCCTGGAGAGAAGGATCCGAAGCAGGTTCAGCGGTAACAACGCCCCCTGAGAGTGGAGATGAAACCTGCTGAGGAGACATCTCACTAGCAAGGGCAGCTTCTTCACGGGCAGGTGACTCAGGAATAGTACTAGGGGGAGGAGGTGTCGACCGTGTGGTGTCTACCTGCGTAAGGGACGTGGTGGAGCCCTCGCGCTCGAGCTTTGGAGAGGTTGATCCTGCCATGGAGGCGGAATCAGGCTCTTGGAGAGGGGGAGTTGTTGAGCCTGAGCGATTTGGCAAACCTGGGAGATTCCAGCTCGTAGAGGAGCGACGCATTACTGTTCCGACACGAGAGCGGAAGGTCTTCTTGGGAGGGGGCGTCGTAGACATCACTCCAAGTTCGCCTTACAAGCGATGCGGGTGATCTTCAAGAAAAAAACTAAGGAAGGAAGATGCGGGAAAGAATTACAGATAACACACTAGAGCACACAGTACGAGTAGAATGTCAAGGGGGTGCGATGTGGACAAACGTCGGACTGTGCGGTCTAAATAGTAGCGATGCCTGGCGGTTTCGACGAGGTGAAAGACGTGGAAGTTACTTACTCATTAGCACCGGTTCTAAACAGCAGTGATATGATGAGATGTGCGCGACTAGTGGATGATAATCGCGTGATTGACCATCAGGCGAACACGTGTAGGTTCTGCGAGGTGTGAGACGCCTTGTGCGAACCCCTAAAGCCCGCTGCGGAGCCGAGCACTGACGATACTAGTGTCGCAGGCAAAGAGGAACTGATAACCCCATCAGAATTCGGGGACTCATCAGGAGGATATGCTGTAAAGTTGCAGACAAAAGTGTTGCGCCATGCCTCAGGTCACATTGATCAAAGGCCGAGCCCCTTCCTCGATGGACACAGCTTCTTGGTCTCGTGAATGCATGTAATATGGCAAGAAGGCGGATGTATGAGGCGATACGATCATACACGTTGTTGCCTACCCCAAAACTCATGTCTTCCATTTCCCGTTACTTTGAGACCCTGGCCACCTTCTTTTGTCACCATATCACTTAGACGCCAGCAGGTTTTCTGAGTCCTGATAGCTGAGCTGCCACAAGAGTGTCTAATGGAAGAGTTGGGTGGTTTTTAAAGTCAGTATAGATTCACGATACATGGCTCAGCTGATGCGATAAACAGTAGTTGTTTGTACATATTGAAAACAGAAGCCTTTGCCAAACAAAATCAGATTGTAAGTACCTCATCATCAAAGCTGACATTAACACGACATCTGATCTATCACTTATTAATTAGGAGCACCAAGTCAATGGTGAAATTTTGAGAAATACGTACGCAATAATTTGTACTGTGTACGTATGCGCTGTAGGTGAGGCACCGGAGACATACTATCCAGGTCGATTATTTCAACGACAGGAAGTTTAAAAAGCGCAGCAAACCCCAGAGTTTTGACCAGAATCTGCGCGCGCTGGTCTTATATCTCGTAAAGAAGGAATTCTTCCTTGTGCGGACTGATGTTTTAGAATCCAGTGACACCTTGTCAATGGAATATGAAGACCGTGAGGCCGAGTCGCGTGACACCACCATATGAATTGTTGAATTCGAGTCTATGCCAGGAATGTGATCGGAGGCATCCACTAATGTCTGCTTGTTCAGTGCAATAAGAAAATGCGCGATGTATAGATGGAAAACATGCTACGCTTACCACGTCTGTATCTGCATTTTCATGGATCAGGCGATCCAAAGTTGCATTCCATCTGAAGGAGCGCCAACGGTGTTTGTGGCGTTCGAGCTCACACATGAGTGACTTGCGCTCGAGTTCGTGGAATCGCTCATACTCCATGTACGAGCGTCTGACGTATTGTGAGGTATCATCAGCCCATGGAGCTGCGTCGTCAATGGGAAAGAGGGCGTCTTCTGCTTTGCGTTCTACCCATGACCAGTCCCAGTGGATAGTTATATCAACTGGTAATGCACCACTTCGCATCAGCCAGACCCGCACATGGTGGACATAGTCTTTTTCCCTGTTGGAAATTGACATTGCAGTCCAGAAAGACTGTGTTTGGAGGGTGAGGTATCGCCAGCGCTTGCAAACGTGCGACGCAATGACGATTCCGGGTAGTATGCGGGGACCACCGTGGGTCCCTGTGAGTTGGAAGATGTTCAGGAGTAGTTTCGCTGGAAGGCAGTTAATATTGTGCGGGTGAGTTGGCATGTCCTGCCAGTAGTCTTAGGCTAAATCAATTCTCAGAGGACAGTGCACTTACGACAACGAAAATCTGCAATATTTTGCTTGGGAAAGAGCCTATGTTCTGACGAGAAGAAAGAGTGCTTAACTAGAGTGCCTCGGCGCCCAGTTTAAAACCTCCTTGAAGGCCATGCCATAAAAGGTGTTTCACCTCATGGCGTAACTTACAGTAATGGGATGCGCGAGGCAGCGAGGTATCATTCCACCGCACAGGCCATCACAATGCATCTTCTACGATAGATCAAAGAAGACCTAGTTGTTAACGTTCAACGTTCATAAGCGACAAGATCGACTACAAGCCCCTAACAAGCCGCAGCGTGAGTTCTAGTACCTGATTATCGGGAATCCCAAAGGGAAAATAAGATACGAGTAAATGCCTTGATAATAAACTCAAGATCGTTTCAATATGTGGAGGTGTTAACGGTTGAAAATGTTAGAGGAGCAAATGTGAGGACAACACTTGCCTTAGTTGGGCGCTTGACAGGCAGAAGCCACGTTTCATGACCCTCTTTCGAGGGGTGGAAGAATATCCATAAGTGGTCACTGTACTGAACACTGTCCAGGTCGAGCTCGACGACGCCGACACCATGTTATTCGATGTCAATGTGAGTCCCAGAGCCGGTCTATCTTCATAATTCTAACCTAGACATCATAAGCGAAAATTATTCTCTCGATCCGACCGAGTCAAAGGCGCTGATTTCCACCCTACTGAGCCATGGCTGCTAACAGGTCTGTATAACGGTTCCGTCAACATCTACAACCACGAAACTGGCGCACTTGTCAAGACTTTCGAGGTCTCTTCTGTCCCTGTACGCTGTGTCAAGTTCATTCCCCGAAAAAACTGGTTTGTTGCTGGCTCGGACGACTTCCAGCTGCGCGTCTTTAATTACAATACACACGAAAAGGTTGTCGCATTCGAGGCCCACCCTGATTATATACGATGTCTCACCGTGCACCCAACCGCGAGCATCGTGCTCACTGGGAGTGATGACATGACCATCAAAGCTTGGGATTGGGACAAGCAATGGAAGTGTATTCAGGTGCGTTACTATGAGTTGGTCTACTCTCAAACTCAACTCGCGCCAGGTCTATGAAGGCCACACACACTACATCATGAACATTACTTTCAACCCCAAAGACTCGAATACCTTCGCATCTGCTTGTCTTGATCGGACTGTCAAGATGTGGTCTCTTGCCTCCCCTACAGCTAACTTTACCATGGACGCGCATGACAAGGGTGTCAACTACGTCGACTTCTACCCTGGCTCGGATAAGCCATACCTCGTCACGACAGGTGATGACCGGACTATCAAGATTTGGGACTACCTCAGCAAAAGCTGCGTGCAAACGATGGAAGGACACACGAACAACCCAAGCTTCGCTGTATTCCACCCCAACCTGCCCATCATCATCAGCGGCAGTGAAGATGGTACCGTAAAGATATGGAATAGCAATACCTACCGTCTGGAGAACACCCTCAGCTATGCACTTGAGCGTGCATGGTGTGTCTCGTTGCGCCGAGATGCGAATGAGGTGGCTGTCGGGTTTGATGAGGGTATCGTCGTGATCAAGGTCTGTTTGCATCGTTTGCATGCTCTGCATATCTGATGCCTCTCAAGCTTGGTCGGGATGAGCCTACATACAGCATGGACCCATCGGGCAAATTGATATACACAAAGAATCAAGTCGTGCTATCTGGCAATCTTGCCACACTTACTGACATCGCCACTGCAGATGGTAACCGCATCCCCCTGTCAATCAAGGAGATCGGTACCACAGAGATTTTTGCGACGGCGCTACTACACTCGCCGAATGGGCGCTTCGTGACTGTCGTTGGTGATGGAGAATACATTATCTACACTGCGCTCGCATGGCGGAACAAGGCGTTTGGGTCGGGTACGGGCTTCGCGTGGGCAGGTGACTCGAACACATACGCGGTACTGGAGAACAAGGTGAAGCTCCGGGTGTTCAAGAACTTCAAGGAGCGTGGTGGTGCGGGCATGAAGGGTGCAGGAAGCTGGGCAGTAGATGCCATCTATGGGGGTCCGGTGCTTGGCGCGCGTGGAAAGGGTTTTGTGATCTTTTGGGATTGGGAAAGCGGGGATATTGTGAGGCGGATTGATGTGGATGCGAAGAATGTAAGTTTGTGACACGGGTTAGACGTTTATGGTGCTAATACTTTGATAGATCTTTTGGTCGACGACAGGGACGCTCGTGGCAGTTGTATCGGACGACTCTTATTATATCCTCAAATTTGATCGAGATGCCTACAATTCCAAACTAGAGGAAGGTATAGAAATCACAGATGAGGGTATTGAGGAAGCATTTGATGTTGTTGCTGAGATTTCGGATAGGTGCGGTGTTATTAGCAGAAGTTTCATGTTCAACTTACTATATCTTTTATCAGCGTGAAGACGGCGAAATGGATAGGTGACTGCTTTATCTACACTACGGCTGGAAACCGCCTCAACTACTTCGTGGGCAATGAATCATACACGATCAGCCCATCTGATACGTGCGTGCATGATGTGCTTTGGTCATCATGTTTGAACTGACATTGCTGCAGCTCGATGTTTATACTGGGATACATTCCCGCACATAATCGGGTGTACCTTGCGGACAAGGACATGAATATCTTCGGGTATTCGTTGTCCTTGAGCGTCGTTGAATACCAGACGGCTGTCCTCCGTGGTGACATGGACTCAGCAGCCGAAATTTTGCCGACTTTGCCCAAAGAGCAGCTAAACAAAGTTGCTCGGTTCCTGGAGGGTCGAGGTATGCATAATTTTAATTACGTGTTAGGGCCCGAGATTCAGCCACTCTTTCTTTAGACCTCAAGGAGCTTGCTCTGCAAGTCACCACAGACCCTGATCACAAGTTCGACCTTTCACTGCAGCTCGATGATCTAGACACAGCGGTCGATATTGCGCGCTCTGCCTTAGAGTCAGAGTCAGAGACGAAGTGGAAAGCGATTGGCGATCGTGCCCTTACGGTGTGGCGGTTCGACCTGGCTCGGGAGGCGTTCGAAAAGGCGGGTGATTTGAGTGCGCTAATGCTACTTCTGCTTTCGACGGGTGATCGAGAGGGGCTGCAGAAGCTTGCAGCGACAGCTGAAAAGAAGGGTGCGAACAATTTGGCGTTTGTGACGCTGTTTCAGCTGGGCGATGCCAAATCGTGCGTGGATCTACTTGTGAAGACGGATCGTGCGCCAGAAGCTGCGCTCTTTGCACGAACATACGCACCAAGGTGTGTGGTTTAGCCATGAATGTAACATTTGATGCTGATTTCGGCACAGCGAAGTACCAAAAGTAGTCGACATATGGCGAGGCGAGCTGCGGACTAAAAATAAGGGCAAGATCGCAGGGAGCATCGTGCACCCATCTGAGCATGCAGAGCTATTTGAGGAAGGGTGGGAAGAGGCTCTTGCACGCGAGGTTGATGGGCCTGTAGATGTGAACGGAGATTCCAGTAAGTTATGTCTGAGCGCTTGTTTCAATGACTAATTGGGATTTAGACATTTCCCCGAATGAGAGTGAGGAAACATGATCATGGGATTGGGGGCAGTGGGAGGATGATCAGTCTACTTATAGCGTATAGCTTTACTGCGCATGTCTAAATACTTTTCTGTTCTTTACACCACGACGTCGAGCTCAGCGCTGTAGGGGATGATAATGAGCTACCCTTCAAAGAGAACGGAATTTATGGTTTGTTGGTTACCGGATTGGCTTCTGAACTCCACGAGAGGGTCTAGAACCCAATAACCCATTTGGGTGGATGACACAGTCGGGTTGGCTGGCACGGTCACTTTGGATTTTTACCTGCTCTTGCCAGACAAGGCCGCATTTTTTCCTTCTGGTATCTCTGAAGTGTCGTTGATCCTTCCTTCTTTCATTTTCAATCTTTTTGTCGTTCATTTGAGGGCCAGCAATGGCCTCTGCGTCCGGCTCACTTGCCAATCACGCCGTCAATTCTGGCGACCTTGTCGACCTCGTTTCTTCGTCATCCTCTGCAACGGTATACCCCAACGACGATGCCATCGTTACCGTTCTCAACACCCGTTTTCGTGCTGATTTACCGTACACAAGAATAGCCACTACCAACTTGCTCGTCGTCAACCCATTCAAAACACTCGCCAATGTCAACGACATCAGTGCCAAGGAGTATGAGGAGCGGTGCTACAAAGATACTAGCCTGCCACTTGCGAGCTCTCGGTTACTCCAACCGCACCTCTATGAGTTTGCAGCGCAAATGTACCTTCTCATGCGTCGGCAGAACCAGTCTCAGTCCGTTATCACTCGGTTCGTACGGTTCATTGTCTCTTATTGTCTACCTACTAACAATGTCAATAATAACAGAGGTATCACCGGCTCAGGCAAGTCGTACAGTACCCGCCTCTTAGTCGACCAGCTTCTTCGGCTCTCTGCTCGCTCAAAGAAGGAAAAGCGTATCGCAGGCCAAATTAAGGCGTTCTCCACGTTACTCGACTCATTTGGGAATGCCAAAACTCTTCTGAACCCAAGCGCCTCACGTCACACGCGCTACCTCGAGCTCCACTTCAATGACCGCGGACGCATTGAGTCGGCCAAAATCCTTGCGTTTGCGCTTGACAAATCCCGCCTTACGCGCCTCGCTCATGAGGAGCGCACGTTCCATATTTTTTACCAGTTTTTAGCCGGTGCTACACCCCAGGAACGGGACCACTTTGCGCTCGAGGACCCCTCGGATTATTCGTTGCTGGCGTCGTCAGGGTGCTATCGCTTGCCGAGTGGCCCCTTCAGTGATGATGCCATAGCGATGGAGGAAGTACTCGCGGCGATGCGTATCTTGGGCTTCAAGGCGAAGCATATCTCGTCAATATTCACCCTGCTCGTTGCAATTCTCCTGCTGAGCAACATCCAGTTCTCAGAAGCGGACGCACGCGATGTCTCTGCATATGTTGCTAATGCGCCTGTGCTGGCGCAGGTGGCGAAGCTCCTTGGTATCTCTTCTGAAGATCTTACACTGATTTTGACGACCAGGACGAGCTATGTCCGCAAGGAACTTTATACCGTCCTCCTGAACGTGGAGCAGAGCGCAGCGCAGCGTGACCAGTTCATGCGTGATCTATATGCAATCCTCTTTGCATACATCGTCGAAACCGCGAACCACAAGGTCGTTTCCACCAATCGGGAGGAGCTCCCAAACACGCAGATCGTGATCTTTGATCAACCTGGATTCCAGTCTCGTGGGCCGACTGGCAGTGGCTCGATGTCATTCACGGGGAACGCTCCCTTGATTTCAGCATATGGACAGAATGGGTTCGACGAATTCTGCATCAACTTTGCGGATGAAGTCATGCAGTCTTACATGCTTCGCAATATATTTGAGGACAGAAATGGGTACAACAGCCACGCCGTCGGCGACGGCGTTCCTCTTCCTTCGATATCTATCATGGATAACTCTGGTTGCATTGAACTGCTTCGGGGCGCTCATGTGTCGGAGCGCTCGACCAGGAAGCCGGGGGGCATACTTGGCGTCCTCAGCAAGTCATGCTCCTCATTCAAGTCTGGAAAGGCGGGTGAGAGGAAAGACGAAGATATGCTGCAGGACCTCATTTCCAAGTGTGGGCCTCACACGTCCTTTGTGGCGAGCCCATCTCAGATTGGTGCTAGCGAGAAGAACCTGTTTGGCATCAACCACTATGCCGGAAACTGCTCGTACGATGTCACGAACTTTATTGAGAAGGACTCCGACTTGCTTGATTCTGCGTTTGTAACCCTTCTGCGCAATTCCTCTGATGCATTCGTGTCGAAGCTTGTCTCCGGCCCTTCTCTTGCGGCGGAAAGACATTCCAAGGACGAGGCTATCATCGTACAAGCCCAAGTATCCTCTCGTCCACTTCGTTCACCCACTCCCATTGCTTCTCCCGACGGCTCAGTACCTCCAGCAAGCGAAGAACATGCACGTCTTGATACGTCCAAGATATATCCTGTTACTACCCAGCTCAACCATACCCTTTCCGAAATCATCGCCTCTCTCGACCATACCCACCTTTGGACTCTATCATGCATCCGCCCGAATGATTCCAATTCACCAAACTCGTTTGATAAGCGCCGTGTCAAGGCGCAAGTCCGATCGATGCTTATACCTGATATCGTTGCACGCCGGAGTATCGAGTTCGTCGCAGACTTTGAGCAGTCCGAATTCTGTGACCGCTATGTACCCACAATGCGTGGGTCGGAGATGGAGCGGATCCGCCAGTGCGCGGCGAGTAATGGATGGAAAGAGGGGACAGACTATGTTGTAGGTCATCGGAGCATTTGGCTGTCGTATGGCGCATGGAAGACCGTGGAAGATGTTGTACGGGCTGCTGAGAAAGAGCAACCGAGGCGTTCTGGAGAGGAGGAGGATGATGAGAGTGCCGTTGGAGATGATGTTACAGAGTTCACTCATGCAGATGGTGTCCATGGAGGGTATGCCAACGAGAGCAGGGATAATTTGTTGGTCGCTCGGGCAAGCAGCCTAGGGTCGCGATATCAGGATCCCAACCGTTTGGCGCCATACGGAAACGCTGGATTACCTTCCCCTGCCTTAGGAATTCCTGCCTATGACGACAACGATGCTGAATCGGCATCCGAGTGGGACAAGAAAGGCGGCAGTCCTGGTATGAACTCGCCTCCCTTCATATCTAAAGAGGGTGAGATGATCGTCCACAAGGCCCCAGCCGCAGTCGAAGAAGTTCCTTCGAGTACTTCACGCCGATGGTGGCTCTTCCTAGTCTGGGGCTTCACTGGCTGGATACCTTCATTCGTCCTTCGCTACGTAGGCCGCATGAAACGCCCAGATATCCGGCTCGCCTGGCGCGAAAAACTCACAATTTTCATTCTCATTTTCCTCATGAACGCGCTCGTCATCTTCTACATCGTCGAGTTCGGGCGGCTTTTGTGTCCTGACTTCGACAAGGCGTGGTCACCAACGGAGGTCTCGGAGCACACCGGCAACAGCGACTGGTGGGTTTCGGTGCAGGGGCAGGTTTATGACATGTCGAACTTCATCCACGGTGACCATAGCGATATATCCGGTGTTGCTAGTAACGCAGCGAGCGACCTCGAAGAGCTTGTAGGGCAGGACTTAACGAACTATTTCCCCCCACCGCTTACGCTGGCCTGTCCGGGCCTCGTCACCCAGACCTCAGTGGAACTTGTGTACAAGAACTTTACCCCTATTGTGCCGCTCGCCATGCACATGTCTGGTGCCGCGGAAAGTACTCAGGGAACCGCACTTGACAACGCGGGTTGGTACACTGCGACATTCCAGCCGAAGATGAAGAACTATCACAAGGGGCCTTTAGTCTGGACTACGAAGGAAATTGCTGCACAAGCTGCGGACCCGAATATTGAACGGTATGCTTACATGCTGATAACCCCGTTATTTACTTAAACGACTTCTAGTATCTGGGCTATCTGGGAAAGCGGCATATATGACTTGACTGACTACATCAACACTTTAACGATCAACCAAGGCGCAACGAGTGTCTACCAATTCCTGAGTACGGACGTGTCAGATGTCTTCAAACAGCAAGCTGGGCAGGACATTACGAAGCCGCTTAATACTGCTCTTGCGGGTCTTGATTCTACCACGGCGGCAGCCAACATCAACTGTCTCAAGAATATGTTCTATCTTGGTGAGACTGACTTCCGGGATACACCAAGATGTCTTGTTCAGAACTACTTGCTATTGGTGTTTACAAGTATCCTGTGCGCGTCTATCGTGCTCAAGTGTATGTCCCCTCTTTCAGCTGGTCGTTGTTCGATTAATAATGACCCTCCCAGTCCTTTCCGCACTTCAGCTGTCTCCCAAGCGGTCGCCCGAGATGCAGGACAAGTTCATTCTTTGTCAGATCCCTTGCTACACGGAGGGCGAGGATTCCCTGCGGCGGACAGTCGATTCCTTGGCATCGTTGAACTACGATGACAAGCGGAAACTGCTCTTCATCATCTGCGACGGCAACATCATCGGCAGTGGGAACGACCGCACGACTCCCCGTATTGTGTTAGATATCCTTGGCGTGGACCCTAAGCTTGATCCTGAGCCTCTGTTGTTTAAGTCGATCGGTGAGGGTTCGAAACAGCTCAACTATGGCAAGGTATACTCGGGCCTGTACGAATTTGAGGGTCATGTTGTTCCGTGAGTGTCTGTCCCTTATCTACCTCAGTGCGAGTCTGAGAGTTGTTCTACAGGTACATGGTGGTTGTGAAAGTCGGCAAGCCTACTGAGCGTTCGAAGCCTGGAAACAGGGGCAAGCGTGACAGTCAGATTCTCCTCATGCACTACTTGAATCGTGTCCACTTCGATGCGCCAATGTCGCCTCTTGAGCTCGAGATCTACCACCAGATGAGGAATGTTATTGGCATTGATCCTGCTTTCTACGAGTACATTTTCACTGTTGACGCTGACACAGTGAGTTCATCGTCTTGGTTCCTTCATTTATGCTGATGTCCGTTGCAGCAAGTAACGCCTGAGTCTCTTAATCGACTGGTTGCATCTGCTGCAGATGATTCAAGTATCATTGGTATCTGTGGCGAGACTAAGCTCACGAACGAGGAAGGTTCATGGTGGACGATGATTCAGGTATGTCAACACCTTTGACCTCTACTGTTGCCCAAGCTGACCATGGATATAGGTATACGAGTACTATATCTCTCACCATTTGTCAAAAGCCTTCGAGAGTCTGTTCGGCTCAGTGTCTTGTCTTCCTGGATGTTTCTCGCTCTACCGTATCCGTACCGCAGACAAAGGCCGTCCTATCATCATCTCGAACCGTATCATCGACGAGTACGCCGAAGGCAACATAGATACCCTTCACAAGAAGAACCTTTTCTCTCTTGGTGAAGATCGTTTCTTGACGACGCTCCTCCTAAAGCACTTCCCCACGTTCAAGACCAAGTTCATTCCGGATGCGGTCGCACATACTATGGCTCCTGAATCTTGGCGTGTTCTGTTCTCACAGCGGAGACGTTGGATCAATTCTACGATCCATAACTTGTGCGAGCTGGTGGTTTTGCCCGAACTTTGCGGTTTTTGCTGTTTCTCTATGAGGTTCTTCGTGTTCATCGATCTTTTGGGCACCATTGTGAGTGCTACGATCTTTGCATCCGCACCTCTTGACTTAGATTTTCTTGTAGATCCTGCCAGCCACGGTTGTCTATGTGAGTCTCGGATGTATCGAATCTAGCACACATTTCTCATTATATTATTCTAACAGTTGGCTTATCTCATCGTTGTCGTTGCTACTGGCAATGCGGCTCTGCCACTGATTTCCATCATCATGTTGGGTATCACCTATGGTTTACAGGCAAGTCGTGTATTGTGATACAGGACTTAACTTACTGTGCATTTCAGGCTTTGATCTTCATCATCAAACGTGAATTCATGTTGGTAGGATGGATGGTAGTCTACCTCCTCTCGTGAGTGGCTCGTGTGCAGTATTGCGATGCGTATTTACCTTTGTTGCAGATATCCGGTGTACAGTTTCTTCCTACCCATTTACTCGTTCTGGTGCATGGACGATTTCTCCTGGGGAAATACGCGTATTGTCATTGGTGACGGAGGTAACAAGAAGGTTGTCATGAACGAGGATGAGCACTTTGACGAGTCAATGATTCCGCTGAAGAAGTTCAGCGGTGAGTAATCTTGATATTTAATTACTACTCGCCAGCTCACAGTTGAATTCCCAGACTACGAGGCAGAAGCTTGGGAGGATGGATCTCATCGCTCTGATGAGACAGGTTTAACCAAGCCTCGTTCCAATCGTTTCCCTCCTTCTCGCCAGGGGTCTCCCCAGAGCTTCCATCCATCTCTCACCGGTGATTACTATCGCGATACGAATATGGCCAAGAAAAATTCAGATCCCAATATCCGCGGTCCCGCCTCCCATATCAGCCATGGTTCTCGACAAGGGTCTATGTATGATGGGCGGCAGCCATCTGTCCCTCAGCACAGCCTTCCGCAGATGCCATTTATGTCATTCAGCGGTGGAGCAGGTTCAGTGCATGGTTCGGACTATGGGCATATGCCTATGATTCCGCCTCTGGGGTACCAGCACTCTGGCAGTGTATACGGTGGAATGCCTCAAGATTCGCGAGGTGCAATGATGATGAACATGCCCATGATGACAGGAGGCTCTCAGACAGGCGGCTTTGGCATGTTACCCGCGATCGGAGGGGATGCACGGCCCCTGTCAATGTTCTCGATGGCGACGTCCGTGAATCCATTCTCTGGTCCAAGCTTCAACCCCAATCCTACCGACGATGACCTCTTCAATTCCCTACGGAACTATCTCAGCACACAAGACTTGATGACAGTCACGAAAAAGTATGTCGCGCATTGTTCTTTTACCATCCAGTATTGATCGTTTGCAGGACCGCTCGTGAGGCGATCATGGCTAAGTTCCCCAAAGCCGATCTTACATCCCGGAAAGACTTTTTGAACGAGTCGATTGACAAGATTCTGTCGCAGTCATAGAGGGAGCAACATTTCTATTACGTGATCTCCATAATATTTCTTAGTTCACGAACGGCGCCGACGTGCCTTGAACATTCCCTCGTCGCCGTATTTTTCATTCTATTTCAGACAATCGTTTGGTCGCATATATGGACACTGCCGCTCGTCCTGAGAATTATCACTACATCGTTGTATTACCCTCTTGGACTATGCACTCGTACGTACCATAGACTTTATCCTACATAATTAAGTCTCTGGACATGGGTTTCCAATACACTCTTTCTCTTAAATTGATGGATTGTTTGGTGTATTTTTGCTATCTTGCACAGTCATCATGATGAACGTGATTTCCATAAATCCCGCTCATCGTAAGCGGCTCTGTTCCATCACTGTCATGCCCAACTCATGCCAGCGCACGGTGTGGGATACATAATCAACTATAAATCGTGACAGCTCGCTTTCGAACATCAACACAGGACTGCCCCAGTTCCTCATTACCCAAGATGCCTGCAGACAAATCCGGATCCGCTCCTTGCCAGCCACGTATCCTTACATTTTCCAAGCCAACCGTCGAGCTATTCGAGGCTGCGCTTCCCACGTTGAAAGAGGAGTCTAGACAGTGTGTCTCTAATGTTTTGGCTATACAAGAATACCGGAGTTGTGCATGCTGATGGCACTTAGATGCATCGAGAATCTTTTGAGTTACCGTGCACGATGTACGCAGGTCAAGTTCCCTCGGAGTCAGAGCGCGGCGGTCCTGGTTCCATTGTTCATCGGTCGCGCAGGGGACCTGTATGTGTTACTGAGTCGGTGAGCTCCTGATCAGCTGCGTCCTGTTTATGACTGAATTGCCCTAAAAGGCGGTCAGCTAGCTTGAGGCAGTATGCGGGTGATACTGCACTTCCGGGAGGAAAGGTGGATCCCCAAGATATTACTGCTGAGGATACTGCGGTACCCACATGAAATTCCTTTTTGAATATCGGTCTGATTTGTCCGTTTGCAGAGACGCGAGGCCTTTGAGGAGGTACATTACTATGTAATCACGCGGGTTCTTATAGTACTGATGTTAGAGGTAAATTCTGCCATAGATTGGGCTTATCCCAGACCGGGAACGAGTACCCTTGCTGTGTGTGATGGAGCCCTTTCTTGCTGGTAACCAGATGGTAGTGACTCCGTAAGTGTGCCGCTGGTGTTTTGTGCGGCCTGACACAGTCACTTAGGGTTGTTGTCCTCATTCTTGACAAAACGATGCAGGTATGTTGAGCTCATGTGAGGGGTAGTCGTTGGATGTTATAACTTCATCGGGTCATAGCCCAGTCTCAACGAGTCGGAGGTGACCTCGATATTCTCACAACCCCTCGCTTCCTTCCTCGTGTCGTCCTTACCTTTCCACCCATACCGTGTTCCAGATCCATCAATGCCCTACCACACGACAATAGAGTGGGAATTAAGCGGAGGCGGTCGAATCCGCATGCATCGCTTCCTCACCGGACGCGAAGCAGACGGCGTGAAACCTGTGTTTGGGCTTACTGCGTGCGCTTATGACAACGACACCCCCACAAATATTTACACTGATCGTAGGAGCATATTGATCCATATCGCCGTCTGGGGGTACAGACGCGCTCCAGATTTTGAGTTTCAGCCACCAAACGCGCCTACGCAGGCTCAGCAAATCGCTCGCGCGCTCCTCACGCCTTCGAATCCACTGCGGTTGGCGTGCAAGTGCGAGGGTATCGATGCGAATATGATGGCTGCCTTCATTCTGCATACACTGCAGGAGCTGAACTCTGGGCCTGGTATGATCGAGTGGGACAAGAGCGGTCAGGACTGGAGGCCCCCGACGGAGGGACCAATCCCACAGCGCATTGGCAACATCATCAAACAGGATAAACATAACAACGCGCATGAACACCAGGATATGTATAAGGAGAGGCAGGAACTCCATTGGGAAGTGGGGGATGTACGTGGAACCGGGTGAAAGTGAGAACGCAGGGCAACGAAGAGGCCATAATAAGCGCAAGGATGGTGACGCCAAACTCTGATGTTCAACGGCGAACACACCCTCGTTGATGCTGATTATAACTCGTCATATTAGAACTGGTGTCATTGCCGGCCACATACGCAGGAGTAGACGATTTATTAGACACATTTGTACTTCTGCAATAAATTTACCCCCGTCTTGCTATCAGTGTGAGCAGTTTCTGATCGAATTACGTCGAAACCGCTTGATTGTATTATTGAATATCTCGCTGAGACACTGCAAGAATCAATGACGTTTCTACCAATTTATGAGCTAATCAAACAGCGACCGATTCAGAGGGAAGCTGTGCTTTCCCCGTTAATGCAGCTAGACTACGCACGAGCTGATCAATCTGCGTGACAAGTGCACTAAGGCGGAGATCCTGTTCCACGAAGCGAGATTCCACCATTGCAGTCAGCTTGTCGACTCGTAAGGAAAGTGACGCGGTCTCGTCCACATTATCCAAAGGTTCGTCCGATGTTCCGATGTCCATATCTCGAACCCGGTCTTTAATCTTGACCAGCCAGTGTTTGTAAGGGTGGTGCTTTGTGACCACGTTGAACACGTCGCGAAATGCACAATCACCGCATAGGGTAATTGCGAAATGGATTTCTGTAATAATCGTTAAGCTTTGTGCCCCGTTAGACGTACGGAAATCTAACCTGCGCAGGTGAGGCATACATAAAAAATGCCCTTCATCTTGACGCCGCATTCAGCACAAGCATAGGCATCCTCATTCACGACTGAGGTTCCAGCTATCTCCCCAAGTGTTACTTCCGGGTTCCCATTTAACTTCTCATCACCTTCCTGTAAATCGACAAAGGCGGAAGAATCATCTGCTCGAGTGGCATCTGCCGGATGCGGAAGTTCAGGTCCATCTGGCTGCGTTTTGGATTCGTCTTCTCGCGCAGACGATGGTGCGTCTGGCGGTGCTGCGGCAGGCAAGAGAGTGGAGAAGAATTCCCTGGCATACTGCCGAATCCGGTTGCAGCGATCGCGAGGTAGCGACATGCGGAAAACAAGCATGTTATGCGTTGACTTGTGCCCGGATGGGAATTTGTGATCTGAGACCGGCTGAGATTCACAATCTACACACACATCATAGTCGTCTGTAAGAAGATTAGCCATCTTGCACGGAAGGGTTATCTCCGTCGCACTCACTGGACTCGCAGTCTATACAACGGTGAAGGACATCACTGACAAGGTAATGACATGCATCACACTGACATCTGAACATCCAAAAAGCAGATGTTTAAAGAATGATAAATAAATAGAAGATGGACTCACTCGAACAATCGTCCGCGCATCTGCAGTTCAGCTAATAAATTCCAATGCTCGATATCTGTGGGTGGTAGCTCTTTGGACAGAGTATTAAACCTTTCTTTGTCGGTCGACGATAGGTAAGGCGGGATATCGTGAGGGTAGAAGTTCCACGTATTGTGCAGGTCATTCATGCATCGCAAACGGATATATTCTTCCATGGGGTCTTCAGGCTGCTGACCGGGATTAAATGCGATGAACTTCACGGGTCTTCCAACCGCTCCATTGTCCTCTGTCAGACTGAAAGGACCAAGCTTCAATGCTGTTGAATCGATCTCCAGCTCAGTGTCATCAAGCCCAAAATTGTGACTTTCCCAGTATTCGGCGTCGTCTGTGGTTAATTCTGGACTGTACCAAAAGTTGTACTATTACGAGGTATTAGACCGGGAATCGATATAAAGTTGCAGTCTCCACGTACTAAGCCATGCGCATACCACGCGAATCTCGCTTTTGGATAGTTACCCTGCTGACGAAATGACTCTGCAATGGTGGAAGGAGATAGCTTATCATGACAAAGCTTAGGAACTCACCTGCCAGTTGGTCCACGCGCAGAGACACCCCTTCCAAGATATTTCCCAACGTTTGAGTCGCAGACTCAAGTTCTCTCTCGACAAGAGTCACTGTGCTGGCAAGTTTCATGATCTGTAAATGCCTCTTGATTACAAGGTACAGTAAAGGCAGCAAGAACTGAACAAGCAGAGACTCATGTGAGCATTCAGCGCAAGCGCCGAGTCAACAACCCACATTTTCGATGCGACCAGATCCGAACAGTTTAATAGAATCTCTGGAGTCGATTTCGTACTTGACGGTTTTAAGCTTATCCGCCAATGTCTCCTCCTGAGCCTTGCGACGCTGAGCAGTCAGTTGCGCAAGATCCAAGTCCCAACACTCTGATCCAAGTTCTGCAAGAGAACGGACAAGCCTTTTGATACCTGTTTGCTGTGTAAATGCCTTCATCAAAAGGTGGGCAGAGCGACACACCATCGATGACATATGAGTTCAAGTATGTGGCGATACACCTCCTATTTTCTGGAAGTACATCTTCTTGCGCATACACCATGCTGTTCAAGACTTGTTCAATTCGTGCATGATAGTATTGGCTATCCACTCTCCAGCCTTCACCGACATAAGCGCTGGTTCGACTCGACGATAACAATCCTTACCTGCAGCCCAGTATGCAAGTGCTTTCGGCAGAGTCCAACTCAATGGGATTGCAGACGTAAAAGTATTCACCTCCCTCACACTGACCAAGCCATTCGCATCGCCATCGAAGCCTTCGGATAAACTTGGAACGTAGAAAACGGACAAATATTTCAAGCACCATTTATCTGCAGGGTCGACAGTAGGAAGTTTGTAGTATGCTGCTGGAAGCTCATGGTCTTCTCCTTCTGAATCGGACATGACAGAGACAGTGGGAGTTGGAGATAGGACTCGCGGTACCAAAGATGAAGCATCTGACACTGCTTCTGAGAACGGAGCATCATGACGGAGGCGGGAGAAACGATTCAGGTAATAATCATGCAGTTCTGCAATGAAGTATGGCGTCTTGACACTTGTTGTCCATTTCTTGGTGATGATAAGTATGCGCTTCGGTCACACCTACACAATGACATACCATCTCTTTCCAGATATATCGGAGGTGCTGGTGAAATTAACCAAGTTAGTGATACGGAAGGTCGAGTTTCATAATCCTTACCGGATCCTTGACCTGTCGAAATCTGCTGTTGAAGGCCCACATGATGCGCGTTTCAGAATCCTTGATGGCATCTTTGATGTCGGATGTCTGTGTATCAAGCTTGAACATGAATAGTGCACGATTCTCGTCAAGTAAGTTGCGTAACGGAGCACGCAGTTCGTAAAGCAGCGATGCATCAAGGCGGTTGGTCTTCGAAGTAGGCTTGTTGACATCTTTGGTAGGAGCATCAGAATGCGCTTTATTCTGTGGACGCCCTTCCCGTTGCTCAGCGATTTTCAGGAGTTCCATTAGTTTGTCTTCGCTTTCCAAACATTTCTCTCTTCCACCGCGCATCTGCACTTCTTTCTCGAATTTTTCTTCGCGATCGCTTTGTGTCTGGATAAGCTTGTCTAGCTTCTCCATGACAATATCAACTCTCAATGTCGTCCTGATATTTAAGGCGAGTTGGAGGTCCCGCGTACGCTGGCAAAAGCTGCTGCAAACTTTCAGGAACTCGCTCGCCCAATGAGAGGACCTGAAGAATTTCACTGCGAATGTGGTTCTCTATATGAAACACTCAAGAATATGAGGGAAACTAACCCATGAATTTTGACTTGTAGTATTTGTCAATGGCATTTCCACAATCCTCGATATCTTGCTTGATGCCGTCCAGGACACGATCCAATCGTCCCCGGATGTTGCCGTGAGGTCCCACAATGGCAGGATCTCTAGTGTCCTGAAGTCTACCGTCGAATAGAATCAGTAAAAGTCGTTCAAAACTGGCGTCGGATGACAAACTGGAGAAGCATGGTCATCATGTCAGATGCTTGAGCTAACATCAATCCAACTCTACGATCGTTTTCCCTTCTTGTTAGCTCAAGATTCACGACAGCCTTGAAAGCGAGTATAGCCACTGCATTTTATCTAAGTATTAGCTGGGGCGGAAACATCGACAGGCAGTAACACACCACCAACAAACGGGTGAACCTGTTGCAGAACATCCAGGGCCTCCATCACCTTCTTTGCCTCTCCCAGAAAGTCGCCCATATTCTTCTTTGAGAGATCCACGACCATTGCATCAGATGCTGTCTCGACAGGCTGTGGCATTCTGGGTATAGAGATCGCCTGCTGATCCAAATTTTTGAGCGGTCTGGACGATACGGTCCTCTAGAGGATGTCATAGTAATCTGAATACCACCCTTACTGACCGAGATGGATTGTCAATGACGAACCTGCCTGATCCCACTTGTCGAGCTTTCTAGTGAAGTTCGAGTTTAAATCTGATGTGGCATTGTCAAATACCTTCTGCGTTCGTTCAATTGTAATGTTGGATATGAATTGTTCTGTATGATTCATGGAGACTGCAGCAGGACACTGCCAGGACAAGTATTCGTGAAGAATTTATGCAAGGGAAGAGTACGGTGGTAATAGTTATGTAGAACCAGCTAATCGACAAAAGAGCTTACTTAGCAGTCAATTTATCCAGGGCTTGAGACCTTGTCAGTAGCAAGCTGGACCACCTAAGCCCTACAATTAAAGGTACCTGTGGGCCGGGTGTGTGCCTGTGGTTAGAGGGCCACCCATCAAGCTTGATCCCATAAACAAGTACAATTGACTTGTCGTAGTTACGACAGTTCATAGTGATGTCAATTTTTCTGGTTGCACGTCCTGCGATATTGTAAGCACCTAGTATTCTAGTATCCAAAAAACGCACAGAGTCCGCTCAGAATCAGAGTAGCAACCTGTCTCTGCAGGCTAGACAGATCTTCTCGCGCGAAAATACCTACTCGCACACATTATTGGATGACTTCCCATAGGCAAAAATAACACCCAGTGAATATCGGACATTGCGGGAGCGTGTGAGAGCGCGATAGTGTGAAAGTGAGGGATTTGGTTGACGCTAGGGCTTCTATGTAGACGCTAGGGCCAAAGTCTGGAGCCAGTCTGGGGTTTCGCGTGAAAAAATGACGGTCCAATGGGTGGCGGGTTTGCAGTCCAAAGAGATAGCGAAAAAATGTATTGGTTGGTTGAGTATCTTCCACAGGTAGAGCTCCCTAGAAGTGTCTGTTGTAGTCAGAATGAGCAAGAGTGGCTACCAGATTAGGTACGATGAGCGCCGTGGCTAGCACAGGTTCAAGTGCAACGTGCGTGTCACTGCCAACTACTGCCGCAGCACCGCGTGTCAGTAGTTTGTACATACTTGATCGACCGCGTCCCGGAGCCTCAGGAAGGCTTTTTTCGACGGGCTATCATGGTCAAAACCGCTGGATACCCGCTCGTCCTTCCGTTCTCTAGTATTTCCGGGAAGCCCGGGCCTGCTGCCTATGATGACTCTGGTCTAAAATATTATCGCATACCCTCTAGTTCTTTTCCAATCAGGAATGTACTTTCAATCTTGCTGGCACTCTTGGTAGTGCTGCTATTTGGACATCATTTCCAACTTTTTCCGCGACTTGCATCGGAAAGTAACAGTTGTACTGGTATTCTTTCCAGTGATTCACAACGATTTTGGGGGCCGTACTCTCCATACTATTCTGTTGAAGAGTACCAACCGCCTCCCAACGGGTGTAGCATAACACAGGCAAGTACACTTGCCACAGATCTAGTCTTTAATACTCACTAGTACTCGTATCGCTTCAGGTCAACATTGTAAGTAGACCCTGGCCGCCAGTGACCACGAGTTCTTCGCTTGAAACATCAACAGCTTCAGCGCCATGGAGCACGTTATCCGACCAGCGGCGCCTCTAAAGAAATTCAAGCAAGTTTGCAGAAATTGTTGAACGCTTCGAAGTATACCGACATGAAGCTGGAATTTCTTCGTTCATACCAATGGCACCTTGGTGAAGCTGATCTTGTGCCCTTTGGCGCCACACAGTAGGACTACCATTGCGAACTTCCTAGCCAATGTCGATGCTTAAGGATCGCATTTAGGTCGTTTCAATCTGGTGCCGAAATATACCATCGGTACGGGCATCTTGTCGACGACCACATGTTACCCTTTGTCAGAGCGTCTGGAGGAAATCGCGTAGTGAAATCTGCTGTTAATTGGACTGCAGGTAAGCGCACAGTTGAAGTATGAAACTTTTTCTGGACGATTGCAATTCCAGGCTTTGCCGATGCAAGTGGACAGCTCTATCATCCATCAGTCTCAGTCATAATACCAGAAACTGAGACGGTAGGATGGATACTACTGATCAAACTTCATTCACGGATTGCTCATCTACGATCCTTCTTCTAGTCGAACAATACCTTGGAGGACGACATGTGCCCCAACTCCCGAGCATCACAAGATGAAGCGAACATATGGCGAGATATGTTCTCAGCTTCAATTGTACACCGCCTTAATACAGCTGCTGTTGGAGCTGAGATTCTGAGCGAGGACATCCCCGAGCTAATGTCGTTATGTGCATTCGAGACTGTATTTGAGGAGAAAGAAAGCCAATTTTGTGATCTCTTCTCTCCAAAGGAATTCCAAGCCTATGAATATTATCAAGACCTGCTGAAATATTACAAGACAGGGTGAGTAACTCATCAACAAATCACTTTGATACTCACACTACAACTGTGACAAGGTACGGAAATCCTCTGGGTCGTGTCCAAGGTGTCGGCTACGTGAACGAGCTTCTTGCGCGTCTCAGGGGGAGACCTGTCGAAGATCGCACGCAAACCAACTCGACTCTTGACTCATCACCGATCACGTTCCCGCTTAACAGAACGGTCTACGCTGACTTCTCCCACGACAACCAGATGGTTGCCATCTACGGTGCACTTGGACTGTTCCCCCAGATGCGCCCTCCTAACCCCACAAGGGCTGACCCGCGATGGACATGGGTAGTTTCTCGTCTTGTGCCTTTCTCTGGGCGGATGATCACGGAAAAGGTGCAGTGTTTCGAGGCGGGGATACCAGGAGATTATATTCGGATTCTCATCAATGATGCCATCCAACCCTTGGCGTTTTGTGGTGCAGGTGATGGATTGTGTAGGCTGGAAGCATTCGTGGAGAGCCAAATCTACGCTAGACGCAACGGTGCTGGCGATTTTGAGAAATGTTTCCAGAATAGACTATGACCCCCCTGTGGGGGGTTGATGTAATAATATCGGTATCACGGCTGACGTAACCGCGTGCGCGTGCCTTGAATCGAGACAACCATCATTGTATCAACTCCGATTCTGTATCTTTCATTATGCCTCAGCTTTACAGGCGAGAATCACGGATTAGTGACATAGAATCTTCAGAACACTTGGAACCAACAGATGTGGACGATTCCATCGTCCTCTCGGATCTTGTTCGCAGTGGCGAAGCATCCAGATTGCGGAGAAGAGGCGCAATGCGACTTGATCATAATCTCGTCAACACCCAGCGTGCAGAAGCTGGACGTGTAACTCCGCCAGTGGTGAGGGTGGAAAGGTCACCCTCATGGATTGAATCCCCTAGCGATGACGAAGAGTCAAGTCAGAATTATTGGGAACAAAGCTACGATGCGCCGCTGTCGCCGCAGACGGATTCGATAGCTGCAGTGGGGCCAGACCCATACTGCCACATATTATTTTGTGGTGGGAACGACGAGCACCCGTGTCTAAACAGGCCCTCGACCTGTGCTCTGTCGCCACTTCCGTCATATCCGCCGCCACCGCCCTCAAGCGGCTATCAGTCACCCAGATGGCAAACCAATGGATGTGGAGCCGTCATTCATATGCGAGCTTCACGCCGGGGTAACTCTGGTGTGTGGATAGCTAGGAATGATGCATCATCTGCTGTCGTTCCGTTGGACACATCATACTTTGAGCGTGCTGCAGTTATACGAATGGTCCGCAGCGCATGTGGATGTCTTCGCGAAGGAGTAGGATGTGCTATTTGGTGGGCCCCACGATCTACAGATGACTTACAACAAATCTGACTGCATTCCAAGCGGAAATCCCTTAGGATCTAGGTATAAACCATGCCAGGCTGCAGCGGAGGGTCTCTTTGCTTCACGACATCACCCATCGGGCCCTCTGACTCCTGAAGGTCCTAGGTATTGGCATGCGCAGTTGTCAAATCTGCAGCATGCACAATCCTACGTGTATACCTTTTTTGCCGAGAATGTGACATCTACACCGACACACATGACAGCTCAGGACGACTGTTCGTCTCCCGCACTACAACAAGATTTCCTGTCGCCTATCGATAATCCATATTCCTACACATTTTTTGATCGCATTGTCACCGCTTCGCCTTCGCCCATGTCAAATCGTGGGCGTGATAGCCCTGACTCGGATGTTTCATCGCGCGCTGAGCCACGGTTTGATCCAGATGGTGTGTTCATAGTTGCTGATCCAGGATCACCAGACAAGATAGGCACCGGGTTGACTCTCGTCCCTGAGCGGTAATACCTTTCATGATGAACTCTCTGTTCAGTATTGATATTATTTGGCGGCATTGGACGCTCCTGCACAATTCCTGCAGCTCATTTTCGCATTTTAAATGTATCTTATTGGATCTGCTATCATCACCCAAAATCTATCCACACTGTAGGGTTATTATCATCATATCATGCACACTTCATTCTCTCTCCCATCGTGTTTTAGCATCTTGTACAATTCAAACACATCTACGTACCACCTAGTAGAGGCTGATTACAGTGAAATTGAAGGTTAGTACAGGTTTGCTTAAGCATTGCCAAAAGCGGAGGAGGCGATTCTGGGGCGGGACGCGAATGGAAAATCCTGGGGACCGGAGCGGTCGATGTGGCCTCGTTGAGCTGCCCGAAGCTTTTTGAGCTGTGCCAACGTGCTGCAGGGGGCTTCGGACGACCAGAGCGGGATTGCCAATTCCTCGAACCTCGTTCCTACGATTTTTTCACAAAAACGATGTCGACGCTCGAAAATCGCCACTACGACACGGCGAACTCACCCAAGGTGCGATATCAGATACGAATGGATACATGTGGTAGTCCAGCGCATCCCTTCCCCGACATTAATGCCGCATGCAACTCTTCCGAGTCGCAAGTTAGTACCATGAATTGGGGTCCTGTATTTCCCCTTCATGGACAAACTAAAACACGTACCTGTCACCCATGGCGGAGACCATCGAATGCCGCGGCTATGGGCACTACCAATCAGGCACTCTGATGTGAGTTTCTCCCTTTAGACTGGATTCCTTCCACAGATATAAAGCTTGACCACAACTCGGAGCACACGAAGTCAGTCATGCGGTCTGCGCGCTTCTGAATCGCCATACGCAAGGAAGAAACATGCTGGCTTGTGTAATCCATTTATCCCCCGTCTGTCACTGTTTCACTGGGACTTCGGACACTTTCATCCGTCGTAGGAATGTCCAAAGCCACAACGGGCATATAATGTTTTCCTGCACAATTTTATTCCAAGTCGGTGACCAGCACTGACCAAAATCCCGCAGGTGAGTGACAGCCTTAACTTCCGTGAAGGACGTTACACCTGCGAGAGGATTCATGAGACTGCTTAGTCGCCGTGCTTGACAAGACGGTACAGCGCTTACCTTGACCTTCGCTTGCATGGTCCCTTGACGTGATCTGACATGTTCCACCACACACATCGTGCTGAGAGCGTGCGCCAGACCGTCACAGCGGGTTGTTCGGTGGTCGTTCGGCTTTGAATGAGTAGTTCATCTACTGCCTCGCTGTGCCATGTTGCACGATTCGGCTATTGTTCTTGAACTGAGACACTCCACGAACAACAGTACTGGACATGAACACTCGTCATATACACGACAAGCAGGTTGTGAATGTGCAATCTAAATTTGAGTCTCATATGCTGCAGGGTTCAAGCTGGTATTCGTGAATTCATGTCGTTAAATACCATACATACCGCACGCAATTCCAAGAACAAGATCTAAGAGTCATTCGAAAGTTCGCGGAACAGGCTGCAGAGAAGAACAGAGTTAGATAACCGTTTGTAACTGACAAAGATCCTGCTCCACTAACATGGCCCATGGAGACATGCGCATGCATGTTATGTCTATGCAAATACAATAGAGCAAACGCTGTGATCATCCAGTGGGTTGAACTCTGGACTTCCGATTGGAGAATATTACCCTATGGGTTGGCCCAGTCAGACATCCAACAAAGAAAAGGTGACGGGCGTTTAACGCTGGCTGAAGTGGCTAGCTGTGTTGCGAGGTCCTTCACTGAAGCTACTAACCTCTCGGTAACACCAAATTTTCATCTGGGCTTCCAGCGCGGATGAACTAATGTTTGGCTTTGATATAGGGCCCATCTTCGAATACTAGCTGCCAACATCAGTTATATAGCACACTGGCGCTAGGAGACCTGACCTTTGCACCACCTTTGAACACATCCAAAGAACGCCTTTCCCGTATTTAGCTACAAAACGGCGGTTTCGCTTACGGAGACGCAGCCCATGACTTCGACATCGACAAAGGCGGCTGCCACGAAATTGATTCTGATGCCGGGCCATTCCATACATATCCTACTATCCAGAGTCAGAATCCGGACGGTCAGTGATTGATCAGTTGGTCTTGGAATAAGACCGATCGGCAATGGGATCTGAAGGCGGGTAAGGAGATCGAGGAAGCGCGGGATGTTTGCAACAGGTATATAGGCGGCTCTATCAAGGAATATTAATGGTCGATGGGTCGTCAGTGCTAGTGGGCGTCCGGACTCCGGAGCTGAAAGCCTGTGACATTGAGACGGGGATTGTGAGAATATTTGAAGACCACTCAGAGTTTCGGTCCTCGGATCGCATGCATTGATATATCTGCAGATAGCACGCTGCTTGCAATTGGCGGGGCAAAATATTTTATAACGCGGATGTGGAGTTTGGACGCTAGAAAGCTCGTTGCTGGTCCGTTCAAGATTCTTATTTTTGTGAGCACGGTTCGATCATCAACAGACTCAAAGAGACTTGCGGTGAAAGCGGGGGCATGCCTCGAGGTCTGAGACCCCATGTCCAATCACACGGGCGTGAACCTGAGGATAGGAAAATATCCAGGCGAATTCCTAGGCACAGCACCAGTATTCTGGAAAAATCAAAACCAAAACATCGTAGCCGTATTCACCTTCACAAGTAAAGAATACGCCGAGGTCATTTTTCTCATGAACACCACCGCACCAGGACGACCCTGTACCTTCAACATCCCTCCTATGTACAGCAATCCTACAGCATCTCATATGCAAGAAGGCCTATGAAGGGGCCGTTATAATCGTGGGTATACAGCATGGTGTGTCTGTATTCAAATTTTCAAGGAGGGTGGCGTGGCAGGCGCATGGAATTGAGCTCTGGATCGTGTGGTTGAAGCTGAAGCCGTACACCAAACAACTGCAAATACAGATCGTGATCGATTGATTGATGATACATTCAACCCCGTTATCCACCATGGTCATTAATTTCTCTGTGCGCACTAGCTGCCAGTGACTGATTCCAGGACTGACTCGAGATGAACACCCGTTGGTGTTTCGCGTCATCGATGTACTGGATCTCGAATCTTCTCCAACTTTCTTCCTCTTCGTCTTTTTCCAGATGAGCTTCAACATCTGTTATTGTTATTGTGCAGTTTCAGTTCTCAGTTCACTGTACAGTCGATATCTTGCCCACTCATGGAAAGCGTCCTTATTTGTGATTCTTCTCCCCCTCAAGAGCTACTTCTCTGCCCGCCGACACTGTTTTTCCAACAAGTACACACCCAGTGTTTGAAAGGTGCTTCTCAGTGATCGTGCACCCCATCAACATTCTAATCTGTTTTAACAAGTATGTACCGTATCTTATTCTATGTCGACTCACTAGGTTGTATCCAGGAAGTTATGCACCTCTCGAGCTGTCGTTCTGGCGCTGATGAGCTGAGGGCCAATATGCAGGAAAAGCAAACCAACTCGTCAGCGCCAGCGATACATGCGGACGCGCAGTCCCCCATCTTTACCTCATTAACAGATCTGCCAAAACCTTCTCCTTCCCGGGTTCCCCTTCTCTCCTTGCGTGCTAAAGTGCCTCTCATAACATTGAGTGGTTTTTAACTTGCGATTCCGCCTTTCGATGTTGATACGTATGCAGTTCACATGAAATGCATCTGAGTGGTCTTCCATACCTGTCATTCTGCCGCTGGCTGATTGAATTAATATGTTGTTAGTCGTAAACACAACATATATAATCCAACTTGCCAGCGTAAGCAAAGCATATGCTGCAAGATATAGACAGGTTCGAAAATAATCGTTGCTTGAGTCCAGGAACTATTGTTGTCGACCACGATGACTCACATGTCTTTGTTCAGTATTACTGCGCTCGTCCTTCTCTGTAGAGCGATTTAGCATTACAGGAAAAGTGAAGGTAATCGATATTGAACGACGAGGAGCTCAATTATAGACGATGAGGTATTTGAACCTCATGCAGATTTCCAGCGCAAATGATCCGAATCGGCTCCAGCAGGCAAAAGCACTCGAGTCAGGCGAGTCAAGTATCTACAAAAAATCACTATCATTATCAATGTGTAGGTTACTCACAGGTTGTGACACGCTGCCGATTGGGGATCGAACTAGAAAATCCTCTATCGTCATGTCGCTCCCAACATATTAAGGCCAACCATTAACATAAGGATCACACATGAGCATACCACCGATGGCAGATTCAACTCGTGCTCACATGAAATGTATCCAGATGGTAGCGCACACTTCAGGGTGTCGTCCTGGCGCGCTGGGGAGTTGGAGTAGGATTTCGGCATCACTCAGAAAACCCGATCCAACTCGTATGCCGCACCATTTATGACACGACACGCTCTCACGTAGTCAACCACCAACGACAAACTAATGGCTATCCTCGATGCTGACCCGGCTTATCCCTGTTCTCTTTCACACTTCCTCGCCTTGGATACACCCATTCCATGGGTGTCTAACTTGCTGTCCCATTCTCGACTGCCACTGTATGCTTTGTGTCTTGTAAGGGTGATGACGGGTGTCGAACTCAGGTACTTGCGTGCAGTGAGCTTTGTTATGATATTTTCCGTTAACAGGGTTTAGGTATTGCATTTATACTCTCTCAAATTTCCGGTGTTCGACACACAAATGTATGGTGATGTCAACCTTGAATTCTGTGAATGGATACTTGATCTTAACGTCAGACACCTTCAAATATTGAAGCTTTTTTGGATTCAAAGGGTGACTGGGGCATGACAAAAGAAGCTGCCAAAACATCGGCAATTCTGCAAAGTTGCGTGGGTTGGTAGGGGAGTGAGAAAGCCATGAATGACTGGGCGCATACTCGGAACAATTCGATACAGTAGGATGAGGAAAGATGGTATTACTGAGTCCAAAGAAAAACCGACAAACGAGTAACGATAAAGTTGGGTGGAAAAAGGAAAACAGATTTGACGCTCTAATAACACCGATAGTAGTCATAGCTGTGAGCCAAGAAGCGAGGAGAAGCAAATGTGATGAATGGAAGGATGAATTAATTCAGGGCGGTTGTACAGCACAGATGGGCCGTGCAGAAGGGCCGTGTCAGGGTATATATGCAAGGCAGCGTCCAAGGCCAATAGTTACACTCACATTCAAGAACCACATTCAAGGATTCACCGCTCCTCGACGTCTTCACTGTTAACTTCGGTAACACCAAATTCTCATCTGGACTTTCAGCATGGATGAACTGACAGAGTCAGCTTTACCAGGAGGCCTATCTTCAAATCACTATCAGTGTCGATCGTATAATACATCGGCACCAGCAGACCTCACCTTCGCAGCATTGAACACATCCAAAGAATACTTGCTCGTACTTGATTACTTCACGGTTTCACCTGTGGAGACGTAGCCATGGATTCTACATCGACGAAGGCAGCTGCCACAAAACGAATTCTGATGCCATCAATAACTTTGAAGGGTCACGGAGATGAGATTCAAACCATATCTTACTTTCCGGACGGCCAGCGAATGATCAGCGGATCTTGGGACAAAACCAATCGACAATGGGATCTGAATGCAGGCAAGGAGATCGAGGAAGCGCGGAACGTCTGTGAGAAGGATGTAGTATCGGCAGTGGCGGTATCAAGGGATGGTCGATGGGTTGTCACTGGTGGTGAAGATTGGTATGGTGGGAAGTTGCAAACCTGCGATGTTGGGACAGGGATTATGAAAAGATTTGAAGGCCACTCACGGAGGATCATCTGCATCGATATATCCGTGGACAGCAAGCTACTTGCGAGTGGGTCAGAAGGCAGTACATCGCGGGTATGGAACCTGGGCACTGGCAAAGTCGTCGCTGGTCCATTCAAGAGTATTCATTGCCCGGGCGTAGTTCGATTCTCAACAGATTCAAAAAAACTCGCAGTCAAGTCATTTATGGGGAAGTCACTTGAGGTCTAGGATGTCCAAACACAGAAATTGGACGTGAGCATAGGCAGATTTGGTGGAGGAGAACTCACATACGCGCCAATGTTCTGGACAAACAACAACAAAAGCATCATAGCCGCATTTAACTTCACAGATAGCTATAACGCCAAGACGATCTACGAGTTCAACGCATCAACGCTGAAGACTGTTGGAACTCCCTTCATAGGGCACACCAAACTTATAACCGGTCTGGCACTTTCATTTGATGGAGCTCTCCTGGTCAGTGCTGCTGAAGATGTCATCAAGCTCTGGAATTGCGAGTCCCGTCAGCTCCTCGCTTCTTTCAATGCTCATATCTATACTCTTATCCTCTCACCCGACTCGCGCCAACTAGCTTACATGACATCCGCCAACAAGGGTCACAAGATTTACATATGTGATATTCCATCCGACGTCCTCGCGAAGGTTGGCGTGCACACTCTCCGCAAACATTTGCTATTTGTGTGCTAACATTTTCTTACAGGCCAGTGCACGCAACAAGTCAGCCCGCATCAATCTATCACCTCCCCCCATCAGTTCTGCCCATGGTCACGCAAGGTCCGAATCTTGGACTGACACACATGCAACCTTCCGTATACAGCCTATTGATGGGCGATCGCTTACTGACATGTGGCAGTGGCCTGCTGACACGCAGTCGTCGCCTGATAAGATGTGGGGTGGAGGACCCACGGCAGATCTCCAAAGTGCAACCATATCGCCTGTCATAGTCCTTCCCCCTCCACCGCAGATACACACTTTTACAGTAGGTTCACGACCACTCCAGGCACGCCCCAACTCCCACGAGCTCCTTCCCTCCTATTCCAATGCGCATGCAGTCTTCTCCGCTCGTAATGTTGGACCTGACAATCTTCTCCCTGAAGCAACGCTCCAAGACCTCTCAGATTATATCATCAGGGATGGAGAGTACCCTGTTGCTCGTGGCGGGTTCGGGGAGATCTGGAAATGCACATATAACAAAGATCGTAGTTCAGTCAAAGTTCGTTTGCCTTTTTTTGTCTGCCCATCTGTCTAAAAATTAATAATCATGCAGGTCGCAGTGAAAGCATTGCAGGTGTACATTGATGATCAACTGGGGGCAGCGAAGACGAAAAAAACAAAGGCAAGTATCTGATAGAACAACTAAGTCTGTTACTTACACCATGGGGCGCCGCTTCATAGAGGATAAAGCGTGAACTCAGGATATGTGCCAACCTCAACCATCCAAACATTCTCCCCGTTTTTGGTTATACATATGGCTTTGGCCCATTTCTAGCAATAGTCAGTCCTTGGGCGGAGAATGGTAACTTCACGGTCTATTTAGAACGCGAGGGTGCAGCTCTTACTCTCGTTAGACGATTCCAGCTGGCAAGTCCCCTCTTCGTGTATTTTGGGTAGACCACAAAACTGATGGAAAACTTAGCTAAGGGATATCATAGCTGGTCTACGATATCAGATGTGATAGACTTCGCTGTTGCCGGATCAAGTCGTGATTAACTATTCCTCATAGTTCACGCCAACAGTGTCATTCATGGTGACTTCAATGGGGTGAGTTTGATCCTCTCGATGTGCCCAATTTCATTGAGACATGAGCTCCAGCCTAACGTGCTGATCCATGGTGATGGCACTGCATGTGTTGCTGACTTCGGCCTCTCCTTGATGTATTCAAAGTTTGTAAGCGCCTCTCAGGCTTCCTGGACATCCACGCTCAAAGGCAACATGCGATGGATGGCTCCTGAGCTTCTTGGAGAGCGGGAGGATGGGTCTCAAGCTCGGCCAAGCGCGCAGAGCGACATGTATTCATTTGGCGGTATCATGCTGCAGGTACGTCCGGGTTAATTTTGACCTCTCGTTGATATCACGAGCTTCACTCGTAGGTCCTCACCAACAAAGTACCCTATTATCACTTCACGAATGATGCCGCCATCATACTTTGCATAGCCAAGTCGCAAACGCCTTCCCGATATCGTTATCCTGAGCTCCCTGAACAATACTGGCAATTTATCGAGCAATGCTGGTCTACTCATCCTTGGAACCGTCCCTCGACGGAGGGAGCTGACACTGCGATCAGCAATGAATTTGACTCGTTGTCCAGACCTAGTTGATTCTTGCACTGTCTCGCATTCAGGAATCTTTTTACAGTACAGCCAGACAGATAAACCTAGGCACACCTGTATAGTAAACGTAGGCTCACCCCAAGATTTCTCTTGTAATATTGGAGCACACTTATGTCGCAAATGAGACACGTCAATTGGAGTCATTGGAGTCGACGAAACAATTATCCTGTTCGCAAATTCTGCGACAACCAAATTCAGCATGCAGGCGAGCACTGGTCTGACTGAGTCTCCCATTGTCGGTCCTTCAAGATAGAATAAAGATGGCTGGTTCACGTTCTCCCGGTACCAGTGCTGATGTCGAAACCCCCTCGTATGGTTCTATACCTATTTCAATTTCCATCACCATTCTGTTCCGCCCCCGTCATACGTCAGGTTTTGCACCACTGGCGTTCGAGAATGGGTTTCAGGTGTTGCACGGCGTCACCAGGCTTGGCCTTTCGAATTATGGGACAGGCACTTCAGTTTTTCAATCTCAAAGTTGGAGGGACATTTAAAGCTCGAACCATCATAAACTCACAGGTGATCGAAGCTCAATCGAGGCAAAAATGGTCGATGACGAAAGGTTGTGTGCTTCGGAAAAGTGAGTGAAGCCTTGGACGAGTATGTACTTGAGAAATTAGAATAGTTGAGACCATGGATGAAGAGAGGTGGTCTCCGTGTTGTCCCGTACAATGTTAATAGCAACTGTTCACGTATCTGGAGCAAAAGTGACCAACGAAGAAAGTTGAATGCTAAAAGCTGATGCCATAGCATATCAAAACTTTCAGGCCATGCTGATACGCCAATAACAAGCACACAGCAACACTGGTGGGTGGGAAATAGAAACAAGATTGGCGCCCTAGCACTGGAAATTTTCATGGCTGCGACAGCCTGTGAGCCTGTCAGTCAAAAGCAAGGAGAAGTAGAATCGAGTGATAGCACATTCTGCACGACAACTGTATCCACTGGCTTTGTGGAATTTTCCCCTCTAGATCATTGATAGCCTCTTGGTAATATCAATTCTCATTGGAACTTCCAATGCGGATGAACTGACGATCAGGTCTACTATATGCAAGGTGCTCGCTAAGGATCTTAAAACCACCGTCAACGTCGAGTCTACAGCACACAAGAGAGCTCACATTCGCACCGTCACACATCCAAAAAATACTTGCTCATACTCGATTACTTTACAATTTCACTGGCGGAGGCATAGCCATGGCTTCTGGTACATCGAGGAAGGCAGCTGCCACGAAACGGATTCTGACACCATCAATGACTTTGGAGGGTCACGAAAAACTAATTCAATCCATATCCTACTTTCCAGATGGCCAGCGAATGATCAGCGGATCTCACGACAAGACGACTCGGCAATGGGATATGAAGGCGGGCAAGGAGATCGAGGAAGCGCGGAATGTTTGTAAGGTTGAGGTATGGGCAGTGGCGGTGTCAAGGGATGGTCGATGGGTTGTTACTGGTGGCAGAGATTCCTCTGGCGATCATGCAGAACTGAAAGCCTGTAAGGTTGAAACGGGGATCGTGAGAACATTCAAAGGGTCATGGAAGATCACCTGCATTGATATCTCTGTAGACAACACGCTCCTGGCGAGCGGGGCAGATGATTATACAGCACGGATATGGAACTTGGGTACCGGCAAACTCGTGGCTGGTCCATTCAAGGGCATTGAATGGCCGGGCGCAGTTCGATTCTCAACGGACTCGAAGAAGCTCGCAGTCAAGTCGTGGTTAGGGACGTGCCTTGAGGTCTGGGATGTCCAATCACAGACATTGGATGTGAGGAGAGGGGTTCCTGGTACTGGACCACTTGCAAATACGCCGCTTTTCTGGACAAAGAACAACAAAAACATTATAGCCCCATTCAGCTTCCCCGTGCATCCTGATAAAATCAGCACGATCTACGAGTTTGACGCATCGACGCTGGAGACTGTTGGAACTCCCTTCGAAGGGCATACCCAGAATATCACTGGTCTAGCACTTTCGTCTGATGGAGCTCTTCTGGCCAGTGCTTCAAGAGACTACTCTATCAAACTCTGGGCTATGGAGTCACGCCAACTCCTCGCTTCCTTCGACGTCCAGAACCCCATTACTCTTGTCCTCTCACCCGATTCGTGCAAACTAGTTTACACGACACAGATGAAAGATAATTACAAGATCTACATATGCAATACTCCGCCCGCCGTCCTTGCTCAGGTCAGCGTATGCACCCCCGCAAACATTTACTGCTCGTGTGCTAACATTCTCTTACAGACAAGTGCACGCAAAAAATCAGTCCGCAGGGATCTACTCAATGTGCGTGTTTCATCTTTTGTTTATTACACCACTCATTGATCACTGTCATTGCAGTCCAGTGCAACTCGTCCTCCTACTGGGCGCCGCAGACCAGCAATATCTGCCATACCTATGCCATTGAGACCCCCACCTACGATAAACCCGAAGGAACGCGTTTTCCCGAGCCTCAGCAAACTTCTTCACTTCGCTCCTCGCACAAACGCACTACACTCTGTTCAAAACGATCAACATCCGAGTCGTGATCCCTTAGATGTCTGTTTTTTTCTTCTTGTTTCTTTCGCATTTGATTTGACACTCGTCCCACAGGTCCCTGCTACTTTACCCCTACAATCCCCTCTCTCTGGGCAGGCCGCAACTCAGATTGACCGTGTCAGTCTTGATTTTATTCTCACAGTGCACGACTGAGTATGTATCCAGTTTGAAATAAGTTCTCTGCCTCCCCCCTCAAACGGAGTCACACAATTCATACGACAACACCTTTCTTTCCTCGTGCCAAAACATAATCACGCACCAGTCGTCGAAGTCGCACCTGGGCGAAAGTTCACTGTAACTAACATTTTCTTACCTCTCTGTGCCCGTTTGCTGATTTGTGCCCTACAGCGGCTGGCTGCTGCCAAACTACCGGAATACAAAAAAGTAGATGATACCCGATATCCATCTGGCCAGCAAGCTGCCGTGCCACAGCAAAATGACTCATCCGACGTCGATTCACTCCCAGACGTGCATTGGTGCACAGCATTCCTGTGCTACTATTCCTGTTTATCTCATGGCGGACTGAGGATGCCTCCTCGATGGCGCTTGGAACGCGTTGACATAGCTCGCCAAAATGGTGCAACGAATAGCAGCCATAGTGGTGCTCCCGGGTACACTAAACCTATTTGTTCATGAAATCCATTCACTGATGTAGTCTTTTAGGGTCCAGCACGAGGAAATTGAATTGAAATCGATGACTCATCAGTCACAGCCAGAGGCAGGACCATCTCACCTTGCTGTAGCCACGAATATCTAGGGGCGCAGTCTTCATAAATGTTTCATTTGTTGAGCAGTTCATATGTTAGGTCTTGCATAATTTCGTGAACCAGCCGCCTTGTTTGAACCAACTTCATGCCCTTTCTTTCGTACGACTATGGCTTTTGAGTCAACACTGTTTTCGTAGCTGGTTAACTTGGAGTCAATCTGTTGTTCGTCATACACACCATCTTGCCAGCGTTAGCGAGGCACGTGATGCAAGATATCGACAGGCTCTTAAACAATCCTTGTTCGAGTCCAGGAACTCTTGCTGTCATCTGCAATGACCTGTATGTCTCACTGCGTTTGCCTACATCTTACTCGCCTTTTTCTGTAGAGTGATTTAGCATTATAGGAAATGTAAAGGTAATCAATATTGAACGTTGAGGAGCTTAATAATAGATGGTGTGTTTAAAACTTCTAGCGTGAATGAATAGATGATCTGAATCGGCTTCAGCACTCTTGGGTGAGTCAAGTATCGACAAAAAATCACTACCATTACCAATGTGAGGGCTACTCACAAGTTGTAACGCGCTGCTGATTGGGGATCGAACTTTATCGGATCGCTTCCAACAAATCAAGCCCAACAATTAACACAAGGATCACACAGGTGAGCCCATCATTGACTGCATATTACATTGTAAAGTCACTGCTTACATAAATGTATACAGCGCACGCTTCAGGCTGTCATTCTGGCACGCTGGTGAGCTAGAGTGGGATTTTGGCATCCGATCCAATTGCCAACATCAGCGACGTATATACTGCACCATTTATGACACAGACACGCTCTCACATAGTCAACCGCCAATGACAAACTCCAGGACGCCAGTGGCTGTCCTCGATGTTGAACCGGCACTGTATGCTTTGTGATTTGTAAGGTGATGATGGCCGTCAGCCTTGAGTGCTTGCAGGTGGTGAGTGTTGTTATGATATAAGCCGTTAACAGGGTCTAGATATTGCATTTCTATCCTCAAGTTTCCGGTGTTCGATACACAGATGTATGGTGATGTCGATCTTGAATTCCATGAGTGGGCCCTTGATCTCAGTGTCAAAGACGCCTTCAAATGTCGAAACTTTTGCGAGGTTAAAGATGGCTAGGGCGCGACAAAAGAAGCTGCCAAAACATCCGCACACCTGCAAGGTCATGTGGGTTGGTAGGGAAGTGAGAAAGCTTTTGGATGTGCATGTACTCAGAACAGTTTGATGCAGTAGGATGAGGAAACTGTGTCCAAAGTGAAATTGACATACGAGCAACAACAACGTTGGGTAGAAAAAGAAAAACAGATTTGACACTTCAGTAATCATAGTGGGCCATAGCTGTGTGCCGAAAAGTGAGAAGAAGCAAATGTGATGATTGGAAGGATTCAGGGCGCAGTACACAGCACAGATAGGCCATGCAGAAGGAGCATGTTAGGGTATATATGTGCAGGATGGCGCCCAACACCCAGAATTCACCCAACCCCAATGTCTTCACTGCTAAGTTCTCAGTAACACCAAATTCTCATCTAGACTTCCATTCAGTTTTAGCAGGAGGCCCATCTTCAAATCACTATCAGCGTTAGTCGCATAATACATTGACACCAAGAGACCTCACCTTCGGATCGTTGAACAAAGTCAAAGAATACCTTTCCCATATTTGACTACTTCATAGTTTCACTCACGGAGATGTAGACATGCCTTCTACATTGATGAAGGGAGTTCCCACAAAATGGATTCTGACTCCATCAATGACTTTGAAGGGTCACCAAAAATGGATTCAATCCATGTCCTAATATCCAGATGGCCAGCGAATGATCAGTGGATCTTTTGACAAGACTGCTCGACAATGGGATCTGAAGGCAGGCAAGGAGATTCAGGAAGCACAGTATGTTTATGAGAATAAGGTAATACCAGCAGTGGCAGTATCAAGGGATGGTCGATGGGTGGTTAATGTTGGTGGGGATCCCAAACATCTGGAGCTAAAAGCTTGTGAGATTAAAACAGGGATTGAGAAAACATTCGAAGGCTACCCACAGATGATCATCTGCTGCATTGATATCTCCATGGACAGCAAGTTACTTGCAAGCGGAGCAAGTAATTTTACAGTGCGGATGTGGAATTTGGACACTGGCAAACTTGTGGCTGGTCCATTCAAGAGCGTCGATTTGGTGAGCGCAGTTCAATTCTCAACAAATGCGAAGAAGCTTGCAATGATGTCGTGGAGGGGGAAGTTCCTCGAAGTCTGGGATGTCCAAACACATAATTTGGATGTGAGGATAGGAAAATTTAGCTATTAATCAAGGCACATACGTATCGATGTTCTGGACAAACAAAAACAAAACTATCATAGCCGCATTCAGCTTCACCGAGGATGACAATCTACGAGTTTGACACATCGACGCTGGAGACCGTCGGAACTCCTTTTGAAGGCCATACATCAACGTTAGCTATCACTAGCCTAGCACTTTCATTTCATGGTGCTCTCCTGCTCAGTGCTGCTGACATAGATGACACCATCAAGCTCTGTGCTTTTGAGTCCCGCCAGCTCCTCGCCTCCTTCGACGTTCAGAGTCCCATCACCCTTGCCCTCTCATCCGACTCGCGCCAATTCGCTTACGCGGTATATACCGATGAAGATGATGACAACATTATTTATATATGCAACACTCCACCAGACATCCTTGCTCAGGTCAGTGTACGCGCTTCTCACAAACATTTACTATTTATGTGCTGACATTCTCTTACAGACCAGTGCACGCAAAAAATCAGCCCGCAGGGATCTGCTAAATGTGCGTGCTTCATCTTGTCCTCATTACACCACTCATCGATCACCATCATTGCAGTCTGATGCAGCTCCTCGTCTTCCTGCCGGGCGACGCAGATCACCAACATCTGTCATATCCATGGTGCCAAGACCTCCACCTACCATAAACCCGCAGCAATCGGTATTCCTTCGCCTCAGCAAGCTTTTTCGCTTCTCTCCTCGCACAAGTGCAGTATACCCTAGTCAAAATAGTCATCTCCGTGATCCCTTAGATGTATGTTTATTTCGTGTTTCTTTTGCATCTGATTTGACACTCGTACCACAGGTCCCTGCTACTTTGCCCTTACCATCCCATCTCTCTGGGCAGGCCTCAACTCCGTTTGATCATGCCAGTCTTGATTTGATTAAACTCACAATGTACGACTGAGTGAATATCCAGTTTGAAATAAATTCTCCGCCTCCCCCCTCAAATGGAGTCACGCCATTCCTACGGCAGCATCTTTCTTTCGTCGTGCCAAGACATAGTCGCGCACCAATCGTTGAAGTCACTCCTGGGCGAAAGGTCACTGTAACTCACATCTTCTTATCTCTCTGTGCCTCTTTGCTTATTTATACCCTACAGCGGCTAGCTGCTGCCAAACTACCGGAATATAGAAAAGTAGACGATACTCGACATCCGTCTAGCCAACAGTCTCCCGTGCCACCTGAACACGACCCATCTGACGTTGATTCACTCCCAGACGTGCATTGGTGCACAGCATTCCTGTGCTACTATTCCTGTTTGTCTCATGGCAGACTGAGAATGCCTCCTCGATGGCGCTTGGAGTGTGTTGACACACCCCGCCAGGATAGTATGACGAATGACAACCGTAGTGGTGTTTGTGGTCGCAGTTAATTTTGTGTACATATGTTCGCTGTTGTATCCTCCACAACTGATGATTTCCCACTTATATACCGATTATACGCTATCTGGGATACTGGACTTATTTGCTAAATCACATCACAACATGAACTTGTATGACTCGGATTATCATCCTCATGTGAGCTCATCCTTGCTGACGTTATACCCCGCAGAATGTTGATCTGGTCAAGTTTGACCACAACTCAGGGACATTCGGATATGAATTCCGGCGAGAGCATGAGTTTTGGCTACATATTCGACTCACTCTTTTCAGTCTCGACTACTGCCAGCTACTTCACTGTTTGTCACCTCCCCACCTCCTCCAACATCTGGCCGCACAATATATCAACCTGGTGTGGCCTGTTCGTACAGGTCATGCACAACTGCCTATAGTCGATGTTCCTCTCGCTCAGAGTAAAGAGGTATGTTTGGTTGATCTTCATCATTGTATACTATGCCTCATAAATTATTTTGTGGCGCAACACTGCAGCGGGTGCTCGTAAAAAGGACGACAATATAGACCTGATGAATATTCCGATCCTCCGCCGAACCCTGATTCAGAACAACCAGCCACAGCAGTACAGCCTGCCACCAGAGAGCATGGAAGCGGCCGCTATTGTTTTTGTTTTTAGAGTTGTTTCGTTGACATTTCCCCGTTAAACTTTAGGGCAATCGTGTCGCTCCTCGTACTTTTTACTAAACATGCACACATTTGGATACATTCTCATCCTTGAGATTTGGTTAAGGAGTCGGGGATATCATTGAGATTTGTTCAACTCGCATCCAGTACATCCATAGTAAGTTATAGAGTCAACTCACCCAAGAATATCGACACTTTGAAACTCCTTTCTTGACACGCTTCCTCGCTCCTTCATGAGGAGCACTGGGTGAGAAAGCCTCGGATGTGGGCGTACTTAGAACAGTCTGATACAGCGGGATGAGGAAAGGTGATCTTGCCGAGTTCAAAGCGAAACCAACAAATGGGCAACGATAAAGTTGGGTGGGAAAAGGAAAACAGATTCAACGCCCCAATAACACCGATAGTAGCCATGGCTATGAGCCAAGAAGCGAAGCGAAGTAAATGTGATGAATGGAGGGATTTAGGGTGCAGTGCACAGCATAGATAGGCCATGCAGAAGGGGCGTGTTAGGGTATTTGTATATGCAAGGCGAAGTCCGAGGCCAATAATTGCACTCACATTCAAGAAGTCATCTTTCCCCAACGTCTTGACTGCTAAGTTCTCGGTAACACCAAATTCTCATTTGGACTTCCAGCGCGGATAAACTGACGTTCGGCCATACCAGGGGGCCTATTTTCAAATCACTGTCAGTGTTAGTCGTATAGTACACCCACACCAGGAGACTCACTTTCGCGCCGTTAACATATCCAAAGCTCATACTCGATTACTTCATGGTTTCACTGGCGGAGACGCAGCCATGGCTTCTACATCGACGAAGGCAGCTGCCACGAAATCGATTTTGATTCCATCAATGACTTTAACGGGTCACAGAAATGAGATTCAATCTGTATCCTACTTTCCGGACGGTCAGCGAATGATCAGCGGATCTCTGGACAAGACTGCTCGGCAATGGGATCTGAAGGAGGGCAGGGAGATCGAGGAAGTGCGAGATGTTTGGGAGAAGGTATCGGCAGTGGCAGTGGCGGTATCAAGGGATGGTCGATTGGTTGTCACTGGTGGTGGACATTTCAATTGTGCAGAGTTGAAAGCCTGTGAGGTTGAGACGGGGAGTGTGAAAACATTCAAAATTCCCTCACAGAAAATCAACTGCATTGATATCTCTGCAGATAGCACGCTGCTAGCGAGCGGGGCATTTGATCGGACAGCGCGGATATGGAACTTGGATACTGGAAAACTCGTGGCTGGTCCATTCACGAGCTCTTGTAGCATGGGTGCAGTTCGATTCTCCCCAGACTCCAAGAAACTTGCGGTCAAGTCAGGCGCGGGGACGCGCCTTGAAATTTGGGATGTCGAAACACAAAAATTGGATGTGACGAGAGGGATATCTTGTAATGGTATACTTGCATTTCCGCCACTTTTCTGGACAAACAACAAAAACATCCTAGCCACTTTCACATTCGACACAAATGACCAAACCAATTGCAAGACGATCCACGAGTTTGACGCATCGACGCTGGAGAGTGTCGGAACTCCCTTTGAAGGGCACACCCTCAATATCAGTGGTCTAGCACTCTCATTTGATGGCGCTCTCCTCGCTAGCACTTCCTGGGACCACACCATCAAGCTCTGGGCTTTTGAGTCCCACCAGCTCCTTGCTTCCATTCACAATATTATTTTTCCTTCGATCCTTGTCTTCTCACCTGACTCCCACCAGCTAGCTTATACAACAAGCCACAAAGATGATTGCAAGATCTGCATCTGCGATATTTCACCCGAAGCCCTTGCTCAGGCCAGCGTACGCATTCCTTTCAAACGTACATCGTTCGTGTGCTAATATTCCCTTATAGACTAGCACACGCAAAAAGTCAGCTCGCCGTGATCTACTAAATGTGAGTGTTTCACCTTTTACTCATTACACCACTCATCGATCATCGTCATTGCAGTCTGATGCAGCTCCTCGTCTTCCTGCTGGGCGCCGCAGATCACCAATATCTGTCGTACCCATGGCTCCGAGACCTCCACCTACAATAGACCTGCAGCAACCCATGTTCCTTCGCCTCAGCAAACTTCTTCGCTTCTCTCCTCGCACGAACACTGGTCGAAACAGTCAACCTCGTGATCCCTTAGATGTCTGTTTCTTTTCGTGTTTCATTCACAGTTTATTCAACACTCGCGCTGCAGTTCCCTGCTACATCGCCCTTACCTACCAATCGCCCTCGTGCAGAAAACGCTCTATCGACACCCTTGCCTGGTGGCAGGGCCTTTTTCAATCCTATTCAGTCATCATCGGACAAGGGAAAACAAAAGATGCGTGAACTGAAACGAAAAACTGTAAAAGTTGTCGATGTTCCACTCGGACAAGCCACCTATGTTTGTTTTCTGCAATTCTGTTGGGCTCGTGAGATCTGACTGCGTCATTCACTAGGGCGATGTTGTTGGTGTGGACGACGGAATACGACCGTATGTTCTCTTCTTTTGCCTCAGCTGGTTCCAGAAAAAGGAGAAGAAGCAGGAACCACGCCCAGTCTATGACGATGAACTCGAGGACGACGAAGAGCAAGAAAATGTTCTTGATCCAGTCGTTTTGCCTCTTCCCGGGTACACTTAACCTAACCATCCACAAACATTCATTTACTAATGTGGTCTTCTAGGGTCCAGCACGAAGAAATTGAATTGAAATCGATGGCTAGTCAGTCACAACCAGAACCTGGACCATCTCGCCTTGCAGTAGCTGATGAACACTCAGAGGCGCAGTCTTCCTAAATATTTTATCCGTTGAGCATTTCATCTGTTGAATCTCGCACTGTACCTCCAGCTTTACGACTTGTTTTGGAAGAATAAACATAGTTGCGTCCTCACTTGAGTACATTGACGAGTGGGCGATATAATTTAGATATTCAAGCTTGAGAGTTTGGAAAGGGAAGCCTGATATGTCTACGCCTGGCATCAATGTATATGAACTCGTTCTCTGCCCAGACTAGCATTTCAGATTCGCCGGATCACAGTGAGAGCTGGCTACAAATCCGGGCTTCTGCCAGTGACTATGCTATTCAACAGGAACTGTGGCAAGTTATCGAGAATGGAAAAAGAGGATGTCCGGCTTCCTTTCTATGGAGCGTGGGTATCAGTAAGCTAATCGTCCATCACAGGGCGCTGCTTCATAGAGGATAAAGCGTGAACTCAGGATATGTGCCAACCTCAACCATCCAAATATTCTCCGCATTTTTGGCTATACGTATGGGTTCGGCCCATTTATAGCAATAGTCAGTCCTTGGGCGGAGAATGGTAATTTGACGGTCTACTTGGAGCGTGAGGGTGCGGCTCTTACTCTCCTTAGACGATTTCAGCTGGCAAGTCCTCTCTTCGCGTATTTTAGTAGACCACAACTGATGTAAAACTTAGCTAAGAGATATCATAGCTGGTCTGCGATATCGTATGTGATAGACTTTACTGTTGCCGGACCGAGCCATAAACTACTCCTCATAGTCCACGCCAACCGTGTCATCCATGGTGACTTCACTGGGGTGAGTTCGATGTTCTCGATGGTTCCAATTTCATTGAGACGTGAGCTCCAGCCTAACGTGCTGATCTATGGTGATGGCACTGCGTGTGTTGCTGACTTTGGCCTTTCCTTGATGTATTCCGAGGTTATAAGCGCCTCTCAGGCTTCCTGGACGTCCACGCTCAAAGGCAACATGCGATGGATGGCTCCTGAGCTCCTTGTATCAGGGCGGGAAGATGGATTCCTAACTCGTCCGAGCGAGCAAAGCGACATCTTTTCGTTCGGCGGTATCATGTTGCAGGTACGTGTTTGGAGTACTCTCAACTTGTTGATGATATCATTAGTTCTGCCTGTAGGTCCTCACCAACAAAATTCCTTATTATTACCTCCCGAATGACGCCGCCATCGTCCTATGCATAGCTAGGTCGGAAAAGCCCTTCCGATCTCGTTACACTGAGCTCCCTGAAAAATACTGGACGTTTATCGAGCAATGTTGGTCTAAAGTATACGAGGTGAGTGATTTTGAGCTTTTTTGAGTCTTAACCTGTATGCTCCTTGCTGGCATGATGTGGTATCTCATACCTTTTAAATTAAACAGTCTCTGGCCTTGCTGGCATAGCGTATGTCATGCTTCTAAGATTTTATAAGGAACTACCAACTTCAGGACACGTCATCACGATCCGCGGTAATCAGTGAGTATCTCGCAAAAGGTAATCACAGTCTTCGCATTTCTTTTCGTGATGCTCCAACATTGTGGGCACATGAGCCCGACATATTCTCGGGCCCATCTCAATCTCACCATACCATACAGTCCCTCATACACTTATTCTTCAAGCGTGAAAGTGACTTAACCAGCAAGGTACTTTTCCTGCTCACAGGACTTCGGCTCTCGGTTTCTGAACACGGTATCAATGGCTGGGAGCTCTATTCGCAGAGTAAGATAAGTCATTGGGTCACTTTTCCTCCTCACGACTCCTGCTCCTATGGACATTTTGTTTGCATTGAGATGTTTGTGGATCACCACCCAGTTATGCAAATCACTGTTGGACACATGCTGAGTATGAGCGTTGTCAGGGTGTTCTTATTTCGTGGTTCTTGAGCGCAATACTTGTATGGTGGGAATTCGACATTATACAACGCCTTCAGGTGTCATTGCCATAACCTCAAGAAGTCCTTTTTTTTCCAGTGATGCTACTTTCCCAACCGACGGTTATCTATTGCCCATAAGCACATGCCACTTCATATTTCAAATCCATATTCACAGCCTATCCAGGTGATCTCGCACGTCTCAAGCTGTTGTCCTGGCATTGGTGAGTGGGTGGTTTATTGGTAGCACACAAGGAAACCAACCTAACTTACCAGCGCTAGCGATGCACATACCACATCATTTTTGACACTGACACGCAGTCCACCATCTCTACCTAGCAGTTCTGCCCCTATGCCCTTCTTAGGCGGTTCCCTTCCTCTATCTACCCACGCTCAAGCGTCACTCTCGTAACATTAACCAGTTGATGCGACTCTGCCCAGTGCTTTCTCATGCTGAAATATTGCTAGGTGCTCATATCATTCTGACACTGGGGACTTGAGGCGTGATGCCTGTGTAAACATACGGGAAACATGACCCAAGTCGCCAGTGTTGACGCGGATGGCCTCTCAAGTATCAGAGATTAGATCCACATACCCGGAGAAACTTCGCCGTCAAACAGACTTAGCTTGTTCGTCCGGTGTGCAAATATCTTGTTCCGTCTCACTGCCCTCCTCAATTAGTCTCCATGCAGAATGAATCAACGCCTACATGTATTCCTCTCCAGCAGACCAGAGGGACTGTGTCCGATATAACCGACTGAACTAACATATCCGCGTGTTGTGACAAAGAAGAAATTAGACGATAAAGGGTACCCATCACAACGTCACAGCAAACAGTCGAATCCGGTTCAGTCCCACCCATGCCAGCCGAAACCCCAGTTGATGGCAATCGTGACGGGGAGTGTTCTACAAGTGCCAGTGTTGTTGTCAAAATACTCTGTCTGAATGGACCTTCATCAGCGTGGTGTTACGCCCCAGTCGTACGTCAGGCTTCATGGCAGCAGCGTCCTTGGAGAACGGGTCTCGAGTGACGGTCATTGCACAATGACTCTCGTATCGCTCTCGGCCTGTTGAATTCTGGGTAAGGGCATCTCGTTTTTGGACTGTAGCGTCAGGAAGACATTCAAAACTGGGAACATTGTAGATTCAAAAGTGATCAGAGCGTGATCAAGACAAAAATAGTCGATGACAACAGGTTGTGTGGGTTGGTGAGGCACCAGCTTTGGATACTTAAGAACCTCTCAACTATGGGACGAGGAAAGGTCGTCTCCGTGTTGTCTCCGTACAATGTTAATAACAATTGTTTATATGTCTGCTAACGGTTAGAGCAGCACTGCAATAACGATACGCCAGAGCTAACAAGCACACAGCAACGTTGGCGGGTGGGAAATATAAACGAGATTGACGCCCTAGCACAGGAAGTGCTCATGGCTGTGAAAGGCTGTAAGTGGTTAAGCAAGGAGAAGTAGATTCGAGAGATAGCATATCTTGCACAATGGTTGTACTCACATCGTAGAATTTCTCCCTCTCAACTTCTTGGCAATGTCAATTCACATTCGAACTTCTAGCGCGGATTGACTGACGACTCTACTAGAGGCAAAATAATCGTTAAGGTTACAACACACGAGGGGAACTCACCACGGGTCCAGCAAACACATCCAAAGAATCACTTTCACGGTTTCGCTCGCGGAGACATGGCCATGGCTTCTACATCGAGGAAGGCAGCTGTCACAAACCGGATTCTGAGACCATCAATGACTTTGAAGGGTCACGGAGAATGGATTTATTCCATAGCTTACTTTCCAGACGGCCAGCGAATGATCAGCGGATCTGAGGACGAGACCGCTCGGCAATGGGATCTGAAGGCAGGCAGGGAGATTGAGGAAGCGCGGGATGTTTACGAGAAGGAGGTATGGGCAGTGGCGGTATCAAGGGATGGTCGATGGGTTGTCACTGGTGGTGGAGATCACAATCGTGGGGAGCTGAAAGCCTGTGAGGTTGAAACGGGGATCGTGAAAACATTTACAGGACATTCACAGACGATCGCCTGCATTGATATCTCCGCGGACAACACGTTACTGGCGAGTGGATCACAAGATAGAACAGCACGAATATGGAACTTGGACACTGGTAAACTTGTGGCTGGTCCGTTCGAGAGCGTTGGTGGCGTGGGCGCAGTTCGATTCTCCCTAGACTCGAAAACACTTAAGGTCGCAGTGAAGTCTTGGGTGGGGAAGTGGATTGAGGTCTGGGATGTCCAATCACAGACATTGGATGTGAGGAGAGGGAATTTAACGGAGGACACGTCACATACGCGCCAATGTTTTGGACCAAAAACATCATAGCCGCGTTCAGCTTCACCGGTACTATCGATGCCCTCGCCATGACTATCTACGAGTTCGATGCATCGACACTGCAGACTGTCGGAACTCCCTTCGAAGGTCACACCGACACTGTCACTGGTCTAGCACTTTCATTCGATGAAGCTCTTCTCGCTAGTGCTTCCTTCGATGACACTATCAGGCTGTGGGATTGCGAATCCCGCCAACTCCTCGCCTCCTTCGACGTTCAGAAGATCACTGCCCTTCTCCTCTCACCCGATTCGCGCCAACTAGCGTACAAGTCATACGCCAGTGATGATCACGAGATCTGCATCTGCGATACTCCACCGGATGTTCTTACTCAGGCCAGTATACGCCTTCCCCGCTATTCGTATGCTAATGTTCTCTTACAGACCAGTGCGCGCAACAAGTCAGCCGGTAGCGATCTACTGAATGTGCGTGTTTCATCTGTTATTTATTGTGCCACTCAGTCATTGATCACTGTCATTGCAGTCTGATGCAACTCGTCGTCATGCAGCTGGGCGCCGCAGACCACTAATTTCTACCGTACCTGTGTCGTCGAGACCTCTGCCTACAATAGACCCGCAGCAACCCGTTTTCGTTCGCCTTCGCAAATTTCTTTCTTTCTCGTCTCACACAAACGCAGTACATCCTATTCGGAACGATCAACCCCGTGATCCCTTAGATGTACGTCTCTTTTCTGGTTTACTTTGCATTTGATTGGACGCTCGTGTTGCAGTTCTCTGCTACGTTGCCCTTACCCCGCCCTCTCTTGGGGCACACCTCAACTCAGGGACGTCCAAATATAAATTCTGGCGAGAACGTGAGTTTCGGCTACTTGCCGTCACATATTCGACTCACTCTTTTTAGTCTCAACCAGAACGTCCTCAGTAAGCTATGTGCTAACGATTTTGTTTTTGCCATTTCATAAGGGCTCTGAGTTAAAGTCTATCCTTTGATGATTGTTTCTGTAGAAAACGAATCCGTTCCCTCCTCTCTGGGAGTCAACTGGGTAAAATGATATCTGCACATACGGGATAGCGTCGCTAAATCGAGATCGACATCCAGAAGTTCCGCGCGCCGGTCCATGTATCGCTTCTAGTTGGGTTAAATAGAATATATAAAATTCGCGATGCGAGAGGCTGACCCACCGACCCAAAGCGCAAATTATCGGGTGGGTCAGTGATTCCAATCGATATTCCGTCGTCTTGGTAAAGGGCAGTGTTGGTGGTCGTGGGTGAGGATGTCGAGAGAAGACATCTGGAAGTCTGACAGCTTTGCTGATGCTTGCGACGTCGATGAAGCACAGACGAATGAAGGTAGTCGTTCATTCTTTAGTAGGGCATTTCCAGAGTTTTGTGGTGCCTAATGCTTCACGCTGGGAGTCAACGCTGCAGTGAACAGCGCTTGGGGGCTGGTGGTCAAGAATATGTCCTTTTAGTTGATGTAGAGCTTACCCCTTCGCGCACCCTCACAACTACCTTGCAGTGCGAGAGACTCTACTTTCCCTTGTCGCACTTCAGGTACGCAGTTCTTGTCTGCAGAAAGGCTCGGTGTTGCACATTCGTAAGCAAGAAGCGCTGGAATGTCTGCATCGCGTGGGTCGTATCGAAAATGCCATCTATGGTGGGGAAAACGAGATGGAATTTAAATGGAAGTCTCTTCCATGGTTGGCTATAGAGTTTATCAGTCTTACAAAATCGCTGGAAAGTGAGTTTGGGAGTGGCCAGATAATTGCAAGTTTCGACCTCATGGTCACTGCTTACGCCGCACAAGATAAACGCTCTCATTGTCATGTGAATAGATGAGGTCGAGTACTTGTCGGAGTTTGAAGAAACAAAGTGTAGACGTCTCACGTCTGCAACTCACCCTCACTGCACAAGTCATCGCCGGCTCATCCGTCTCCACTATGAATCTCACATGAACTGTTCGAAAAATTTGTTGGTGATCCCAAGGTGTGACATCAGACGGTTCAACAACTATTCTATCCATATGTACATGGTAGTCCAGCACTCCCCTCCCCGATGCAACATCATGCAGCCCTTGTAAGTTAGTACCCTGAAGGAACACTGATTTTCGTCTTGGTCAACGAGGACGTTATGAGTCGCTAAAACCATGCATCTAATTCATGGCCAGCCACAGGCACTATCTCATTCACCTTGGTGAGTTTTTCCGTTTAGACGATACTCCTTCCACAGAGCTGACATTCGACCACAGAGAATAGTCATCTGAATAGACACCCACGCTGATATATAAATACAGTTCAGTCTACCCAGAGTAGATACATACACGGAATGCCCCTCGAACTTCTCAATATCGACCCTTCGTCCATCTCCAGACTTCGTTCTTGCGAAGTTTGACTGGTTCTCGCCTTCATCGAGTTGCGGAACGTGGACAAGGCTATATTTCGGAAGCAACACTTTTAGTATCTACGAGGTTGATTGGTGCGTTGGCTTTCGTATGGAGGGGCGCAGACGCTGACTCGGTGACGTACTAGGCATCTACAAGGTAGTCAAAGTGGCACTCGACTATGTCAATTGGCGCATTCACCTGAGCCTTGACGTCGACACACTCGATCCGAGTTTTGCGCCTAACGCGGGAGCACCAGTAAGCATTTTGAGTTGATTCTTGACAATCAGTGGTTTTAGTGGGATGGAGTCAGTCATATGGTTTGCACGCTTTTGATGACACAATGCGCACCGAAAATACCTTCTGATGGAAATGTGTTTTGAAGGTCACGAAAATGCGCACAATTCCCCACGTATCCCGAGTCAGATACCTGACGCTGCAGGCACTCACTATATGCGTGAAATAAGCACATTTGCTTGTGCAGATCCTTTATGCATCGTTTGTCCCGTTTCATTGAGACTTGCAGCTACAAACACTTCGATCCGTTGTAGGAATGGCCAAGTCTACGACAGGCAGATGATGTCTTCCTACATGAATTTATTCCAACTCGTCAGATATGAAGTCAATGACCAGCACTCCCCAAAATCCCGCAGGTGCGCGGTGGCCTTACAGGACACTACATCTTGGAGGTGATTCATAAGACTGGGTTTCTCGTCGCGCTTAACTTAATGGTACGTCTGTTACTTTCTCTCGTATAGGGTATTGACGTAACCTGATATGTTCCACTAGACGCAGATCGCTTGTGGAGGTGGAGATACTGTAATATGGGGTGCTCAGTCAAGAGCACAATAACTCGCTATTCTGTAAGAGTAGGGAAGGTTTGCATGGGTTGCTAAGGTGTGGAGTTCACATCCGAGATCCTTGTGGACTCTTGTGGACTGTTCCCGCCATATATCTATATCGTTAGTATCAACAACTATGTGATCTCATATATTTATATTAATGGATTTTGTCGATAGATCTTGAGTAAGCAATTTCGGATGGTAATATCAAGTCTGTCGGTAACGTCTGGAGTACATATACACGAAGAACATACCCAGCCGAGGGGGGACTGTTCTACAATCAATAAGATCCGACGCGTCGTGTTCAATGTTTGTGAATAAATGGTACTCCTCTCGACCTAATTGAACATCTCCACAGCCGTATCGGGGAATATCCGGGTGGCCTATGTGTTATACTATTGTCTGTGGACAGAATTAAAGTCAGTGGACGCATTCCTTTGTATTCGTGCTGTTTAACTTGGGTAACAATTTGTGGTCCACAACGCTTCATCCACTCATAGCGGGTTCTTTAACAGTTTAAATTCTGCTACTTGTGTCTCGTTCCTCCTCTTCACAGTCCATCGCATTTTGCCCTCCACGTCTATCATCTAACTTGTGTACTGTGAGTTACTCTTCTACACTTGCTTCACCTTCTGTCGCTCATCTTGTCCTGCCACAAGCTAGAGCGTACCGCCGTCTGCAGTCCGCCTTAACCATCTCAGATAATTGAAATGCAACAGCAGCAGCCAGCTCAAACAGGCCAATGGTCGATCCCAGGCCCGCCTCAACATGAGTTTCATCCTTACCCTCCCATGCCTCACCCTCCACCAGTCCCCTCACGTCTCGCACCTTATCCCCCGGAGGTCTACACATATGTATATCAACAATATATGCACGGGGTTCACCCATTCTACGGAGCGTCATACCAGGCCCCTCCCTACAATTTGGGTGGGTATCCCCTGCCGTCCAGAGTATGGGTGTACCGCCGGCGGCTGAGCAGCCTAGCTATCCTTCCGCACCCCCCTTGGCGCAACCCTCCTACAACCAACATTTGGAGCAAGTACCAGAGCAGCGAGTACCGGAGCAGCAAGCACCAGAGAAGCCAGCATCAGTAGCCGCCGCTGAGGAAAGCGTTGTCAAGCGCGGAAAGCGCAAGGCGGTGGACTTGGATGATGATGATGCTCCCCCACAAAAGAAGCAAATGGTCCACGCCCTCCTTTACCATCCAGATTTTGTGAGTCCATTTTTTTGTATAGTTCTCGCTATCATTCTGACGGTTGTTTCATCAGGAACTGGTAGAAAGTAACGGCGAGGCCCGTTACAAATGCTGCCTGCCGCAATGCGAAAACGTAGCTGCAGTGCGACAAGCTGGTATTCAAGGCCATATCAGATCGAAGAGGCACCAGAAAGCCGGGGTTCGGTTCCAATCCCCAGTATGTAACGAAGCGTGAGTACTGTAGTGCTTTCGGATGTGACTTAAAGGCTGATATATAAATTCTGACTAGTGTCAGTCGCATGGACCCTTCGAATATAAGCCGCTCTTGTTCCAAGAACCAACAAGAGGCCAACGAGGTCTCTCAAAGACCTTGCGAAGGTCCGACTTCAAGCCAGCCGTTCGAATATTTTTCCAACAATTTTGAAGAAACTACCGATTTCACTCCGGGCGAGCCGTTGCAAGAGCCTGTCAACAGTCTTGATAAAACTGTCGATTCGGCTTGGGACGAGCAGGTGAACGAGTTTTTCAGCATTATTAACAAGGCCGCCGAATCGACTTCGGGCGAGCAGTTGGAAGAGGCTGTCAACAATTTTGAAGGAACTGCTGATTCGGCTTCGGGCGAGCAGTTGGCGTTTGTCAACAGTCTTGACAAAACTGACGATTCGGTACCGGACGACTTGTTTGAATATTGTATGAACAATCTCGACAAAATGTACTATTCGGCTCCGGCTCCGGGCGAGTCGTTGGATGATTTGTTAAATCGTTTGCTTTCTTCGCAGGCATCTTGAATCGTCGCTACTTCATTCTGACAATATTGTAACATCATGTACACCTGGATACATACAAAGTACGATACGGCTGCAAGCTGGGACTTGCAAGACTCGTGCAAGGCACATGGGGCGAATTCGGAATGTACGGGGCTGTAGTCTACTACTCAAGTTGAAGTTTGAATTACATAATTATGTAACCACCAGTATATATGTAATATCTATGGTTTCCAGTCCCTATCACTGGAATCAAATCCTTGCTCAGGAACATATGCACATATCCCAGATCGGAAGTACTGGCTACGCTTGGGGCTACATTGATGACTGTGTTTGGCGTACGTCGTTGTCTCTGTGTCCCTTCTTGTGCACCAAGTCCAGAGTGGAGTGAACATGGCTCGCTTCCTCATTGCTGCTGCCATGCTATTCTACTGCAGCAGTGATGGGAATTCCGCCCTCTTTGTGCAATGACTTGCTTTTGTTTACCAAAGGTATGCTCTGCGGCTGATCTAGTAGGTGGACGTAAAGCAAATGCAGCCATACGAGATTGAATTCTACCGCAACAGCCTAGGGCCCTGACTAACCTAGGTACCCGCGCACTTGCGTCAAGCATTTGCGCTGGAGAAATCTCTAGTTACTATCGATCGAGGACGTCAAGCTGTCCGGCCTCACATCACCGCTAGCCTGAGCGTATGAACGGGCGGTGTATGTACAAGCTTCAGTAACCTCACTGCTTCAGTGGCAACTGGCGGCAACAAGTTACCGACGTGTGGGATTGAATGTCAACGGTATGTATTGGACTTGACATGATTAGGGGTGAATTTCCGAAATGCAGTGCTCCTTCACCCATCTCATGGCTGATCTGAAACATTGATATGGTCATGCTTCGTCACAATTATGGCTGTTTCCCAAAATATTCTGACCGTGGATCGACATTATGTAGGTACATTTCTTTAAATCCACCTATGTCAAAGTTATTGAAACCGTGCAATGATGATTTACATAATTCACGACGCAGTGCATGTATCATTTGAAACTCAATACCGCCGTAGACAATGCCACCTTGGGTATAAAGTTGCCCAACTTATTTGACATGCAAGCAAGACCTAGAAAGCGCCTTAACCCCCACACTCAACTTCCCGTTAACATGCTCTTCAAGTACATAGCTGTCTTTGCCGTAGGGATTTCTGCTACCTTGGCTCAGACAATCGAGCTAGGGTTCCCCCAGAATGGGGACAACTTCTGTCCCGGTCAAGAAGTAGTCGTTCAAGCCATTCAACCGGTTGGTAGTTCGTTTGTTTCTCAGTATCATGCGTCACTCTGACAGGTGCCTATAGGAATCCTTGGCATCTTGCATTCAGGTTGGCATTGCCTTAGCAATCGATGACTGCGTGAACGGCTCGTGCCCCGATCCTGCAGAGGCGTTAGGATCTGTTCTCTATGCAGGTTCCTGGACACCTGAGAACCACCCTCCTGGCGGTTTCTACCAGAACGTTACCGTCACTATCCCGTCTTTACCTTGCAGAGGGGTCCTGCTATCTTTACACTTACGCACTTGTGTCTCCTTGGGGTACGAGATCTTCCGTTTTTATCTTCATTCGCCAGTCTAAGGCTGATTTTATAGGCGGCTCCATATCCGTTCCTTGAATATCGCAACGCGACGGTGAACATTGGTGTAACGGTGGACACCGGAAAAGGTTTTCATCATATGAATTCACATGGACGTACTGGATCTGGACTCTTATTTCGTGTCTTCTATGAAACTCGAGAACTTAAGTAATTGTTGATGTAGGATCGGAGGAATTGACTATCTGTCGTACTTTACTTCGCTAGCACTCGTATACGGACGTAACCTGTGATAAGGGTGAGTACTAGAGACGAAACAAGAAAATCCATGCGACTCTGGTAAAAAGTTTGGAATCACTTGTTCTGCTCACAGCGTGCCACCAAGGAAGACTGAGCATACATGTGTCAAGACATATTGTTCGATACTCCATCCCGCGTTGCCTGTTCTATGTTCTTACCCTTCTCTCTACGCTGCCCACTTTGCACGTCTTCAAAGACTTGATCAAGTTTTTCACTGCCATCTCCACTTTTGACAGCCCCTTGGGTGGGTCAACATTTAATCTGGTATCCATGTTGAAATCTTCCTCGATTTATTTTGCCGGGGACTTCGCCAGATATGCCAGAAAAGAGCAGTGTGACGGAAGCAAAGAATCCAAGAAGACTCAATAGAGTCACAAGTATGATTTTACTGCGTATGTTGGTGCCTTGGATGCAGAAGGCGGCGATGGCGATGGTAAAGCAGAGGACAGACCACAGAAGTGACACTACTGGAAATGAGAGAAAACAAGCAGTAATGGTCAAGTCAACGTGTCCACCCAGGCGTCGGACATGGTACAGGTACGACTCCTGAGATCGAATCAATAATCCATCAATAATATTGAATTGGATATGACACTTGCTGCATCCTGGTAGAGCGCATCCACCTTGCCGCGGTGTCGCCACACATGGTGCACCCCGACAGTGATGCTCATCATAGCGAACAATGATGATGCAAGTGAAGCAGTTTTTTGTAGCGCATCGATCCCCTAGACGAATAAATTTATCAGTTGATGGTACACATATTGGTTGTATTGCTTACAGGAACGGCCAGGAATGCTACGTTGGCACTGACAAAAACAGTCGCCTGTGGTTGAATGTATGCAAGTTAGACATGTCTACTGCCGCTCGATGGCAAGCCTTACAAGCAAATTGGAGTCTGTCGTCATGTTGAGCGAAGAGAATGTTGCAAGATGGACGGCGCTTACCTGCCCATTCATCAAGGAACTGTTGCATCAACCTCCGAAAATCGGGGAGGTAAACGGCCCCTTTGACTCTTGTCCCTTGTAGCCGCGTCCGATACATGGAATGAGCCCCAAATAGTGGCAAGGTCGGATAATCTCCGGAACGAGGACTCCGGAATAGCTACATTCCGATATATTCGGTCTTCAGGTATGCCCCAGTGATACCGCATGCGAGATTTCTCAACTTCTGTCATTACTCTGGCGATATGCCATACGATGGCCGGAATGACAGCGTTTTCTGTCGATTCCTGTCTATCTATATCACGGCATTAATAATTAATTCTGATGCATCACCAACCAGAAGACGATAGAGCTTACCTTTCAAATCCTGGTATATTCGAAGAAAGCGTTCACATGACGATCAACAAATGGGAATGGCGTGTTTCTGAAATCGCGGATCCTTTCTGAGTGGGAAAAATCAGCGCATGTGCCGCAGGAAATGACAAGAACGAACCATTGGCGCCGAACGTGATGGCATTCAAAAATTCGACTTCATAATCCCATGGCAAGAAGGGATTATGCATGGGGGTACGATTCAAGATGCTTCCAGAAAAGCTCCTTGGCTTGTTCCACTACTACAAGAAGATGAGATCGAATTCACGTGGTTCTCATTGATTACATACCATCGTCCCCATCCATGCGCAGAATACGTCTTGAATTGATGGCAACATGGTAGATATCTGCGGCGTCGGACGAATCAAGCCGCGGAAGCGTCACTATATGTTCACAAGATGGGAGGTCCTTTGGATCAACAACTTTGATAAACTTGCTTATCTCCTCCTTCCGGATGCGCTCGATGTTTGAAGTATCAAAGGCTCCCGTATGTCATTCGGTGTGACCAAATTGAAGCGACGGTGATGACAGTAAACTTTGCCACTGAAGTGAACGTATTTGGTCCAGAATTTGGGCAGCGTACTGTGCCCCTAATCAGTCACAGATACGTAGAGTTTGTGGTAGTCTTACCGTGTCTCAGAGAAATAGAAGGAACTGTCCTTGGAGTAGAAAAACTCGGGGGGACCGATGACTGTTCTTGTTACCATATCGGGATGTATGGTCCATTCCTCGTTCGGTTTTGCTCTTCGGGTCATAGTATTTGTGGTTGAGGTAGCCTCCCTTACGATACCTCTTTGAGGGCTGGTTTTGACAGAGGAGCGTTCTGGTCCTTTACCAACTCCTGTACCAGTTCGACTAAAGGTCGATGCAAATGGAGCCACGGAGGCACCACCTGATGGCGCCAAGTGTTCGTCCTTGTCAGAAGATCTTTCCTCAAGAGCAGGAATGTTATTCGCAAGTCTATTCCACTCAGCTCGAGCGGCGGACATGTCAGTCGGAACAAACCTGAACGGAAGTGAGGAGGTGGTGTCATTTTGTGTGTCGAGAGTAGTCATTGTCTGAAGGCGTTTGTTTGTCTGGGGTCAGTGAGCTCGCCATGAAATAGATCTGGTGCTTATATTGATAGCACACTACAAGTGATGCTGTTATTTGCAGAAGGTCCAGGGAACATTTCATGATAGTGTTTGTGGCCAGGACAACGATCTGACAGCACGGACAAGTACATGCTGCCATTGTAGGTCCATATATATAGGTCTTTACGTTGCCTGCACTTCAGAATCAGATAGGTAAGGTCCCAGGTTTAATCAAGGGCTGCGATTATGAACGCTCGACTACTGGCACTAATTCGGGACAAGGCATTTTGGACAACAAGCAGAAAGAACAAGGACAAACTTTCCTATCTAGGATTCACAAGAAACTAGCCGGTCACCCCCCGATTTTGGTAAGCTGTGTCGTATTCTTCATTACAATCCGAAAAAAAAATCAAGCAGCTGCTACATACATAATACCCACGCAACGATTACACTATGACCGGCGACTGGTGCTACTAGTAATAAACAGTAAGATACAATACTCTCAGCATTGCCAAGATGGCAACAATCTTGCTACGACGGTCGACTCTCCCCTCTCCCAGATAAGAACGACGAAAAAGCAAGTTCACTGCTCAACGGAGCAAGTCCCAGCTTCGGATTTGGAGGAGGTTCAGCCGGAACAGGTGATCCTGGTGTCTCTCCTAAACGTGAGCCAGATGGGAAACTACCGGTTTGGAAGGCAGACAGGTCTGGTTTACTGTCAAAGACCCCTAAAGTTGGGTAAGCTTTGAGAGCAAATAATGAATATTCTACAACGTACCTAGCTTGCGAAGCCATCGCTGCCGAACTTGGTGATATCCCCTTGATGGTAACGCTTTCTGGACCAAGTCCCACTTCTGTCCGTATTTGGCGACAGCCTGTTAAAGTGTGTCAAGAATCTGGCTGCTGTATAATCACAAAATACCGACCTGAGCAAGTAGATCATCCTCCTCCTTGCTCCACTTGACGTAAGGACTTCGCTGCCTCTTTGGGACATCTTGGCCTACAACCCTGGTGACCTCCTTGTTCTTCGTGATCGCCACAGATTCTATTCCGGTTCCGGGACTAGAACTCGGTTCGGTATTATCAACGATCGAATCAGCACTTCCTGCGTCAGTCTTTCCAGGAGCTGTCTCGTGTCGCAGATGTGCTTGCAAATCCGACGGGGCATCTCCCCAACTACTACTGATCGGGGTTGTGACTGCCCGTTGGTGTAGTACAGATGTTGGGGCCACAGTTTCTGTAATTGTGGAACTTTCATGCCGAGGAGAAAGAGGCACAAGGAATGGATCAACGAGTGCGGACTGACTGGGGGGCGCATTCACACTAGGATCGGGAGTGGGCTCGGCGGGAGGTATTGGTGGTGGTGTAGCCCCGTTGCCAGGAGGATCATGCCTCACCTGATCAGCCGACTCGGGTCGCGGAGGAGGGGTAGGGGATATTGTCATAGGCTGAGTGGGGGAAGGCGTTGAGGCGGTCGCGATTTCACGAGCAGAACCGGGGTCCCCGGACGAAACTTGTGTAGGTCCATCGGACCATTGGACTGGGTGTAGATTTGGCGGCCCAGAACCCCAGTCAACTGCATTTGCTCGGGGTAAAGGCGAGGGACGACGGGACCGAGGAGGCTGGGGCGCAACGTCAGGTACGGATTGCTTCTTTTTTGACCTGCTTTTCTCTCTCAGTTGATTGTCGAGGGATTTATCAGGAATGCTGGGAGCCTTCTCCTTCCCTTTGCCCTTGGGCAGTGAGCGAAATTCCAAATGACTCTGCTGATCTTGCGAAGAGAATACGGCGGCTTGGTCAGCTAGTACGTCTAGCCCTGATCTAACCCTGCCAACAGCAGTCGAATTGGAGCCAGCTGAGCTACTACTTGGTTGTCTTGCACCTTGATCTCTTGCTTGATCTCTGAGCGCACTAACCTTGTCTCGGGCAGCGATTTTCCTGCGTTTCGGTACAGGACTATCAGGGATGTCGCTTGATCGCGAACGCCTTGTGCCAGTGACGGTCTCTTCCTCATCTTCATCATTATCCATCATTGACCTTGCTGCACTCAAAAGAGAGTCCAAAGGCGTTGGTGGGTTCTGGTTACGCGCACCTTGCTGCTTCTTCTGTTGGTGGGTAGAGGAAGACGCTGAAGCTGCTGTCTTAGAAGAGCTCGGAGTTTGTAGCAGGTGGTGTGAATATGCTGGAACAAGCACGGGGACAGCACCTGGGCGCATAGGACTATTAAGATAGACGTACCCTGGCCCAGGGGGAACAGCTGCCATGCGCTTTGGTGTCTTGGGGGTAGCAACGACGGTTGATGTTGATTCCTCTCGCTGCTTATCCAGGGTCTGTGTGAGGCCAGCCATTATACCAGCACGCTGTTTTCCGATTCTCTTTGCCGCTAGGAGCAAGTGTTCTGTTCTTGCATCCGCAGTTAGAACTCGGGGAGCTTGTCTTTGAGAGTGCCGGCGCTTGGAAGGATGCGGATGGAGACTTGCTGCCGCTGTACGAGATTTCTGCTTTGGCGTGGTCGTAGGTGTATCCTCAGGGTCTCCTGGATGGTCATCATCAGAAGGATCAGGGCCAGGATCCTCGTCCTCCGTAGTTAGTGGATGATCTTTCCTTCTCCGCCGGTGTGGACGAGTCTTTGGTACTTGATTCAAGGTGGCAGTCCCATTTAATGCGAGAGGTTGCATGAGAAGCAAGGGGCGGAGGCGGGATAGTTCGCCTTCGAGGATGGAGAGACGTGATTGAGTTTCATGAAGCTGGTGGGGAATCAGCAATAGGGGTGCGTGATGGAAAGAGGGGCTCACTCGTTGGCGGAGACTTCGGTTGTCTGCTTCAGTTATAGCATGTTGTCGCTCAAGCTCCTGGATCAAAGTTAGTTACTGGTAATCCGAAGAAAAGGGGGCAACGAAGATGACAAAAAGCTATAATGAATTTTCACATGTCTATTAGACTGGCTTACTGCCAGCAGCGTCGCAGTCAAGTAATCGGTGTGAAAAGTGATTTATCAAGACGACCATGCAGTCTTGCTAAACCAACATCGCTAAAAAGAGATAAGAATGACTTACTTCATCTTTGTCGGACGGACTCCTGTGCTTGGCCTGCTGTGTAATAAGTGCTTCGGCCATTCGTGCCCAACTATCCTTCTCTGAGTTCCACCGCAATCTCTGCTCCTCTGCCTGTCGCACGAGTATATCACGCTGGTCAATTAGGCAGGATATAATTTCGGCCTGTCTAATGATTTGCTCTGGATCAGAATGCACGACATCATTTTCCTTCGCCATCTATCAGTATAGATATGGAGCTTAAGTCTAACCGTCCTGTGATAGTATTGAACGGGACATAACGCACTATATCGGGTAGCTCTTTCTCCCCTCCACCGAGATCATGCATGTCCATGATATTCATACGCACTTCTTGTATGTCAGTGTCATTTTGGGGCCTAGGAGATGCGATTTTGGGCCGGAGGGGTAGTTGAGAGTCATCCAGTGTTGCAAGTGGTGGCGCCGGGGAGAGGGATATGATATGAACAAGGTCATCAAGAGCTAGAGGTGGATATTCATTGCTCATCACAACCGACAGCGAGAGGCCTTGTCAGTACGGGTCTTGGTCGTCGTGGGTGACGATGAGCAGGAGTCGTCGACCGCAAGAAATCAAAAAGCCAAATAACGCCAACCCAACGCGCGGTGCACGTCACATGATCTGTCGGAGTTGCATAAGCTATAGTCATGTGACATTGTGCTGTTGCAGTTGGACCGGCTCCTGTTTTGGAGAACGTAAGGTCTTTCGTGCGTTTCATGATTTTTATGCGATTCGTGTTTAATTACTGCTAGTGATACCCCCCGTCTTGTGCATATCTTGATTATCATCAGCGACGATGGGTTCAACCCCATTTCATCGTCTAGCCCTGGTTCTTCCCCCGCTGCTTCTCACTGTTTATCTCTTAGCCAGCTTCCCGCGACCACCTACTGTACCCATCATCCACACATCCCTAGCGCACCTTCCGAGCTCATCGCCATCGTGGAATGTATACCCAGAGGACTTGTATAGTGGAGGTTCATACGCTAACCTACCTCTAGGACGGGTACGTACTTTGCTGATGTGTACCCATGTTCTAGTGCTGACGAGTATACTACCCAGGTGCGATATTGGCTCATAGGACCGGAGGACGGACAGCGTGTGCGTATTTTCGTGCGCGTGAGTATCATTTACTTATCAAGACTACTAGATTGTTTTGATACATGGCCTTTCCATCCCGGCCATCGTCTGGAAAGACGTAGCACCTGTACTCGCCTCACGAGGATACCGTGTACTTCTGTATGGTGTGTTTTTGTCTTGCAATGCATGTTACGGTCCGAACCCACTCATGTTGTAGATTTATATGGTCGCGGTTACTCGGATGCCCCCCAAGTAACTTATGATACCACTCTTCACACCACCCAACTCGCGCTCCTTATGCAACATGTCAAATGGGATAATGCATTTATTGTTGGATTGTCGATGGTAAATTCATTTTATTTTGTTGATCTACCGCTTAATTCCCTCTCCAGGGAGGTGGCATTGCTACTGCATTCTCAGCCCACTTTCCTCATCTGGTGAATGGAAAGGTCGCTCTTATTGCTTCAGCAGGTATTATGGAGGTAATTGACAACCAGAAAAGCAAAGTTTTAATCTGACGTATCTCACATAGTCAAGCGATATCTCTCGTACCTCAAAATTTATGTCAACTCCCCTCGTGCAAACGGTGTCCGCCCTCCCACCTTTCCAAGTAAGCTTGAGGAACTGCTCCATTTTCTCTGCCATCTGACTTTGACGTAGCATTACATGCGTCTCCTTGCGAATACCTCTAAATCCTCGGAACTTTGTGAAACCAATCCGATACAAGAAGTCTGTGTTTCCTGACCACCCGTTTCACGGCCACTAAATACTACTCTCTCAGATTGTCCGTCTCCAAACCGCGCATCTCCCTTACTACAACGCTGCTGTGGCATCTTCCCTTCGCGACGGCCCTATTCGTGGCTTACACTTTGCATTCCAATCACTCGCACGCTCTAGCAACCAAGTGTTGCTCATTCATGTAAGAATTCGCTCCATCAATCTGCCACTATGATGCTGACGTTTGCGATGAAGGGCACGTCGGATAAGACTGTCCCCTATAAATACGCTTCTAAGATACACAGTCTCGTACCGCAAGCCGACCTTGTCACCATCAGCGATGGTGGCCACGATCTCACTGTAACTCACGCACCCGAGGTGAACGCTTTGCTACTTCACTTTCTCGCCGACGATTACTCGTACAAGCCTTGTGGATGAGTACTTTTTACTTGATATACAGGGACTAATACTTTCTTTGACGATATGTATCTGCACCCGCGCACACATGCTATTCGCTACTCATCGTCGAACGCTATTTTTTTTCCAACGTATGATCTCTCTTGCATCATTCTGGACACCATGCCCATCACACTTTATCCTCGTCTCATGTTGTCCTCGCTATTCATCCGCGTTACGCTTTGGCTCTTTTCCTGTTTGCATTACTATACAAAGTCATATCTTGTATTAATCACATTTTCCGGAATAAATGAAGCGCTTCCAAGTTATATGCAACAATCATCCATCTATCAGTCATTGTGCGTCGATATTTCCGCCTTATCTGCATGCGCGCTAACGACTGCTACTGGCTGGTAAGTTGAGCCACAGCGCGTATGTAGCGTGTCTAAGGTGATTGTTTTTTGTCGCCTCTGTCCATCGTTCGGTCATGTCCTGATAAGTATTTACATCTGGGAATCATTGTCTGCTGCCGCTAAACTCTTTGTCGCATCTCTTTCTCTAGCTTCTTGCAGAACGCTCTAACTTATGAGGTCCGGCGGCCCCATAAACGGCTTGCGGCCCTCACTAAGCTACAGTATGATCAGTTCATCCGCTGACAGTGAAAGAATGAAAGTTCCTTCGCCGACCCTGCACCATGCAGTAAATGTAATGTGTTTGAAGAAGTTCCCTTGCGACCATATTCCTGACGCGCGCGGCTCTCGAATACAAGGTGAGAGCCACTTTACCTAGCAATTGAAGTGCATTAGTCTGTGAGGGAGCCGGGGATATGTTTCCGACACCTCCAGAAAGACCGTGAGCTTCTCTTCCAGTTTAATCACAAAGTGGTCCAACCTGGTCATATCGGCGCAGTCTCGGTCTTCCGTGGCAGAGCAACTTCAAACTAGTGCAACACCTCGGTGTATGATGTTCTGTCAGTAGTTTTGGCTAAAATGAATCATTGGAACGGTGGCCCTGTGTTTGTCCCGACAACATCATCACGACGTTACTCCCAGTTTGAGGAAGCTCATCCCTTTCCGCAAGGACGCGGAATTTCCCTTAACCAGGCAACTCTCCCCCGGAGGACCTCACTTCACCGACCAGCGGGTAATATCCAGTCAGACTTAACTTTTACTCATAGTCAAGCAGTCCCCTTACTCGTCCAGATGACAATGCCCACATCTCTGCTTCAAAAAGGAAGGTAGTTGTTCCTGTGGATAGGTTCGTCGGAAGCATCAAAAAGAAGTTGTAGACTCGCAGCCTTCGAGACACTCCCGACCGTGAGTTACCTCGTGTTATTATATCTCTTTTGCCATTGTGAACGCCTCGGCGGTGTTCCTGCGAAATATTGATTGGGAAATACAGACGTGATCTATTGCTGGCACAAGCTAGGTTTGTTGCCAAATTACCCATAGTGATCAGAGAATCTGAAATCCCAGTCTAGGCAGAGAACAAGCGTATGTCAATTGATGGGAGGCGTAGATATTTCGAGCTTCCCTTTGCGAATTTCCTATCTCAAGCTTGAATAGTATCACCCGCCCGTCAATAGGATGCGACGATGATTATTCTTCCAAAACAAGTCATGCAACACATGATGGTCATAAAGCTCAAGTAAAATACGAAAATTGACAGATGAAAACTGAATGAATGATGTATTTACGAACAGTGGGCTTCCGAGTGGTCACTTACCGCAAGGCGGGATGGTCCTGCTTCGGACTGTGCTTGACTCGCTATTGTTTTCAATTCAATTTCTTCGTGCTGAACCCTATAGTGCGTTAGTGAATCATTTTTATGAACAAATATGTTGTATATACCTGGGAGGAGGCACGGCGACTGGACAGAGAACATTTTCTTCCTCTTCATCGTCTTCGAGTTCGTCATCATAGACTGGCCGTGGTTCCGGCTTCTTCTCCTTTTTCTGGAACCAGCTGAGGCAAAAGAAGAGAACATATGGTCGTATTCCGTCGTCCACACCAATGACGTCACCCTAGTGAATACAGTCAGATCTCGCGAACGTAACAGAATGGTAGAACACAAACGTAGGTAGCTTGTCCGAGTGGAACATCGACAACTTTTACAGCTTTTCGTTTCGGTTCACGCCCGTTTTGTTTTCCTTTGTCTGATGACGACCGAATGGGATTGAAAAAGGCCCTGCCACCGGGCAAGGGAGTCGATGCAGTGCTTTCTTCATGAAGGCGATTGGGAGGTAAGGGCAATGTAGCAGGGAACTGCAGTGCGAGTGTTGAATGAACCATGAAAGAAACAAGAGAAAGAGACTTACATCTAAGGGATCACAAGATTGCTCCTTCCAACCAGAGCGTACTGCATTCGCGCGAGAGAAGCGAGAGAGTTTGCTGAGACCAAGGAAAGTGGGTTGCTGCGGGTCTCCTGTAGGCGGAGGTCTCAGCGTAATAGGTATGGCGGATATCGGTGGTCTGCGATGCCCGGCAGGAGGACGACGAGTTGCATCAGACTGCAATGATAGCGATGGGTGAGTGGTATAGCGAGTAGGGGACTGAGATGCGCACATGCAGTAGATGATTGAGGGTTGATTTTTTGCGTGCAATGAGCTGTAAAGGAATGTTAGCGCATGGATAGTAGGTGATCGCAGGGGATGCATACACGGGCTTGAGTAAGGATGTCGGGTGGAGTATCGCAGATGCAGATCTTGGTGTCGTCTTTCAAGTTGGTGTGTGTCGTGTAAACTAGTTGGCGTGAGTCGGGTGAGAAGATAAGGGGAAAGGCAGCATTCGGAACGTCAAAGGAGGCGAGGAGCTGTCGTGACTCGAATGCCCAGAGCTTGATGGTGTCATCATTGGAAGTACTGGCAAGGAGAGTACCATCAAATGAAAGTGCTAGACCACCAATGGTCTTGGTGTGCCCTTCAAAGGGAGCTCCGACAGTCTCCAGTGTAACCGCATCAAACTCATAGATTGTCTTGGCGTCGTTATCCTCATCGAAATCTGCAGTGAAATTGAATTCGAATGCAGCTATGATAGTTTTGTTTTTGTTTGTCCAGAAAACTGGCGAAAAGAAGACTCCTAATTTAATGGGCTTCCCTATCCTCACATCCAAGTTTTGTGTTTCGACATCCCAGACTTCAAGGCACGTCCCCAAATCTGACTTGACTGCAAGCTTCTTCGAGTCTGGAGAGAATCGAACCGCGCCCACTCCACCGATGCTTTTGAATGGACCAGCCACGAGTTTGCCAGTCTCCAAGTTCCATATCCGCGCTGTTTTATCGAATGACCCGCTCGCCAGCAAAGTGTTGCCCACAGATATATCAATGGAGTAGATTTGTTGTGAGTACAGGCAATCTACCTTTTTCGGTTGCCACACCACTTGTCCTTGAAGTCTGGAGTCTTTTGCCTCATCCCGTGTAAAAATTACATCTACAGCCTGAGCACATTCGCCACACTCGCCGCTTTCGTTGTCACACCTCCTTCTGTGACCCTTCAAACGCAGACATGTCACCGCATCTGCACAATGACGACAGTACTCTCGTCGAGACACTGCGTGGCTCTGGAGGACGAGGGATGTGGGTCCTCCTGACGGATAGTGCTACGCGCGAACACACAGTGAGTGTGAGTGTTTCCCTTGTACTTACAATTCAAAGCTGAGTTCACAAGATCCATGTCAATCGTGTGTGCTTCTGCACAGTTGCAACCATCCGTGGCGATCAGTTTACCAATACTCATGCTCTGTAGAAAGGAAGCCGGACATCCTCTTTTCCCGTTCTCGACAACTTGGCACAGTTCCTGCTAATGGTGCAGTTACTGGCAGAAGCTCGAATTTGTGACCAAAGCTTAGTCTGGGCGGAGAATGAATGCATATACATTAATGACAGGCGTGGACATATCAACCTTCGTGTTTCAAACTCTCGAGCTTGAATATCTAAATTATATCACCCAGCCGTCAATGCACTCAAGTGAGGATGCGAGTACATTTATTCATCAAACAAGTGGTAAAGCTTGGAGGTACAGTGCGAGATAACATACTCAGTAGATGAAATATCTACGGAAACTCTGCCTCTAGGTGTTCGTCAGCTCCTGCAAGGCGAGATGGTCCTGCTTCAGGCTGTGACTGACTAGCCAGAGTTTTCAATTTGATTTCTTCGTGCTGAACCCTGAAATACTGAGTCAGTGAATGAATTGTGTGAACAAATAGGTTTTATGTACCCGGCAGGAGGCACAGCGATTGGACCAGGAGCATTTTCCTCTTCATCGTCGTCCTCAAGTTCGACATCGTAGACTACGCGTGGTTCCGGCTTCTTCTCCTTTTTCTGGAACCAGCTGAGGCAAAAGAAGAGAACAAATGGTCGTACTCCATCGTCCACACCGACAACATCACCCTAGTGAATGACGCAGTCAGATCCCACAAATGCAACAGAATTGTAGAAAACAAACATAGGTAGCTTGTCCGAGAGGAACGTCGACAACTTTTACAGTCTTTCGTTTGGGTACACGTGCCTTTTGTTTCCCCTTGTCTGGTGACGACCGAATGGGATTGAAAAAGGCCCTGCCACCGGGCAAGGGAGTCGATGCAGTGCTTTCTCGATGAAGGCGATTGGGAGGTAAGGGCAATGTGGCAGGGAACTGCAGTGCGAGTGTTGGATGAACCGTGAAAGAAACAAGAGAAAGAGACTCACATCTAAGGGATCACGAGATTGCTCCTTCCGACCAGAGCGTACTGCATTCGTGCGAGAAAAGTGAAAGAGTTTGCTAAGGCCAAGGAAAGTGGGCTGCTGCAGATCTCTTTTAGGCGGAGGGCTCGGCGCAATAGGTGTGGCAGATATCGGTGGTCTGCGGTGTCCGGCAGGAGGACGAGTTGCGTCAGACTGCAATGATGGAGGTGGGTGAGTGGTGTCACGAGTAAAAGAATGAGATGCGCACATGCAGTAGATGATTGAGAGCTGACTTTTTGCGTGCAATAATCTGTAAGGGGATGTTAGTACACGAACAGTAGATGTTTGCAGGGGATGCATACACGAGCCTGAGCAAGAATGTCGGATGGAGTATCACATACGCAAATCTTGTAGCCATCTTCGATGTATGACGTGTAAACCAGTTGTCGTGAGTCGGGTGAGAGAATAAGTCTATGAGGACCACGAATGTCGAAGGAGGCAAGGAGTTGTCGTGATTCGAAAGCCCAGAGCTTGATGGTGTTGTCCAGGTGGGAAGCGCTAGTGAGGAGAGCACCATCAAATGATAGTGCTAGACTACCAATGCGTGCGGTGTGCCCTTCAAAGGGAGCTCCGACAGTCTCCAGCGTCGATGCATCAAACTCATAGATTGTCTTGGCATCATCATACAAATCTGGCTCAGATTTGGTACTGGTGGTGGTACTGAATTCCAATGCGGCTATGATCGTTTTGTTGTTGTTTGTCCAGAAAACTGGCGATATTACCGCGGGTCCTATTCCAGCTGAGGGTTTCCCTATCCTCGCATCCAATTTCTGTGATTGGACATCCCAGACCTCGAGGGATGTCCCCAAAAACAACTTGACTGCGAGCTTCTTTGAGTCTGGGGAGAATCGAACCACAGCCACATGACCGATGCTCTTGAACGGACCAGCCACGAGTTTGCCGGTCTCCAGGTTCCATATCCGCGCTGTTTCATCGCATGACCCGTTTGCCAGCAGTGTGCTGTCCGCAGCGATATCAATGCAGCTGATCTGATGTGAGTGTCCTTCGAATGTTTTCACAACCCCCGTCTCAACCTCACAGGCTTTCATCTCCCCACTTTGTGTGCACTGATCTCCACCACCAGTGACAACCCATCGACCGTCCCTTGATACTGCCACCGCATATACCTCCTTCTCGCAAACACCCTGCGCTCCCTCAATCTCCTTGCCCGCCTTCAGATCCCATTGCCGAGTGGTCTTGTCCTCAGATCCGCTCATCATTCGCTGGCTGTCTGGAAAGTAGGATATGGATCGAATGTCTCCTCCATGACCCTTCAAAATCGTTACCGGTTTCAGAATCGATTTCGTGGTGACCGCCTTCGTTGACGTAGAAGCCATGGCTGCGTCTTCGTGAGCGAAACAGTGAAGTAGTTGAGTGCGGGCAAGGGATGTATTCAAAGTGCAAAGGTGAGGCCCGGCGTCAGTGTATTATATGATTGATGATTGCAGCGATTCGATGATGGGCCTCCTGTCCAAACCAAACGTCAGTCCATCCTCGCTGGAAATGTAGATGATATTTTAGTGCTACCGAGAAGCTAGCAGGAATGAACTTGAGGAGCGATAAGCGATAAATTCCTGAATGTGAGTGCAGCTATTGGCCTTGGGCGCTGCCTTGCATATATATATATATATACCCTACCACGCCCCCTCTGCATGGCAGCTGTGCGTTCTACCTTGGATCCTTCCATTCCTATCATTTAATTTGTTTCTATTCGGTTCCCAGTTCACAGCCACGGCCGGTACTATAGCGTCAACCTGTTTTCCATTTCCCACCCACCCGACACGACAAAACATTTCAACTCCGACTGCATACCGTTACTCGCTCGTCGGTTTCGATGAACGTTTAGGGAGACCATCAATCCTCATTTCATCATAGCAAAATGTTACGAGTATACGCACACGCAACACTGGTGGATGTTTCAGCGCCCTTTTTGTTCGTCCCTGACCACGCACCAACCACCTTTTGAATTCACAATGTCAATTTCCAGTCTTTGCATGTTTCTCTGACGCTGATGTGAATTGCCCACCCCAGAAATTCAACATTGACATTACCGTACATACTAGTATGCGTGTTGAACACTGGAAGCTTGTGCTGTAAAACTGCAGCATCTGAACCTGTCGACAACGTATATCTCATCACTTGTAAGTGCCAGGACCTAACACCTATCACACCTATAATTCACAAGGTATCTAGTGCGCAGTCATGGAGGAGACGGTAAGTTATATACCAGGGAATATACCCAAGATGAGTAGGTGTCGAAGAAAGCGGCGAAATGAGCCAGTCTAGGCATCGATGACAGTAACTGGCACCTTGGAGGTTGTCATTGGTGCTTAGGAATGCAACTTTGAGAGCGGAGGTTTGACACTGACCATTGGCACCACAGGTCTACAATACAAATGAAGTGCTTAAAACCCGGACCTGAGTGTCCTATGAAGAGGGACAATATCGTATACGAGTCCGGGTCTCGAGTCAACTTACTTAAATCAGTGTATGAGATGGTTTGAGAGATAAAAGAGGTTGACATGAAGCTCGCAAGTTTGGAGCACATGAAAAGACGATGATTTCGTATGGTCCGAAGTTGCCGCGGATCATTGTGATATGCGGTGAGGTGGTGTATTATTTCATGGACGTGAGGAAACAAGTTTTGAGTCATCAGTTCGGAGCGAGCGAGCAGACACGACACCTTGGAAAACTCATGGTGGATTGATGAACACGGTTGCTCTAGGATGTGTATGTCCGTGAAGAAGGATTTGATTGCAGTGATGGCCGGGATCAAAGATTGTAGATAAGCGACTCGTGAGTGTGTAGCGTGTAAAGGGAATTTCTGTGTCTGGAGAATGCCAAGTCAGAACGCCTGGTGCCACTCATGGTAAGCAGAGGCTCGCTAAACCCCAAACCTAACTGACTGAGCGAGATAAATCACATGGGACAGTAGTAGCAGCATTTCGACGTGAGAAATCAACAAGTATGCATTGGTGTGTTCCAGGTCCAGCGACGATTTGAGCTATCGCTATGGCCCGAAAACACCCCAATGCAAACGATATGCTCATCGAAGTAGGAGCTGCGAGAGGAAAATTAACGCGATGGATCATGCTTTGCAGGTGAGGCCGGTATGTATGATATGGAATACAAGTCTTGTAGCTCAAATTGTCAGCGTCAGAATGAGCAGGGAATGTGATCGCCTAGGTATACGGACAGCTTTTTGAAAATGGGCGTGATTTATTTAGCGAAAAATAGCATCGGCAGGCAGGGAAGTAGCTCTTGAGGACGCAGATGAGATCACTGGATAAGGATGACTGGGATGAGTGGACGAGATATCAACGGCACAATCTCAAGAGGGATAACGTACTGGAACTAACAATACCTGCAGCGACAATGATTTGGCTATCTAACCATGAACGTTAATGCTCATCTGAGGAAGAGCGAAGAGTTGACATTAGCTCATTTACGGGCTAGTAGAGTGATTTGAATTCAGCTTATTGACATCACACAGAACAATGGGAGCTAGGTGTCCTATGAACAAGGAAAATGGTCTACCGGTCTTGAATCAGTATACTGAGATGACGTGGTGCTTGCAACTTTGAAGTGCATGCGTAAGGCATCCACAGACGACCTCGTACCGATTAATTCGAGCTACTGCGGATTGAGAGGGTGAGTTAGTTGACACTGGGAAGAAAACATGTTTCAACGGTTGAAATGAACATTGAGAGCAGAGAACGATGAGGATGTATACAGGCATATTATGGTGTATCGATGAGCGCTTGCAAAACACTTTGATCTGTATTTGTTGTTGTTTGGTATACAGATTGACTTCGTGTAACTTGGTCAGACTGCCGCCCGCATAACTGTTACACCAAAAGGTGAAATACTGAAAGCTTAGCTTTCAGCATCAGTGACAGTATATGTACTGATTATGGGAACTCAGGTAAGCCGGCGTGCTTACACTTTGAAAGTTATGCATCGCGTCCTAACATCGATTCCAAGATCAACAATTAATCGCCCGACGCACACCCTTTTCCCACACCGACTTCAATTCACCTCCCAGCTCTATATATTCCATCGATTCTGGAGTCCAACCCCAATGCAACAGATTCAGCTCTGATGTCGTACGTTTATTCCCACCGCTGCATACACCAAATTCTCACCCAGCTTCTTTCTGCCACCATCGCCATCATCCCCGCACATACTCACTATGTCACGCCTCCTTTAAATTTCAACAACAGCATCCTCATTGATCGCGCTATGTAGGAGACGCTGTGGGCTCCGAGAGGATGTAGGATATGGGTCCTCCTGATGGTATTGCAACGAGGGAAGACAGTGAGTATTTATCTGACACTTTCAAATACTGACATGCGGATGTCAAATGTCGCCTACTATTATTGCCCGCAAGCACTCTTCATAGTGATCCGCGTCCAAATCCAAACCCCTTTGATGTCTCGTCCCCGGATCAGCTATGCCCACGCAACGAACCCCAGCCCAAATCCAACCTCCAACAGTTTCATGTCGCCTCTCCAATATAAATGGCATTTCCAGCACATTCGCACGACGCAGACATTGCCATGTACTGCTCAAGGACGCGCAACACCAAGTCATACTACAGACAAGAAAGTATGTGAAATGTGACATGGAAGAGCGGTGTCTCTGGCGCACGAGTTGTTTGAGGCTATGTGATGTTGAGAATGGGTAGGTCCCGCATCTATTAACATCATGGCTCTTAATTAAAAGCCCCAAACAATCTTTTGTTTGACAGTGTCGACTTCCGGCGCTACACATTCAGCAGGCACAACGACATTCAAAATGCCATCTAACTTCACGCATCCATGGTCTGTCCAGGGAACACCCAGGATCAGTACTCGAGCCTACACTCGACGCCGGGGAAATCTTGACATGCTCTGCTTCATAAACGACATGAGGGTTAGCAAGGCTGTCGGGACTTCTGAATGTCTCCTTTCGACATCGCCATTCACAACGACCAACATCAGAAGTTTATTATCCTTAACAACTTCCAATAGATTGACATCCCCCTGAAACATGCCAGTCTATTGCAATGAATACCATCTCACATACTGTACCCCTCGCAAGTCCATAACACCTGCAGCATCCCGTTAGACCTAATGTTCGCTTCGACGATACCAATGCCCACGCCTCTACATCAAACACGAAGGTGGTAGTTGTTCCTGTGGGCAAGTTCGCCGGAAGCATCGTGCCCAAAAGGAAGTTGTGGAACTGCAGTCTTCGAGACTCCAGGCTGTAAGTTTACCCAGCTAACGCGTCCTCTTTCTGAGCAACTCACAGCACAGTTCCTACTGAGTATGATCTGAGAGGTACTGTCACTGGCAGAAGCTCGGTTTTGTGGGCAAATTTTCAGATCGGAGAATCTGATGACAGGCGTAGATATTTCAGGCTTCCCTTTCAAGTCCGACCATCTAAACTGTATCACCTACTTGTCAAGGTATAGTGAGGATTCGACAATTTTTACTCTTCCAAAACAAATCGGTATTCACAAAAAGACGAGTGACATGGTGATGGTCATAAACTGCAAATAAGATGCTCGACTCGACAGACGAAAGCTCAACGGATGGCATTTACGAAGACTGGGCTTTTAAGTGGTCAGTTAGCGCAAGGCGAGATGGTCCTGCTTCTAGCTGTGACTGACTAGCTACCGGTTTCAATTCAATTTCTTCGTGTTGGACCCTAAAAGGCTGTATTAGTGAATGGATTTGTGAAAGAATATGTTTATATACCTGGGAGGAGTCAGCGAAACTGGACCAAGAGCGTTTTCTTCCTCATCGTCATCCTCGAGTTCGTCATCATAGACTGGTCGTGGTTCCTGCTTCTTCTCCTTTTTCTGGAACCAGCTGAGACAAAAGAAGAGAACATATGGTCGTATTCCGTCGTCCACACCAACGACATCGCCCTAGTGAATGACGCAGTCAGGTTTCATGAACCTAACAGAATTGTAGAAAACAAACATAGGTAGCTTGTCCAAGTGGAACATCGACAACTTTTACAGCTTTTCGTTTCGGTTCACGCGCCTTTTGTTTTCCTTTGTCTGATGGCGACCGAATGGGATTGAAAGAGGCTCTGCCACCGGGCAAGGAAGTCAATGGACTGCTGTCTGCATGAAGACGATTGGGAGGTAAGGGCAATGTGGCAGGGAACTGCAGCGCGAGTGTTAAGTGAACTGTAAAAAAAAAACAAGAAAAAGAGATATACATCTAAGGGATCACGAGATTGATCTTTCCGACCAGGGCGCAATGCGTTCATTGGAGGAGAGAAACGAAGGAATTTGCCGAGGCGAAGGAGAGTGGGTTGCTGCGCGTCTCTTGTAGGCGAAGGTCTCGGTACGATAGGTATGGCGGATATCCGTGGTCTGCGGTGGCCGGCAGGAGGACGACGAGTTGCATCAGACTGCAATGGCGGTGATTGATGAGTGGCGTAACGGGCAAAAGATGAAACGCGTACATCTAGTATATCCCTGCGGCCTAACTTTTTGCGTGCAATTATCTGCAAGGGGAATGTCAGTATACGAATAGCAGATTGGTGCGGGGAATGCTTACACGGGCCTGAGCAAGGATGCCGGGTGGAGTATCACAAATGCAGATCTTGTAGTCGTTATTGTTGTTTATGATATAAGCCAGTTGTCGTGAGTCGGGTGACAGAATAAGTCTAACAATATTATGAACTTGAATGTTGAAGGAGGCGAGGAGCTGTCGTGACGCGAAAGCCCAGAGCTTGATGGTATTGTCGTAGGAAGCGCTAGCGAGGAGAGCACCATCAAATGAAAGTGCTAGACCACCAATAGACTTGGTGTGCCCTTCAAAGGGAGCTCCGACAGTCTCCAGTGTAACCGCGTCAAACTCATAGATTGTCTTGGCGTTGTCATACTGATCCGAATCTGCGGTGAAATCGAATTTGAATGCGGCTATGATTGTCTTGTTTTTGTTTGACCAGAAAATTGGTGAAAACGCGATTCCTCTCCCACTGGGTTTCCCTATCCTGACATCCAATTTCTGTGATTGGACATCCCAGACCTCCAGGCACGTCCCCAAATCTGACTTGACTGCAAGCTTCTTCGAGTCTGGGGAGAATCGAACCGCGCCCACGAAACCAATGCTCTTGAATGGACCAGCCACGAATTCGCCAGTCTCCAAGTTCCATATCCGCGCTGTTTCATCTTCTGACCCGCTCGCCAGCAGGGTGTTGCCCGCAGATACATCAATGCAGTAGATTTGCAGTGAGTGGCCTTCGAATGTCTTGACAATTCCTGTCTTAACCTCACAGGCTTTCAGCTCTCCACGTGCGTAATCTCCACCACCAGTGACAACCCATCGATCATCCCTTGATACTGCCACCGCATATAGTACCCCCTCCTCGCAAACACCCCGCGCTCCCTCAATCTCCGCTCCTGTCTTCAGATCCCATTGCCGGGCGGTCTTGTCCAAAGATCCGCTGATCATTCGCTGACCGTCTGGAAAGTAGGATAAGGAATAAATCCAGTTCCCGTGACCCTTCAAAGTCATTGATGGAGTCAGATCCGATTTCGTGGTGGCTGCTTTCGTTGACGCAGAAGCCATAGTTGTGTCTCCGTGACGAAACTGTGAAGTAGTTAAGTGCGGGCAAGGTATTCTTCAGACGTATTCAAAGGTGCAAAGGTGAAGTCTCCCGTTGTCAGTGTGTGCTATATGACTGACGGCGTCGGCAATTCGAAGGGGGGCCCCCTGGTCAAATTAAACATCAGTCAATTCCCGCTGGAAATACAGATGGGAATTTGGTGTTACCGAGAGATTCACGCTTTGGCAGCGAAGAACTTGAGTCCTGAGGAGCGATGAATTGTTCAATGTGAGTGCAGCTGTTGGTTCTCTTTAGGCGCCACCTTACATATATATACCCTAACATGCCCCCTCTGCATGGCAGCTGTGCACTAGCTGTGTATTGGACCCTGAATCCTTCCATGCATCTCATTTCTTTCTCTTCGCTTCTCGCCTCACAGCCATGCCTAAAGTAACTGCCATGACCAAAGCGTCAATCTATTCTCTACTTCCCACTCAATGATGGGCGTCAAAATACTCGAGCTTTATCATTGCTTATTTGTCAGTTTCGCTTTGGATGCGCGAACGTTTACGGAGACTGATGTGTTTCATTCCGTCGTATCAAACCAGCCTCAGTCCATGCAAACACGGTGTTACAGGCACGTGGATGTTTCCGTTCTTTCACCATGCTGTTATTTCCAATCTCTGAACGTTTCTCTGAAACTGAGATCAAGTGCTCATCCAGTGCTCAAATTGTCATTTTCATACATCTGCTCGTAGGAAACCAGAAGGTTGTGAGTAGAAATGCGGCATCTCAGAACCTGCACCCGAACCAATGTCCATCGACATCACCCAGAACCGACCGCAAGGCACTCAGTGTGCGGCCGAGAGCTAGAGAATCGTATCCGATATGAGGAAGATACAACAGATCTGTGAATGCGAACAGCGATATCTGTCAGTCCAGGCATCAACTCGGATGACAACAATTGGCACCCCGGAGGTTGTCATTGATTATGAATACGCGTGAGAGCGTGTCTGCATTACAAAGGCATCTGCATCACTGACGCAGACGAATTGGTCCGAATTTCTTGTTCAATGATGTGTTCGACTGAGGAGTGTCAGAATGACAGCCTGAGGCATGCGAGCTATCGTGCTACCACCTGTTATGTGAGTATGATATAGTGTGTGGTCGACGATATCAATGAAATCGACCACTCACCTTCGGGATTCTTCTATTCCGTGTTCCAGGCTTGAATGGTTAGAGGCAATCTAAAGATCGAAAATATTTGAGTTCGATGCCCAAATCAGCAGCCTGAGTGCGCTGATAGTAAGCAGCACATGTCATTATTTCGCATCCTGAAGAACAATGGTCTACTCACCAGAGAAGATTTGTCCCCCGCCAATAACTTTGGACATGTACAAGGCAAGGACACCCACTATGAGCGAAAGCGATGTCGACGGCACAATAACCAGAGGGAAAGCGCCTTCTGGAATGTGTGCAGTGACAATAATTCGCCCATCTGACATTGGAAGTCGCTTGAGCTGATCTAGGGAAAGATGAGGGAAAGTATTTTACTGGTCTCGAGTCTTTCATGATGCGACTGTATCAGGGATAATGGATCGAGAGATAAAAAGGACGCCGTGGCACTTGCAGCTTTGAAGTGTACGATGCAGAAGGCCATCATTTGGCGTGATTCCAATTACTGCGAAACATCATGATGCAGCGAGCTAGAGAGGAGTACGGTGTGAGACGAGTCGCACGCAGAGAGTCGGATAGTCGGACAATCGATACTTCGTCTTTAACGCTTTATTTGTTATTGTTTGCAAGCCGCTCTGAGTCTCCCTCCCTAAATTGACTCCCCATCTGTGCAGTTGCCACTGCAGCACAACTCCCGAGTCCCGATAGGTTCTGATAATGAGTCTGAGGTAACAGACACAATTGCCTTGCATGACCTCGTGCGCTCCATCCCACCTCGGATGCTATATGGATCATGCTCGACTACATCCATTCCACCACAATCATGCCACAAAGGCATTCCAATTAACAAAGTTCACGGAACATGTACCGTAGCTATGTGATGATATTCATTGTCCCTTTGATGTACTTAATGATAGCCTGTGGCTCAGGGATCTTGAAAGCACTATATATTGCGTGTTGGCAGTATTCTCTTCTTTCCAGTTCTTTCCGTCTTTCCATTTATTCGCACCTACTTTCTACTCTAAACTATCACGTCGAACAACATCCATACGCTCGATTCTCGAGCAGCCGTTATAGATCTGTCTGATCGTCTGAGCTCTCTAGACCATTTTCTTGCCACTATCAATGACATTATGAAATTCAGTCACTTGGATGGCCGCGAACTACAGCACTACGGGCGAAAGGTCTTGTCTTTGTTATTAATCATCTCTTGTAGTCGACTGATGATTTCCGTACAGATAATCGCTCTGACAGGCGTAATTATGATTTCAATTCTTGTCAACTCTTTTAATAATTTTCTTGGTAAGCTTGAAGGTCGCGTGCATGCCTCTGAGATATCAGAGAGTGAACTTGTCCCTGTTCACTCTTTGTTCTAAGAGGTTTCTGCCGTACAAGTCGGCGTATTTCAAATTGCTTGTTTGGATCAGACGGCGCAGGGCTGCTGACCTGAATGGTAAACATCGGTCGTTATTTTGTTTGATTTTCTTTTCACCATTTGCGTAGATCGAATCAACGTGCTCTTGTTTCCTATCGACTATAATTTTGTCGTATGATGCAAGGGAGTTGACCCTCGTGCCCAACTAGGCACTTCCTCTCTTTCAAAGGCCGTTTGTTCGCGAATTTAGAACAAGAGCCCGACGTTTTGAGGTTGGCACCGGGAAGCAATCGTCATCAAGTTGACGTTCTTTTCAAGCCTTCTTGCCTGGATTGATGACTACCGCGTCGTACTTCAAATCACAACCCTCGTCTGCATCTTGTCATTGCGAACACCGAATCTATCTACGTACTCCATGTTATATGAACAAAACGCCATCCCCTTTCGTTACATGGCTGTTCTTCAAAGTTTCATATCTGTAATTATACATCTATTGCCCATGTCACTATCGACAAGCCTTCGGCTGCCACACCACCTACCTTGAAGTCTGGAGTCCTTTGCCTCATCTCGCACAACATCTACATCTCCAGGCACATTCACCACACTCTCACCCTTTCATTGTCACACCTCTTTCTGTAACCCTTCAAACACACATGTCTTGCCGCATCCGCACAATGACGACAGCACTCTCGTCGAGATACTCTGAAAGGACGAGGGATATGGGTCCTCCTGATGGGTAGGGCTATGAGCGAAGACACACGGTGAGTGTCTCCTTCCTGCTTACAGTCCAAAGCTGATTTTTACAAGACGCATGTTAAACGTGTGCTTCCGCAGTGTCAACCATCCATGACAGTTATCTTACCAATACCCACGCTCTGTAGAAAGGAAGTCGGACATCCTCTTTTCCCGTTCTCGACAACTCAGCACAGTTCCTGCTGGATAGCACAGTCACTGGCAGAAGCTCGGGTTTGTGGCCAAAGCTCTCGTAATGATCGGATGAATCTGAAATGTTTAGTCTCGGCGGAGAACCAGTGGATATACATTGATGACAGGCGTAGATATATCACGCTTCGTGTTTCAAACCATCAAGCTTGAATATCTAAATTATATCACCCATATTAAGATATGTTTTCTGACGTCACCTACATACGAATTGATCCTTTCCTCTTACATACACAATCACTTTCCTTGCACGCGTCGTACATGTTCCCCTTTGATTCTCCGTCTCAATCAGCGTATTAATTCTTCTTCTCGTCGAATGACCTCCCTCAGTCTTTGATCCAAGACTGAGGTGAGCTCTATTGCTTACAATTCTATGTGCTCTTTACTAACTATTACTCTACCTAGCTTCCTACTTGTCTCTAGTCCGAGTCTCGTCGCCTTCTATTAACTCACCCGTCAATGTACTTTAGTAAGGATGCAACTATATTTATTCTTCCAAGACATGCTGTAAAGCTGGAAGTACAGTGCGAGATTCGACAAATAAAATGCTCAACGGATGACATATTTACGAAGACTGCGCACCTAGGTGGTCGTCAGCTATCATGATGCAAGATGGTCCTGCCTCTGACTGTGACTGACTAACTACCGGTTTCAATTCAATTTCCTCGTGCTGGATCCTAGAAGACCATATTAGTTAATTAATTTGTGAATGAATATGTTCGTTGTACCTGGGAGGAGACACAGGGACTGGATCAAGAACATTTTCTTCCTCTTCATCGTCCTCGAGCTCGTCATGGTAGACTGGCCGCGGTTCTGGTTTCTTCGCTTTTTCTGGAACCAGCTGAGGCAAAAGAAGAGTACAAATGGTCGCATTCCGTCGTCTGCACCGGCAACATCGCCCTAGTGAATGATGCAGTCAGATTTCATGAACCCAACAGAATTGAAGCAAACAGACGCCCTGCCACCGGGCAAGGGAGTCGATGGAGTGCTTTCTCCATGAAGGCGATTGGGAGGTGAGGGCAATGTAGCAGGGAACTGCAGTGTGGGTGTTGAATGAACTGTGAAAGAAACAAGAGAAAGAAACTCACATCCAAGGGATCACGACACTGATCCTTCCGACTAGAGCGTACTGCGTTCGTGCGAGGAGAGAAGCGAAAGAACTTGTCAAGGCCAAGGAAAGTGGGTTTTTGCGGGTCTCTTGTAGGCGGAGGTCTCGGTGCCACGAGTATAGCGGATACTGGTGGTCTGCGGTGCCCGGCAGGAGGACGACGAGTTGCATCACACTGTAATGATAGCGATGAGTGAGTGGTACAACGAGTAAAAGAATGAGATGCGCACATGCAGTGGATGATCGAAGGTTGACTTTTTGCGTGCAATGAGCTGTGAAGGAATGTTAGCACATGAATAGTAAATGGCTGCAGGGGATGCATACACGGGCCTGAGCAAGGATGTCGGGTGGAGTATCACAGATGCAGATCTTGTTGTCGTCCTCGGTGGATATCGTGTAAACTATTTGGGGTGAAACGGATGAGAAGATAAGGAGAAAGGCGATATTTTGAACGTCAAAGGAGGCGAGGAGCTGTCGCGACTCGAAAGCCCAGAGCTTGATGGTGTGATTATTGGAAGCACTGACAAGGGAGCACCATCAAATAAAAATGCTAGACCACCAATGGTCTTGGTGTGGCCTTCAAAGGGGGCTCCGACAGTCCAATGTCACCGTGTCAAACCCATAGATTGTCGTGGCGTCGTCATCCCGCTCGAAATCTGCGGTGAAATCGAAATCGAATGCAGCTATGATGGTTTGTTTTTGTCAGTCTGTGATGATGTACAATGATGTCATGTCAGTCTTGACCAGATCAATATTCTGTGGGGGATAGCGTCAGTGAGGATGAAGATACGATGAAGTCCATCTTCTGATGGAATGTGGCACACGCAGCGAGTATTGCAGATAGCACATAACTAATACACGAGTGTTAAAACATTAACTGAGGAACATATATCATGAAGCAAATGTGGATGAATTCATACGAAGTTAACTGGGACTATGAGCACCACCACAGCTGCTATTTGCTGCACCATCCTGGCGAGGTATGTCAACGCGCTCCAAGTGCCATCGAGGAGGCATCCTCAGCCTGCCATGAGACCAACATGAATAATAGCAGAGGAACGCTTTGACCCAATGCACATCTGGGAGTGAATCAATATCAGCTGTGTCGTTTTCCTGTGGCACAGCAGCCTGTTGGCTAGACGGATGTCGAGTATCGTCTACTTTCTTGTATTCCGGTAGTTTGGCAGCAAGAAGCCGCTGTAGGGTAAATATCAATGAAAAGGCACTGAGAAGTAAGAAAATTACATTACAGTAACTTTCCGTCCTGGTGCAACTTCAACAACTGGTGGCCCGAGGCTGTGTCTTGGCGTGAGGAAAGGGAGATGCTGCCGCAGGAATTGTGTGACTCCGTTTGAGGGGGGAGGCGGAGAACTTATTTCGAACTGGATACGCACTCAGTACTCAGTCGTGATGCGAATTGACTTAAAAATGAAAACTGACATGATTGAAGCGAGTTGCGGCCTGCCCAGAGAGAGAGGATGATAGAGGCAGTGTAGCAGGGACCTGTGATGCTATCATCGAGTCAATTGTAGGAGAACCATGATATACGACCTACATCAAGGGGATCACGAGGTTGGACAGGTGGTACTGCATTTGTGCGAGGAGAGAAGTGAAGGAGTTTGCGAATGCGAACAAAAACGGGTTGCTGTGGGTTGATTGTAGGCAAAGGTCTTTCTGGCCTAGGTATAGCAGGTACTGGTCGTATGCGGCGCCCGGCAGGAGGACGACGAGTTGCGTCAGACTGCAATTACAGCAATGGATGAGTGGTGTAATGAATAAAGGAATGAGATGCCCACATTTAGTAGGTCGTTGAGGGTTGACTTTTTACGTGCACTGATCTGTGAGAGAGGGGCCTGTTAGAACACGAACAATGGACGTTTGCGGGAATGCGTACACCAGCCTGAGCAAGGACATCGGGTGGAGTGTTGCATATGTAGATCTTGCAATCATCTCTGTTGTATGTCGTGTACACTAGTTGGCGCGAGTTGGGTGAGAGGACAAGGTTATGGATGTTATAAGCATCGAATGAAGCGAGGAGCTGGCGAGACTCGAAATCCCAGAGCTTGATGGTGTCGTCAAAGGAAGTACTGGCAAGGAGAACACAGTCAAATGAAAGTGCTAGACCACAGATGGCCCTGGTGTGCCCTTCAAAGGAAGCTCCTACAGTCTCCAATGTCGATGCGTCAAATTCATAGATCGTCCAGGCGGCGTCAACCGTAAATGTGAAAGCGGTCAAGATGTTTTTGTTTTTGTTTGTCCAAAACACTGGCACAAGTGTGACTCCGGGTCCACCGAATGTCCCTATCCTCACATCCAACTTTTGTTTTTGAACATCCCAGACTTCAAGGCATGTTCCTATGTCTAACCTCACTGCGAGCTTCTTTGAGTCTTGCGAGAACCGAACTGCGCCCATCCAAGTGCCGCTCTCGAACGGACCAGCCACGAGTTTCCCAGTGTCCAAGTTCCATATCCGCGCTGTGGCATCCTTTGCCCCGCTCGCCAGCAGTGTGCTGTCCGAAGAGATATCAATGCTGATGATCTGAGCCAAGTGTCCTTCAAATGTTCTGACAATCCCAGTCCCGACCTCACAGACTTTCAGCATTGCACTATTCACATCTCCACCAGCAGTGGCAACCCATCGACCATCCCTTGATACTGCCACTACCCACACATCTTCCTCGTAAACACTTCGCATTCTCTCAATTTCTTCACCCGCCTTCAGATCCCATCGTCGAGCGGTCTTATCCTCGGATACGCTGATCATTCGCTCGCCATCCGGAAAGTAGGTTATGGATCGAACGTTCTCTCCATGACCCTCCAAAGTGATTGATGGTGTCAGAATCGATTTCATGGAAGCCGCCTTCGTTGATGTAGAAGCCATAGCTACTACTCTCCGCAAGCAAAATTGTTTTGTCGCCAGGCACAGAAAAGGTATTCGTTTGAAGGACCGGTGGTGAGTTCTGCTCGTGTTGTATGCCCGACGCTGATTTGAAGACTCCCAACTTGCTCGAGAGCACTTTGCCTCCTAGAGCTGGTCGTCAGTTCATCCGCGCTGGAACTTCAGATGAGAGTCGATGTTATGAAGAGGCTAGCAATGATTAAGAGAAGAATTCTACAACGTAAGCACAGCTGTTGTCCTTGCAAGATGTACTATTTATTCCTCGATTTGATATTCAATTCCTGTGCTAGAGCGTCAATCCCTTGTTTATTTCTCACCTGTCAGTGTTGCTGTATGCTTCTTCTAAATCTCAAGATGGCATATATGGAAAGCCCAAAACGTCGGATGTGCTATGGCACTCAGCGCTAGCATTCAACTTTTTTTGCTTGCTCTGCCCTGCAGTTTCGCGATGGACCCCAGCAGACGCGTAAACAGTTGTTATTAACACTGTAGGATAACACGGAGACCACCTTTCCTCATCCCATAGTATCAAACGCTTTGAGTACACACACATGCACGGTTTCCTCGCTTCCGCAATGTTCCACCCACCCCAACCTTTCGGCATCGACCATTTTAGTTTCATTGCACGCCCTGATCACCTTTGAAGGTCCCGATCTCTGAATATCTCTCTGACGCTGAGATCAACATGTGAGTGACTATACCCAGAATTTAGAAGGAAGAGAACAATACAAGACTTATCTTGTAATGACCGGCACCTGAGACACACTCTCCAGGGCCACTGCTGTGCAGCCTGACATAAGATGAGGGCAGGTTGTAGAGCATCGCACATATCAACTAAATCGAAATACATGTCTTCTGCGGTCGCCAATGTCGGCAGCTCTTCAAGTCTCCCGGAGAGAACATGGCTGCTGGTTCATTTTTCAGAGAGATAAGTCAGAGATGGGCTAATGCAGTGAGATGGATAGAACAAAGGAATTTACTCATCGTACAAGTTAATTCCATGGTTGACGGTGAAGATTCACCGAGAATTTGGATCAGAGATCGGACCTAAGCTGACCCTGGAGTCGACCGAGGGTGACTTGAGAGGGAGTCCGCGTCAGGCTGCAAAGGGAATTTCTGTATCTGAAGCACAGCGCGCTCTAGAGATGCCGCATAAGAGTGCCCCGACAACATCCATAGTCAGGATAGCAAAAATTTCAATCCATCTCTTAGATGCAAACATACAACTAGCGCTGGTAATAGCGAAGCGCTGAGAAGGTAAAATGAGGTCCAACGATGATCTAGACCTCACAGCAGGGTGTGTCCACCGGACCAAATCGAGGTCGATGCAAAGTATGGTGACGACCAAGATAAGGCGAGAAAATACATAGGATGAGTTGAGCAGCAGCAGTAGTAAGATGAAAGTAGCCCGGGGTCCGATTTGGAACGTCGAAGATGTTGTTCGAGTTTCAGACTTTCAGTTCATCACGAAGTTGACGCAATCGGGTAATTCAGACGAGCCGAGGACATCTGTCAGGAGCATCACAATGAAGAGCGTGGAGTGTAAATGTTTTCTTGTTGGGCCAGTTATCATCGTACCATCGAACGAGCAAGGTTCATCAAAATAGGAGATGCGAAAAGTTTGCCTTCAGGCAATACATTGGCCAACTCTGTTGAGTGCGCCCCCAAAGCAGACTTGGGATGGGAGGGAGTCAATAGGAACTTGAAGGGGCCGCACAAAAATGAAGGGCAAACAAGATTGTCAAAACAAAGACACAAGAGGCAGGGATCGACTTGGAGACCGACGCAGAATGGCCCTGGTAGACAGGAGAATCCAAGGGCTGTGCCGAACTAACGAGGGAAAAAGAATTGTTAGAATAAAGATGCTCCTCTTGGTCAAACAAAGCCTGTACTGGATCGTGCCAAGTTTGCAGCATTGAGCCGTGACATCGAATATCACAAAGAAAATGGTGAAGTTCGAGGACCAGACGAGATGATAAAATTGATAGAAATGACCACACATAACAGTCTTCAGTTGGGTGAATGGAGGTGGTCATCAGAGGAGGAAATTGGAGTACTCGACCACATCGAAGTGCAACGTTCGGTCGGATCAACTCAAATGACACTCGGAAAACAGGTAGATCCCAAGGACCAAACATACGAGGTGACGGGGCTGATATAGTCGACTCAAGCATAAGTATTTTGGCGGATGATCGAAATTAGCGTGAGGTTCGTCGACAAATATAAACTCGTAAATGGTCGACGATCGGGTTGGCCAAGCGAGTATCCAAAGGCGGAGGACAATCGTAACTCAAAAGTACTGCAGGAACATTTAGAGGTGGATTCAAACAAAAACCACGAGGTCATCCTTGAAAAGAGGGTCTGGAGAAGCGGAGATCGATATCAATTGGAAGAAATCATCGATTAGGTGGTTCAGTCAATTCCAAGAGGTGCTATCGGAGAAAAGAGAATTCTAAAGCCAGCTATTGTGAAGGCTGACCTGAGAGTAAGCGGTCTCCTCGCTCGAATCTAGGCAACCGTGTAGTCTAAGTCAGGTGTTCGAGACCTGTTAGATCGCAAAACGTTCATGTTGTGTGGTGTGCTCCAATTGAATACCACACAGTTATATGAAGTTAGGGGTCTAAACCAGTAGAAGTAGAAAGGTTAATTCGGACGACAACCTTATATATGTGAGAGAGCAATCGTGAGACATCCGAATACTGATGGAAACAAATGTCTTCCTACAGTCCGTGATGATACAGAGTGATGTCATTTCTATCTTGACCAGATCAACATCCTGCTCAGCGAGCATGAACGGATGTATAGGAATCCGAGTCACTCAAGTTCATAATGTGATGGGATTGGAAGACGCACCGAGTATCGTAGAACGTGTAGAATGAATATATAAGTGTGAAGTCATCAGTTATGGAAGATACAGCACTGGGTGAGTGTACACAAATTTAACTGCAACTATAAGCACCGCCACAGCTGCTATTTGCTGCGCCATCCTGGCAAGGTATGTCAACTCGCACAGTCCGTGATGATGTGCAATGAGGTCATTTCAGTCTTGAATGGATCAACATTGAGGATGAGGATATGATGAAGTTCATCTTCTGATGGAGTTTGGCAAACGCAGGAAGTATTGCAGATAGCATATGATTGATACACGAGTATTAAAATATCGGTCACGGAGGATATATCATACAACAAAGTGGATGAATGCATACGAAGCATCCTAGGGAGGTATGTCAACGCGCTCCAAGCGCCATCGAGGAGGCATCCTCAGTCTTCCATGAGACCAACACGAATAATAGCAGATGAATGCCTTGCACCAATGCACGTCTGGGAGCGAATCGATGTCAGATGTGTCGTTTTCCTGCGATACAGTAGCCTGATGGCTAGACAGATGTCGGGTATCGTCTACTTTCCTGTATTCCGGTAGTTTGGCAGCAAGAAGCCGCTGTAGTGCACAAATCAGCAAAAGGGACCGAGAAGCAAGAACATGTATGTTACAGTGACTTTACGGTCTGGTGCGACTTCAACTACTGGTGGCCCATGACTGTGTTTTGGTACGAGTAAAGAAAGATGCTGCCGTAGGGATTGCACGACTCTGTTCGAGCGGGGGGTGGAGAACTTATTTCAAACTGGATGCGCACTCAGTCATGCATTGCGAGTTTAGCATAGAAATTGAAGACTGACCTGATCAAATTGAATTGTTGCCCGAGAGGATGGTAAGGGCAACATAGCAGGGACCTGTTGCACCGTCATGGAGTCAACTGTCAAAGAACCAAGATAGGAGAGTCACGACCTACATCTAGAGGATCACGAGGTTGGATGCGACGAAGAGGGACTGGGTTCATGCTAGGAGAGAAGCGAAGGAATTTTCCGAGACGAAGGAAAGCGGGTTGCTGCGGGTCTATTGCGGGCGGAGGTCTCTGCGACGTAGTTATGGTAGGTATTGGTGGCCGGCGGGAGGACGACGAGTTGCATCAGACTGTAATGATGGAGGTGGGTGAGTGGTGTCATGAGTAAAAGAATGAGATGCGCACATGCAGTAGATGATTGAGGGCTGACTTTTTGCGTGCAATAATCTGTAAGGGGATGCTAGTACACGAACAGTAGATGTTTGCAGGGAATTCATACACGAGCCTGAGCAAGAATGTCGGATGGAGTATCACAGATGCAAATCTTGTTGCCATCTCCGGTGGCCATCGTATAAGCTAGTTGTCGTGAGTCAGGTGAGAGAATAAGTCTAATAGAATCATGAACTTGAATGTCGAAGGAGGCGAGGACCTGTCGTGACTCGAAAGCCCAGAACTTGATGGTGTTGTCCGGGCGGGAAGCGCTAGCGAGGAAAACATCATCGAATGAAAGTGCTAGACCGGTGATGTTGCAGGTGTGCCCTTGATCCAGAATCTGCGGTGATGAATTGGAATGCGGCTATGGTTTTGTTGTTGTTTGTCCAGAAAACTGGCGAAAACGCGACTCCTCCAGTGGGTTTCCCTATTCTGACATCCAATTTCTGTGATGAGTTTGCCAGTCTCCAAGTTCCATATCCGCGCTGTTTCATCTTCTGACCCGCTCGCCAGCAGGGTGTTGCCTGCAGATATATCGACGCAGTAGATTTGCCGTGAGTGGCCTTCGAATGTTTTCACAATCCCCGACTTAACCTCACAGGCTTTCAGCTCCCCATGTGCGTAATCTCCACCACCAATGACAACCCATCGTCCATCCCTTGATACTGCCACCGCATATACCTCCTTCTCGAAAACATCCCGCGCTCCCTCAATCTCCTTTCCCGCCTTCAGATCCCATTGCCGGATCCGCTGATCATTCGCTGGCCGTCTGGACAGTAGGATAAGGAATACATCCGGTTCCCGTGACCCTTCAAAGTCATTGATGGAGTCAGATTCGATTTCGTGATGGCTACTTTCGTTGATGCTGAAGCCATAGATGCGTCTTTGTGACGAAACCGTGAAGTAGTTGGGTGTGGGCAAGGTATTCTTTAGATGTGTTCAAAGGTGCAAAGGTGAGGTCTTCCATTGCCAGTCTGTGCTATATGACTGACGGTGTCAGCGATTTGAAGGTGGGCCCCCTGATCAAAACAAACATCAGTCCATTCCTGCTGGAAATCCAGATGGGAATTTGGTATTACCGAGGGGTTAACGTTCTAGCAGCGAAGAACTTGAGGAGCGATGAATTGTTGAATGTGAGTGCAGCCATTGGATTTATGCACCACCTTGCATATACATACTCTGACATTCCCTCTCTGCATGGCAGCTGTGCACTGGCCGTGCATTGCACTCAGAATCCTTCCACCACATTTGTTTCTCGTTACTTCTCGGCTCACAGCCATAGTTAATAATAAAGCGCCAATCTGTTTTCCACTTCCCACCCCACGATGGGCGACAAGACATTGAACTTTTATCGTTATTCGCTCGTCGGTTTCTCTTTGGCTTGCAATTCACGACCTCACTTCCACGGAGTACACAGACCAGTCACGAGTTGTCCAGTGTCCAAGTTCTATATCCACACTGTGCAGGCCAATGAGAGTTAACCGCTATGTATGCCGATGCACTAGGAGATAACGCAGTCGAGCAATATGCGATGTTCTTGACTTTGCTCGAACTGACTGCGGACATCAACGAACGTCGATTAGCATTGACCCGTACATGAGAACATGGTCTAAATGTTTACAGGGTGGCAGTCGAACAATCGATAGAGCATTCGAGATTGGCGAGAATCTCACAAAATTTATGCGCTGAACACTACTTGCAGCCTCTACCCCAAATGAAGGGTTCGCTTCCTTCTGTCCTTGCATCGCAGGCCGCTCCTTCCGATATCGAACTTCTGCTGCTTCGTTCCATTGAGTGAACAATATTCGAGGATGGAACGCATGATGCTGCACTGGAACATGCCACCGTTATATTGCGGTACTTCCTAGGTAAGCTTTTTGTCGAAGTTCTACTATGATTGCTTAATCCATGGCTTCAGGTGCTGGGAGGGTTTCACTTACCAAGAACCTCTTGGATATGCTTCCGCGTGACCTCGCCTCCATCGACCAGCCTGAGGAACGAGTATCTTTACTACAGACAGTTCTTCACGATCTGAGACAGTCTTGACCGGGTCGTTGAGTACCAGAGTCTAGAGGTGTTGATAATGAACCGGGACGCTAGGGCCGCTTGGTTAAGCGACTACAGGGGACTTATCGACCAGGCTTACGATGCCGTCGTAAAACCACTCACCTCGGATTGGATGATGCCGAACGAGACAGGAGACCGTCGTCCTGCAAGCCTGAAGCGCGCATTGGAGCTTGCCAGCATTGTTGAAGATTCGGGGTATAAGTTGTATAATGATTTCTTGCATCTCGATGGCCGAAGGCTTGGGGAGTACCTTGTCGCTGTTCGCTGGGCGACGATAGCTGGGTTGGAAGGGGGTGGATCGGATCCTCTCAAGATTATTCTATCGTAATCAAACATTTTCTACATATTTGTTCCCTATCTTCATGTGACGCCCTTGCGGTAATTATAACTTTGTTGATGGGCTACGAGGTTGTGGCTTATCTCCCCTTCCATTCACGGAGAAAGGAGGATGACTACCAGACAAAGGCACAGCTTTGTCGTTGCTCATGAGACAACATTTGTACAAAGCCACGTATAAGACAAATGCAAATGCAACAAGTTGTATCGTATTACAGGCGTGATTGACGCACAACAATGCATGGGAAAGAAAAAATAAAAGTATCGTGCAGATGGTGATTCGAATGACTGAGAATTAGGTAGGACAGCGGGATGAAACGGATCAGGATCACAGAAAATAGCGTACGAAATTCAAACTAGACACCTATGTGAATAAATACGATCTGCTGTTCCAGCGGAATCTTATTGCGCAATTTCTTCACAGCCTTGTGCAACGCCATCGCAGTGCGCGTGCAGTCCAATCTCCCAGAACCATTCACCAGGTCCCCATAAAAAGCAGACACAACCTCCTGCGCAACCTCGTCGTCGACAGACCACATAGAACCAATCACGCTGCGAAATCCGGAGAATTGCATAGCAGCAGCGAGATGGATAGACTCGTCGGGACTCTTTTCATCGCCCACGGTCGTGTGGCAAGCCGATAAGAATGCAAACTGCGGGTCCTGCCAGTTGGATCGGATGATGTCCTTGACCATCAACGGCCCATCACGCATTGCGAAGGAAGATTCGAATGGTTGTTGTCGATTCGGCATTCCGTGGCAGGCCAGGTGGAGCCACTGATTATGGTTCAATGCATCAAATGCACCCTCGACTGTTGCGTCGCTGTCCTCGAGTGACGTGAAGGACGACACGACGGGCGTGAGACGCTGGGCGACAACGGCTAGCTCGGGACCGACACACTCGAGTGGCTTCCCTTCGTCTGGGTTTCCTTGACCAATGGCAACAAAATGTTGCGGTGACGCATCTCCAGAAACCTGCCGTCTCGCACGAACAAGTGTTGCCAAAGTGGGGGTGTACGAGGAGATGTAGATGTGAGACAGACTGTCTCTCTTCTTCTCGTAGAGTCCTGCTGCATGCAGAGGAAGCAGCGTAAACTCGGCGGTGGGACACCACCAGATACGCGAGCCAGGGTGAACATTTGACACTCTAAGGGCTTGTACTACGGGGCCAACGATGTCATGCCAAAGTTTCCGAAGGATGCTGACAAGCTGATGTTGAGTATCAAAAGAACCGAATTCTTTTGAAAGGGACTGAAACTCGAAGGATAAATCAAAAACTACGGTCTGCGTGATACCAATTGGAACGTGGACAGGATCTCGGTCACTTAGGACAATCAAGGCGTCACAACTGTACTGACTAGCATTGACGATGATGACAGGACCTTCTTCAGCTGCCTTCTGTAAGTCTGAGAAAAGGGGAGGCAGGAGAAACCGAGAAAAGTCGGGAAGCATGCGGATGCGTGAAACCATGTCATCCCATTTCATAGTCAGCTGGCGGATTTGGGGAGATTGGTCTTCAGTAGACTGATCGAACGCACTACGGAGGCGAAAGCTCAGCTGCTTGAACTCTTCCGCCAAGGCTGCACCGGTGTTACGAACCGTGGAAAGCTCATCAACGGTTGTGCGGAAGCGTGCCAACTGAGTCCAGAATACTGCACGACCTTGCTCCACCAGTTCCACAGCAGTTATTAGCGCGCCATGACGAACGCTGCAAGAGAAAGCGTCCACAGCAAGCGAAGCCGTGGCAGTCCTCACGGCATCGAAATGACGCGACGAAGACGACAAAAGGGTGACATGCTGATCTAGAAATTTCAATGCAATTTGATATGCAAGCAATGCAGAATCATGGTTTGTCTCCTCGGCAGCGGCGGCCCATGACTTAGCAGCGGTAAGATCTGTACGAGAGGGCAAATGGGATATGTGGGGGAGTTGCGAGAATAGGTTAAATGTTTCATCCAGGTCAGATGGGATCCCCCGCTGAGTAAATCTCTCCCGAAAGCTGTTGGCAAGACTGCTGAGAGACGACGATCGAAAGGAGTGACCTGGGGGACGAAGGAGTAGTGCAACCCGATGGAGTTCGATGCACTCATCAAGATCAGATGGGACGCCTCGCTGCGTGAATCTGTCTCGAAGGCTGAGGGCGAGATTGTTGAGAGAGTATGATCGATCAGAATGACCAGGGGGACGAAGGAGTAGTGCAGCCCGATGGAGCTCGATGGACTCATCAAGGTCACACGGGACGCCCCGCTGCGTGAATCTGTGTCGAAGGCTGCTGGCAAGATTGCTGAGAGAGTATGATCGATCAGAATGACCAGGAGGATGAAGGAGTAGTGCAGCCCGATGGAACTCGATGGACTCATCAAGGTCAGATGGGACGCCCCGCTGCGTGAATCTCTCTCCAAGGTTAAGGGCGAGATTGTTGAGAGAGTATGATCGATCAGAATGACCAGGGGGACGAAGGAGTAGTGCAGCCCGATGGAGTTCGATGGACTCATCAAGGTCGGACGGGATGCCCCGCTGCGTAAATCTATATCGGAGGCTGTTGGCAAGACTGCTGAGAGAGTATGATCGATCAGAATGACCGGCAGGACGAAGGAGTAGGGCAGTTCGATGAAGCTCGATGGACTCGTCAAGGTCAGACGGGATGCCCCGTTGCGTGAATCTGTGTCGAAGGCCATTGGCAAGACTGCTGAGAGAGTATGATTGACCAGAATGACCAGGAGGACGAAGGAGTAGTGCAGCCCGATGGAGTTCGATGGACTCATCAAGGTCGGACGGGACGCTCCGCTGCGTGAATCTATGTCGAAGGCTGTTTGCAAGACTGCTGAGAGAGTATGATCGGTCAGAATGACCAGGGGGACGAAGGAGTAGTGCAGCCCGATGGAGCTCGATGGATTCATCAAGGTCAGATGGGACGCTCCGTTGCATGAATCTGTGTCGCAAATTGTTGGCAAGACTGCTGAGAGAGTATGATCGATCAGAATGACCAGGAGGACGAAGGAGTAGTGCAGCCCGATGGAGCTCGATGGACTCATCAAGGTCAGATGGGACTCCCCGCTGCCTGAACCTGTCTAGAAGACTGTTGGCGAGATTGTTGAAAGAGTGTGACCGTTCAGAATGACCAGAGGGACGAAGGAGCAGTCCAGCCCGATGGAGCTCGATGGACTCATCAAGGTCAGACGGGACGCCCCGCTGCTTGAACCTGTCTACAAGGCTGAGGGCGAGATTGTTGAGAGACTCTGATCGATCAGAATGACCAGGGGAACGAAGGAGTAGTGCAGCCCGATGGAGCTCGATGGACTCATCGAGGTCAGACGGGATGCCTTGCTGCGTGAATCTGTCTCGAAGGCTGACAGCAAGATCGTTGAGAGACTCTGATCGATCAGAATGACTAGGGGGACGAAGGAGTAGTGCAGCCCGATGGAGCTCAATGGACTCATCAAGGTCAGATAGGACACCCAATTGCGTGAATCTGTTTCGAAGGCTGTTGGCGAGACTGTTGAGAGAGTATGATCGATCAGAATGACCAGGGGGACATCTCTTCAAAGCCGCTCGACACTGTTCCACATCGTATATCATGCTATGATACCACAATCAAGTTACGCAATGACTGTCAGGAACACAGGGAGGATGAAGCCGAAGAATGCAAGTGGGCGAAGAGAACAAGTACTGTCAGGTTGTCCGCCTTTCAAATCAGCACAAAACGTAGATAAGTTTGAATCGCAATGCGCACGCACATTAATGGACACCCGCGCAATGAAGTAGTCCCGGAGTAGTTCAAGTTGATGTCCAAGGTTGAAAACAATTCTGCCTGCAGGCTACACTGTGCAGCACCTATATGACACTATGGTTAGTAACGAACATGTGATGTGATGTCTCTTACTATAAACTAGGGGGTGGACGCTCCATAACTTTTCTCTTCAAACTCCGACATATGTACAACGTCTAGACTGTCCAGTGTCCAATGACGGTTCTCCCTTTGTTTCTCGATTTCCATTATTCTATCAGGGTCTTGTAACGGGAAACTACCTTTGTTATGACTTCTCCCTTTGTTTCTTTAGTACCTCCAGAAAATCCTATATAAGCCCAATGAGAATCAGCTTCAAATTGCTCAGCTGGAATTGCCAGTCTCTTACAACTCGTTAACGCTTTGACACTGATACTTCATATTCACCACCAGATGATATCACGTATAAGTACAGAGTGCGTCAGCCACGACGAACCATGTACGGCAGATGTCAGTATCATCTCTGAAATTTTATCACCGGCTCAATTGATTAATATTGGTGCGGTACTTATTCTTCTTTCTGACCATTGCTGAACATGTTATATAGCATGAATTAGACTGTGGAATGCAAGTTGCACCTGAGTCCAACGACAAATGAGCGAGCAGGCGTCATTATTGATTTCAGTTGGCGAGGTATAACAAATACACAACTTGTGAGTGATACGCATTATTACAGGATATATGATGACTGAGGGTAAAGTAATATTTGTAGATCAAACTCGCAGTACCAATCGTCAACGATTTAACTGCAATGTTTTCGTTTTGCAACTCTTCCTTTGGTGGTAAACTGCAGCGAAGGTAGGCGATTGGCACTTTGATCGGGCTGCTCGACGTCTGCAGGAGGGGCAACTGCCACGTTCCTCTGCTTACGAGCTTCCTGTCGTGGCTGCAGCTGACGGCGTCTCAACTCTCTATGCGAGTTTCTGATAGTCGTCGTTAGCTGAGTTTGACAAACGAAATGCGAAAACTCACAGCGCATCCCTTCCGTCAAAAGGTAAGGTGGGTGGGCCTATCGGGCCTGTTGACGGTAGTCTGTCAACGAAGTGGTTAACATGAGTAAGTCAAGGACAGGGGAGTACATACGGTGGTGTCATAGTCTTTAGCACTCTTTCTGTCCGCATCTGATCCTCCTCGCCTTCTTCGTAGATCCAATCTTTTGGCCAATTGGGCGCAATCTCCCTCCAGTACGTGAAGTAGGCCTCTAATCTCTCACGACGCCCCCGCTCGGCGCGCACGACATCCCGCACATTCCTCGCCTGCTCCTTCAGCCCCGCCGCTCTCTGGCGGAGAGCGGCGGCCTGGATGAGAATGCGTTGATCATCGGCCGTGATCTGCTTCATTATGTTGACAGCCCGGTTGAGCAGCTGTGGTTCTTCGGGTGGAGGCGTTCCTGCACGCGAGCTGACAGGAGATTTATAGTATTGCTGCTGATTGGGACTTCCGTAGGACAAGTAGGAACCACCCGAATCACTGCAGTCATCCTCCGAAGCAGGGTGCCTATTGGGACTTGCTACTAAGGGCGAAAGGCTTGGCGACTTTCCCACTAGATTGTCAGGCGCTACGTCACCAGCATGTCCAGCTACTTTTGTGGGAGTTGTGTGTTCTGCTAGAATCAGGACGGGTGTAGGGGCATCTTCCTGGATGATGGGAGGATCGACTGGCGAAGTGTTAGGTTTCTTATACTGCGACACGAGATATGACACTCACAACTTGTATCCATAGGTAAGTCTATGGTTCGCGTTGAAGGGCCGGCAGCTGGAAGTCCCTCCTCCGTCGTTCTTGACTTCTTTCTTGGTGGCTCCTCACTCTCTTCTCGACTGAACGACCGTCAGAACCATTTATAGCATCGAAGACAAAGCAGGGCACGTACAGTACAGGATCAACCTTGCTGAGTTTCACCAACTCTCTAATGATTACTGCACTCTTCATGTTCGCTTTTACTCCATGAGCCTGTTTTCATGTCAGTGACTGGCATTCAAGGAAAGAAACGCAACACGCACCTTGGCTACCTTTTGCAGCTGTGCACGGGATAGCTCGCCAAGTGTAGCTTCATCCATGAAGAGTTTTCCTTGACTTGGAGCTGGGATTGGGTTGTTGGATGAGTGGGCATCATGAGGAAAGAGTGCTTCATTCATTTTGCGCGGCGTAGTCTTTAAAGCACGGATACTTTGATGAAAAGATGATGTGATACTGAGTCAGGTTGGGGATCTGCTTAAGGAGGTTGGAAACAAATGACGAGGAACTCTGAAGGTGCTTTAAATTTGCTCTTGTAATGTGGTTTGTGTGGATACATCCACAACATTTTAAATACACGATGCATGCTTGTACCCGGAGAACAATAGATTAAGAATAACTCCGAGAGGCGGGGGTCCGGGAGCAGTTTGGCTGCCATATTGGTGAGATCAATCATGTCAATAAGTGTTTCTACACTGAACGCCAATATGTCTGGTCGCATTCGAATTTCTACATGATGATGGGACACTGTGGGGCTGTTGCCGAGGGGCGTCGAAGATACAATGATATGATGAGGGAAGTAAGTACTAGTGTTTTTTTTTGACTTGAGCCGGATATCAAAGGCGCACGCTTCCGCAACCACCCGGAAGACTTTCAAGGCTCTTTTACCCAAATTCCACGTCGCTTTCCTCCTCAGGCGACATATTTACGACACAAGAACCACGTAACCGGAGTGCGGCAGGGGAGGATCGAGCTCCCATGCGCTCGAAGGCTATATGAGGAGATGTGCAAAAAAGGAGTTGTGACGGACACCGTAGTTTTGAGAAGTGGTAGGTTCTGCATGTCGATTAACGGGAAATATCCTTGACCGCAAGCCTCTGGGCAATATTTGCTGCAGCGTTGACTCTTCACTCGTCTATGGCCTGTCTGTGGGATTTGTACTCGTGCATGGGGTGACGATCACTCCTGCATGTACATATGTACATTCGACGTGGGCAAAGTTAGGCTTCACTATCAACGTCAGGCCAATACACACGAGGAGACCTTACTGGTGGTCCTGAACTCAGCCCCATAACCACCCTAGTATTTGTCACCGTCGCCATTGAAGAGATCAGCTATGGCTTCTAGCTCGACAAAGCCCGTCGGAGCAACAAACGAATCGATCCCGAAACCGGTCACGACGCTGCAGGGTCATACACCTTCGAAAGACAAGCAATACATTAACAGTATTACATACCATGTTTAATCCACTTCCTACTTTCCGGACGGCCAGATAATGATCAATGGATCTTGGGGCGGGACTCGGCAATGGGATCTGCAGATGGGGAAAGAGATTGGGGGGGTGCGGGATGTTATGTAGATGCGGTGGATGTATCAAGGGATGGTCGACGGGTCGCCACTGCTGGTGGAGAAAGCAATAATAAGCATGATTACGAGGAGCTCCGAACCTGCGAGATTGAGACACGCTTTCCTTCAGCCCAGGCCACGACTAAGGTGCGTTCATATATATACCCCTGCGAGAACGTGAATATTAACTGTCGGAATCACATTTCCAGTCACAACCACCGCCCGCCATCCAGTCCTCTACTGCTTCTTCCACTACCTCCAAATCCCACAAACACCACTCATCAGCCTGGTGGCCCCGTGCAAGTCGTGCATTGCTGCCTACCGTTGATGTTCCTCTCGCGCCGGGTAAACTAGTGTGCTCAGTTAATTTTTCTCACTGTATAACGGATCTCATGTGTCCATTTACAGCGCGTCGCTGCAGCGGGTGCTTCTGCCAAGGATGATGATGATTTGATCCGTGATGAAGACTATGTCTCTGCTCCTTCACTAACCCCCGGTTCACAGCCACAATCCACAGCAGAGCAGATTACTGTTGTCTCTAGAAAGCATAGAAGCGGCTGCTCGTGTTTCTGCTTTTAGCGTTGTTTCGAGGACATTCCCAGGTATTTCGTTTTTACTTGTTGTAGCTCGTCACATACGTTCTCTATTACCACTCAACGCAAATGGTCAATACACTTTTTGGAGTACGTCTTATCCTTCTATCGATAGCACGCATTCCGACTACAGATTCCATCTCTTCCTTCAGGTATTTACTTGGGTTCTGCCAGATTTATACAAGGCTATATATAATTTCCAACATCGCTTGAGCGGATTATATGTTTCAAAACACCAATAACCATTTCCAGCTTCAAATCCTGCTCCACACACAAGTATTGAGGAAAGACAAAGTCCTCGCAAGGAATGCCACGGCGTAAACGCGTGTACGCATTGACATGAAATAGAATGGTGCCGGTGATGGATGACCTCCCTCATTCACTCGATTCAACCATATCGCGATCCCAACATCATATTCTAGGCAACACTTGGTCTTGCCACAACCCATTGGCTCATAGTTGGTATCGAGTCTCTGCACTGATGGGATTTTGTGAGTATTTTTGGCCTGTTCCAATTAGTAGCTTTGTGTGATCGTTACATACAGCCATGTGCCACCCCAGGAATGGTTGTTGACCAGCGTCAAGTCGAGATCCGAGTTGATTTTTGCGAGACTGAAGTCGAAGAGGTTTGTGAGCTTGTCTCGCAAGAGGATGTCAGTCCGTCTTTTGGACGATCATTGTATCGAATCACTCGAACGCCCTCAGAAATTGGGTCATTTCAAGCTTCCCTTGTCTAACTCTCCGTCTCAAGCTTGAGCATCTAAACTGTATCTCCTACTTACCAATGCACTTTCCTGATAATTCGAAGTGGTTTAAAGGTGTTGGGGTAGATACCAAGCAATTAGTCCCGTCCATTCACAGCCGCGGCCCGGCCTGACTTAGCAACACGAGGTAAAAGTTTATTGATAGCCATCATTTTAGTGACTCCACAGACATGCCCTTCCATCGTGGCGTAAAAACAGTGGGCGTAAGGATGATCGGAAGGACCAAAGAAGTTCTGTGACTCAGGTCTGGTACATGAAATATTCTGTGCCATACAAAGCTGCACATGCAGCTGTGCCTGCCGTCATTGCAAGTGTTATTGGATAAAATGGTGGTTTTAGGGACTGCCGCAGGTGCAAGAAGAGGTATGTCAATGACCAAGCTACCGCGGCGCATGTACATCATATGTGAATCACGAAGTGATGCTAGAACTCACCAGTAGCTATTCCGCTGCCGTTCCTTGCGTCACCAGCCCCTAGGACATACGCGGCGCCACCAAAAACCAGGGAGAAGCCGACCCGGTGGAGATATGGAGGAAAGTAAACATTTGGATGAACGACAGTGGATGGAATGATGGCTGAGACTGCAACTATTCGTGCCAAAAAATATCAGATGGTGGTGCATATGAAGCGAAAACTTGTGACACGTACATAATGTCCCCAGACCAAGAATAGGTCCCCTTCAAAATTCAATCAATAGGTTAATGTGCCAGGACAACGTGGACTGAACTTGGAGCGTGCGTATGGTTGAAAATGAGTGAATGCTCCGGACGCCGTTTGTGACGTAGAAGGACTCGACGAATTTGCGCGTTCAGGAGACTCCTTTCCTTCCATTGTACCAATTGGGTTGTGTTTAAATGTAAAACTTGAGCGTTCTGAACATGAAGTCACGCAAGTAGGCCTTAGGGTTAGAGAATTCGGGTATTTATTTGAACCCCGAATGGGGAAACTTGCAGCCTTCATGGCACCTGTCAGTCTCGGACCATGCTTGTGGAGCAGTATTTGTGTCGCCAGCACGGAATACACGAGGATTCTTCATAATTTATAGGCGGGTAAGGGAATATTTATGCTTTGTCCTCTTGAACAACGTTAACAGCAGTGACTCGGTTCAACTGAACGATGCCTTCGACTATCATCCAGGCGGGACAAACATGGCATGGTTTTAGCAAGATCCAGTATTTGATCATATTGTACGCCCTCATTCTGCCTATCAACTAAGCGAGCGTTATGAGATTAACTTGCTCAACTTGATCCATTTAGTGGTGATTCTTATAGCAGCATTCGTTGGGACTACCAATCTTCTCCCCATCCGACAATCAAGAGCCCGCTGGGAGTGACCTATCCCGGAGTGACATACGCAGAGCCAGGCAAGCCGAACTGGGTCGGACATCTAGTGAAATCGCGTCCATCTAAACTGGTGTACGACTATGCCAGGGGAAACGATTTTGTGTCTTCTCTAGAGAGACAGATCATATACCAGTTCCTTCCAAATGTCGCAAGGAAGCCATCGTCGGCCCAATGGGAACCAGAGGACACACTCTTTAGTGAGTACTTTCGAGTCGCATACTTGATCTCTCTGACGGGATCTGCGTTGATCTACGACAGTGACGTGGATTGGGATTAATGATCTCGCGTAGGTCGTCGTTCTGCTGTCTTGATTATAAACTGATCGAGAACTCCTCAGTCTCATCGAAGATATTGATGGCGTGTTTAACACGCTGAAGGGTCTTTTCCGATACCAAGAGAAGCTATATGCCTCTGGGGCTCGAAACTTTCTGTTATTTGACCTCCCTCCGATCCACAGATCGCCCTCAGGTATGATCGCATCTTCCACCGTGGTTCATATACTCATTTCAAAACATAGTACGGGACGATACCGCTACCGTAATGGAACAGTATCAGACGTGGAACGTGACATTAGAGAAAGAACTTCAGAGCTGGACTAAAAGCCATCCAGATGTCACCACCTTTCTCTTTTCCTCATGGGATTCATTTTCGCGCGTGTTGGATGATCCAAACGCATTCGGATTTGATCCCAACGACATCAGTGAACCTGGGGGTGCAATATGGGTAGATCGGCTCCGTCCCACGAGTGCGATGCATCGAATCATTGCGGACGATCTGATTTCGTTCCTGGACGCCCATTCACCACATGTCTCTGATCAACCAGAATTCTCGCACAATCGGGCGTACTTCTCAGCAAGCAATGCTGTATGAGTGAAGACGAGTTTGCGAAAAAGGCATAGGACGGGGCGGGTGCTTTATTGTTGCCTCTGGAAGGAACTGGTAGCATTTTTCAGTTCATGACTACTGCCAGGTTATATATTCATGTGAACGCATCTAGTATGTATAATCCTACGACATTACGTGACTTACAGAACAACACATCTACGTGAACATGTACGCAACTTTACGTTGACGAGGTTCACTTTACCTGCGCTTCGCAATTGAAGTACTCAAAAAGTTAAATTTTTCAATTTATTTGGCACGATCTCCCCAGTTTAGTTATCGTCAATGCGATCTTGATGTGTCGTTCTCATCAAACAATAAAGTTATGATCGTCGCGAGCTCAAAGGAGTATGGCAACAATTAATGCTGTCCGTGCCGCTGTCAGGGCTGGTGCGTATCCACACTGTACACGTTATTACAACGAGGACTATCGAGTGATGGGATAACAGTCCACAAAAAAATGAGCAATTTCTGCCAAGAGGATATGCGATCTTGCCGCCCTCGCTCAGTTAGGGCCGATAAACTGATATAATATCCGCCTGACAAGTCCAGACAGATGCTGCGGGTCGTTCTGCAAAGAATATGAACTGTTCAGGACATTTCTTACCATAGACAGGATCAAAGTCACCTGATAAATACTCTGGGCGTCATAAAAATAAGATCAGGACGGCGTTAGAATATATAGCAACCTTCCACTCACCATAACCATACTCATTCCGATCGCAGTGAGCTAGCGCATGTCAGCACGTCCATTGAACACGAAATTGAACACTTACGATCATTTCCCCAAATTGACCAGTGTGGAATACCCAGCCCTTGCCTCTTGCCGTCAACCAGGCACTTTCCATGCCCTTCGGCAGAACATACATCGCGAGCTCCCCTCGCCTCCGCTTTTCCTCAACAAAGAGTGAAAGCGCACCAAACAATCCACCGAGTCCATAGGAATACTTTGACACAAAGAAGTCGATAAATTTCTGTGGGAGCTTGACTAAAGTTTGGGAGGATAACATCCTGTAGAGGTAATGTTTGAAACAGACCCACGCTGCGAAGAGATGTCAAATGTCATGCAGGCACAAAGGGACGGCGGAAATACATACTCTGGAACGAAGCAATGAACGTTGCTAAAAATGCAGAACTCCGTATCGTAGCCCACCCTGCACGTCCAAGCTTGTGCAATGGGTTCTCGAAGAATGCATGCCGCTTGAACAATATCATCGGGACAAAATGCAGAGCACCATAGATTGGGAAGGCCCATTTGAATACTGTAACAAAGCGCGGTAGCGGCACGTGTGTGCACGATTCTACCCAGGGGTGCACAGCGCCACAGGGAGGATAGGGGCCAAAGTCAGGAGGCGAATTAACAGCCAGTGCTCTACTGGCGAGAAGGGTGGCCTGATTTGCAGGGATAAGGTCCTGACAAGCAAGTGAGAATATGGCGAGGATAGTCAGCACAAAAAACCCACCTCGCGGCTAAGGATCTTGTTAAGGTCCTGTACGTCAAACGCCCCGGTCTTGTTCATGTCTTGGACTATCTTGATCGCGTTTGATGGAGCGCCCGACGCAGTTGTAAGCCTAAGGAATTATTTTCAAAATACACTACAACACATTTTAATCGACTGACCATGCGGTATATGATCGCGGGAGTGTTTCTGGTCGTGCAAATAATGCGTACACAATTTGTGTAGAGCTGTCCACATGTCAGAACTAAGACCTCTACCATAATGCACAGACTATACCAAAGACAAAACATGAGCACTTCTCCATTGGGTAGATGGAAACCGTGCTTCGAAGTAAAAGCGTTATATGAACCTTGTAGGCCTCTAGACACCGCTTTGAATGAATCGTTGCATTATCATGAAGATAGAGTAAATTACCGAACGAAGAGTTGTTGTGCGATGACCACTCTTCTTGATCGTTTTTCAAACATAACAGCGAGGCCACCGGCTAAAGCGCCAGCAAACATAGAGTGCCATCGTCGTGTCTTCTTACGCGCCCACACTTGATGTGCTTGAGCACTTAAGGAAAGGCGCGACTGTCTGGCTGAGAGGGGAACCTCAAAAGGCGTTGGTGGGGCTTCGATATCTTCATCTTCGTCCTCAAACGGTGAGGGTAGGCTTGCACGTTCATTGACAGGAAGGAGGATGGGGAGGGCATTGAGTGTTGCCTTGTAAACAGTCACGAAGGAGCCTGTGCAAACTATGACAAAAAGCTTGCAAAAGATACTATGACATCTATTTGCTCACCAAGCATAGCTGCGAATCTAAATGAGTCCTTTCCAAAGATCGCATGTTGAATGAGTGAGAGCCTCATGTTTCTGTACAACTCATCAACCAGGGGTCTGAGCAAAGGTCTAGTCCTGACTTACTTTGGCACACTTCCCATTCTTATTGTGGCCAACACAAGATTCACGCTTGCACGTAGAGCAAAAGCGATAGCTGCAGCTCCTACATGTCAAATATAAACAATGCATACTACCGTGAGCACGTCCAGACTGATAACTCACGTAATCCTCCACGCCCCGCGTGCTCCATACACTCCCAAAGGTCTTCAAGCTCAACAGCAGGCTCACCGCGCTCCCTCCAGACAATCCTGCGAGCTTCCCGGAGTCGCTCTTGGTGGTTTGCGAGTGCGACGAGATTCTCAAAGGACGCCATCGCGCGGCGAGGTGCAAGTTGAATATACGATGGCGTTCGCGACATGGCAATATTATGAGGCGCCGCTTGGTTAATAGGTTCTGGAGAGGCCATGACCTCTAAAATACAAGGAGTCAAAACTTTGGGGAGCTTGCCCATGTAGCGCTTCTTTGCGAAGCATCATGTACACGAAGTCAACACTAATACCTCCGGCCGACAGTTTCAGGAAAATGACCGACTACGCCGCATACATGAACTCATACGCAATTTCAAACCTTCAAGTTGGAGACTGCAATTAGTCGGTTAACGTTCAGTTGAATGCACTTTGTCAACTCCAAGTCCGTCTGGGTCAAACTTAAACTGGTTGGGGTGAACTTAATGCACCATATGTGAAATCTTAGGTACCCGGCCGGAGGGTAAAGAAACACATGCTGGAGAGTGTGACCGGCGACAGCCGGCCATGCAAGTTGAATGATAGGGAACAATCAGCCATCAAATACGCAAGGTACAAAGGAGATCATTTATTTGCAGATGTACGAGAATGATGGACAAGGGTACGCAAGAATCTGTAGTGTGAAGAGGATGATAGTCAGTGATGAGGTTTAATGCGAGAGCACGAATAAGGATCAGACGATATAATGATTCCGGTTAGACTGTTTCCTCATCGAACGGATTCTCCGTTGAGGGAGTCTGTTTTGTCATCGTGATATGAAAATTGGAATGGCACTCACCCTATCGGTTCTTGAAGTATTCAAGGAGCACGTTGAGACCCTCACTCTCTACACCATAGTCCTTGACAACGACGCAAGAGCAGCCCACGACCTTGCGGGGATTGCCCTCCTTGTCAATCTTGCAAAGACCTGCCCATGTGCCCAGGATCTTGCCATCTCCGACCTTGATCAGGTTGATTTTGTGCTCTGCGCAGAGTGCTTCGATGAGTTTGATGTACTCAGCCTCTGTGCAGGTCTCCACAAGCACACACAGGTGGGCCTGGCGCTTGTCCAATGCCTTGGCGCACTCGCGGAGACCACGAGCGAGACCGTCACGAACAAGGGCATTCTTCAGGACTTGCTACGCGATTAAAGTTAAGGATTGATGAAACCTAGCTAAACTCAAGTTCTGCATACCTGAAGAGCATCCTCAACGGACATTTTTCCCTTTGGAGCCTCGGTAGTGACCTCGACCTCAGCAGCCGGGGCGTCAACTTGAATTTCATCTCCAGCGTCAGACATCCTTTATTTCACAATCAGATAGATGACTGGGCGTTATCATAGACAAACATACTTTTGGAATTAGTTTACAGAATTTGCGATGTCTTCGTCCGCTCTCGTTGATGTGAGGAAAATAAGGTTTCGGCCAGTAACAAGGTTTTGTGTGCGTTCAGAGTCCGCTCGGAAGGAACCGTATATATCCCATTTGACCTGATCTCCTGCGCTATGATCGAGGTTGGCCTTACACTTCGCACCTAATCATCCACCACAAAAGCAGTCAGATATGGTTTGTTCGCATTCTCTGATGCACAGCAGTTAGATTATAAAATTTGCTAGAGTCTCGCATTCGTTAACGCGCTTGAGTGCAAAGAACGTACGCGCCAGAGTGTCACAACCTTTAGGCAGACTTCATTAAACTTATCATTTACAGCGCACAGTGACGAGATCTGGGCTGTAGCATGGACAGCAAATAATACGGCCGTGTCCGCATCTGCGGATGGCACAGTGAAGCAGTGGGATTCCGCCTCTGGACAAGTGTCGATGTCGCGTCCGCCACACAACCTTGCCATAGTTTCTCTGTCCGTCTCACCTGACGGAATGTTCGCGCTGTACAACGGTCTCGATGGTACAACATGGCTTTGGGATCTCCAGGCTGATACCGTGGTCGGGCGTCATGAAAGCTACGACCGTTCTGCAGTGCAAGGCGCTGAGCCTTGTGAGTTGCACGGGCTCTAAGAAAGTATGATTTCTCATTATGTTGCATGTGTCCAGCCTGGTCCGTATCACTCAATCCGAAGGGAGCGACGTATGCGGGCACCAGCAGCTCTGGAAACGTGAATATCTACTCTGCGAGCCCTGACTCTTTCGGAACACGCCAAGCAGTCTTGACGAGTGGTAGGAGCAGACACGGTATGGATTGCGTACATGTGAGTTTATTTTGTTCAATATAGCAATGCTTTGAATTCCAAAGCTCCCAGAACGCTCCCAATAACTAACGAATCACTTTTGATTAGAGTCCAGATGGTACTCGAGTGGCATTATCGAATGAAGCTGGCCAAGTCTTCATATTCGACTTGGAATCACAAGCTTTGACATCAACCTATTCTTCGCATGCCATGTGTGTGCGGTCGTTGGCATGGTCATCCGACGGGCAGGTTCGTCTCTTCAATTTTATCGAGTGAAAGTACCCTAAATGGACGGCATTCAGTTGTTACTGACAGCCTCTGATGACAAACGCCTTATTCTTCACGATGTACGCTCCACTCCATCCGGAAAACCAGGTTCTGGAGCAGTAGCCACACTTACGGGCCACTCCTCTTGGGTGCTCAGCACCAGCATATCGCCAGATGGACGTCTGGCCGCATCAGGGTATATCATGTTCTATCAGACATAGACATAACTCTAATAATCCTTGTCCACTAGGTCCGCTGACAAAACGATCAAAGTGTGGGACTTGTCAGCACGCGCAGCAGTCTCGACGCTCCAGGAAAGTGGTGAGGTATGGAGCGTTGCTTGGTCTCCAAAACCACCCGCTCCTGGCACCGCGGGTGCTTTTATCACTGGTGGACAGGATGGACATGTACGATGGTGGAGATCCGCTGGTACTGGTGCATAGTATGGGTAGGATAGCATGTCACTTTTGGTCCCCTTGTACTGCTGAAGTTCTTCATTTTCCCGACCGCCGTAGATTCCAGACTTAACAAATGAATGAAATGAAGGTCTTACTTTTGTATGAAGAATCATCCATGAATCGATATCTAGACCACAGACAGTCTACTGTGCTAACTAGATTCTGGCATCTCCGTTATTTGATAGACCTCTGTTCCTGTTTCCGTCCGCTCAACAGTTCTTATCAACCCGCCAAGTACTCACTTCTTCCTTTGGGTGCTCGTGACCCTTTATTTGCCTCATTCATAGCCAGTTTGGTTGTCATTGCTTGTTCAACTCGACTCTGATGAATCGCTTGGTCGCAATCTTCTCCTAGACATTAGTACGCCTGCGATGTGAAGCGGCAGGAGTTGTTGGGGTCCTGAGATTACGTTACATGATTTTCACAAGATCTTCAGGCGCAGACCATGGTTCGTCGTGACGAGTAGCTTGTTTCCTCTCGAGTCCATCCGACATACACTGCTCCAGTTGTGACAGAATGCTGACCTGCTTGCCAGTGCCGAGTTTTAGGATCGCTCTGAGTAATGGACGGAACGCTGCTGCCTTCTCCATATGCGATGGAGGCTGATATCAAAAATACCACTCGAGGAATAAGGCACGTCCTACTTACGAATAGTTCACCTATGCGATGTCCACGACAGGCGTTCCCTCATATTGTGCATTCCCGGAATGAAACCTATGATACCGTCATTCGTCAGAATCCTGGCGATGTTGGAGATGGCGATCACGATTGATCGCCGTCTTTGTTATTTTGTCGTTGGTGAGCAGCATCCATTTCCATGTATAGGATTCTATGCCGTGTGGGGAGAGTAGCTCTTGTAGAGTCCGTCCCCTAAATCGCTCACCCCTTTCCAGGCTTTCCACTCGACTCTCCAAGGTAGACGATGCACGTTCGTCAGTTTCCATGCCACTTACACATGGAATAAATGGACTCGCCGAGCTCCAGGCTATTCAGCTTGTCGGTGCAGCAAGTGTTAGATTATACGAAATCGTAGTCACGCCCCCTCACCTTTTCGCAGAAAGTCGTGAATTTATGGTAAGCATGAAGTCACGAAGTTCTCCTCATGTAGCACATCATGATATGCTACCTCCGTGTCGAATCGTCTATGGCATGTCTCACTCTGTGCCTCATCAACTCGTGAAGATCTTTGATGCGCGCTCCAGCTGTGGTTGCTGTTCAATTTCATGATCGGCGATGCTATCGACGGTAGGCTTAAAATAATGCTTGTTCTAGGATCTATCGAAGAACTCCACATTGGGGATGTGGAGTAATCTGACAGGCATCGCGTAGAAAAGTTGATCGAACAACGCGCGCAGCGCTGAATTAACCTTCTTCATAGCACCAACTATCAAGCAAGAGTAAGCCCGTTCTATTTCCCCCGCGACACGTCCCATTCCAGCATGTTATGCAACTTACATTGAGATTGACAGGTTTGCACATAATGGTGAACAAACGAGCGTTTATCTGAACCTACAGCGGCTATCGCCGGACGATCGCTGATCATTTGCCCACATGTAGGCAATGTCGTACAGCTGGACTCATTGTCAGACTATCACCGCATCATAAAACTCCGATATCTCGAAAGTCAGCGCAGGAAGGTTCTTATTAAAATCTGGGTTTCATGGAGGTCATACACTGTGTATTGTGCAGAACGAGGCTGGCTTGATAACGTTCTGAATATAGATTCGCGAATCACCACGTTTCATCGTGAGCGTCAAAGGTGATTCAAAGGTCCGTTCTAGAAAGCTATATATAAGTGCGAACGTATTGTATCCCTTGTAGAGCGTCTAAGGAATTTCTCACAAACTACGACTCCCAGAGGTTAGCGATCGTGAGTTACCCACTATATATCATGACCCTGCTGTCTAACATCGGCGGACGACTTTCAAGTCACTATGAGCAACTCGGGCGTTCCTATGGTGGTAGACAACTGGATAGGCGCCTCCAGAGCCTCCGATAACGACTTCAAAGATCTCGTTGAAGAAGTATTCGACGAGTATATCGCCAACGAGATACCAATTCGTCTAATTCATATCAGCAAAGATGACCAGGGGCCGAATTTCAAACTCGTGGACAGGACTTTCGTGAAGAAACACTTCGAATCAGTTCCTGGTGAGATTTACAAAGAACTTCGCAATGAAAGGCTCGTGGATAGGGAGGGCCGTATCAGGGAGCGGTTGAAGGAGACACTCAAATATGCCATCTTTTCCCATCGATGGCTGTTCAGCGAGCCTTCGTATCAAGACATGTCGACGGAGCCGATGAGAGTCCGGGCTGAGCTAGAGCCTAAGTGGAAGAAGCTTCAAGAGTTTTGCCGTAAAGCGAAAGATGACCACGATTGCGAATTCGCCTGGTCAGACACATGCTGCATAGACAAAACAAGGAGTGCGGAGTTGGACGAATCCATCCGCTCCATGTTTCGCTGGTACAGGAATTCTCACATATGCATTGCACACTTGTCGGAGACGGCAAACCTTGCGGCTCTTGAAAGGCAGAAGAAGGGCGAAAAAGGTGATGGAGCAAAAGTAGATGTTTGGTTCACAAGAGGATGGACGCTTCAAGAGCTCCTTGCTCCATCGCAAATCAAGTTTTACGGAACGGACTGGAAGCCCCTCGTACCCCTCTACCACTCCAAGAACGATAGAATCAGCGATACCATTATGCGAAAGATATCAAAAATCACGCACATTCCTCCCGAAGATCTTAAATCATTCAAACCTGGCACAGATCGAGTGCCGCAAAAGATGTTGTGGGCATCGGAGAGGAGAACGACTCGCATCGAAGATGTCGCATATTGCCTCATCGGAATATTCGATGTCAGCCTCATGGTCGCATACGGCGAGGGGAACAGGGCCTTCTTCCGTCTCATGGAGGAGATAATTAAGAGATACGACAAATGGGACGTATTTCTCTGGAGTGGCCAATGCTCCCACTACAATGCGACCCTTCCCTACGCTCCACGCTGTTATCCTATGGGATATCGGGAAACGCTTGTGAAGCGTCCAGACGAAGCAGGAAATGAGGAGGAATGGAATACGGCAAGTTGTGAGATTGGAGATAGGCTCTTTGCCTTGACCAACCATGGCCTTCGAATCAAGGTACTCCCTGTGTTTGTCAGTCTACAAGACACAAGAGACGAGTCGCATGACTCGAGATATCTTACCTTCAGGCATGCGGAGTTCAAGCATGATATGGTGGTAAAGCACATTGGGACAAAGCGCGAACCTCATACTACCTGGGCAATAGCTATCCTGGACTATTGGGTCAACGGCAGTTGGAAGGGTTTCATCGACGAAAGAAAAGACCCGTTTACTGCATTTCTTTTGTCTAAGGATAAATTGCATGCAGCTCCAGATGCGAGGTGGAAGAAGGAGATGACAGAGGGAGTTATCAAAATTCAACCAAAAGACCACTATGCAGACACTTTGGTCGAGTTGTACCTGTAACGACGTGGCTTTTGTTCAAGCTTCAAGACTTATGCTCATTGAAACCCTTTCACCTCGGATTCGTGTTCTTGAGAGCTGCCGCCGTGTAAAGTAGTAGCGGAGTTACAATTACTGAATCACGACTTGTGTACTACCGAATTCCAAGACACTTATTGGCCTTCTTTGTGAAGTCGCTCGTTTTTCTCCGGTAAGGGTCGAGAGCGTTTCTGTATCGATATGGAGCAGTCTTAAGCGATATTCAACGTTAGTGTTATATAAAGGGGCCCTTACAATTTCAACTTTTTTTCGACTTTCCACATTCTTCGGTGCCACGCTGGCTGGCGGCTGGAGCATCAAAACATGGCAGCACATATGCTGGACGTTGTACTTTATATTAGGCGTTGTGCACGTGGGCAACTGTCACCGCCACCGCTGCGCATGCCCTTCCTCGGGCCCGAATGGGATACACCGATCTCCGCCAAAAATACTAATTGTACACGTGTGGCTCGTTAGCGGTGCATTCTGCGCATTTCCCGCAGTCCGGTACTACTACCAGTCTGCCTATCCTTTGCGTCACGATGAGTCTTATGCAGTACGGTACAGCCACTATACCGAACACGCCAGAACGTAGGACGAGGATTACCAATGGTGAGAGCTGTATAACTGACTCATGTTATAAAAGGACCTTCCAACACCACCTGCAAGCGCTCGTATTATAAATGAAACACAGAGTACAGTTCTTACTATACCTGTCTGACCTGGGCCTTTCCTCCGTTCCCTCCTCCTGGCGCTACTCACAATCAATCGTCATCATCTACAAGTCTATCCAAGACCTCGCAATTCCTCAGGTAATTAGCTCAATGAATCATGTAACCCAGTGACTAAAGATCTAATCGCAGCGTGAGTTCAAATGAGTTGGAGTTTAGAGAGCTCATCTCGAGAAAGCTCGACGAGTATATCATCAATGAGATGCCCGCACACCTGCTTCGACTGCATCCCGATACAGGCCCAATCGAAACCATCGAAGTCGTTGACCGATTCTCCCTGCGCTCATATTACGAGACCATAGTCAACGAGATCAAAGAGGATGATATCGTGCCTAATGCTGATGAAGAATGGGAGGATGCCATCATAAGATCAATAAAGGAGAAGATCCGATATGCTATCTTGTCTCATCGATGGGTCAACGGAGACTTGGAAACATCGTTCCAATACATGCAGTCAAATGTCGAAGTCAAGTCTTTTGATTGGCATGTGGGTGGGCTTGGGAAGTTGTATGCGTTCTGCCAAAAGGCACGTGACGACTTCAATTGCTCATTTGCTTGGTGCGATATGTGCTGCATAGACAAGACGAGCAGTTCAGAGCTTGACGAGGCCATCCGTTCCATGTTCCGATGGTATCGCAATTCACATATATGCATCACCTACCTCCAAGAGACAGATAGCATAAACGATCTCGCGGAGGATGAGTGGTTTGAAAGAGGTTGGACGCTCTTGGAGCTCCTTGCACCATTCCGCATGAAGTTTTACGGAAAGTCATGGGCGCCACTCAGGCCCCTTCATGAGTCTGAGAACGACAAATGCAACTCGGATAGCGTCTTACAAGAAATTTCGCGAATTACGCGTATACCTGAGACGGATCTCAGGGCATTCAACCCTGAGACCAACCGGGTGCAAGAGAAGATGGTATGGGCATCCAGCAGACGAACAACAAGGGTCGAAGATATTGCTTATTCCTTAATTGGGATCTTCGATGTTAGCCTGATGGTTGCATATGGAGAAGGCAGACGAGCCTTCTATCGTCTGATGGAGGCCATCTTGCAGAGATGTGACCATTGGGAGATCTTCTCTTGGAAGGGATCCTCTTCCTCTTACAACGCCGCTCTTCCAGCTGATCCTAACTGCTATCCTGCAGTGGGGAACACAGGTAATTTTGACGCCGAGGAACAAATTAACAACGAGCACTACATAATCGGGGATAGACTGTTTTCCTTAACTAATCACGGGCTCAAGATCAAAGTGCTTTTGGTTCGAGTCGAAAAAGTGCACGAAACAGTAGTGGAGGGAACCCATGGCTCGAGGAAGAGACTCGTTTTCAGCAATGGAGCGCTGGGTGATGTGGAATTAACTTGCATGCATCCCAAGTACGAACCTCGTATGGAGTGGGCATTCGGCATCATCGACTTTTGGCAACAATACGGAGGCGGGGATCATGCCCTTGTTGATCCATGCAGGAAATCACGCCCGTACACAGCATTTCTGTTATCATATCACCCAAATGCATCTCCTGATGCTAGATGGAGGAAGGAGATGACGGAGGATGTTGTGCACATTTGGCCTCAGAGACACATGGCGGATTCACTACCCTCTTGTACCTGTAGAGGCTGAAGCAGTCGGTCGTTGACCGGGACCATTTATGGAAGTTATGTAAGACTGCGGTTACAATTTTTGGTTCAACAGACAGAAATGTTCAATTCAATTGAGGTGTGACAGCGTCTCGGTGAAGGTCGTATATTATCCCCACACCCGGCAGTCACCTGCAGTAGGTTTTTAGCAGTGCTGCACAGGATTTGAATCTTTTGATGTGCTCTGCCATAGTGAGTGCAGCGATCATAGCCACAGATCTATCAAGCATGATTATCTTACATCTCACAAGCGCGGGAAGGGCCTTTCTATTGGAGCTTTATACCTTAATATGAGCTGGCTATGCAGACTCTATGCACTGACAGCTTATTCGAGCAATTGCCAAGGTAGGTGGCCTTGACAATCCGCTAATCACTGGTTGACGATCAATCATGCTAACATCGCTCGTATGATCTAGGGATATCAAACGTCGATTGATAACTGAGCGTTTCACCCCATTTTGCACCGATCTTTCGACAGTGAGCTATACATATAAGAAAGTCGCACGGAGTCCGAGTCGCAGGGCCCACAACTCCTTGCACCACAGCTGGCCATGCGGAACCAGGTGATTAAGCAAACGTCGCGACGACAAATGCCCTCATTCGAAATCGGCTCACAAAGGACTCCAGGTCCACTCGTGTCCATTACACAAGTGAAAGGGCACCTCCGCCTCCTCAGAGCGTTCCATAATCTGAGGGTTATAGTAGAAGAATGCAAGGACCGCAGGATTCCTACCTTTGCAGCACAAATGGATAGAGATAGCAGGTGGACATGGTTTATCACCCTGGCTACTGACAGGTGCGTCGAGTTACTTCCATTTGACGCACACACTCTGACGCCCGGGCAAGATTTGAGCGATGGGTCAAGTCTCTGCAATTCGTACCTCTTGAGAAGTTCATCAGCAAACAGCTGCCACCCATTGACGTGTGGATGGTTTGGCATGCTTATCTATTGAATCCATGGTGAGTTTTGTACTATTGAACCCTGCGGAGTCGATGATTCTAAATTTCACGTTCGGCAGTTGGTACGAAGAAGACTGCGAACGTCTCCTCATTCTGCAGCAGCTCCGCCTGGTCAACATGTTTGTTGTTGCTTCTGTTAGTCCTTATTCAAAGTTATTCCCCTGCATACAAGTTGACTATGCGTAGATCGATGTTGGAAAGTTTGCAAAGAATCAGCCATCTGCCTCGCGGATTATTGCATGGCACAAACAAACGGGGTCATTATTTGATCCGTTTGATGCCATGGAGGAGTTGACTCATAAACAAATGGAGTGTCCTCGATGTCGGACACGTGTATTCGTTCGTGAGTCAAGGGCTCATTCATTGCTTCTAAGGCTAATATATATTACAGCGTTTGTCAATGATAACGGAACTGGGTACTCAGAGCAGCAGTTTAGTGCTATGTGTCCTCTCCCAGGATGTAGACTGAAGATCACAAAAGGGAATCTAGCCGTGGCAAAGTTTGTGCGAGATCTGACAGAGTCGGAGGATGGGAGCGAAAATTACATGGCGTTGAGTGGCAATATATTCAACATGATTGCTATTGCTGATAAAATTACAGCGGAAGTCTGTTCTTTGGCAACGGAAAGCGAGATCCTCGTCGAGCAAAGGCAATCAAAGATCAACTAACCCAATCATCACAGTTTTGTCGCAAGAGTCCTCGGTCCTCTAACCAGCGCATTGCCCGACTGGATTGGGAGAAAGAAATTAAGGAAAGCATCGGTTACTCCTGGCCACTGTTAAAAGATGCTATAGCGATAGCCCTCAGGGACCAACCAGAGGCGACGTATGTGATCTCACGACGTATCAGCAATAACTTCTCACCTCAATTAAGGAGGACCAAAATTTTGAGTGCATACGAAGGCGACAGCCCATTCTCTATCAATCTCATTTCCGCGGTGAGTTGCAATGTTTCCACTTTTTCTATATCTATAATATTTCCTGGCTAGGTGCTGCGACAGGGGATATTTACCAAAAGGATTGATGAATTAGGCTGGCTTAGACCTGGCACATTCAAGGAAGGTGATAAGTTGCAACTCCTGGAACATGCTCTACTTCGTTACCACTGGTGAGGATATATCTATTGTAAGATCGCAATGACAACCTGATCATTAGCATAGCTTCCTCGATTTAGCAGTAGCCTCACCGAATCTGATGTCCGTCCCTACTCTTGACATTGACCTGATTTGGCACAGTCATCAGCTTATGGGTGGCAAGTACGGTGTTGATTGTGACATATACATCGGCCGTCGTGTTGACCAGTGAGTGAAATCTCTTAGTTTATAGCTGAGATAATCTAATCTATTTTGCAGTCCACTTACCACAGAAGAAGCCATTCTTTCAACAGCCCTTGATGATACATGTCGTGCATGGCAGGTAATTTGGGTCACGCTTGTGGTTGAGAATATTTACTGATCAAGACTCAGTCACGGTTTCACGTCCCATACATGCAGTGCGGCTGCCCTGCGCCAGACGAAACTGTACTCGAGAGGCTCGTCCGCATCCTCCGACAGTACACAGGAACTCGAACGCGTCTTCATGCGTCCCTCCATCCTGACCATCTACCCGCCACGCATCCAAGCCTTCACAATGCTGTCCTCGACCCAGAACGTGGAGCCTTTGGATCTTTCGGCAAACTGGCTCATCCGCAACGAGACGAGAAAGACCTTGTCAGACTCTCTCGTCCATTGGGGGTTCGGAAAAAGCGTTCGAAGAAGACTGATCCGGAACTTCCACTGCAGTTGGAGGAGGGCTTTGTTTCTGAGAAGATGACTCAGGAACCTATACCCCTCAGTCCCGCACCTCCATACGTCGGTTATGGGTCGGACATTCGTTTTATGCATGATATTTGACACCTACTTATGCTTTTGTTCTAATTATTACTTAGTTGGATTTTACACGGGACTTGTATGGTCGATTGGCTCCGTTCCGCAACCGAAGTGCTCTGGTATTAGTGGAGGATCTTGATGGGAACCCGACGCAGTCATAGGTAACCATCTCTGTCAAATCCTACCTTGCAGTTGTATGTTACAGTTTCTCTTTTTCCCTTTCACTTATTCACATTACTAATCATTCTCAGACATTCTATGACATTCTATTGTATGATTCTCTTTTCTCTTTTCTGATTTGATATTTACTTTCCATCTCTGATTCATTTATTAAAGCTCTGCTTTAATCTCTCTATATATACTCTATCTCTTATGCTTGTATTCTTTAACTTGACCTACGCAGACCAGGGCCTGCAATATACTGCTTAACTTGCATGACTCATGAATAGGTTCATGCTTTAGATCATTTGTTTCTGTCTAGTTGTTCTTATGAATGCTGAGTGTAACAAAAGGTCAAGTTACTTCACTACTGTGTGGTTCCCTAGAACTTGCACCCAGAACAGAACACCATTTTGACCATTGCACCGACTCCTCCCAGTTTTACCTGGGATGAAGAAGAACAAGAGTTCTTCTGTGCAGATGCCAAAGGCACCAGATACTCCCTTGACCAGTGGGCAGTGTATTATGCTAGTGTCATATCTGCATATCTGGATCTCAGATCCGACCCTTATCTCATCTCAGATCCACATCTTATCTCCAATCCTATCCACATCTTATCCCCCTCCAACATCTTGTCATTCAATCTGTCCACTCATCCAGTCCGGTCCACAACTCATCTGAATCCACAACCAGCACTCGTCTCCTTTCGGTAACCCCCTAACTCCAGTATTTTGGTTATCTGTATATCCGTCCTGCTCCCTGATCCACTACCTATGTTTCATTTCTGTTTCATGATTTGTGATCCGTTTCTACTTACCAATAGACTATCCACATGCTTCGTACATAGCCTTGGACTCTGCTGGTTGATCATTCTGTTAGATACCTATGGTATATACAGTGGCTCAAAAAACTGTCTGCATGTTTTGACATTTTTCACTATCTATGATATTGTGTGAGAACGAACAAATGCCTCAAGGACATGCTTATACCACATTGTAGTATGGCTTCAGGGCTTTCAGTTGAGCCCTACACCGTGGGAATCGGTGGAGATATGGTGGAGATACAAGGCTTACAAAATCATGACTCATGTGGACAGTTTTTTGAGCACATATCAAAACTATATAAATCATCATTTATGACACCATAACAATCATACCACCATTAAATACATTATAAAGTGGTGTCATTATGTCATTTTAAAACCATATCTAACTATACAAACCAAAATTTTCCATATGTCATGGTTATATTCACCATGAAAGCCACTCCCCCTGCTCAAAGGGATAATATCCTCTCTCTTTCCTATTCTGGCCTCTCTGCTTGTCAAATCCCCTCCAGAACTGGAGTATCCAAGTCCACTGTGGCCAAGTTCATCAAAGAAAGTCACACAGACAAGGAAAACTTCTGTGAAGGGCATCCATCCAAGCTCACCTCTACTGATAGGAGGGCTATTATTCAACATATCACTACAGGAAAGGCTGATAATGCTGTCCAGGTCACCTATTACATCAATTCCACCATGACATTCCCTGTCTCTTCACACACTGTGAGAAACATTCTCAAGACAGCTCATCTCAGGTCAGTAACAAGGAAGAAAAGGCTCTCCTCTCTATCACACATATGCAGAGAGGACTAGCACCCTTCTTGTTTCACATATATACCTTGCCATCTGACCCAATCCTATTTATTGTGGTCTTATATGATCATATAACATGCTTCCAGTCCGTGTAATCCAATTCTGATGGGCTAAGGCAAAGGTTAGTCATCTCTGCATATGTGTGATAGAGAGGAGAGCCTTTTCTTCCTTGTTACTGACCTGAGATGAGCTGTCTTGAGAATGTTTCTCACAGTGTGTGAAGAGACAGGGAATGTCATGGTGGAATTGATGTAATAGGTGACCTGGACAGCATTATCAGCCTTTCCTGTAGTGATATGTTGAATAATAGCCCTCCTATCAGTAGAGGTGAGCTTGGATGGATGCCCTTCACAGAAGTTTTCCTTGTCTGTGTGACTTTCTTTGATGAACTTGGCCACAGTGGACTTGGATACTCCAGTTCTGGAGGGAATTTGACAAGCAGAGAGGCCAGAATAGGAAAGAGAGAGGATATTATCCCTTTGAGCAGGGGGAGTGGCTTTCATGGTGAATATAACCATGACATATGGAAAATTTTGGTTTGTATAGTTAGATATGGTTTTAAAATGACATAATGACACCACTTTATAATGTATTTAATGGTGGTATGATTGTTATGGTGTCATAAATGATGATTTATATAGTTTTGATATGTGCTCAAAAAACTGTCCACATGAGTCATGATTTTGTAAGCCTTGTATCTCCACCATATCTCCACCGATTCCCACGGTGTAGGGCTCAACTGAAAGCCCTGAAGCCATACTACAATGTGGTATAAGCATGTCCTTGAGGCATTTGTTCGTTCTCACACAATATCATAGATAGTGAAAAATGTCAAAACATGCAGACAGTTTTTTGAGCCACTGTATCCCAATGTGGAAGCAATTCTTTGTAACCTCTTTAGGAGGAGAAGACGCTATCCTGGGAATGACTTGGCTAAAGAAGGAAAACCCAGATATCAACTGGACTAGTCAAGAAGTCCGCCTAAGGGAGTGTACCCTGAAAAAAGCAACCATTGAAGAAATTGAAGAAGAAGACATATTCTACAATGCGCTAGAAGAACTAGAAGAGGAATGGGACCCTGCTAACGAAACTCTCCCACACCCTTTAGATCCCATCAACGACAACGACGATTTCTATACATATATTTGAAAAACCAACAACATCTCACAAACACTTGCCCAAGATGCCGCTAAACTGAAGAAAACCTTTGAGGAACTCATACCCAAAGAGTTTCAACAATATAAAGACATTTGGTGACATAGCTAATGGCACTCTTCCCCCAGTACGAAAATACAACCACAAGATTGATCTCAAAGAATCATTTGAACCGCGGAAATGCAAAATCTATCCACTTAATGCCAAGGAAGATAAGGCTATGAATGATTTCATTGATGAACATCTAGCTAAAGGAATGATCGTTCCTTCTGAATCCCCTCAATCATCTCCATTCTTCTTTGTCAGAAAGAAAGACAGTTCCCTCCAACCCTGCCAGGACTATCACTATTTGAATGAACATATGGTCAAGAATAACTACCCTTTACCGCTAATCTCAGATCTTATAGATAAGCTAAAGGACGCAAAGATCTTTACCAAGATGGATATCAGATGGGGATATAATAACATACATATGTGGAAATCTGATCAATGGAAGGCGGCATTCACCACTTCCAGAGGACTTTTTGAACCTATGGTCATGTTCTTTGGAATGTGTAACTCGCCCGCCACCTTTCAGTCTATGATGAATGACTTGTTTGGAGACATGATCCAAGAAGGGTGGATCATTATATACATGGACGGTATACTTATCTTTTCCAGAGACAATGAAACCCACTGTGTTCATACTCATAAAGTACTCCAATGACTCCACGACAACCTCCTTCATCTTAAACCCAAAAAATGCACCTTTAATGTAACTGATATTGAATATCTTGGCATGATCATTAAACCCAGTTCTATCACCATGGACCCTGCTAAATTAAAGGGTATATCCGAATGGAAGACTCCCATGAAAGTGAAGGAAGTCTGATCATTCCTCACATTCACTAACTTTTACCAACAGTTTATCACTGACTATTCTTTGATTGCTAGACCCTTGATCGACTTAACCAAGAAAGACGAAGAATTCTCTTGGACCCCTGAACATGAGGAAGCTTTTAATAAGCTGAAACGTATCTTCACCTCATCCCTGATTCTCCAAATACCTGACAAGAATTCCCCTTTCGCTATTGCTACTGACACATCCCTTTATGTTACCGGTGCAGTACTCCTTCAGAAGAATGGTAATGGAGACTGGCTCCCATGTTCCTTCCTATCTCAATCATTTAATCCTGCCAAATGTAACTATCAGATCTATGATTGAGAACTACTCATGATTGTCCATGCTTTGAAAGCATGGAGACATTACCTCCTCAGATCTCCTTTCCCTGTTATGGTACAAACTGATCACAAAAACCTTACTTATTTCAGAGATGTACAAGACCTTAACCAACGCCAAGCAAGATGGCAAACCTTCCTTTCCCAGTTCAAACTCCAAATCCAGCACGTACCTGGTAAAGAACTCATTATTCCAGATTTACTTTCCCATAGAACGGATCACCTTCCTGATGATAGTGTTGAAAAGGACAATATTAGTATTCAACTTCTTCCTGACTCATTATTCATCAATGTCATTGACACCTCCTTTATGGACAGATTACATATTTTCTCTTCCATTGACCCTGTAGTCCACATGGCGCTTCAAGTGCTTACAGATTCTTCTACTCCCCCTCCTCTCCAATCTGCTCTTTCTGATTGGAAATTGAGTGATGGAATTCTTACTTATAAAGGACTTACTTATGTACCCCCTGGAGATCTCCAACGAGAACTTACCTCCCTTCATCATGACTCTCCTACCACAGGACACCCTGGACATTTCAAAACCCAGGAACTCCTATCCCGTGACTACTGGTGGCCAGGTCTAGCCACTTTTGTCAAGAATTTCATAGATGGCTGTTGCATCTGCCAACAGAATAAAGTAAACATGCACCTGTCTACTCCCCCCCTATCACCTATACCCACTCCCATCTCAAATCGACCCTTTGCCCACTGCTCAGTGGATCTAATCACTGACTTACCCCTTTCTGATGGCATTGATTCTATCATGGTCGTGGTTGACCATGGACTTTCAAAGGGGGTAGTTTTCACTCCTTGCCTCAAGACTATAGACACTGAAGGTGTCGCAAACATTTTCTTTTCTAAAGTTTTCTCTAGATACGGACTTTACAATAAAATTATTTCTGACTGCAGACCTCAGTTCACTTCCAGATTCCAGATTGAACTTGGAAAACTCCTCAGATACAAGAACTCCCTTTCCACTGCTTTCCATCCTCAGAGTGACAGGGAAACTGAATGAGTTAATCAAGAACTTGAAGTTTACCTTCAGATCTTCTGTGCTAATGACCAAATGGGTTGGGCACCCATGTTACCACTTGCTGAGTTCATCCATAACTCATGACATCATTCAGCCTGTGGTACCTCCCCCTTTTACCTCATGATGGGTTATCACCCACGTCATCTCCCTGACTTCCATCCTAAATCCAACATCCCTAATATAGAACAATGTCTCACAATCCTTAATAAAGCCCACAATGAAGTGCTAGCCACTCATGAACTTGCACGAAACACCATGCATCAATACATTACATCTAAATTCGTACCATTCTCTAAAGGCGACAAAGTCTGGCTCGAAGCCAAGAATCTCCATCTTGGATACCCTAATCAGAAGCTCGCTCCTAAATGCGAGGGACCATTCACAATCATTGATGTATTATCCCCTATAACTTATTGACTTGCATTACCCGTGCAATGGTGCATTCACCCGGTATTCCACGCCGCACTCTTTTCTCCTTATAAAGAGAATGATACCCATGGTCCTAATTATATTCTGCCACCTCCTGATCTTATTAATGGCAAAGAAGAACACAAAGTAGAAGCCATTGTCAGACACTGAGGCTCTTCTTCTTGATGCCAGTATTATGTAAAATGGAAGGGATTTCTGAGTTCCAAGAATGAATGGATGAAGGAAGCTGAACTAGGTAACGCTTCTGGACTTCTTTCTACTTATAAATGATTGCATCATCTTCTTTGATAGTAGTCGGTGCCTACTACCCTTAAAACAGGGGTAATGTTACAGTTTCTCTTTTTCCCTTTCACTTATTCACATTACTAATCATTCTCAGACATTCTATGACATTCTATCATATGATTCTCTTTTCTCTTTTCTGATTCAATATTTACTTTCCATCTCCTGATTCATTTATTAAAGCTCCTGCTTTAATCTCTCTATATATACTCTATCTCTTATGCTTGTATTCTTTAACTTGACCTATGCAGACCAGGGCCTGCAATATGCTGCTTAACTTGCACTGACTCATGAATAGGTTCACGCTTTAGATCATTTGTTTCCATCTAGTCATTCTTACAAATGCTGAGCGTAACATTGTATATCTAGAATTTCCTCTGAGAATCCCCTCTCATTTGTTGATCTGCTGATTGAAATTCTACCATCAGTACTTACTGAATTAAAGATGCTGCCATGCATTGGTAGCTATAGGACTATAGGTCAAATGTCAATGTATGCTTATATAAAATGCAATTCCCATCAGTGTCACATCCATGATCGCAACACCAACGATAAACAAGGGCCATATGTAACTCATAATCTCTTGTACTTTTCGCAGTATTTTTGTCCTTTGGTCAATCACCTACATGGACCACAACGTGATAGCCTCACATTGTTCTCCCATAGCCATGAGTGAAGTAGGCACAAGTCCATGTCACATTTCAATATATTTATGATCTTAGGTGGAGAGAGGACTTCTAATCCCTCAGCGACGTTTAACAGTGACAAAGCCCACCAGAATACCTGTTGGCATGGTCAACGTTGGTGGCAGCTCTGCCTGCATCAAGTCCTTCTGATTCGACACCAGTCATTTACAAGCAATACAACAGTGAAAGAGGTAAGCCATCTCAGTCACTGTTCATATCAATATGCCCTCATCTCTGACTGCTGATCAGCATGCTGCCACATTCAATTAACGATTGGAAGAAGTTTGTGAGCATGAATGGCATGCCGTACTATTTCAACTCCAGGCTGTGTCCTGACACAAGATAACATGATGGATTGCAACATTTGCTTGGATCTGATTGACATAATTGAAGAACATACAGTGGCTCAAAAAACTGTCTGCATGTTTTGACATTTTTCACTATCTATGATATTGTGTGAGAACGAACAAATGCCTCAAGGACATGCTTATACCACATTGTAGTATGGCTTCAGGGCTTTCAGTTGAGCCCTACACCGTGGGAATCGGTGGAGATATGGTGGAGATACAAGGCTCACAAAATGGTGACTCATGTGGACAGTTTTTTGACTCAAGTATTTTACAATAATAACCAGGTATTCTAGTATTTTGTATGACCTCCCTTGGCTTTAATTACTGCCTCTATCCTTCTAGGCATACTCTCAATTAATTTCTGGCAATCCTCAGCTGTGATCTTCCCCCATTCCACTGCTACTCTCTCCCAAAGCTCCCATACTCCTTTAGGGGGGTTTTCATAGGCTTGAAGCTTTTTCTTGAGTGTTCCCCAGAGATGTTCAATGACATTGACATCAGGAGACTGTGCTGGCCAGTCAAGAACATTGATGTTATGTTCTTCAAACCATTCCTTAGCTCTTCTGGATGTGTGCTTGGGATCATTATCCTGTTGGAAAATGATATCTTCTTCATCAATCCCTGATTCTGCCAAGCTAGGCAGCAAGTGGTCATTTAAAATGTCCACATACTGCTCAGCATTCATCTTTCCCTCAACCTCAGCAAGCATTCCCACACCATTCCATCCCATACAGCCCCATACCATTAAAGAACCTCCTCCAAACTTGACAGTCCCATTAACCTCTCTGTCTGTTAGGCCATCTCCCTTCTTTTTCCATACATATACCTTCCCATCTGACCCAATCCTATTGATTTTGGTCTCATCTGACCATATAACATGCTTCCAGTCCCTCTACAGTCCAGTGTTGATGAGCTAAGGCAAAGGCTAGTCTTCTCTGCCTATGTTTGATGGAGAGAAGAGGCTTTTTCTTCTTTGTTACTGGCTTGAGATGAGCTGCCTTGAGAACATTCCTCACAGTTTGTGAAGAGACAGGGGTTATGTCTCCACCATATCTCCACCAATTCCCACGGTGTAGGGCTCAAATGAAAGCCCTGAAGCCATACTATAATGTGGTATAAGCATGTCCTTGAGGCATTTGTTCGTTCTCACACAATATCATAGATAGTGAAAAATGTCAAAACATGTGGACAGTTTTTTGAGCCACTGTACTTGTACTTGCATATTCGTAGTATTGAATTGAATACAAAGTTCTTGTTGTGTGTTCTATGTTATGAATTTCACAAAAGGTCAAATAAAAATGCCTCATGAGGAGTGGGAAAACATGTTAGCTCCTTGAAAAAGGTGCACTTCTTCTTGCCACATCATTGATGTTTGAGCTTTGCAGTAGATGGATTTCATGAGTTTATCCCGCACCAGCCAGCATACTATTGAAGTGGAGGGAAGGCAGTTATCGACTTGGAGGATGTCTGGCATGTCATGTACTTGGAATTACAATGGTATGTTACATATACTTATCACTAATCTCTGTGAGCCTGAGCCTCTTGAGCCTCCCTCCGTAATGTAACCTCCTCCTGGCTCCTCCTTGCTGGAGGCTCTACAAAATGCACCATGGTCCATGCCGCGGGAGGTAGGCTTTCAGGCAGGTAACGACCTACAATGGAACCTAGCCTGAAAGGCCCTTGGTACCTTTACAAAGTGGTGCCAAGGGTGATACTAACCCTCCCAGATGTTACAGCTATGGCTGCCCCCTATCTCTTTTTCTCCATACTTGTGTATTATGTCATGACCGCACCTTGCCGTGCCATCATTAGACTGACCGATTCCTATATCTGATTACACCACAATCACCGCTGCTGTCGCTAGGTGACTCATCTCCTTATCTCTGACTCGACTCCTGACGTCACTGGATGACGTAGCCCCTTATCTCTGACTCGACTCCTGAGTCACTAGATGATGCGTACGTACCTGCCCTAAAGTAGGCTACGTCTATATAAGCTCGGTCTTGTACTTAGATAGACTTCACTTTAATCTACTAGGTCTTACCTGAACTATCCTTCGCTTGAGACCTCCAATCTCAAGTCGTCTGATAACCGATATTCAAGCCAGAGACACTCTCTCTGACTTGTCTTAAGAACCTTACATTTGTAAGGACACGAACTGACTTTAGGCGTTACTCTTATCGAGTACCTATCATCGAGCCCATCCTAGTCGACCTACAGTTCGCCATAACACCAGATGCCTGGTGGATGCGGGAGCATCAGCGTGGGTGTGAGCACCTCGCCTTCCTCTAGAACAACCTCTCTGACCTACAGACTCAATACTCGCAAAAACAACCAGAACCCCAACCATGCAAGACACAATAGAAGCACTGCCCAACAAGGTCAAGGATTTGAGAGTGGAAAAATGTTCCTCACTTCCAAACTTCTTTGCCATGTTGATCAACCATTTACGTTAATTCACATCATCTCAGTTCTTTTTCAGATCACGCAAATGTCCAGTATGACACCCATAGCAGTAACTTTAGCCATCCATGCAGTAGCTTTCATTCTGAAGGACCATGCTGCCTGTGAACTAGTGGAATCTGCAGCCAAGCAAATCACGGAAATAGTAGCTCAACAAATCTCGGATACTGCAGCTAAGCAAATCTCGGACTCCCTTTCCTCACGCCTAGTGGATCACATAGTAGCAGCCATCTCTTCACAAGTGGCACTCATTCACACAGCATCTCAAGCCCTAGTGGAATCACTAGAGGAGGCCAAGAATCTACATGCCACAATCAGCCAAGAGAGAGATGAGAAGGAAGATAATGTCAAAACTACAGTGGACCGAATCAAAGAGGCAGCAGATGCCTTATACTCTTCTGTCAAAAATTGCCAGACTACCATGCAATTGCTGACCCCTTCCCTAGATACTATGCAGACCAAGATTGACTCTCTATTTGCCAAGATCTCAGATACATCCTCCCAGCAAATCACAATGTCCCAACCCACCTACAGCACAGTAGTGGCCGCCCACCTGCCACCAACAGTAGACAAAGCTGTAGGAAGAGCAGCCATCAGAGCACACAAGATACTATTAGACCCATCACCAGGTGAGATGCTCTTCCCACTGAATACCTCTAACTACACCATAGCAAGCAAACTCAAAGAGATGTTGGCCAAGGTGAGGGATGACACCACCCCACCAGGTACCACCAAATCTGTCAGGACCCTATGCAATGGAGATATTGTAGTGGAACTTGAAATGGAATCATTAGCTACTTGGTTGAGTAGTCCCAATGGTAAAGCAGCACTTGAGAGTAATATGAAATCAACTGTATCATTCTGCAAACATTTCTATCAGATAGTACTGGAATTCTTACCCACTAGCACACAGATTGAACAAGATGACTTCCTAAGACAAATTGAGCAAGAGAACTACCTTCAGCCCTTATCACTGATAGCAATTAAGATGAATCAAGCCCCCAGCAAGATGCAATGCAGAACAAAGGAAAGTGTTCACACTCCTCCAAGTTACTGACATACAAACAGCAAACAATATTCTATGGGATGGCATCTGCATAGCCAATGAGAGGATCAGAGTCTGAAAAGACAGGAAAGAGCCCACCCACTGCACCAAATGCCAAAGCTTCAACCACATTGCCAAGAACTGCAAAGCTGAACATGACATTTGTGGTACCTGCAGTGACCAGCACCACACCTCAGCCTGCAATTCTTTCTGTATGACACAATGTGTCAACTGTAGAAGTCAGCAACACATGAGCTGGAGCCATTCCTGCCTGGAGTTCTCCAGATGCTGCAGAGAGATCAATGAGAAGTATCTGGAAAATTGCATGCCCTACTTCCCCACTGAGAATGCCTGGACTCACACCATCCAGCCACCCAACTCTACAAGGCAATCTATCTCACTGCACTCACCCCCACAACAATCCTGCAACTCTGGCCCAGTTCAGCTCCACCAAGCATGACTAGACTTCTCACAATGACTGTCTCACAGATACACATCTCCTCAATGTCCCCAAGACCCTAGCATCCACTCCCTCATCGCAGGACTGTCAACTCAACCTGGGGGTCCCAAACCATTAGGCAGCAACTCACCCTCTCCATCTGATCATGTCTGAACAAACCAACAAATCTAACGTCAGGCTCTGCGTATGGCAACAGAATCTCAATACATCAATGGTAGCCCAAACCTCTCTTCTCAACAATCGCTACACCACAGACTGGGACATTATGGCAACACAAGAACCTCATATTAATTTTCTGTGTAATACGTGTGCCAACCACCACTGGCATGTTCTATACCCATCTCAGCACTACTCCCACCCCCAAATACGTTCATGGGCCATCACCCTGATCAACACCTCAGTAAATACTAACTCTTGGAAACAGATCTCATTCCCTTCCTCAGACATTGTAATAACTCAAATCTCTGGACTGTTCGGTTGATGTACCATTTTTAACATTTATAACAACTGTATATCACAAGACATGCTAACCACTCTTGACTCCTTTCCAGAACTCAACCTCCAAGACATCATATCAAGTGAGAATGACCATATGATCTGGATGGGCGATTTCAATCGTCATCACCCACTATGGGAAGCGACATGCAACTGCTATCTCTTCAACTATGCAGCAGCAAATCTGCTCATTGACCTGATAGCCAACTATGGTCTGATCCAGCTGCTCCCATGTGGAATACCCACCCTTCAATCCATGGCCACTGGCAACTGGACGTGACCCGACAACATTCTGGGAACTGAACACCTCCTAGATGCAGTCATCTCTTGCAACACTGATCCTAGTCAATGAGGACTGAAAACTGACCACATCCCTATTCAGTTGATACTCGAACTTAAAATGCCAAAGTTGAATGAAGAACCCCACAAGAATTGGCATGATGTTGACTGGGATGACTTTAAAGAACACCTTGGACAAATCCTAGCCCCTCACCCCCCGGTACCCTTGGCATCAGATGATGAATTCCAGCAAGTGGCCACACACCTCACTCAAGCCATCAGCAACACTGTCAATGCTAAAGTCCCTCTCTCCAAACCATGCCCCCACTCCAAGTGTTGGTGGACTCGGGAACTGACCAAGCTCTGTAGACAGGTTAATGAACTCAGCAAGTTATCCTACCAAATGAGAGGCATCCCAACCCACACCTGCCATGAAGAACTCAAGATCACTAAGAATTGGTATGCTATGGAGATTGAGAAGATGAAAAAGCAGCACTGGATCGAATGGCTGGAAGACATCAAAGGTAATGATGTATGGACTGCTAATAAGTATATTTCATCAGAACTAAAGGATTCCGACCCTCAAAATCAAGCATCCTGATGGATCATTCCTAGAGGCCAATACCAACCAAGAGAAAAGTATAATTATCACTGAATCATTCTTTCCCCCACCTCCTACTACTAACTCCATCCCACCTGATGTAATATACCCTGACCCAGTGGAACAACACACCCCCTTCAGCCAATCTGAGATCAAACACACCATCCTCAAGCTCAGCAGATTCAAGGCACCAGGCCCAGATGGTATATGCAATGTAGTCTACAAACAATGCACAGACCTCCTTGTCCCCTCCTTCAAGCACCTCTTCAACACTGTCTTCTCCCATCAAACATACTTCACTCCATGGAAAAGCTTCACAATGGTAGTCCTATGTAAGCCAGGGAAGCCAGACTACTCAATACCCAAAGCCTACCATCCAATAGCCTTGCTCAACACCATGGGAAAGTTACTAACAGCAGTTGTAGCAGACCGCCTCACCTACATGCTAGAATGGTACCAACTACTCCCCAATACCCACTTTGGCAGTCACCCTGGATGTTTGACAATGGATTCTCTATACCTCCTAGAAGAAATGGTCAAGAATGCCTGGAGAACAGGCAAGGTCACATCGGTGCTATTTTTGGATATAGAAGGAGCATTCCCTAATGTGGTTACCAAACACCTCTTTCACAACATGCAAAGCCGTCACATCCCAGGTGAACTAGTTGACTTTATAGAATGGGTGCTAATGAACAGACAGACTCAACTGAGATTTGATGGTTTCACCTCTGAATGGATTCAAATCAACAATGGAATTGGCCAAGGCGACTCGCTTTCAATGATATTGTACATAATATATAGCTCAGACTTAGTAGAAATTGCCAAATAACATAGAGGTAACAAAGCACTCAAGGAATTAACGCTGGCTTTTGTAGATGACACAGCATTCATTGCAATCAGCAAAGACTTCGAAATGACACACACAATCTTAGCAGATATGTTGGAACATTGAGAAGGAGGCTACAAGTGGTCTAGAAATCATAATTCTAAGTTTGAAACTAATAAACTTGCCTTAATAGATTTCTCATTGAACTGTCAGAAGAACCAACCCAATATGCACATTCAGGGCGCCATCATTCAACCCACATCTACACATTGATTCCTAGGAGTTATAGTTGACCAAGAGTTATGATGGAATGCACAAGTGGACAATGCTGTAGCCAAAGGAATGGTATACATATGCCAGCTACATTGTCTTTCTTCATCTGCCAAAGGAATACCACTATGCCTAATGCACCAACTTTACCAGGCAGTAGCAGTACCAAAGATGCTATATGCGGCTAATCTCTGGTTCACTCCCACCTTCCATGATGGCTCAGACTCCCTCCAGCAGGGATCAATTGGAGTAGCCAAATGCCTTACCTCTGTCCAATGAACAGCAGCTCTCTCAATTACTGGAGCAATGAGAACCATGGCCACTGACCTGCTAGAAGTACACACCAACCTCCTACCCATCCCTCTCCTTCTCCAAAACACCTGTCACCAAGCCATTGTCCATATAGCCACCCACCCAAACATGCACCCACTTTTCAACCCTATAAGATGCACAGCCAGGCACTTTGTCAACTCCCATCACACATCTCTCCATTGCCTTACTTGCCAATTCAAAATAGATCCCCATGAGATCAAGACCCTCACCCCAGCCCACAGGTCACCCACCAGTCACAATCCCTTCAAGACCCATATTGAACCATCCAAACAAGCCACCATTGAAAAGCATGCCCAGATAATGGATGGCATTCAGGTCTACAGTGACAGGTCAGGACATCAAGGACAGATAGGAGCAGTGGCGATTCTATTTTGTGCAGGGAAATGCTCATGTACCTGCGCTTCCACCTAGGAAAGGAGGAAGAGCACATAGTCTATGAAGCAGAGGCAGTCAGACTGACATTAGCAGCAGAGCTTATAGCAACAGAGGAAGACCTTACATTCCCAATATCGATCTGTGTTGACAACAAGGCAACCATCCAATCCAGTGAGGGTTTCCAATCAAACCCAGGCATGTACTTAATAGATCATTTTTGCAGCAAGATGAAAGAAATTGCCAAAGACCATGATGACTTCAAAGTAACCATCCACTGGGTACCAGGACATGTTGACATTCACAGTAATGAAGAAGCTGACAAGCAGGCAAAGAAAGCAGCTGAAGGATGTCAGCACACCAGTCCTAGTGAGAAACTCCCAGACTACCTATGATACAACACCCTCCCCCTCAGTATATCTGCACTCAAAGCAGCTCACCACCAGGCCATGCATTGCAGGTGGGGTAGGATATGGCACAAGTCACCCCGCTATAACCATATCAACCACATAGACCCCAAAATCCTGCAGCACTCATTCATCAAATTCATGGCAGATTTCCCCAAGCAACTCACTGGCGTCTACATGGCACTCAGAACCCATCATATCTCCCTCAACCATCATCTCCATCACATCAGAAAGCACCCATCACCACACTGCTCACACTGCCCAGAAAAAGATGAAACAGTCTTTCATTACCTGCTTGACTGCACTCATTATCATAGAGAATGACATGTCCTCATGCTAGCACTAGGATGGAGAGCTTCATCACTCCCTTTCCTTCTTTCAGATCTGGAGGCAACCCCTCACCTCACTTGCTTCATCAACGCAACAGGACACCTCAGACAGACATTCAGTGAAATCCCACTCCCTTGCAAGCCCCTGGACTGACACAACATTTCCCTCCTCTAGATAGTATAATCATGAACATAACTCCCAAACACTGTATCAAATGCATGAACATATCACCTGTAACATAAATCATCTCTCCTCCCCTCTACTCACTCAAAACTGTACAATCTCTACTTGCCTACATGGAATCCCCTCATGTGGTGCATATCAAACATCCCTGTAATGGTCATTGTCACTCATCTGACCATTCATCCAAACCCTCATCTACCCACCCACTGATTCCTGTACCTGATTGCTATATGCAACTGAGTATGTGTTCAATAAATGTCAAGATAGATATACATATAAATGCACATATACATAGAGTCATCTCATCAACCAGGTGGCCCATCTAAAATGGCCAGTAGGAATGGTGGACTGCTGGGGGTACACCTCACAGCAGGTAGTGATGTTCTGGCCCAGCTTGGCTCAAAAGCCACAGCTTGGGCCTGGCTTCAGACAGCTTAGGCTTGCAAAAATTCCAGGCCAGGCCAAAGCCACCAGTGACAGCTGGCTTTGGCTTGGCTTTGGCCTGAGCTGCAGCCCAAGTACTGAAAATAGAGAAACACATTCAGAAGATAATTTACATCATGGAGTCAGCATCTGATTCTATAAAATCCTCATCTCCCTCCAAAAGAGCATCCCAGCCCTCCTCATCCCCATCTTCAACATCACTCAGCTTCTCGTTAGCATCCATTTCAATATCTGAGTCCTCAAGAGCCCCCTCAGTTGATGATGAGGGTCCAGGCTCATGGAAGAGTAGATCATGGTGAAGGGCACATTTGACACACTGTAGTGCCTCAACAATATCACCTTTGAGGTGGTTGTGGCACTTGCTAATGGTAATACCACCCTGTGAGAATGCACACTCACTTGAAACTGATGATGCCATGATTGAGAGGTAGTCACAAGCTAGTGAGGTCCATACTGTTACGGTGAACCGTAGGTCGACTAGGATAGGCTCGACAATAGACACTTGATAAGAGTGACGTCTAAAGCCGGATCATAACCTCACAAATGTAAGGGTCTTTTAAGACAAGTTAGAGAGAGTGTCTCCGACCTGAATATCGATATCAGATGCTTAGGATTGGGGGTCCTAAGCAAAGGATGTTCTGGGTAAAACCTAGTAGATTAAAGTGAGGTCTATCTAAGTACAGGACCCGGTTTATATAGGTATGGCCTACTTTAGGGCCGGTACGTATTCGTCATCAAGACGAGTCAGAGATAAGGAATGGCGTCATTGAGACGAGTCAGAGATAAGGGATGACGTCATCGAGACGAGTCAGAGATAAGGGATGAGTCAGCTAGCAACGGCGCGAGGCGATCGTGCTGTGATACACAGATATGGAGAGAAGCTAGTCTAGTGATGGCACAGTCTCGTGCGGTCATGACGTAATACACAGATAAGAGAAAAAGTGATAGGGGCAACCGTTACTGTAACATTACCCCTCGTTTAGCGATGAAGTCACCGACTTCACATATCCTGGTTGGCCCAGTAGATGGGGTCTGCATCGTAGTTTGAATAGAGGAGGTCGTCTTGTTCCTCAGTGATGGTAGTGCGCGCCATCTGCTTACCATGAGCGATGGTGTCTTGTTCAATCTCCCAACGCACAAGTGCGTCATAGAAACCAACATCGGTCCATACTAAAGGAATAACTGCTTCTCCTTTTAACTCCTTGCAGAAGACCGATAAATGGCCCGGGGCGTATTCTAGGCAAACTCTGCAATAATACGCGGGGCAGTTCTTGTGGCGGTGGCCAGCAATGTGGCAGTTACGGCATACGACGTTATCTACCGGTGCAGTCTTCACGACTGTGACGGATGAGGATTGTTCTGGGGGGGACGGTGACCGTGACCTTTTAATCAGCGCCTTGGTAGGAGACGCGGAGGCGGCTCATTTAGCGGCAAGGCGAGAAGACCTTCTTTTGAGTGGGAGTCTTCGTTTGGTGCGGGTGATTGGGTCAGGCGAAGGAGAAGTCGGTACGTTAAGTACAGCAATAGGAGGGATGAGATCATCCTGATGCTCCTCGGTATTCTTAGTAGGAGCTGGCGGTGGTACGGGGATAACGACATGGGGTGAGGGTGGTCGTGCGACGGGATTGAGCGCGATTCGCTCAGTAACGATGTGAATGGCTTCTCTGATAGCATCTCTTGTTTCGTCTGGTAAGAGACGGATTGTGGTGTTGCGAATGCGTATGTGAAGGTGACGGAAAATAGTCTGATGACATTCATCATCAAGGAGGGCGGCGGTGCGTTCAATGAGGCTGGCATCTCTGATGATTCTGATTATAAGGCCGCTGGAGATGGCACCTTTTTCTCCAAGAATGCGATCTATTTCAATAGCGTATTGCTGCGAGGTGATAGCGGACTCAAAGAGAGCGCTAGTTTCGACTTGGTCAATGACAGAGAAATAGTCTGTGAGGGTGGAATCGTCGGAAAGGGTTAGGGTGGAATCAGAGACCAGTGGTGATGTTTCAGAGGGTAATGCGTGTTGTGCGAGGTCGGGAGCGGTAGCGTTCTGGTAATCGAGAAGTGTTAGGGGGTGAGCATTTCCTTCAGCAACGTTGTCCATAGCCGCTGTGAGTTCTTGGATACGGAGGATACAAAGGCGTAGTCGTTCGATGTGGGACATTGTTCTCAAAGTCTACAACCCATGGGCCTTCTTATAGGCGGTTAGGATATCGGAGGCATTACTGAGGTTTTCTTCTGGAACCCACTCGTTACTGGCGGATGAGTATCCTTTCCACGATAAGAGATAGCGTCTTCGTTTACCCGTTCCTTTGTGCAATAAGATTGCATCAATTTCATACTCTTCTTCGTTATCGATGATGTCAGGGGATGGATCGTGGAAGTTCGGTCCATGAACCTCTGTTTCGTGATAGGTCGATAGTTCGGAAGCATGGAATGTGGGGTGAACTTTCCATTGGGGTGGTAGTTGGAGTGTGAAAGTGATAGGGGATAACGCGGCGGTGATTGGGAATGGGCCGTATCGCTTGGGCGCAAGCTTTCATGAAGGTAATTGCGTAATCAGGTTTTTTCCGGATAACCAAACTTTATCTCCAATCTTCCAGGGGTGATATTTCTGCCCATGAGTCCTTTCTGCCATACGTTGCATCGCAAGGTTATGACAAGAGAGCGCTTCTTCTCTAGACTTCTGGAGCGTGCGGAGTCTCTCTTCTGCTGTGGGAATGGTGGAGCTGGAGAGGGTGTGTGGGAGAGCCCGTGGTTCATATCCCATCATCAGGAAAAACGGTGAGGCATTGCGAGAGTTGTGTTTGCGGTGGTTGTGAACGAATTCTGCCATAGGGAGTTGCTCTACCCAATTTTCTGGGTTGTTTCGACAGTAGATTCGAAGGTACGTTTCTAGTTCTTGATTGAGTCGTTCTGTTTGTCCATCGGTCTGGGGGTGATAGGCGGTTGACGCCGCGATGTCGTACTTCAGGAGTTTGGCAAGAGCCTGAGAGAACTTGGATATGAATTGCGGGCCACAATCTGAGATAACCTTTTCATGTAGGCCGAATCGCCAATAGACGTATTTGAAGAATTTGTTGGCGACTCCTTCGGAAGTTATAGTTTTGGTGCATGGGATAAGAATTACCCCCTTCGTAAGCCCATGGTCGACCACGACCATGACAGAGTCAAAACCTGCACAGGGGGGAAGGTCGGTAATAAGATCAACCGAGACCTGAGTGAAAGGAGCTGCGGCGACGGAAGGAATGGGGACAAGGGGGGGGGTCGTCGGATGAGTGTCGGATTTCATTTGCTGACAGAGAGCACATCCCTCAACGTATTTGCAAATATAGGTACCCATAGCGGGCCACCAGAAATCACGCTTAACTAATTCCTCTGTTTTGAAATGGCCAGGGTGGCCGGCAGTGGGATGGTCATGACATTGTTCTAATATGAGGCGCCGTCCGGCGGGGCGGACGTAGGCGCAGGTCCTTGTAGTAAAGGATATCGTCCTTGATTTCCCAGTCGGAGAGGGCGGATTTCATGGGGGGAAGTGACAGACCATCCAAGGCATCAGAAGCAGCAGAGAAAATGGGGTCGGGGTCGGAGGGGTCAGGATTAACGAGGGTGGTCATGAGCTCAGTATCAAGGAGTCGAACAAACATGGAGTCTGGTAAGAGCGTTTCATTGGCATTATCATCTGAGGAATTTATCCGTGATCAGGGCGACGAGAAAGGGCATCGGGAGCAACAAGCTTTGCTCCAGGCGACGTGATGGAGTTCGATATCGTAGCATGACAGGATTAGCTGCCATCGGGCTTGCCAACGGGTTAATTTCTGAGCGGTTCTGAAATACAGGAGGTTCTTATGGTCGGTGAATACAATGATAGGATGAGGGTTCCCTTCCAGATAATGGCGCCATTCCGTCAATGCACGAATAACCGCAAGAAGTTCACGATCAAAGATTTGATAGTTTCTTTCTGCAGGGTTCAACGTCTGGGATAAATATGCGCACGGGTGATAGACGCCATTATCATCGGTTTGGAGCAGGACCGCTCCGGTGGCAACGAGAGACGCATCAGTGGCAACAGCAAACTGTCTGGAGGGATCTGGGTTCCAGAGGACTGGTTGCTTCATAAAGCATTTCTTCAGCTCGTCAAAGGCGGATGTGCATCGTTCCGTCCAAAGGAACTTGACGTCTTTCTTAGTGAGATCAATTAACGGTCTGGCGATGTCGGAATAGTGGGAAATGAAGTTCCGGTAGAAATTGCAGAAGCCTAAGAACGACCGGACTTCTTTTACGGTGGTAGGTGTAGGCCATTCCCGAATACCGGTGGTTTTAGCATCGTCCATTGCTACGCATCCAGGACAGATAATCATTCCAAGGTACTCCACTTCCTGAGCATCGAAGGTACATTTTTCTGGTTTAAGGAAAAGTCTCTCTTGCCGAATTCTTTCAAGGACGCGCCGGGTGCGTTCACGATGGGAAGTGAGGTCGTTAGAAAATATCAGGATGTCGTCCATATATATAATGAGCCATCCTTCGTTAACCTCCTGCTGGAACGTTTTATTCATGTACGCCTGGAAGGTAGCCGGGGAATTGCAGAGACCGAAGAACATAACATTTGGCTCGAAGAGCCCGTATTCCGTAGTGAAGGCAGCCTTCCAACGATCTTCTGGGTGGATATGGATATTGTTATATCCTGACCGGACGTCCATCTTTGTAAAATATTTAGCACCATGTAACCGGGCGACCAGGGAGAGCGGTAAAGGGAGTGGGTAGGCGTTCTTGACGGTCCATTCGTTGATGTACCGGTAGTCTTGACAGGGACGAAGATCTCCGCTTTTCTTTCCTACAAAAAAGAAACCGCTAGCCTGCGGCGACTTCGATTCAGAGATAAAGCCTTTCTGAACGTTTTCATCAATGAATGCCTTGACTGCTGACCGCTCTTTCTCAGATAACGGGTATACTTTGGACGTCTTGGGGATAAACCCAGGCTTGGTGTCTATCCGGTGATCTATTCCAGGTCGTTCTGGTGGTAGTTGATTCAGGCCGTCTTTTGCAAAGATATCAGCGAAGTCATGAAGGTAAGAGGGGACAAGTTCTTCGAACGACTTCTTCTTCTGCTCAAGTCCAGCAGCTAACGCAAATTGCTGGGCTTTGTTACTAGTTTTGAGATATTTGGCGGGTCGAGATAGAGGAGTGATCTTGGGTTGCCGTTGTTCCGAAGTACTAGTCCCGTCTTTCGTTAATGGGGTATCTAACGAGACGTTGGTGATTACCTGAAGCTCGGCGGCATCAGCGGGGTACTCAACTAGGAATTCATCATCTTCTAGATGATAGGTCGAGACTTCTCGCATGGGTGGTGCATAGTCAGTCGTCCATACGTCTTCCTTTGTGTCAAAGGAGTCGTCTTCGTCATCAGGTATAGGATCCAGATCA